CCTGGGAACAGAATATGCGTATAATGAGACACTTCTAAAAACGACTATCTGTCACATTTCATTAAATTTATATAGAGTGCTGTCTAGAATATGTTATGGCTGGAAACGGTTACCGGGTTCAAATTAAGCCTATCAGCAGATGAAGAACCCAAGATTGCTGCATACCTGAGAAACAAGCAAATCCTGATATGATTAGCCAAAATCCAGGTTTATCCGAAGATCAAAATCCAGATTTTGTGTGTTTTGCTTTAAACAGTTTTCGTTATTTTTTTTCTGTTGCACTACCACTCACTATTGTTGGCTGCTTTACAAAGATGTCAGGATTGAAAGATTGAAACATTCTGGTCATTCACTAGGCTCAACAAAGAAAAACTTACACCAAAAGGGCATCTTCCAGAGATGAAGCAAGTGGACCAATTATTTCCACTGTTCCCCCTTCACATAATGATCTGTAGAGATGATAGTGGTTAAAACAGAAATCATGCCATACACATAAGTTCAGATTTTGTTTGATCATGCCAACTAGATCCTTTTTCTAATCAATGTGCCAATAATTATCCACTGCAGCAAATAAGTCTGGCCATACAAGCAACAAAATCTAACAAGTTGACTTGCTGGTACAACTATTCACTAATATCTAAACTTTTAGAGCACCGACGAAGGATATATTAGTAGGTCAAAATGTTAACACCCAATAAGGGTTTTCTGTTTAGGAATCCTGATTCTCTTACATCTTACCCTGTCATATCTGTCCGACCATATGTTGTTTTTAGTCCCGTTATACCGCACAGTGATGCAGGGATGCGAACAGAGCCTGCAGTTCCAGACACGACTAAAACATACTATGCTATGCAGATCATATGTCAGATCAAAAAAATCAAAAGAACTTCGATACCTCCACCATCTGTTCCTAGAGCAGCTGAGCATAGTCCAGAGGCAACAATAGCTGCTGAACCCGAGGAAGATCCGCCTGTATACCTTTCATGTGCGTGTGGGTTTCTTGTCGTTCTGCAATGCAGTATACCAGAAAGAAAACCAAAAAGCAAATACATGAAAAATTAGAGAAAATAAAAGATGCAAGAAACACAATGAAGTGATACATATCAAGTAACAAAACAGTGTTATATCTCCCGCAAAACAAATAGCATTTTTCATGCAAATAAGATTTGTTCTCTGGTGAGTTGCTTACCCGTAATTAGAATTGTTCCCTGTGGTCCCCATGCCTAACTCATGCATATTTGCCTTGCCAAGTAAGATTGCACCACAACTTCGAAGTCTTGAAACAACAACTGAATCCTTCTCCACGGAACGATCTTCGTGTAGCCATGTCGTTCCACCTATAATGAAAAACGCTATGACAGGTCTGTTGTATCTGAAAATGTTTTAGATGAAATATGAGAATGACATACTCACCCTTTGTGGTATGGGGTAAACAATCAATATCGTCCTTGATTGTTACAAAAATTCCATCTAAAACGGATATTGGATTTCCTACACAGCTCACACCCAGCATGATCAATACAGATCTCTAAAATCTCACTAAAGCTGACACTTGAAGCATCTGAAAAATAGCTGCCTCAGTGATATCTGAACCTCGGACTACAAACAGATCTCGGATTCTGCATAATTACCTTCTTCAAACCTCTTTGTAGAAGCTTGAGCTTGCTTTCTGACTTCACTGGCATCAAAGCTAATCAAAAATGGTGTTGGAGACTTGTCATACTTAAACTCCCCTATGATTGAGATTATTTGTTCTGCTACCTAGCAATCAGCAACAAGATTCTTTGTTTGTACCAGAATAAAGAGAGTAAGAAACTGAAAAGTAAGATAACTAACCTGAGATGGAGTTGTCAGCTTAGATCTATAAGCATATGCATAATCACGTATCTTCCAGTACCGGAAGGATGACCTTGGATCTGCGTGGAAGCTACGAGAAGGATCATATTGAGGAAGACACTTCAAGGCTGTTTCCAATCTGTCTATAGGGCTCTCATCTTCGCCAACGATGACAACATCAAGCTCCGATTCTAGTTCAAAATGATACCCACAGATATTATATAGGTTAACGTAATGATTACCAATTGAAGTAAGCTAACACAATTCTCCATCTAAGTATAAAGCATGTCAATGATAAACGAACTGTAAGATAACAAAGGCCAAAGTAGAAGAATATACTTTGAGGTGGGAACTCCGGTCTAAACATGGGCTCTTCTGGTATAACTGTGTTGCGAAAAATCTGCAAGTCACAACACGGAGAAGCACATAACTATGTCATCAATAATAAAAAAATGTAAGAGTATTGACCATCAACAACCCTGAAGAACAGTAATAAAGGCAAATGAAAATAAAGTCAGTTTGATAAAAAAAAAGACCTCGGTCATGCCATTATTCTTCTTCAGTGAATCAACAATCGATGAACCTATAAGCGGCGCTTCAAGCATCTTAACGAACAACTTGAACAAAAAGCCAGTCAAATGAGGGGCTGCAAAAAAAGCACACAACTCATTCTTAAGAGCTAACGTTAAAATCCATGATCAGGCAAACGCAGGAAAGTGCATCGTATAATCGAACCTTTGATATCTTCTTCTTTATACTTGACCCCAGAAACATCAACCTCACGTGCCGGTTTCATGACCTGATACTTATGCATCTACATACAAAGTACCAAGCAAGAAAAGTAAAAGACATTAAGTTGGATTGATCTAATAGATCACACGTCACTGTTCTATAAGCTAAGCACTGAATAAATTTACAAAAACTAGCCAAACCACAAACACAAAAATCAAATAAAAATCGATGAGTCATTGTTAAGGAGTTTATTCCCGTAGCGTAAGAATCACAAATTTAAGAATCAGAACAAATTAGCAGGAAACAAAAAAAAATGACGGCGATGAAACTGATGAAGATTCCGACAGGCACAGAAGAAAAAAATATCGGCGCGAAAAAGAAAAAAAAAAACAAAAACAAAAAACAATAACCTCCTGCAGCAGATTCGGAAACCAGAATCACAAGCGAAACGAAAGATGGTAATTGAAGATTCAGATTGCAGAGTAAAAGAGGAACCTGAGAACGTTGATCCGAATCGGCGTCAATGAAGCTTTCCAACTTGCTTCGACGCAGATTTGAAGAAGCCGTGCGGATGAGCGGTGAAGTTGTTGGAAACTTGAATGGTCGATTTTACCGATTTTGTAATTCAATTAATTTAAGTACAGTATACTGAAATTGTTTCGATTGCTGAACTATTCCAACGATATCCTCAAATTTATGAAACGGTCCTCTTACCATATCAAATATATAATTTTGCCCCTATGGTTGTTATTTCTATACCTCCAGTCCCTATATAAAAGGAATTTATATAGTTTTGACCCCCTCCCCTAAATTGTTGTTCACACCTCCATATTTGTAGGAATTCTTGTTTTATTTGATTTTGGTTTAATAGTTGAAACACAGAATTTGGTTCAATTTGGTATAATTTGCAAATAAAACCGATTCGTTTTTTTTTATTGGTTTATTCGATTCGTTAAGATGTTCCAATATTACATCAAGAAAAACTAGTCCTAAAAGAATCATAGAAGAGGCTGTTACTTATTTGACTCATGACTATGCTCAATTATCATTTAAGAAATCAAATAATGTAATTATCTAGTAACTGTTGACTTTGGCTGAACATGAATTGGTATTGTATTAAATGTATCTGTCTACCATTATTTGGTTGGTTGACCTAATCAACCAAAGACCACGAGGCACGACTTGACGTCCGACTGATCGAGCAACATCGTACCGGCCCGACATATATGAATTACAGTTTTAACTTCTGGTCATATGGATTATTTAAACGAGACATTAGTGTACATATGGTCGAAAAAATACTAAACATTTCTTTCCACAAATAAAATATTAAACATTCAATTCACATGAACAGTGTACATACTACATAGTATTGCATTGGAGATATACTAACTAATTATCAAGTCTTGCAGTCATGTTTTGTGTGTATATAGTGAATATGAAGTTTATAACAATGTTTATTACGTTATTCAACAATATAAATTTTGTTTTTTCTGCCATCATGATTACACCATAGGCATGCTGGTGAAATACGTCTGATATAAGTTAGAATAATTACAACAATTTAACCACTTATAATAAGGTGCAAGTTGGCAATAAACTATGGTATAAATAAGAACAAACAAATGAGACGGTGAATATACAGTGACAATGTTAAGATATTTTCTTTTGTTGAGTGGATGTTAATTTTTATCCCCTTAGATGTTTAAACATTAAATTCGGTATTAATAATTTTACAATTATTTTTTAGATGTTGACAAGAAAAAGATGAAGAACAATTATCTTATAGATAACATGAAAAGTGTTAAGACTATACGATTTAATAATTGTTGTTCGTTTATTTTCCGATTTGAGGTGTTTTTTATATTTCAGAAAACGGAAATAAATCCTAATCAACTAGAAGCATCGATATCGAAACAAATATAATGCAACTAAAAACTTACTCCAACAACAATATAAAAAAAATATATCTAATAACCTCAACCAAAAACAAATCTAAGACTAATCGAGCTAAAGATCGACTAAAACCCAATTATTTTCTTTCTAAAACATCTTCTTTTTAAACTTTGAATTTTATCACTTAGAAAATTGAACCTTAAATTAGTGCTGAACTACTTGTTGACAAGAAAAAGGGTACTTAGTGCTTGACTTAAAAAAAAAAACACATGTAAAAGCTGGCCTTCTTCAACGTCGAAGTATCAAACACTAATTGGCCCAACCATAGGACTGTTCCCAAAAGTCATATTAATCCGTGGAGAGATTCAGCTAAAGGCACAGGCCGTTACAAAATCTCATCACAGCCATGAACTCAGAAATCTGACAGGACACGTGGAATAGAGCAATAAGTTCACGTACAACGTCCTGTCACGTTAACATTTTCCAACACCATCACCGTTTCGCCATGATAATAAAAACCATATCAGTCTTCTCATTTTCTTTCTAAATTCTCTCACTCATGATCATGAATTAAGCCCAACAAAAAAAAAACACAATTAGAGTCACTCACTCACTTAATTTCGCGAGATGGAGAAATTCTCGTACAACTCTTATCCAGATTCGACCGACTCTTCGCCGAGATCTCGCGAAATCGATTTCGACAACCCGCCGCCATGGGATGATCAGAACCACCACCAGCAGCAGCCACAGAGCTACAAGGTGAAGTTCATGTGCAGCTATGGCGGCAAGATTCAACCCCGGCCTCACGATAACCAGCTTACCTACGTAAACGGCGAGACGAAGATTCTCTCTGTCGATCGCGGGATTAGATTCCCAGTCTTAGCTTCGAAGCTCTCCGCCGTGTGCGGCGATGGTGCCGGAGACGTTTTGTTTAAGTACCAGCTCCCAGGCGAAGACCTAGACGCTTTGATCTCCGTTACCAACGATGACGACTTGGAGCACATGATGCACGAGTACGATCGCTTACTTCGTATGTCCTCTAAGCCCGCGAGGATGCGTCTGTTCCTCTTTCCGGCTTCTTCTTCCGCTTCCGCCGGATTTGGTTCAGAAGGTTCGACTCAATCGGATCGAGATCGTTTCGTCGAGGCGCTGAATACGGTTCGCACCCGACCCGAATCCGAGAAATCCGTAACAGCTCCTCCGAATACTGCGGATTTCCTGTTTGGATCGGAGAAAGTTGCAGCTCCGCCACCGCCGCAAGGCCCGCAACCGCCGCTTGAAGTGAAATTACCTGTACCGGCGGTGCTCGAACCTCCTTTATTCAACGATCCGCGGCGGGTGGTACAACCGGATCACGGCGGCGTAAACCCGGCGGAAATTCAAAGACAACAGATGCAGGAATTTCAGAGGATGCAAATTAGGGATCAGGAACAGCAACATCAATTACTTCAACAACAGGAAGCTATATACCGGAGGAAGAGTGAAGACGGTTTAGTGGAATCAGGAGGAGGTTACTTTTCTCCGCCGTACGCCCAAAATCAGCCGACGATTCCTCAAACCAATCCACAAGCTCCTCCGATGAGCTTCTGGCAAGGAAACCACAACAATAACAACCAAGCAGGCGTATTTCCAACAGCCGCACCGGGATTAGGCTTACCGGAGCAACCAGTATACATGATTCCATCTCCATCTCCAACTCCACATCCCGGAGCTGTATACCACGCGCCACCGCCACCACCGCAAGGCGTCATGAGACCAACAGCGGCCGCACAAGGCGGCTACTATCCTCCGGCACAGCGAATGGCTTCAGATACTTACAGGGAACAACAAGCAGCATACAACGTGGCTCAGCCGCCGATAGGAACAAAGGTACAACAACCAACTCCACCTTTTACCTCCGGTCCTCCTCCACCGCAATACTCCGCCGTTCCACCGCCGCGACAAGTCGTCGGTTTACCCGATACAACAGCGTATGCTCAGGTGACTTACGCCGGAGGAATGGGGAAACAAGTGTACTATACGGAGGCACCACCTCCACAGTACCATGGAATTGGCGTACCTGTGACTAATATGAACGATTTGAGAACCGGACCGGACGGAAAGCTTGTTGCTATGAACATGGCACCCAAAGTTTCATCACAGAATTCAGATTCGGCGGTGTGATGTTGTAATCATTATGGTTAAATCAGATGATTGTTTATATCATTCATCATCATCATCATATATATATATATATAGTGTAACTGTGATTACTTTGGTGTCTGATAAATAATGTTTGTTTCTTTCTTCATTTTATAATCTTATGAATGATGTTCTTGATTCTGCAATTTCTATAAATAATGTGAACCCGGTCTTTGCTTGCATCTTTTTAAGCTTAAGTTTCTGTGTCTGTGCAGCCTTTTACCTTTTTCTTTTTGCCTATGTCAACGAGATTCGGTTATCTGAAATCAAAATTGTTCGATTGGACTTGTGAACTACAAATTTTGAGAACAGGTGTAAAGTAATGAATCATTTTCTTGTGGAAGATCAACATTTGAAACTTAATTATTGGATTATGTTTAACAATTTCTTAAAAATTAAAAACAAATGTAGGCTCTCGTATATGATAGTTATGATTGGATTTTTATTTAAATGGTTAATACTAGAGGATGTCACGTCATAAATCTGCCACATTAGATATTTGATATTTCAAATACGATTTTTTTCTTACAATGGATGGTCCACGAAAACAAACAATCTTAGGGACAGGTGTTGTGTGAAAGGATTTAATTAGGTTGCGAGTTTTGAACTTTTGAGAATCTTAGGAAGAAGAGAGAGCTTTACTCAGTTCACTTATCGCCATGTCGTAAACCCATTTGCTGTATCATCCCAAATTTCTTCACTAAACGACAATCATTATTTGTCATTATTGAATGCATTATATCAATCAAAAAACAAAACCAATGTAAATTTAAGATATCTAGAAAACAGGTGTCCATTGACATGTGAGGGGATGTCTTTGACTTTCTGTCATAATTAGAGACCATCACCGGTGCAAGCCCCCTCCCACAACCACCTTCGCCCCGTAGAAGCTTTTAGGAATTATTCCTTGATCCTGATTCTTCATTACGAGTTTCAGTTTAAATTCCACTACTTTCTCTTACCAGAGTTTAATCGGAAATAACGAGCAAAAGAATAGATTTAAAAGAACATATAGTTAGTTAGTTACGCGCCTATGTAGTTAGACTCTATGTCAGCCATACTTTTATCTTTTTTTCTCCTTCAGTCTAATGCCGGAATTGGTTTCTCTTCACTATCTGTTTATGCATGTATTCCAATTTACGAATTACCAAATTTGATTTCTATCCTAAAATCTTATAATTGTAGTATACCATATCACAAAAAAACAATCAAAGACCAATCGTATAACTTCATCTCCCAGTTACATCATCTCAACTCATATAACGACAAAGTACACGTCTGTTCAACAAATGTCTCTGCTTCTATAGACTCTTTCCTTCAAACAATTTCTCATCAATCTTTCATATCTGAGTACAAATAACAAAGAATATTTAACATATATCTTATGAAGTAAATAAGCGTGAAACATTCGAAATCCGTATTTTTTAACATATTTTGAAACGGTAGATATAACCAACAGAAAGAATAAAAATAATAAAAATGGAAAACAAAACCACTGATTTATCATAATCAAACATCTCTGGAGGACAAAGTGACAAATGGAAAATCTTTTCGTCAGAGATGTAGAAAATCAGACTAAAAATCAATGAATTGGGAAAATCAGTTCAAACTTTAATTCAGATTCTACAAGTTTCCTTCATAAAAAAAAAAAAAATATGAAAAACAAGAACAAGAAAAGGAAGATGGTTTTCACCAGATGATCAGCCTCCGGTGATTCTTGTTTTGGCTTTGTGTTAATGCTCAGTGTTCTTGAGATTCAAGAACAGATCACCAAGTGCAGTTTCACAAGCTGTTTGACCCTCTGGTCCCAAAGCCTTGAGGAGAGACTTGGTGAGTTTCAAAGAAGAGACCATTCGAAAGATCTTGCCACAAGATTTACGCACCTTAGCTCGCTTCGCTTGCTTCTTCTCCTCGGGCATCTTTGCAACAAGCTCTTTAATTAAATGACTCAGTTTCTTCAGATGAGTCTTCATTGTTTTCTTCGAATCTTCTTGGGTTTCCTCGCTTATAGGAACCAATGATCTTAGAGTTTCAGTGATCAAATCAAGAGCTTCAACTCTACGGAATTCAACCTTCGCACTCCCACTTTTGTCCAGAAGAAATCCAAACAATTGGTGTCCAATCCATGGTCTCCTTCGAAACACTTCCTCAAGAAACTCTACCTTCATTTGAGACTTCTTGGTATCAAAGTACCGGACAAGGACATTCCGAAACACATCCAAGATCTTCTCCAGTTCAGTGTCTGAGAATTTTCTCGAGTCGATTATCTTCAGAACCCAGTAAGTTGAGTTCTGGGCAAAGTTAGAGATCATTTTGTGTCGGTTCCACGCAGCTGACTGCTTCTTCTTGGCAGGATTAACCCCTGACTTCTTACTCTTGAATGGTTTTGCCGCCAGTTTAAGATTCTTCTCCAACAAAGAAGCAAGTGCAGGCGATTCGATACTTTCATCCTTGAATAATTCTCTAGCCTTGAAAATCTTCTTCTGGATGATACCCCATATCCGCTGTAAAAGCTGCTGACTACTTTCTGCAGTGCTTGGGTTCACAAGTGCCTGAGCTAAGTTTAAGTACACTGTCATAACCTGAGGATTACCTGTTAGAACATCACCAGAAACACAGCGCACAACTCAGTAGAGACCAATATTGTGCATTTCATCATGCCAAATCATTATCTTATGATGCACTTACCTGGGTTTTCATTGAGGTAGATCTCAAGAAGGGAAAGGACACGGAGTTTGAACAAAACAAGCTGAGACTGAGCAGTTTCACCACCAGCTTGATTTCTCTTCTCCTTGAATATCTGCGCCAGGTAAGTGTCCATGCGGAACATTGCATCATCATCCATCCCATCATCATCTTCATCGGAGTTTTCAGGGACTTCCCTGTCAACAGCCATAGGGACAACGCCCGTAACTGTTTCAGAATCATCAGTGTGCTCATCGCTCTCACCGGTTTCACCCATTTCCTCGTTTTCTTCATCTTCTTCCTCTTCAATAGCTAGACAATCTTCGTCATCATCATCAAGATCCTCAGAGTCTTGGTCCTCCTGATGTCTGGCAGGTTTTAGATCTTTCTTAATCACCCGTAACATTCTCAGCAGCCCATCAGTGGTGACATCTTTACAGAAGTACTTGAAAACCTACAAGAGACAGAGTTGTGAATTTCTATTAAAACTTGCGGTTAAGCCAATCGCAAACAATGAACCAAAGAATCAATGAGAAGCACATTTTAGCACTAAGGATCTGAAACTTCAAGTATAAGAGACTTTTTAATATTATTTTGGCTTGTGCCTAGCTTATTACCTGCTCAATGGAAGATCGCATTGGAGCTGAAGAATGTGGCGAGAGAGATAGTAATGTGTCCACGAGGACATCCATGACTGCTGGTTCTTGTTCATTGTCTGCCTCACCTTCGCCGTCACTTTTCAGAAGATCAAGAGAGGAACTGAAAGCTTTGTCGCAGCATACTGAAAGTTCACTTGCAGCTTCCGAGAACTCTCCCGGATGGAGGAGTATTTGAAGCAACAGCTGAACGACTAAGTGCCTCAGTGCATGATATTTATTTGCATCAGCAGATAATCCACAATTCCTTTCCTGCCAAATAGTAAGGTTTCACAAGCACAGAAGCACATCAACATTTACTTTAGTAAGGTTTCAAGTTACAGTAGCATTCAAGCAAAGCGAGTAACAAAATTTACCTCCTTTGAGAGTTTACTTTCTGTTTCTTGTAATTCTTTGACAGCCTTTTCATCTGCTTCATTCAAGGAACGGAAGAGAGAAACAGAGGGAATGTTCTGCAGCGTGCTTAGGAATCTCATGAAGTACGAAACAGGATCATCAGGCTGCTCCAAGCCATTTTCCTTAGATAGTGGATTCTCAATTTTTTGAGAATTCGACAGCAAGAGCTGAAGCTGTTCGATGCACATTTTGCAAAGAGCAGTGGGAGTAGCTGTCTTCGGCCACTTAAATTTCTCCTGCAACTCAAATGATGTAACTTCAGTGCCAAGAGAAGCCAGAAACAGACCTTGAACAGCGAGAAATTTCAAAATCTGCTTTTGCACTCGCAGTTTCGCCTCAGGAGCCAATTTAGCATGTTTTAAAATACCAGGGAGAGACTCAATGACCCAGCTTTTCAGAACATCTGAGTTTCTAGTTGTCCCAACCGAATCCTTCTCCTCGTTTGAACCAATCTCAGAATTATCATCTGTTGTTTGACTCTGATCTGAGTTCAGAGAGCAAGGTTCTAAAGCCCATTTCATACTTGAAGGTTCCTCAGGAACATGCTGTTCATCCACAAACAAGTTCATCAAGTTCTGGAGAAAAAGCGTGCAACCATCTTCAGTTTCAAAATCTGCAGCTAGATCTTTAACAGTTTTCGTACGTGTAATATTGTCGAATCTTCCTTCACTGTGTTTCTGAAGAGCCATTGTAACAGCCACCCTCTTGGTATCGTCGTCTTTAACCCAATCCATTAACTCCACAAGAAAATGGTTTGCAACTTTATGCAACCAAGAGTCCTCTGTGGAGAGTATGTCCATGAGGCACTGAACAAATTTGAAGGATAAAACATGTTGGACGAAGCTTGCAGGAAGCTTTGGAAGAAGAAGAAGCAGTATATCGAATGCCAAATGTTTGCGATCATGAGATGAAGAAAGTAGGGTTCCTTCCATAAAAATTTCGCAGAAATTCCGGATGTTATTTGTGGCTTCTTCTTCAACGGGGTTGGACTTGCGGTTTCGCTTTTGCTTTTTCGAGGAACTCGAAACCGATGTGGCATCTTCGCTTTGAACAACTGCTTCCGGTAACAGCATATCGCGAATAACATACCATAGGCTATGAACACGAGGCTGGCAGAAAGAAGATTCCTGGAAATTTCCACAACAAAAACACAATCACATGACAGAATCTTAACATGTTCAACCATTCTCCATAGCAAAAAGATTGGCATGTACTTTACCTTCAAGCAATTACCAATGGCCGAGAGATGATCAGCAGAAAAAAACTTCCCGGAACTAAAAGGAACTGGTAGTAGCTTGCTAAATAGAGGATGATCATCTGAAATCTTCTCATGGAGTTTAAGCGCTAGGAGCAAAGCATCTGGGTTTCCAACGAGGGTGGCTTGTTCAAACCATTTATGAAGCTCTGGAGCTTCCATAACATGAGTCACGACAGCTTCAGCAGGCAGCTGCACAAAAGAAAGATGGTAATATATAAGACTTCACAGCAAGTGGTAAATGGTATCATAAGAATGAACCTATTATACCTTCTCAACAAAGTCTAGAAGAACATGAACAGCTGGTTCCTGCAAGTAACGCTTTTTCGCAGCAAGACCAATAAGAGCGTCGGTAAATTCTTTGATGATCTGAGAGTCTTTATCAGACTGCCAATCTTCAATTAGTCTTCCAGATCGCGCTAGCGCACCATAAGCAAACAACCGACCCAATAGGCATTCCTTTACATCCTGTGTCAAATTGCAAAATCAAAGCATTTGAGTCTCTATAGCAAAAATCACATAGTAAAACGAAGGATGAAACTGCTACTTACTTGCCCCTTCATGGATGAAGAAACCGACAGAGAATCAGATATGAGTTTCAGCAGCGATTCCACATTAATGCTAGAAATTATGCTAACAGGTAATGTTAACCCCAAGGCAAATCCTTGTCTTGCACACTGTTGCCGAAACATAAGCAACCCCCAAAAAGAAAAAAAAAATCAGTGTTTTCTAGAAAAATTAAAAAGAAGGTTAGATCTTTGGATATTAAAACTGAACAAGAAGGAGATACCTCTCTTGAAGAAGAGACTCCACGAATTAGCCTGCGTAGAGCGTATCTCACATGTGGCGCACAATTATCCAAACCGTCGTTTTTCTCAGCTTCAAGCATCAATCCGCCATCAACAGATTCCTTATCCGGTAACATCTCGTATTGCTTCTGAATCTCTTGCAACCTCGACACCAACGACGCAGCAGCTTCTTCTCTAACAGAAGCATCAGAAGAAGCCAAATCCCTAAAATAGTTAAGTGGTAACTCCGGCAACTTTCCAGTTATGGAAGAAGAGGAAGAAGCGGCGGCAAGGGACGCTTCAGGGTCGTTGGAGTTGGAATCGGTAACCACGGGGTTGGGCCGCGAGGCTTCACCACCGTTCTCGAGAGCTGCGCGTTTTCTCTCTTTGTCTGAAGCTTTCCTCTTCTTCTTCTTCTCCATGTCCTTACCGGAACTCGCAGCGCCGGGAGGAGCCGCCGCCGCGGCCGCACCAGTATCATCAGCATTCATGTTATCACTCTTTGATTTCTTCTTCTTCATAAACGAATCCGGATGGTTCATCTCCACATCCTCCGATGAATCGCCGCTACTTCTCTTCTTACTGCCCATTTGAAACGCCGATTTTTGCTTTGTTCAAACAAAAAAAAAAATTAAAACCCTTAAAGAGAGGCAAAATTGGAGGAATGAGACCAAAAGAAAACCCTAGTCGACAAATTTGGGAATTGGTAATTTGGGAACCAAACCTAAGGGTTTAGGGTTTAGAAGCAAACTCTGTAAATAATATACATGTCCCAATAAAAAAATTAGTATTTTCTGGCCGGTTCCCGGTTAGGACTTGCGATGAATTTTGGCAGAATTGTTCCATTATTTCCAAATCCATAAACATATACAGTAATAAAATTCAAAATTGCAATAGACAAGTTATAAGACATGTTAATCTTTTTTTCTTCTACAGCGGATTAAAAACAATTTAAAATATTTGTAGATGTCAATTTGCAGGGGAAAAGAAAACTGTTGCATATGATTTGGTAGAAATTTGAGGGGAAAAAACAAAACCAGTTTTTCATGTACCGGTTAAACACCTGAACTTCTGTGAGTTTGAATATCGATACACTGGCCAGACTCCGGATGCGAAGATTTGAGGTAACGAAGCTTGGTTCGACGATACCTTCCAAAGCACTCGTCCTTCTCGCCAAACCCTTTGCCTTCTCTCTCGATATGATCTGGGTGGGTCAAAAACCACATTATTCTGTGGTTCAAATTTGGTTATTGGGTTCATTTGGGCTTACATTGCTGGACTTGGGCCTCTTCTAAAACTGATCACCATTTATAAATGTTCTCATAAACAGATATATTTATAGTTTATTGCCGATCCTTCTAGGATGCAAGACGAAGATACTGTCAACAACAAACGGATTCCTTCAACTCTTTAAATTTCTTATTTTATTTACAGTCATCTCATTTATAAACTAAAACATAATTTATTTTTACGTCATAGCATCAAGAAAAATTTGTAGTTTTCTCTTGTTGGCCCCTACTAACATAATAATCACTCATTTGCTTAATCATAACGATGTACTTCAGATAGTTGACTCATTAGAGCCAATCAATAATTCTTATTTAAACTAATCAAAAGTTCAAACCCGCTTTTATTCGATTTTCCATACATTTAAATAATAAAAAAAATTAAGAAGAGAGTTGTTCGTTGTCAGTCTCGCATAAAGATTCCTAGTCTTGCTCTCTCTATATCTCTCTCTCTGATCTCTTTCTTACTCAGTACTCACACAGACACACACAAACAAACAAAAGACTTAACCTCTTCACCAGAATGGCCATCGCCGACGAATTATCCGACGACGAGACATCGCCGATTGAAGAAGTCCGTTTAACGGTAACAAATACCGACGACCCGACACTACCGGTTTGGACATTTAGGATGTGGTTCTTAGGTATAATCTCATGTTCCCTCCTCTCTTTCCTTAACCAGTTCTTCTCGTACCGAACCGAACCGCTTGTGATCACTCAAATCACGGTTCAAGTGGCCACACTCCCCATCGGTCATTTCTTGGCCAAGGTGCTTCCCAAAACCCGGTTTGGATTACCCGGATTAGGATCGACCAGGTTCTCGTTGAACCCCGGTCCGTTTAACATGAAAGAGCATGTGCTGATCTCGATTTTCGCGAATGCGGGTAGTGCGTTCGGATCCGGGTCGGCTTATGCGGTTGGTATCGTCACAATTATTAAAGCTTTCTATCGCCGGAATATTTCTTTTGTTGCCGGTTGGCTCCTCATCATCACTACCCAGGTACGTAATCTAACTTTTAATCATTTTTTTCTCAAGTTGTTATATATTTATTAGTTTATAATAATAATACTAATTAATATGAGAGTAATGGAACGTAACTAAATAGTTGAAGATTGGGAACAACTAGTTGAAAAACTACGAAAAATCAAGAAAAGTTACGTCTTAATGTTCATATTTGGTCGACAAAAAAAAAGTTCTTGTTTCTCTACTTCAACCTTATCGGTTGAATAACTTACAAAATTGCCATTTTAAATTGGAATTCTGAGCAGTCAGCACTCGAAAATATATGACTTAAATAAGTAACTTTACGAGAGAAATTTTCTTATACTCTATTTAGAGAATATTTTGTAAACAAGATATATATCGTTGAGAAAGAAATGAGATACTTTTGCTTAAAAACGAAAATTTGTCCGTTTGCTTGACATTATTGGCGATGTCATTTGATTGTAATTTTTTATTGATACTTGTTGTAGATAATATTTTATAAATTTACAAAATACATAATCGTAGGTATTGGGATACGGGTGGGCCGGTTTACTAAGGAAATATGTGGTCGAACCGGCTCACATGTGGTGGCCTAGCACTTTGGTTCAAGTCTCCCTGTTTCGGTGCGTTTTCTACTCTTCTTAACTAATAAAAAGTATTAATTAGTACTAATTCTATTCCTCTTTTGCAATAAGCTACATAACATTGTAAGCATTAGCATCAATCTGTGTGAGAAACCAACTTTAGGATTTTACTTTTATAAATTTAAGTTTTAGTTCATAAGTAAAAAACAATTTCTTCTTTGCATCTAAGTGTGTCGAGTATATAAATACAAAGCTTATCCGTATCTATTTTTTCCCAAGAAATCAGAGAGAAAATATTTTTTACAATACCACAAAATTACAAAAATATAATAAACAATGATCGTGTAGCAAGATATTTTCTTCAAATTTGAGTCCACTAGCGGGCAAACTCTCATTGATTTTTCCTCTGCTATATTCCAATTTTCACACCATTTTCTTCTGTGATTTTCAACCCTCTCACTGAGTTAAAGATTTAGATTTCGTTATTGCGGTCATTGGTCAATATAAAAAATATAATAACATTATCTTATTTTGTATGAAAAAAATAGGATATAATAATGATAGACACCAGCCAAAATTATGGTCCACGCTTCACGCTTGTGGACTAGTATATGTATGCCATCCATTGATTATGGAGCATGAATTCGATCTACAAGATTGACCGAAAGCATTTACATACATAGTCCGCTAATATATGTATATCTCAGTAGAAAAAATAATTTTAAATCTTTCTTTTTAAAAGGGAATGAATAAGTAAGCCGTATACATGGCGGTCTTTTTCGTCTACGTAAGTATATATGACTAGCTTACTTACTCACTCGCTGGTCAACAAGCTGATTAACCTTTCCACACTTCATAATTATGCCAAAGGAAAACATATATAAATGTTTACTTTTCTAAACATTCATTTATTTGTGAAAGCTTTTATAGAGAACATACACACGTTACTTATCGATCGTCTTTATTATTACAGCAAATAGAGTTAATTGTCCAATCTAATATATGGCTGTGGTGGAGATTGCACATGGTGGGTCTATGCATATTTACTATTCAACATGTAATTAATGGGAGATTACGATACCCTTAGATATCTAAGTATTTATCAGATAATTAATTAATGAAAATGGGTTGCTGCTACCAGGAGGCAAGATCCACTAAAATTCAAAGAAGTACTAGCTAACCGAAGTATAATTTTATTTTTAGAAGACTTGGTCAAAAGCTTAATCCGTTGTAGACTCTTAGAAATAATCACCCTACAATTGAATTAAAATGTTGATAATTATTAATATGCTATAACTCAGTTCATGATAATTAATTGATCATCGTTTTGCTGATTAATATCGATGTGATTATAGAAACATTTCTTGATAACAAACACACATTTCACATAAATATTGCAAATTCCCAAGTGTGTAGTTGCTTTGTCGAAAATCCTCGTAGTCATATAATTAAGGAATACTTGATTTTAAATGAAAAAACAAAATTTTGTATGCGTAGGGCACTGCATGAGAAGGATGAGCAAAGGATGACGAGAGCAAAATTCTTTGTAATAGCATTAGTATGCAGTTTTGGATGGTACATAGTCCCTGGCTATCTATTCACAACACTGACGAGCATCTCATGGATATGTTGGGCGTTCCCAAGATCAGTCACTGCTCAACAGATTGGTTCGGGAATGAGAGGACTCGGTCTTGGAGCCTTTACACTCGACTGGACCGCGGTTGCCTCTTTCTTGTTCAGTCCACTCATCAGCCCGTTCTTCGCCATCGCCAATGTTTTCATCGGTTATGTTCTTTTGATCTACCTCGTCTTGCCTTTAGCGTATTGGGGTTTTGACTCTTACCACGCTAAGAGGTTTCCTATATTCTCATCGCATCTGTTCACATCGGTTGGTCAGAAGTACGATATTCCTGCGATCGTGAATAATAAGTTCGAGCTTGATGTAGCCAAGTATGAGCAACAAGGAAGGATCAACTTGAGCATGTTCTTTGCTCTTAGCTATGGGCTTGGTTTCGCCACCATTGCTTCTACACTCACTCATGTAGCTCTCTTCTATGGCAGGTACGTAAAAATATGTAAGCATCACAAAAGTATAATATGTGGCATCAATACTAAATATATAAATATATGTCATCATCAACAGGGAAATTTCGGAGAGGTTTCGGGTTTCGTACAAAGGCAAAGAAGATATACACACTCGGTTAATGAAGAGATATAAGGACATACCTTCATGGTGGTTTTACTCAATGTTGGCTTCTACACTTCTTGTCTCTCTTGCGTTATGTGTTTTCTTGAACGATGAGGTTCAAATGCCTTGGTGGGGACTTGTGTTCGCAAGTGCGATGGCTTTCATCTTCACACTTCCCATCAGCATCATAACCGCAACAACCAACCAAGTAAGCAATACTAGTACTGGTTATTCTTCTTTCTTTCTTTCTTTTTTCTTGCAACGAGGTAATCATTTTTCAACATTTATTGCAGACACCAGGGTTGAATATAATAACGGAGTACGCAATGGGAATCATCTACCCGGGACGGCCCATCGCAAATGTATGCTTCAAAGTCTATGGATACATGAGTATGGCACAAGCTGTCTCTTTCTTGAATGACTTCAAACTTGGCCACTACATGAAGATCCCACCAAGATCCATGTTCTTGGTTCAATTCATCGGTACAATTCTTGCTGGAACAATCAACATAACGGTCGCATGGTGGCAACTAAACTCTATCAAAAACATATGTCAAGAAGAGCTTCTACCACCAAACAGTCCATGGACATGTCCCGGTGACCGTGTTTTCTTCGATGCATCGGTCATTTGGGGATTGGTCGGACCAAAACGGATCTTTGGCTCTCAAGGAAACTACGCTGCCATGAATTGGTTTTTCCTTGGTGGTGCGATAGGACCGGTAATAGTGTGGTTATGCCACAAAGCGTTTCCAAAACGTTCTTGGATTCCACTTGTGAATCTCCCGGTTCTTCTAGGAGCAACCGCAATGATGCCACCTGCAACGGCGGTTAACTACAATTCGTGGATTTTGGTCGGGACGATATTCAACTTGTTTGTGTTCCGGTACCGGAAAAGTTGGTGGCAGAGGTATAACTACGTGCTGTCAGCTGCGATGGACGCTGGTGTAGCGTTCATGGCGGTTTTGTTGTACTTCTCGGTAGGGATGGAGGAGAAGACTTTGGATTGGTGGGGAACAAGAGGTGAACATTGTGATCTAGCCACGTGTCCAACTGCTAGAGGAGTAATTGTTGATGGTTGTCCGGTTAAATGATCTTTATATGTTTGATTAGTGTGTTACAAGAATGTATGATATCACCATTTATAAACAAATAAAGTAACCGAAACTCACTCAAATTGTACCATAAACCAAAGGTCCATAGAACTCAAAAAATTTATAGCTCTTCAGAGCTTGTTTTCCATGAAAAACATACGAAAAACTATATTCGCACCTAATTTGGATAACATTTGACTTACAAGATTAAGATACTTGTTCTTTCGTTTTTGGTAAAAATAAACGAGAAAGCTTTATAACCAATCCATTATCAATAATGCATTATTTGATTAAGAAAGGGAAAGAACCCAAAGTCTTACAATCGAAAACCACAAAGACTTCAAACTTTTGCAGTTTCTGGTTCTGGAAATAAATTGTTATTTGAGGATATCCAAATTCTCAGCATATTAGAGCTGAATAATTTTGAGAGAAAAGAAATGAAACTTCAGGCACCAATACCGGAACTGGAGTTCTTCCTGCACTCAGTCAACATGTCCATGTAGAACTGACACTTGCTAATCTCGCTTCCATAGCCGCTGATGCACTGCATCAATAAAAACCAAAAGGCCAGAAATCAGTGACATTGCCTTGGATTTTATCGATTTATCCAACCCTATTTTTACTGATTATTCCCATCACATTTAGTGTTTTTCATCCATCATTGTTTAGCAGAGTAATGATGCAAATATCTTAGGCTAAGATAAGAACTAGTTAAATCAAATGTCTCATCATGTCTTGTTCCGCTCTAATGCATTTAGAATCCGGGACAAACAAAAGAGTAAAAGAGTGAGCACTTACATCTTGGAAAGCCTTAGCATGAATGTCACAGGAACTCGAAAACATGTTGTTGCTCGCAGGAGCTGCGGACGCAGAGGCAGCCTCAACAGCTTCATGCTGAATGGTTCGTGGGCCCATCACAGAATCCACAGCCCTATGTGCAACTGCACTTCCGGTACCAAAAGCCATACCTAGTTCCCAAAAACAAGGAACAGGTGAGGAAAGACGATTCCAGACAACAACAAAAAAGAAACAGTTTTTAGTCTAGACAAAGAAATGCATTTGGCGCCTTTAATTTACCCTGAGCTATAGTTGAACCAATGCCGGAAAGCATGCCACCACCACTGCTCGCCTGAGCTGGAGCTGGAGGAGGTGCACGGTGTACTGAAGAAAACCCAGAAATAAAAGTAAATAATCGCACCGAGTGGATTGGATTGGATTGATTAATTCAAAGCTAAAAGTCAGCGGACAAATTAGAATTACCAGGTTGAGGCGCAGGGCTGCGTGCAGCAGCAGGGCGAGGACGAGGAGCAGATCTTCCTGCGAACGACAACAACAAGAAATGAGCATCTCAGGACAATAATTCCACCCCAAGAGGAAAACAAATCGAGAAATGTAATGGATCACAACCGTATCTCGAGTTTTCTACAAATTAAGAGAACCAAATACGCCTTATAGTTTAGAATATTTCACTCTCTGAAGCGTATCTTCGATGATAAACCGTCATACGGGAAACATTGAAAAAAAAACCAATCAACCAACCGGTAAACCCTAGATCGGGCACACACGAACCCAGACCAAGAACACGACAGTTTTGTCATCATCCAAATCCATAGAATCTAATAGATCTAGAAAAATAGAGAAAGCGAAAACTTACCTCCTGAGCTACGGCGACCCATTTTGTGTATAGAGAAAGACGGCGAAGAAATGAAAACAGAGGAGAAGATTGCAAAAAAGCTGATATGCGTCCTCAATTCCGGAGGCGGTAATTTATTTATGAAGGGAGACGGAGCCGGGTCAAGACCATGCGGTGATGTATACGTGTATGATTTTAATTGGTTGTTAACCGATTTTTTATTTCTATAAACTAGGAAAGCTTTTCGGCTAAAACCTAAATTAAAAAAAAACTTGGGCTTCATGCTGAAAAAAAAAACACATGGGCTTCATTTCAAGTCCAATAATTTTTTATTGCCTTTTTTGGTGTCGCAGGTCCATCAAATACAAGGATTTTTTTTCTTCGTTAACACTAAATTACAAGATATTTTGAAAATAGCATGTACAAATGTGTGAAATAGATAGAAAAACGGCATCGTCTTCAAAGCTTATTATCGCTTGGGTATGTTTGTATGAGCTCCTCATCTGATTCTGACCCTGACTGGTTGATTTATCTCCATGGAGGATGAGGATCTTCCTCTTTGGATGATATCGAACAAACGTAGAGTACAAAACATACCAATATTTCGAGGTATAGAGCAAACACTCTAGATTCACCCAAATTTCGAGTGTTTTCGCTTTCGTGACGACCAATTTTACACATGAAATCTCAACTTTGCATTTCTATCAATACGATTACTGATTGTGAGTAGTGTAGAGGAGTGCTTATAATATATTTCATCTTGTATTGTGTAGTTTTGCTACTGACAAAAAGAGGTTTCGAGAATGTGAATTAAAGAAAAAGGAAAAATGCCAAAAAATACTTCATTTATTTAATTTTTGGAAGAATCACCCATGAACTTTTAGCATTGCTAGAAACTCACACAAACTATTTTTTCGATGCATAAAAATACATAAATTTTTTTAAAGTTTCATTTTCTCTCCTCTGATTTCACGACCGTTAACATATATAACGGAATCAATGAACAGCGTTAATTTTTTTGTAGGAAAAAATGCTAAAAAAATACATCAACTATTTAATTTTTCCAGAAACCCACACAAACTTTTTGCATTTCCAGAAATCTACACAGACTATTTTTTTAATCCATAAAAATACACAAACTTTTTAAAATTCCATTTTCCCTCTTCAAATTTCACGGTCGTTATGTTAGTTTTTTGTAACACGTGCTAACTACTCTAGGATTGATATCATTGTTATCCTTAGAAAATCTTCAAATCGATTTAGGGAAGAAAAATCTACACCCTAATTTTTTTCTCTCTTTTAAAAACTATGTGAAATCGGTTGAAAAATATGGTTGGTAGTATAAATCGAGTCGGAAACATTGTGTGTTGTGATATATAAGACTAATAAGAGCAATTCGAGGAGATGATGTATATGTTCTAAACATGATTTATTGGTCTATTAACCACATTTTCAACCGATTTCACTCAATTTCTGAAATAGTAAGAGAAAAAAATTAGAGTTTAGGTTTTTCTTTTTAAAGGTAATAATGGTATTAATTTGACAGTTTTTAACACGTGTTATAGAAAATTAACGCAGTTTTTCGATTATGTTATGTCTATAATGACCATGAAACTTGAGGAGGGAAAATGAAATTTTAAAAAGTTTGTGTATTTTTATAGATTAAAAAAATAGTCTGTGTGGATTTCTAGCAATGCAAAAAGTTTGTGTGGGTTTCTGACAAAATTAAATAGTTGATGTATTTTTTTAGCATTTTTTCTTACAAAAAATTAACGCTGATTATTGATTCCGTTATGTCTGTTAGCGACCGTGAAATCAGAGGGGGAAAATGAAACTTTAAAAAACTTATGTATTTTTATGCATCGAAAAAATAGTTTGTGTGCGTTTCTGACAACGCTAAAAGTTCATGGGTGATTCTTCCAAAAATTAAATAAATGAGTATTTTTTGGTATTTTTCCCTTAAAAAAAGTCCAGGGTCTCATAAAACCTTAAAGTGAAACTCTCTTAAAGGTAACATTTTATTGGTTTCGTTAATGGAACACTTTCAGAGCAAAAATGCTGCAAGTTTTCTACCATTTTCATAGCTAAAGATGGTGCGACAAGCTGAAACAGAAAGAACAGTCAAGTATATTGCGATTATCCGAGCAAAACTATATTACTGCTCTCAAGTTTTTCTTTTGTGAAGATTTTCTACCGAAAAAGTTATTAAGTTCGTGAGACCACAGTTTCTATAGCAATGACTCTTCCTCTAGGTCTTTTTAATCAAATCTCAATTCTATGTGGTAACAATGTGTGATAAAAAGAAAGAAAATTTAGAGTAAGACATCGAACTGATTCCATCAAAGTACTTCAACTGAAAAAGATGATGTACAAGAGTTCAAAAGATCCAAACCAAAAACAAAAGAGATTAACTAAAACAAGTAACAAGTGTGAGCTCCTTTATTTTATTTTTTGTTTTGTTTGGTGAAAACTGTGTGGTTCTAGTTTAGGTTGTATTTTTTGGACAATGCGGTTTCACCTGTAAGGATGAAGGCATGAAGGAGGTTTTGAGCAGCCTGGGTTTGATCAGGTGTCCCTGATATGACAATGATCCTGTCACTGGTTCCTAGAGGAGGTTCATGGACTATGACCCTCGCACCCGATATCTGATTGAACAAACATCAAATGGTATATAAGCTATGCTAAAGTGGTTATGACACTGAACTGTTTTGGTTTGTAGTTGATCATCTCTCAGACTACACAAGCCTATATGAAAATTCAAAGTTGTAACACTGAACGATGGGCTTATAAGCAAAGGTTCGAGAACTTGAGAAAGGTACTGAGGCTTCGTGACTTAAATCACTTTTTCGAGTAAAGTTATCTTATCGTTGGGGGGATATAATATTCCTATAGACCTAGATTAAGGGTCGCATGATGGTTCGCACTTATGGATTTTGTTTTTGCATGCTTTCTTTTTAGTTAGCCTAGAGTTTATTTTTGTTTTCTTTTCAACCGTTACTGAATCTTGGTATATGATTTCAAGGACTAAGAGAAACCAACAGAAACTAAAACCTATGGCTGCTCTTGTGGAGCAATAACTCATTACCTACACCTTTTAATGTCGCTATTGGGCAACCCTGAAAAGATTCGTAAGCAAAAATGTCTTACCTGTCTCAGTTGCTCCAGATTGTGGCCATGCTCTCCATACACAAAGCTAATAGCATTTTCTGGAACTCTAATTTCTACAGTTGTGTTTGTAACGATGGCAGATTTGTGTCCACTGGAAAAGATTAAGCCCAGCAAGTTACATACACAAAGTTAAATAGCGGTAATCTCACATAACTTTCCATAACTGTTGAGCTTTTACCTGCCATGTACAAGGCCAGCCCTTGCCGAAGATAATCCGCCACTGGCATCAAATAAGCCTCTTGGAGCTGCTGGCGGCTGCATAAAGACTATGTATATCAGCTACATAAGTTAAAATAGAATCACAAACTCTGTCTTTGTTAACTTCGACGGAGCACAGAAATATCCAAAATCTGTATGTGTAGGGGCAGATTTAACCCTCTAAACCCCTTCGCTCTGCTTGTGCGTGGCACTCCTTGCTGGCGGAGCGGCGCATAGCGAAAAAAAGAAAAAAGGTCGAAAAGTACTTATGTTCACCAGAAAGTAGAGAATGGGAAAATACAGGAAGGATGGAGATATACCGGGGATGCCCACATACGCGATGCGGTCTCAGTTAAGTGATGGGAGATATCATTGTGGTCCATAGTGGACCGCGGACCAAAATTAGGAGAATAGCCTGATGATGGAATAAACCTGTCAGGAATCGGGTCTTCCGGTCTTAAGTAAGGATCTGTGCCAACAGATCTCGAATAGTTGACAACTGAATGAGACCCACTTAAAAAGGAATCCTCAGATCTTCTGTGCAGACTTGTAGAGGTGGTAGGTGGATGACTAAAGGTTTGATGAGACCCAATAGACAGAGGATTATCTGATTGTCGGTGGTACATTCTCTCTGTAGTTAAGGTGGAGTTGCTCTTGGTTACGGAATTTCCCATTGATTTGGAGAAAAGGCTGTCTCGTAGCCTGCTCGTAATATGGTAAATGGCTTCTCTCACATTTGGAAACTCTCCTGAAATCTATTAGCCAGCAAAGAATGAGTTTATGACAGACAACTTAAGACCAATGATGCTTACAAAAAGAATAATTTGAAAACTGTGTCATTTGTAATTTAACTGTTAAAACAAAAATTTCCCAAGTTAATACCCAAACCATGGTTACAGCAAGTGCAAAATTTTGATTGCAAAAATTTGATTCTCTCTGTTTGCATGGATACTTTAATTTTTTAACTAAATACCACAAACTTATAACAAGCATTAATACAGATCAAAACGAATTCGGTAATGAAAAGCAAAGCTCTAACACTGATTCCAAATTATGCTTCACAAATCATATGAGAGATTGTCAAGATCACATTAGAATTTTTAACCAATTGATACCTTTCAAGTGGAATATCTACCATAACCATAAAATCAACAAATGATCTAAGTACCTGCACAACTTGATCGTTCTCTGAGACACATTTTGGATTCTGCTCAACCTTCAAAATTTGAATTGCAGCCCCAGTGGTTTTCCGCATTTCCGAAACTATAACACCTCCTTTGCCCAGCAAACAACCAATCTGACTTGTTGGGACCACAAGCCGTGCAGTGATAGATGTTCTTGGGCCATTGTCTAGGATTTTTTTAGTGGCAAGCTCAAATAATCTAGTAAAAACTAGGATAATAGCTTTCTGAGCTGGCGAGCTTTGACATTCAGGGTTCTACATGATGAACAAGCAACAATTATTAAACAAGATTAGCAAAATAGATAGGACAATACCACAAAAGCATCCATGAAAATGGGAAGAGATCAAAAAGACCAACCTCTGGTGCAGTAACAGAAATCAAACGTTCTTCGCAGTCAGCAAGTGTATTTCCCACATTTATGAAGGCACCTGTCTCGCTATGAAGCGTCCTGATAACTTTACCCGCTGTCCCGATAACTCCGCCAGCATTTTCAATGGAACAAAGTAACTTAAAAACCACTTCTTGGTTCCCTAATTCCACTTCTGACAGAGGTGGTTTTTTGGTAGCAGCGTTAGTCATTGAAGCAGAAGTAGTATTGCTGTGAGGATGTGTATCTAGAGTGGAATAACGATGTGCAAGAAAATCCGCAGTTGGCAGACGAAGAGTTTCTTGCGGGATTGTTTCAATACGCCTCCCAAAAGCATCACGTGGATACGACTCAAGAGGGAAGCCCATAGCATCACGTTGAACCATCTCGAAAGGTCTATGCAAGGAATCATGAGAATCATCCACCTCTCTAGGCTGTCGGAAAACATCGCCCCTGACAACATCCGAAGGCCTGTATAACGTTTCTTGAGGAGCCACATCAACATGTCTGCGTAAAGCATCTTGCCGTTCTGCCTCAATTTGCCTGCGTAAAGCATCTTGCCGTTCCGCGTCAATATGCCTGTGCAAAGCATCTTGCCGTTCTGCCTCAATATGCCTGCGTAAATTTCCCTGAGGAACCACCTCGATATGCCTATGATGCAAAGCATCATGAGGAATCACATCATTAGGTCGAGCAAAAGTGCCCCGAGGAAACATGTCAGCTGTTCTCGTTCTATAATCATAATCTTCAACGGACCTAGGAAGAGACTCCTGAATAATTGTTTCTATGGGCCTATGTGAAGATGCTTGGATCTCTTTTTCAAGGGGTCTATTTCCAACCACCCTTATCTTGTTCACCGGTTGACAATCTTGAAGGCAGCGGGAGATAGATACAAGAGCTTTCTTCACAGCGATAACATTACCTTCAATCTGCCACACAGTTGATTACTCACGATGAGAAAATATACAATGCAATCTGCAACAACAAGCATCTATAAAGTAGCTTAGACCTTCTCTCCAAAGAGATGCTCATAGTTTCTATTTGACGCATAAAAAAATGTTCTAATGACTGATAAAAACTTGGAAACGAAGCCGGAGAGAAAAAGGCAGCTAGACTCTGAAGAAAGCAGCTTAGACGCAAAATTGAGAACTCAATTTGGCAAACTGCCACAAATTCGATCAATTTTAGCTAGAACTTCACATTTGGAAGACATTCACATTGCATCCCGGAAAACAATAAGCTAATATAACACAAGTTCGTACCTCCACCATCTCGTCATCAGTATCGGCGCAAATCGGCAAATTCTCAGTCCGTACCGCAATTTTGCAGCCAGTTTCTTTCCTAATGCTCCCAACCATTTGACCACCCTTGCCTATCACAGCACCCGCATGGCTAGACTCCGTCAACAATCGGCACACGACCGTAGCACTATCCGCTTCCGCGGCTAAAACTTCGAAAACCCGAATCAACGCTGCTTGTACTTTAGATACCTCAACTTCCTCTTCCATCTTCTCTGCCTCTACGTTCGCATTGTTATCAACACCTAATTTTACCCTAGACGACGAATCCACTTGTGATATGATCGTGATGACCCGATCCGGAGACCCAGACGGGGGCTCCTCGACCCGTATCTTAGCTCCGGTTGACTGTTGGAGTTGTTTGATCACGCTTCCGGATTTTCCAATCACCGCACCGACTTGCGACAAGGGGCAGAGCAATCGAAACGACGCGTGTCCCACCGGTACAACCAGAGGCGAGAGCAGCTGCGCGTGATGCGTCTTCACCCTTTTGGAAGATCCGAACCCTGAACCCGGATCGATCGCTCCGGATCTCTTCTCTGTAGGATAGCGAAAGCTGTTTCGTTCCATGACACCTCCCTACCTCTCTCTCTCTCTCTCTCTCTAACCTTGTCACGGCGGTTCCCGGCGAAGAGATTGTCAGGAGATTGTCGCAGTCTCTACGCTAAGTTGCTAACTTGCACCGAAGAAGCGCATTAATCGCGTCGCTTTAAACGATGCCGTTTTAATAGGTGTTTTATAACCGGCAAACCCGAACCGAAATTATAAAACCAAAGTTCATTGGAGCATTGCGTGTAAAAAAGGAAATTATCAAGACAGACTGTATTAATTCGTTGAGATTCCGATTCCCGAAAATGATTTGGCAAATTATAGGCTTCCTGATTAAATAAACCAATCCAATAAAATAAATTGATCATTTTTGTCATATCATAGTTTCGTGATTGAACATTGACAAGGTGTTTCCCAGCGAAGAAAACTCTTGAAAAAATGGATAAGAAAACTCTTGAAAACGGAGAAGCGGTTGCCGACGGTTCGATTTGTGGATATGATTCGCTGCATCAACTCTTATCCGCGAATCTGAAGCCTGAACTCTATCAGGTGAAGTATCCTTAGAAACTACTTACTACTTTGGATTCTTGGTATATGATCTCGGAGAGTTTAGTGAGGTTCCCTCTATTTGATCTCGCCAACTTTGCTCCTTGCGTTGACTTTTGCTTTGCGTTAATACCAGTGTTCTTGATTAGCCTCCAATTTGAATGTTTGTTGGATTTGTAGTGTTTAGTTATGTTGCTCGAAAAACTGAGACTTTAAGAAAAAAATGGATCGTTGATTGTTTGATTTGCAGGAGGTAAGCCGATTGCTCCTTGGAAGTAACTGTGGTAGACCGCTTGAACAGATTGTTTTGCCAGATTCTGCAAGAGCACTCTCTTCAAAACACGATTTTGATCTCCAGGTTGGTACTCATTTTACCCTGTTAGTCATAATGTTAGATCGAATCGTTGATTGAAATTATGTTTTGGCCTCATTACTCTCTAGTCTGCTAGCTTTTCCGCTGATAAAGAGCAAATGAGAAATCCTCGAGTGGTCAGAGTTGGTCTCATTCAAAACTCCATCGCTCTTCCAACTACTGCTCCTTTTCCGGACCAAAAAAGAGGTATATTCGACAAGTTGAAGCCAATAATTGACGCTGCAGGTGTTGCTGGTGTTAACATACTCTGCTTGCAGGTTTGCCTCCATTTGCTTTCTCTTTTACAAGTTATTAGTTAACTGTTTTAACTTTGAGAAATGGTTCTGTCGATAGGAAGCTTGGACTATGCCATTTGCATTTTGTACTAGGGAGAAGAGATGGTGTGAGTTTGCAGAGCCTGTTGATGGCGAATCAATAAAGTTTCTCCAAGAACTAGCCCAAAAGTATAACATGGTGATTGTGAGTCCAATTCTCGAAAGAGATATTGATCACGGCGAAGTACTTTGGAATACCGCTGTGATTATAGGGAATCACGGAAATATCATTGGGAAGCATCGAAAGGTAAACTTGCGCTACATATCTGTTGTTCCTTCTTCTTTTCTCTTCTGAGCTAATTTTATATTGCTTGGTCTGGCAGAACCACATACCGAGAGTAGGAGATTTTAACGAGAGCACCTATTACATGGAAGGAAACACGGGCCATCCTGTGTTTGAGACGGTGTTTGGAAAAATTGCAGTTAACATATGTTACGGAAGACACCATCCTCTAAATTGGTTAGCTTTTGGTCTAAACGGGGCCGAGATTGTCTTCAACCCTTCAGCAACTGTTGGTGAACTCAGTGAACCAATGTGGCCTATTGAGGTTTTTAAGTCCTGATTCTCCATTTTTTTGCCCCAGTTTGATGCTCTCTAGTCTCTATATATGATCACATGGTCTGACATTTTAATCGGTTCCTTCAAAACTCAGGCAAGAAATGCTGCAATAGCAAACAGTTACTTTGTGGGATCCATTAACAGAGTTGGAACTGAAGTGTTCCCAAATGCTTTCACGTCAGGTGATGGGAAACCGCAACACAATGATTTCGGGCATTTCTATGGATCAAGCCATTTCTCTGCACCGGATGCGTCGTGCACACCATCTTTGTCCCGTTACAAAGATGGGTTATTGATCTCAGACATGGATCTCAATCTCTGCCGGCAATATAAAGACAAATGGGGATTTAGAATGACTGCAAGATACGAAGTCTACGCCGATCTTTTCACTAGCTACATAAAGCCAGACTTCAAGCCTCAAGTTGTCTCTGACCCAATGCTCCACAAGAATTCTTCATAAAAAAAAAATTCCCAATTGTACTTGTATCTGTGAATCCTCAAAAGAAGGAACTTTGAAATTATGTGTAACAGTAAAAGAAAATCTGTTTGCGTCTCTGTGTATACTTTATATGAATAAAGTTGTTGCCAAAAGGCCTTTCCTTTACTCTTATAATCGAACCGGTTCATAACAAAACCGGAACCCAATTCCAAAAGCCGATGCTGTGGACTATGGAATCCGTCATCCTGAATCGCTATCCGGGATTTTGACGCGTACCCAGATGAGATCGAGTTTCGCGGATGCTCGAAGTCCAGAAAAATAATGCAATCTCTCACTATAACTTGGTACCCAACTTTAATTTCCCCGCCAAGACTCGATCTTTACCCGCTAAGACAAATCGCAGCTTCTTCTGTTCTCTCTTCTCCGACCGCTGGTAACAAACGTCGCGGGATGACGTCTCGCCGTGAGTCTGCTTCACTTAAGTCCCTCGCCTCTCGTCGGACTTCGACCGGTGATGATGATGATGGATACTGTACTCTTGTAGACTTTGCAGGTAACAAACTGCTCTGTCTGAGCGACTTAGCACCTGTCTCGATAGATTGAAGTTGATGTTTGTGTTTCTCTGCCATTCACTGTCAATCTATGTCCATAAAAACCCGGACTTTATCGGAAATATCTTGAAATGAATAAGATAAGTCTTGGAAACTCTCACTGTGAGACATGAAGCTGGGGTTTGAGGGTTCCTCTGTATTCACAGCTTTGATTGAAGTTTCAATATTGTGTTTCTTGAATTGTTAGTGGAGTTTTTCTATGATAGGTAATGGAGGAGGAGGGAGAGAAGGGACAACTGTAGGAGATGATCTTGTGGTTTTGCTTTACCACTTACAGCATGCCTGCAAAAGAATTGCTTCTCTTGTCGCATCTCCTTTCAATTCTTCACTTGGAAAGCTCTCTGTTAACTCCTCTAGTGGCTCAGACCGAGATGCGCCTAAGCCGCTCGATATTGTCTCGGTCTGTATTTTTCTTTTTCTTTTTGTCATGATTCATATAAAGATTCAAGCTTACAATTCCTCTTCTGTTTTGCAGAACGATATCATCTTGTCCTCTCTTAGAAACTCAGGAAAAGTAGCAGTAATGGCTTCCGAAGAAGACGATAGTCCGACTTGGATAAAAGATGACGGTCCTTACGTTGTGGTTGTAGATCCATTAGATGGATCACGTAACATTGATGCTTCGATACCAACGGGAACTATATTTGGGATTTACAATCGCCTCGTTGAGCTTGATCATTTACCAGTTGAAGAGAAAGCTGAACTCAATTCTCTGCAGAGAGGAAACAGGCTTGTAGCTTCCGGTTACGTGCTCTACTCTTCAGCGACAATACTCTGTGTTAGTCTCGGCTCCGGAACACATGCCTTCACGCTTGATCATTCCACAGGCGAATTCGTTCTCACTCATCAAAATATTAAGATCCCTACTCGAGGTAAAAGCTTTCTTCATGTCACATACATATGAAAATCATTTTACAGTAATATGATGACTAAACAGAACCGTTTGGACCGGATTGATCCATTGCTCTCTTTGGTCATCAATCAACAACAGGGCAAATATACTCAGTGAACGATGCGAGGTACTTCGACTGGCCAGAAGGTTTGAGGAAGTACATTGATACAGTGAGACAAGGCAAAGGTCAAAACCCGAAGAAATACTCGGCACGTTACATTTGTTCGCTGGTGGCTGATCTTCACAGGACCCTGTTATACGGAGGAGTGGCTATGAATCCAAGAGACCACCTCCGTTTAGTCTATGAAGGAAACCCTTTGGCTTTTCTCGTGGAACAAGCTGGTGGTAAAGCCTCTGATGGAAAGAGAGAGATACTTTCGATACAGCCAGTGAAGCTTCACCAGAGATTGCCTCTGTTTCTTGGGAGCGTAGAGGATGTGGCTGAGCTTGAGAGCTATGGTGATGTGCAGCAGACTGTGAATCCTGGCTATGAAGTTTGAACTATACCTTTTTTTTTTTTTTTTTGAACGTAAGTTTGAAGTTGAACTATACCTCTGCTTCAGTTAATGTGTTAAATAAACATAAATCAAATGCTTGTGTTACGCGAAAATTATATTATGATTTTCTATAGTGCGTAAAAGACCCAAATGCCCTAACAATCCATCGTGTATATTCCAGACATATGTAATTACGGTCGTATATGCAAGTCATTTTCTCTTCTAAATTTAGATCTGTATTTATTATTAGCGATATATAAATTTTAGAGTCAATTATTTACGGAGAGTGGAAAAAAATAAAGGGAAGAACGGGGGAGATATGGTAGGCGGTGGACATGGCGGACGCGGCGGAGTTGGTGGTCGTGGAAGCGGCGGTGGTAATAGAGCGGAGGCGGATCGATGGCTTGTTACATCGGAGAAGCTTCTAGCGTCTAGTGACCTTCAGGGAGCGAAGACATTTGCGATCCGCGCATGCGAATCCGACCCGACCCGAGCAGAAGCTGCGGACTACATCCTCGCAATCTGCGACATTCTTTTAGCCGGAGAGACTCGTTTAGGCGACTCTAACTTGCCGGACTGGTACGCCGTGCTCCGACTCGGCCGTTTAGCTCAAAACCCCGAACACGTCGCGACTCAGTACCGTAGACTCGCTCTTCTCCTCAATCCGTCGGTTAATCGCCTCCCGTTCGCCGATCAAGCGTTTAAGCTTGTCTCTGATGCTTGGCACGTGCTCTCTGATCCGTCGAGGAAGTCGTTTTACGATCGAGAGCTGCAGCTGAGTCAACTCGGCCAATCTAGTTCTCAGCCACAAAGCCAAGCGCACCAGCAACAATTCCAGTGGAAAGCTAGCAAATGCACCAACGTAGCACAAGAGCCGCCTTCTGTTGCCAATTCCACCGCCGGATATCCGCCGCAGTCCCAGGCCGACCCTCTGGCGACGAGCTTCTGGACTGCTTGTCCATATTGCTTTGTACTATTTGAGTACCCTAAGGCTTACGAAGAATGCATTTTGAAGTGTCAAAGCTGTAGGAGAGCGTTTCAAGCTGTGACGATACAAAAACCTCCCGTGGAAGGGAAAGGCGAAGACGTTTACTTCTGCTCATGGGCTGTATTCCCGCTAGGGTTTTCCGGTGAAGTTCGAACCCCACCGAGTTGGTCACCTATCTCACCTCTCTTTGCATGCCCCCTGCAAAAGGTGGATGATGAACCAGCCACGAAGAAGAGAAAGGAACCGGCTCCTCCAAGGATCTTCTATGACGATGATGACATATATGTTGCGATTTCAGAGGAGGAGTATGAAGAAAGCGAGGCTGATGATGATTGGCAAGATGAGGTACAAATGAATAAGAAGGCGAATGTTGGGAAAGGGAAGGAAACACTTGTGAGAAGTAACAAGAAACATGGAACTGAGAAAGCTGGGAAGGGAATCCAAAATGTGGAAAGTATCAGTGATGGTAGCAATCCCGCGGTTTCAGTTGCTTCATATGCTACGGCCGCTGGTTCCTCCTCTGGTTATATGTCTAAGCCAGTGAGTACTAGAAGAAGAACGGGAACTGGAGTTAAGAATTTGGGGAGGTTGGATTTGAATGTGGAGTTCAGTAATGAAGTGGAAGAGCCTGCTGTGGCAGGCAGGAGAAATGAAGGCAACGGGCTCGGAAGTAACAGGGAGGTGGATAATATCGAAGGGATTGGCTTCTTTGAGGGCCTTGATGAATTCTTGAGTAGTTTGCCGATACTTTCTGTTGTTGGAGATGATAAGATCAAGGCTACTTAGTGAAGTAAGACTTTTTCCTCTCTTTTTTCAGGTTATGTTCGTGCGGTTGTTCTAGGCCTTAGTTTTTTTTTGTTTTTTTAATTGATGTCTCCGGTTGATGTTTAACTGTAGTAGTGAGACTAGCCATTTGATTCCTTGGAATCCATGTTGTTGGAATCTGTTGATGTATATGGCACAAAATTCAGACTTTTTCTTTCCCTTATGGTACATAATCTTCTGCATCGTAACCAGAGACATGCTTTATTTGATTGTAAATCTGTGATGGGCTTCTATGTTCTGATCAAGGCATTCAGATTTCTCTTCAGGATTAGAGGATACAACATGATGAACCAAATTCTTTTTTTTTAATGGTAAAAAGAGCTACTTATTCTGCACAAGAATTCTGTTCCTCTAACTCAAAAAGCTAGAGTGCAAAATATAGGTATTTGTCGAGGTGATAAAAAATGAAGTATTATGATTCATCAAATCGGTATTTATTCCTCGTGGCTACCACTTGTTTTTTCTTCTGTAAAATCACTTGAGAAATTTTGTGTTCTTTGCTTTCTGAACCGACATAGGAAGAGGTATAGTGGCAACACACGTTACTAGCTTCATTTGTCCTAAGTTTTTTTAACCCTCGACGCCCTTGGATTCATCAAGGTAAGGAAAAAAAATGTTAGCATTTTGACAAGAATTTCTAGACAGGTTCTATGTTAAAGACCTAAATTGCTTGTCAGGGACTTTATGTTTGTAGTTGTTGTAGGATAATCTTACAAATGTTAGAGTTCTCACTTACCTGTAAGCTGTAACGAGAAGTCTGCAAAATCAAGAAGGCTATTCAAGCAATGCTTATGTGTACGTTATTTGGCATTTATAATCTCCAATTAGGCTGCAGTATAGGTTCCATTCTGGATTCATAAAGCTTGTTCAAGCTCCTTGATTTTATTTAATGATAGAACTGTTCAGGCTGTAAACGTTCATGTACTTATCTGTTTTTTCCTAATTATGATGAAGAGAGGTTGATAGTTTCCGGAAAAGCAAAGCCATGCCGACCAAACCAGGTTCATCTGTTGTGCTCTCTCTTCTTGACCATGTATCTTTCCAGAGTGCAAAAGAAATTATGATAGTTTCCTACTTAGTGACACAATGTAGCTACAGGTCTGGCTTGAAGTTGAATCGGAAAGTCAGCTTTGAAGCATTTGTGTGCTTAATTTTGATTAGTGAAGTTAGCTTTGATTGATTCCAATTTTTGTAACGCTTTAGAAAACTGGCTACCTAATTTAATTTCCGCAATAAAAATTATGATGTTTCGGACGAGAAAAAAAGCCTATGTAATGAAAGGAAACTGAAAGAGAGAATTTTCTGGTGTGTTTATGACAGGAGTAATGGTCAACGGTCAACGCAAACATGGGGATCTCCGTCTTTGTTGGAGAAGCTGAGACCCATATGCTGTTACTTGTTGGATCTGACAGGTGAACTACCAGACAACCCAAAGTCTATCTGTCTTATTTCTTCTTCTTTTATTTTTTCATTTTCTAATTCCCTAAACATCTAAACTCCTCCAATACACCTCACCTGGTTTTACTGAGCTGCAGATTTCTCATCAATGGCGATCGTTTCTTCTATCATGTCTACTTCAGTAGATCCTTCTTCTTCAAGAATTTGTGTGCCTTACAATACGCAGGAGGTGCACTTTCTTTCTCTATGTATAATGTTTGACCGAGAGTCGAAAGAGTTGTTTAGCATTCATATCTCTCTCAACTCTTTTAACTATACTTTCTCTACAGATCTTTGGTGACATTGTAAAGTCGAAGCCGACATATCTTAGATTTTGTACCTCTTCAAGGTATTTTCTATAAAAAGTTTCAGTTAACTTGTGTAGATAAAATTTTACTTACAAATTTACTAGTGCAGAGATAAGATGAACTTATGATACGTATATGGAGAAACAAATGATGTGTGTTAGAGAAACAATGTCAATTCTAGGCCAAAGACGTAGTTCTAACAACTAGTATATTGCTGAGAACTTTGTAATCTTCTTATTTGAACCAGGCTTATATCTTCCAGAAGATGTGGCAAGTGGAGACTAGTGGCTTCGGGGGTGCCACTAAAGGTTACCCGTGAAGAAAAACACGAGAATCTTGTGATTTCTTCACCAAATAAAGAACATGACATATTTGAAGAAATTAAGCATCGGTTCCTGACCTTTAAGAAAGACAAATACATGTAAGCTACTGAAGTACAACTGTACAAGCATCGGATTCAATTTCTTTGGTTTATCCGAAAAAAGGTTGCTTTCTGTAATAGTTTGATTGTTTATGCGAAAAAAGGGAGAACGTGGAGCGGTTTCAGAGTCTAGCCAAGAGCCAATCCCCAAAGGTGAGAACTTAGCACCTCTGTTACAGTTACACTACACATTTATATGTGAGACATATATCTAACATCTCAGAGATCAGTTTATGGTGGTAGCTTGTGCAGATTCAAGGGTTTGCCCTTCAGCAATCTTAGGGTTTCAACCAGGAGAAGCATTTACCGTTCGTAACATTGCAAATATTGTACCCACTTACGAGGTTCTTACTTGTAATCGTCAGCTTTTTAATTATTTATCTATTTATGTTTCTTTGATGCTGAAACAAGAAAACTTGTGCCTTTGTGTAGAGTGGTCCATCTGAAACAAAGGCTGCATTGGAATTCGCTGTAAACTCTGTGCAAGTAAGCATTATGAAGAAACTAATTACATAATTCATGATCACGCAGTAGATTTGGCATACGGATGATTGTAAACTTTGTTTGCAGGTCGAGAACATTCTTGTGGTCGGGCATAGTCGCTGTGGAGGCATCCGTGCCTTAATGACTATGGATGATGATGAAACAGAAGAAGACATAGACTCAAGGTTTCTGCCCAAATTTCATTACTTTTTTTTCTTTTGAAAAGAAAAAAAACGTCCAACAATACACATTCATCATCACCTGCATTATTGTGATTTTCCAGGAGCTTCATAAAAAACTGGGTCGTTGTCGGGAAAACCGCAAGATCAATCTCGAAATCAGCTGCCTCTGGACTCAGCTTTGATCAACAATGTCAGCATTGCGAAAAGGTGAATATAATAAAGCCTTTGGATGCTCCATTCACACAACACTTCACTGGTGTTTAAGGATTTCGTTTTTAACACTTGCAGGAATCTGTGAACTGTTCGTTGCGGAATCTATTGTCGTATCCATGGATAGAAGACAAGGTGAAGAATGGGACTTTATCGATCCATGGTGGCTATTACGACTTCACTGAGTGCACGTTCGAGAAATGGACGGTGGATTATAAGGAAAGAAGCCGCGTGGAGAGTAGATTAGCGGTTAAGGATCGGTCCTTTTGGAGCTGAACGAATTTGGTTTATTCGATATTTAAAAAACTATTGATACCGATCAGATTCTAAATTCGAGTTTGGTTTGGTTTTGAGTGTGAAATTTCGGTAGCTTTTTGATTCGATTCTATTTTTTTTTTGTAACTTTTGGTTCGATTCCATTTTTTTTTTTTTTGACATCGGTTCGATTCCATTTATATATGCTTACAATGGCTTTTTTTTTTTTTTTTTTCTTAACTGTCAGTATACTTCACTTTCTAAGCTTTACGCTTACCAAAATACATTAATTTCGGTTTGATAATGAAAGTTTCTCAAACATATGGTTCTGATTTGTATTTAACCACCGTTTAAAGAATATATAATGGGCCTGAAATTTTATTCAATTGGGCCTTATAGTACTGTAGAAGGCTTAGAGTATAGATCAATTAAATTGAAGGAAAGAACGCATAATAAGCGTCTCGAGATTCGAAGCTACGACAAAGCGAAACAGTGACGAGAGAGAGAGAGCGAAGAGAAGGGAAAGATTAAGCAAGCGATGGGTGTGGAGAAGCAAGTCATCAGACCCGGCACCGGTCCCAAACCCGCTCCGGGCCAAACCGTCACCGTCCATTGCACCGGATTTGGTAACCTCTCTACCATCTCTCTTCATATCTTTGTAATTTCGATCCACATAAATCTGCTTAGCTATATTTGTATTTTATTTCTTGGTGGTTAAATGGATTTAATTAAGGTTTATGTTCTGAGATTACTGTGTTCGACATCACCCTTTCTGGGTCATAATCAATTTGTAATTTTGTTTGTTAGATATGATTAGTCTGCGAGATTATTTGTATTCTTGTCTGAAGATTCCAATAAACCGATCTCTTGTCTAGTTCTGTAGTTGTATGTTTAGTTAATAATCCAGATTCTATAATCAATTTTCTTATATGAGATTGAAACTTTCTATACACGCTTTAATCTTTAGTGAATTAATTGGTAATGGTTTTGTCTCTTTCAGGGAAAGGTGGTGATTTATCCCAGAAGTTCTGGAGGTACAGGATCCGCTCGCCATCACAGTCACACACACTCGCTTCTATATGGATATAATTTGTCTTTAAAAGTCTTGTTAATTTTTAAATTTTAACAAAAAAAAAAAAAAACTCTTGTTAATTTCTGTATTTCCCAAGCCTAATTGTGTTTTGGACTTTGGTTTATAATATAGTACAAAGGACGCTGGGCAAAAACCTTTCTCGTTCCAAATCGGTAAAGGTGCTGTGATCAAAGGTATATAAATTTCCTCTGTTCTATGGTTTGCTCATATGTATGGCGCCTCTAATTTTACTTTTTTTTCTGGAGAGTTAATGTGAAGGTATTTAATTGTTGATAAAATTTGCTCACAGGATGGGATGAAGGCGTTATTGGAATGCAAATTGGAGAGGTTGCTCGCTTGCGGGTATGTATTGTAGACTGCTCCTCTCATCGTGAAAGCATATTTGATTCTTACATCTTCGTGTTCCTCTTTCCCACGTTTTGCCATTTATGCTTCGTGATTTATGAGCTTCGTGTCTCTATTTTGAAAGAATTCTTGTCTCTAATGAGTAATGATAGTTACTTGGAGCTTGTTGTAGTAGAAACCATTCGTAAGTATCTGTGTGTGATACATGATCTTTTGGCTGTTTTTGACATCTTCAGCTTGTAACCTATCTGTTTCTGCAGTGCTCACCGGATTACGCATATGGCGCTGGTGGATTTCCGGCATGGGGAATCCAGCCAAACTCGGTTCTCGACTTTGAAATCGAAGTATTGAGCGTGCAGTGATGATCTCTCCAGCTCCAAAACTGTGAGAAAATTATTAATCTATAAACCACAAAACTTGAATGTTAAATTACCAAGTGGTAGTATCTTTATTGCTTCTGGGATCTTAATGAAACAAACTTTGTGATGTCACTTGTCAGTGCTTTTTTAAACTCTTTGGACAACGTTTTATCTAAATAAAAGACTCGTCTCTTGTTTTCAATCCGAATGTATGTTTTCTTGCAGTTATTATGATATTATTGTTGTGATATAGATTGCATTTTTCATAACTACAAGGTGTGGATGTTTGGGATGTTTTTATTTCAGATCAATCCAGTCTAAAACAACCCCAGTGATATTTTAAGTCCAATTCTAGCTGTGTAAGGATTATTCATCTAATGTAAATGTCTGTGTAGAATGCATAAAATCGAATCGATCCAATAAAAAACCATACTTTAGTTTCAAGTGCCCCAAGTGCCAATTATAAAGAAAAAAGAAAAAGGAATTATCTCAAACCAAATTAGATTTTGATTTGGGTATTAATACAAACCATGATGAAATTTGAATTCAACACTTGCTAACACAGTAATTACTATTCTTAAAATCAAATCAAGGAGAAAAAAAAGGCGAAACCTAAAAATTCTTGCAGACAAGATAGTGTAAGTTAAGAAAAGAAAGGAAGAAAAGAGAAATGTGAGAGAAGTCGTGCGGGTAATTAAGCACTTAAAATTCCCGTGCATTTCTTTAATCATCACTTTTCTTTTTCTTTTTCTTTTTCTTTTTTTCGTGTTCATTTTCATTCTTTCCTTTTCTTTTTCTTTTCACCCACATTCCCCAATTACATAAAAGACTTTATTGACAACAGTATTTAAAAATAAATGAGAAGTCTAAAGAGTATAAAATAAAATAAAACAAAAGCATCGAGCTAATTTTGGCGTTGTATAAGCTAGATGCTAAATTGTTAATCTTAAAATTAAATAAGAAACAAGTGGTTGGTTGGCTTTTATTCATTTCCGTCGCAATGGGTGTTTGAAAACACAACACGCACCTGAACAAAAGAATTAAGGATATAAAAGCTTAAGCACACTTTCACTAACTTAGCTTTCAACAAAATTAAAGAGAATGGACTTTTACTTTAACGAACAATCAACAAAGTCTAACCAAACAAAAGAAATTGATCAGCAAAATTATAAGTTTAATCATAAAGTATAACCCCGAAATTATGGACCGTGAGACTTTGTCATCATATATACCATAATTACGTATATACACGTTCGGCCCCCTTGTCCCATTTCTTTCAAGCAAAGCACCAATAATAATATTTTCCGGTTTAACCACAAAATTAGTTTCCAAGTAACATTTATTTTTCTTTATATAATCGAAATTCCAATTGTACAATTCAAAGTATGTAACATTTGCGTTCGTTGTTTTTTTTTAAAGAAAAGAGGTATAGTTCTAATAATCATACACAACTGTATTCAAAATTATGCTTAAAAATATGTATTTAAATTTAGATATTAATCACAATTAAAATTTATTTTTTATGAGATTTTTAATATAAAACCAAACCGAATCCGAACAACAAACTTGAAATAAAATTCAGTTTTAGTTTATTAAAATGAGGGGTGCTTTGGGAAAATATTCGATGGAGAAGGGACAAAAGCGTCATAAAACGTTTTTATAAAGTCTTGGCACCATTGATGCCACTTACTTCTTTAGAAACACACTTCTTACAAAAAAAAATTCTACGGAAAATACACATTATTGCTCGTTTCGTTGGTCACTTTCATCCCTCTTATCCCTTCGCTTTTCCATTGATTCAGCTAACAAAGAAGAGCTCTCATCGTCTTCTCTGGATCTGAGCAAAAGATTATTCCTCCGTTTCGTCATTCTAAGGTATCAAACTTGATATTTATCTCTACGTTGTTTATCATCTGTGTCACTGTTTTCTCTGCTTGTCTATCGGGAAATTTTGGTTAAAACGGTTTAAATCCTTGATGATTTGGGGGAATTAAGTCAGTAATCTGGCTCTGAACATTGTGGTTTGTGTATATTCTGAGTTGCAAACTTGCAATTGTAAACGAAGCATATTTCTTGTTGGAACAGTGAATCTACAACGTAAATTTTCTAGGTGTTTAGAGTTTTCTTTTGAACGCTTGTGATTCTCTGTCCTTTTGAACTATTGAGAATTCTGGATTTAGCTACATTTTTGGTGTTGATGGGATGTTTGCTTCGGTTTTGCACAGATACTAAATTCTCGAAAGTAGATTGAATACAAGCAGTGGATTTTAAAAATTACATAAGAGGAGAAAGAGAAGCAGCATGTGTTGGTTCACTACTTCTGTTGACGTATACCGCAAAGTTGTGCGCTTGAATCTGTATTGCCGTGTGATTCTGTAAATCTCTTCTTCCTTTTAACCAACATTCAACTCTTCTCTCTTATTCATCTTCCCTTCTTTATCAATATATTTTAAACCCTTTTTCCTCTAAATGGGATCTCAACATTTCTACGTGTTCCATTGTGAACAAAGAATCAGCTAGACCAAAAAGCTCCTTTCTGTTTTCTTCTTTCTTTCCCAAAAAAAAGCTTTCTTCTTTCGGTAGGTCTCTGTCTGCTTTTCACTCAATATTTCCTCAAAGTTATGGTGTGTCAATCACCTGGCAAGACAAGATTTCGAGCATTGAAGTACGAGACAGGAGACGCTAACAGACCAACAATTGTAGTGAGAGTTATTGCATGCTTTCAACCGATGGATAATTGCCAGGTCCGTAGCTCAAATAATGCTCTCATTCATCAGTCTCACAGCTAGTATTTATTGTCTTTGAACTATGTGGTTTTGCCATTTTATTGTGTTTCAGGCTGAGTACTTTAGACTGCTACTTAAACCAGTCACGTAGTTGGTTTGTGATTTTCCGCTGTATTTTTTCTTCGTTCGTTTGCCTCTTCTTTCTTTCACTACTTACTCGAAAAGGAAACAAGAAGTATTTGCATTCAACCGATTGAGCAACTTGACAATCGGTATGCCAACTCCATCATTAATCCCTTTCTAAAATGGTTAAATTTATCTTTCTTGAGCTGATTTGTGCCTTTTTTTTGGTCTTGCAGTGTTTGTACTCTTTATAGCTCCCTTGAGCTACACTACAAGAGCATGCCTCTTGATACCTGGCAACGGGATTTGCCTCTGGGCTTAAAGCCTCAAGCTTGCTTTGAGGATATAACAGCTCGGTCTATCCATCCTCAAATTCCTCTCCCTGAGGTTGGGAAACTATATGCAGCTGAGCCTCAGGCTCGCTGTTTGCAGCCACCACCATTCCAGTCTCTACTGCGCAGTCATGATAAGGAGTCTTGTGGAAAACGATTCTCGATGTCTGGCATCCGGTCTTGGTGCGCTGCTGCTACTACTCCACAAAGAGCATTAGAGTCTTCTCAGAAAAGACTTATGATATTCGATCAGTCAGGAAACCAGACTCGTCTATTACGGTGTCCATTTCCTCTACGGTTTCCATCTCCTGCAGTTGCGGAGCCAATGAAATTCTACGGTCTAGCGAAAGCTTTCAAGGAAGATTGTGAAGAGAATGATTTAAGTGGAAAAGAGTCGGAAATGCATGAAGACACTGAGGAGATCAATGCATTGCTGTATTCAGATGATGATGATGATGATGATGGTTGTGAGAGTGATGATGAAGTAATGAGCACTGGTCACTCTCCTTATCCAATTGAACAAGTTTGCAACAAAAGAGAAATGGAAGAAATTGATGGTCCCTGTAAAAGGCAGAAGCTACTGGATAAGGTAAAAAACATCAGCGACTCATCATCACTTGTGGGCACTAGGAGCTCCACAACGCTCAATGGATCGTCCTTTCTTATGGATAAAAAGCTCCCTGAATCAAAATGCTCGACCAAAGAAGACACTGGTTCTGGTCTGAGCAACGAGCAGTCGAAAAAAGACAAGATCCGTACAGCTTTGAAAATACTCGAGAGCGTAGTTCCGGGTGCCAAAGGAAACGAAGCTCTCTTACTTCTCGACGAAGCCATTGATTACCTAAAGTTACTGAAACGAGACTTAATCTCAAGAACCATTGCTAAACAAAAATCCCCCCACCACTCACTAGTCACAAGTCACCAACCTTGTTTGTAAAAGAGACAACATGGGGAACAAGAAATCTACTGACAGATAAGGCTTGAAGATTCTCACGAGTGAAAACGTGTGTGAAGTGGTTTTGGGTCCGTATCCTCTGCATCAGCTTTTTAGCTGTATATAGTGGACTACTTTAGGTATATATGCTTCTGCAATTTCAAAAAGTTAAAGAAGAAAAGAGGTCACTTTCTTCTTCTCTCTGTGCTTGGTGTGGAAAAAAAGCCAAAGTCGTCGTGGTCATTGATCGACAATGATTATCTTTTTTGGCTGAGTGTGGATGGTGAAATCAAAAGGCAATATTCAAAGTCTGATCTCAAACTCGCGTGGTCTATGAATCTCCCCTAAGGTAATAAAAAAATCTCTGACCCACACTCTCTTTTGTCCATATGATGACTAAGTGGGTCCAATTATTTTATGAATTGATGTCATGTTTGTCTAATTAATTTTAGTGTCTGTAATAATGCAAACCATTCCTTTGTCTTTTCCTTCCCCACTTGCTACTGGTTTTGTTTGTGTGTCTTTGCGTCTCTCTGTTCATTTTTCATGTTCTCTCAGTGTCATTGTATTGTCAAGGTGATTGGGTTTTTGTCGTTTGGGTTTTGTAATAAAACCATGATATATAATTATTGGGTCTTTGTCTGATTAATATTAGTTAGGGACACAAAAATCGAATCTTTATGTCACTTATTCCACATTAGAAATCAATCGGATTACAAATTAGGACCAAAGAAAAGCGTTTCTTTCTCCAAAGAATCAAATCAAGAACACACAAAGTTGCTCACTTGAATAAGTTTCTCAAGAAATCGAGTTCCTCCACCGTCGTGGTTTCCTCGTCGGTTGGTGATCAACACCAACTTGTTCTCCTCCGACCATACTATCTTGACTCTCCGGTCCAGTCATCTTAGTCAGTTTGCTTAACTTCTTCCAACCACTGGTCCAAGCCGAAGAAGAAGTGTTCTTCACTTTCCCGGTTTTCTCAAACTGTCTTTGCATCACTTCCATCTCATTCTGAAGCTCAACATACTTCGTTTTCACCGTCTCTAACTCGAATTTCAACGTGTTTATATCCTTCTTCGCCGCAGCCCACCCTTCCTATTTTTTTAATTACATAAAATTGTATAAGCAAAACGAAAAAAAAGAACTTGACATGTGCATGAATTTGACAAGCCTTCCTCTTACTTGCCTGAAACGATTGTGGTGTAGCTTCGATCAATGTCTTGCGATTAGGGATCATTGGTTGATACGCACCCATGGCTTCCCCGAGCGTGGTTGACTCCTTGAGTGACGTGTTGGCTAAGGCATTGCTGATCTTGACTTGCTCCGAGAAGAGCACTTGGACCACCACTCGCAATGGTAACCGCTCGTTCTGAGCCGCGTGCATACACGCGTCCATTGATAGCTTCTGACAATCCATCACTCTGCATAGCCGTTTCCTCTCGTGCTCCGACAATGTAGGATGCGCCTGTCCATCAAACCAAAACATGATCAAGCTGAATAATGTCTAAAATTAACCAATCACAGAGTTTTGTGCTGTATGTTGTTACCTTGAGATATGAATCGATTGCTCTGTATAGCCCATCGTCGCAGGTCCTTGCAGATTCCGGCAACGCCTCAGCCAAAACCTGAAACTTTGTCAATGGCAAGTTCCTATCTCTAGCCACCTCAGTGAGATAACTATCCACAAGCCTCGCCACCCTCATCTTCGCATTCTGATTACTGTTTCCGTTGTTGCTATTCGCTCTAGGGATTCCGGCGTCGGTGTACATAGACTGCGACGGCGACATTCTACTCGGACTCGACCCTTCCGTCTGCTCCTGAACGAGAAAATGCTCCAGCAGCCTCTGAACAAGATCAACATCGTACATTGTCTCCCCTTTGTTGTTGTAACCTGGAATCAGAAGATCCTGAAGAGTCGCTTGCTCGAATTGCATCCCGACTCGTTTCTCGAGCTCCGTGATCAGCGCCGGAGCTACTTTAAGCATGCTGGCTGCTCTGAGAAGACGGAGGAGGAAGCTACAGGAGACGGAATCTTTCTGTGGAGGGATGATGCTGATTAGGGACTCGACGATCATTCTTTGGTCTTTTGGGCTGATTCCGAGTCCGGCGATGCAAGCGGCGGAATCTTGATGTCCGTTGGTTTTTCCGGAGATGACCATGTGGAGACCGCCTTTCCAATCGGGACCGGAGCTTCCTCCGCTGCTGTTGCTTCCGCAGCTCACACTCATTTCGTCTCCTCCTAACCCTAATCCGATGGAGGACATTGCTGGTGCAACTCCTCCTTCTTTGATCAGACCCGGAAGCCATTTCCCGGCGTAATGCATGATTGCGGCTCCGAGAAGCTCAAATCTCATACCTTTCACCTGTTTCGAGCGCAAAAGTTGGAGGGTTTGAAATATGCATACAAAGTGTTTGCGGAAATGCTCGAGAGAAAAAAGTATAAACGTACCTTGATTGCAGTGATCACACGAACGAAGTGATCGATCCTCAAGATAGAGACATCTTCGAACCACCAATCCGGAGGAACAGGCTGGCTATTATTGTTTCTACTTGGGCTACAGTAGAAACTCGAGTCCTTGGATTCGTTCCATTTCGGACTAGAACTCGCGAAATTGTTATTGGTAGATGGAGATGGAGATTTCCCTGTGTAAGCCCATCTAATCCCTTTGGGATTACTACAAGCTTTCCAAGCAATAGATTCACTACACCTCCTCACAATCTGAAGATTCTCAGCCCATGGTGAGAGCTTCTCACAGCTCTTTAGGACCAAGATCGAGTCTCTCCATGAAGACAGAACAACGTAGCTGAGAAAAGCTTCTGTCTTGAAGATGAGATTCCCTTCCTCAAGATCCTCTGTCATCTCAAGATACTCAGCTGCGCAACGCAGACCTGATATGTTAGTTGCCGTGAGATCCACGGGAACTCCATAGCAGAATTTGGATGCCAGTTCAAACGCTTCTGGTCCTCCAGGTAGATCATCGAGAATAAGAATCGTCGGTTCAGGCTCTCGTGACTCGTAGATCAACCTGTTCATCTTTCCGCTACGTGACAACAGAGGATACTGAAGCAGAGACAAAATAAATCCATAAAGCTTATGAAGCTCCAACGTGATATAATATATTGACTCAAGAACATTCTTACCTTGTGCAGGTGAAAGTTCATGTCTCCGATTTTAACCAGAAGGTCGCTGGGGATATCCGTAGCAACAAACCTAATCAAAGAAAAGGTTTTTGATATGAAATCTTTAACTTCCATAACAAGGAAAGATGAGACTTTATAATGTTTTTTTTACTATATATATATAGTTTGGGGACATTACCAAGATTGGCCTCTGAGCTCAAACCCATCAGTCTTGACGCCGCCATGTTTGTTAGAACTTAGAACTCCATTACCATACTCTCTTCCTCCTCCTCCTCCTCCAACCCCGGAATCGCTCTCAGATTCCCACATCATTCACAAATAAATCCTCAGTTATGGAAGAAAGAAGTGGCCAAGAGAAGATTTTAGAGAAGAGACAGGATTGAAGTGGAAAGAGTGAATTGAAACAAACAGTTCCAAGAAAAGAGTGATTGATTAGTTTTGATTATAAAGATGAAAGAGAAAGAGAGAGAGAGAGAGAGAGAGAGAGATAGAAGAGATTATCCCCACATGGGATGCTTTGAGTGTTGGAGCTTTCTCTGAATTGTCTATTTTCTCAGAGAGATTTGCAAAACCAAAGTCTCATATATCTACAGCCTGTGAAGTAATGGGCTTAAACTCTCTGCTTCTCAATTATCAGATATATTTTCTAGTAGTTCCTTAACTTCTTTTTTTTGTTATATAAAGTTTGCCCATTCTTATCATATAATTCAAGATATTCTCTGTCTTTTTAGATTTTACACAACATTATTGAATTACTGACAGTTGTAATGTGTTTTTGAGTTAAGAATAGAAAACACAATTATATATTATATATATAAATAGGATTGGGTTCATAAAAAAACGGGGAGGGACAAGTTGGAGAGTGAGTGTCATTAACTATGACAAAGCCTAGTTCCTTCTTCTTTGCCTGTCTGTTTTTGATGATGTTGAATCATCTCTATGTACAATGCATTTAACTTTCTTTTTGTTTCTTTGCTTCATTTTCTTCTTTGAGGCTTCTAATGGGTCCATTTTCCTAATTTTCCATTCTCGATTTTGCATGAATCTCCTCTTACTTTCTCTCAAATTATTCCTCTTTCTTTCCTTACTAATATAAATGTTCCAGCAATACTTTGAATTGATAGAGTGATTAGTTCTACCAGTTAGAAAGACGTTGTTTCATTGTCACTGAATCTAGATCTAAATATATTATGACGCATAAAAACAGAAAAACAAAAAAAAAATAGAGAATTATTCCAACCTGGTTAGTTCTACTTCTACCAAGAAGAGAGACATTGTTTCAATCTCACTGAATGCGAATTGAGAAATACAGTTTCACACCATGCAGTCAAATCGTATGGTTTGTATTGTTCGAATTCTCGACACCAAAACAAAATACATATTACTTCATTATTAACATTTAACACTACGATGGTAATATTGTCTACATGATATTCATATAGATATTATTTCTTCAGAGTACAATGATGACATGAAAGTTATATACAAGTATTCACAGTAATATTTCAATGGTTGTTGAGTAGTGATGAGAGATAATTTGGAAGAGAAAGTTGGAGGAAAATTAAAAGAGAGCATTAAAAACAAAGGTTGTTCATTCATATATAAATGGAGATAGAGAAAGAAGAAGTGGTCCATAAGAATTTCATCTATAGATGTACATATACATAACACTCACACACACTGATTAATATATCAGTCTCAATCCTTCACTTAATTTGCGACTTTAAATACATACATAGATCGATGACTTTCTATCAAATTGTTAGACAACAAATTTTTCGTTAATTACATTTTGATAGTGTATCAATCAATGAAAACCTATATGGCTCAGTGGTTCAAGGGTCACCAATCAGATAGTACTAGAGAAACATATGAATGATGGTCTTATCGAAGAACCAATCACCACGTTATAATTATCACCTCCACATATCAAATGCTCATAACTATATAATGGCCACATATTGATTGGAGAGATGCAATATGTTCTCTCTTCTTTATAAAACAAACAAAGTAACAATGTGATCTTATAGATACACACACACACACATTCATTATTAATTGGCTTATAAATAAAATTTGCATTATTGATGATGGTGGTGGTGATAAAGGTTCCACATCGCCTACATATGGTAAAAGCCACGTGTAAAAATTGTCTGTTCCAATTAGACCGGACCTACTCATCCGACGACTGTCTTTTCGTTAGAGGGATGACAAAATCTAACGGTCAGGATCAATCTCAAGTCACCTCCCTTTCGGTTTTGTTTGGGCTCAGAAACCTAGTACATTCCTAATTTGAACTGGCCCAACAAGAAATAAAGAAAAAAACGAAACTTCTGAAGGATATGGAAGGTTTAACGGATTCAGAAGGGTAAATCGGTACTTAAAGGTCTTCTTTCTCATCGGAAACCAAACCAGAGTCCTTCCGTCTCTCTCTGTAGTATCCTCCCACTTTCAGAAATTGATGTGGCTTTTACGGTTATGCTTGCGAGATCAAAGCTTGCTCTAGATTTGAGCAGAAGATCACAGTATTTTCTGAGATTATCCTCTTACTGGAATCTCCAATCTGGATTTTGTAGCGGCGGAGATGATGCCGACTTACCGGGAAACGGTGGTTCCAATTCAGGCAACGAATGGGAGAAGCTTCTTAAACCATTCGATCTCGATTCGCTCAGAAACTCATTCCATAAGATCACTCCTTTTCAGCTCTGTAAGCTACTCGAGTTACCTCTCGATATACCTACATCAATGGAGTTGTTCTCATGGACGGGTTCTCAAAAGGGTTACCGTCACTCCTTCGATGTTTACCAAGTGCTTATATGTAAGCTCGGTGCGCACGGTGAGTTTAAGAAGATTGATAGACTGTTAATGCAGATGAAAGAAGAAGGAATCGGTTTTAGAGAATCCCTTTTCATTTCGATTATGAGAGATTACGGAAAAGCTGGACTTCCTGGACAAACTACGAGATTGATGTTGGAGATGAGAAACGTGTTTTCCTGTGAACCCACTTTTAAATCTTTCAATGTTGTCTTGGAGATTTTGGTCGCTGCTTATTGTCATAAAGTTGCAGTTAATGTGTTCTACGATATGCTTAGCAGAAGAATTTCTCCAACGCTTTTCACATTTGGAGTTGTGATGAAAGCTTTCTGTGCGGTTAACGAAATCGATTCAGCTCTGTCTCTACTCAGGGACATGACCAAACATGGCTGCGTCCCAAACTCAGTGATTTACCAGACTCTTATACATGCACTGTCAAAGTGTAGTAGAGTGAACGAAACGCTTCAACTTCTCGAGGAGATGCTTCTGATGGGTTGTATTCCTGATGCTGAGACGTTCAACGATGTTATCCTTGGTCTTTGTAAGTTTGATCGGATTAACGAAGCTGCGAAAATGGTGAACCGGATGCTTATCAGAGGGTTTGCTCCTGATGATATAACTTATGGCTATTTGATGAATGGACTATGTAAGATAGGCCGGGTTGATGCTGCAAAGGATCTTTTTAGCAGAATTCCGAAGCCGAATGTTGTGATCTTCAACACTCTTATTCACGGGTTTGTGACTCATGGAAGACTTGATGATGCCAAATCTGTTTTATCAGATATGGTAACGTCTCATGGTATCGTTCCTGATGTCTGCACGGTTAATTCGCTCATCGATGGATACTGGAAGAAGGGTCTTGTGGGTTTAGCGCTGGAAGTTTTCCGCGATATGAGGAAGAAAGGATGTAAGCCTAACGTCTACTCTTATACTATCTTATTTGATGGTTTCTGCAAATTAGGACTGATAGATGAAGCCTACAATGTTCTGAATAATATGTCTGCCGATGGATTGAAACTCAACACTGTTGGTTTTAACTGTTTGATATCGGCTTCATTCAAGGCCAATCGAATCCCCGAGGCCATCGATATTTTCAGAGAGATGCCGAGAAAAGGCTGTAAACCCGATGTGTTTACATTCAATTCGATGATATCCGGACTCTGTGAGGTTGACAACATTGAGCATGCCTTGTGGTTACATAGAGACATGATATCTGAAGGTGTTGTGGCCAACACTGTTACTTACAACACGCTGATCAACGCGTTTCTCAGGAGAGGCGAAATCAAAGAAGCTCTTAAACTAGTCAATGAGATGGTTTTCCAGGGATCCCCGCTTGACGAGATAACCTACAATGGTCTGATAAAAGGGTTGTGCAATGCCGGGGAGGTCGATAAAGCGAGAAGTTTGTTCGAAAATATGCTAAGAGATGGGCTTGTACCGAGCAGTATCTCCTGCAACATACTTATAAACGGGCTCTGCAGAAACGGAATGGTGGAAGAAGCCGTTGAGTTTCAGACAGAGATGGTTCATAGAGGATCCACACCGGACATTGTGACATTTAACACTCTGATAAATGGTCTGTGCAGGGCTGGTAGGATCGGAGATGGTTTGGCAATGTTTAATAAACTTCAGGCTGAAGGAATATCGCCTGATACGGTGACGTATAACACTTTGATGAGTTGGTTGTGCAAAACAGGTTTTGTTGATGATGCTTGCTGTCTTCTGGATGAAGGTATTGAAGAAGGTTTTGTTCCAAATGTCAGAACTTGGTCCACTTTGTTGAGGAGTCTTGTTTCTCAAGAAAAACTAGATAGACAAAGATTTTATGAAGCAGTTCTCTGAAAATGATAAGAGAAGTTTGTTTCGTTAATGTTCACTGTGAATGTGTAATATTATCCTCATTTGTGGGCGAAATTATGATTTGTCTTCTTCATAAATTCAGACACCTCAATTATTCACATTAAAACGCCCATTGGGCTTACTAGTGAGAGGCCATTGTTATTACTCTCCTCCATTTTCTCATCGGGCTATTTTAATTTGCTTACTACTATAATAAAATACAGTATGCGAATATGCAAAAAAAAATCATTATGACAATTAATTAGTCATGATCTTAATTTTCGTGAACTAAATTATTCCTTTTGTTTTTGATTATTGCTTGTATTACAATTTTACAGATCATTATTTTTACACTTTTACAACACCTTTAGTCATGTTTTATTCAGACCAAAAAAACAGGTAATCAACTCATGTATTACACAATTTTACAGATCATGATTTTCTCACACTTTTATAACACTTTTAGACATGTTTTGTTCAGACCAAAAAACAGGTAATTAATTTGGAGACGTTAAGCGATACTGTCTTGGATACATGAAAATAACATATTTGAATTTGATAAACTCATTAATATGGATGGATAAAAACGCTCATATGATCAACAAATAGGAGAAACAAATAGGAGAAACAAATAGTAGTATTCTGAAATTTAAAAAAGAAAAAAAGAATCATCTCTCTGCAAAAGCTCATATATATGTCTTAAATAAAATGAATAATTAAAAACTACTTCCTCTGAAAATCTTCATTCCTCGAACCTACAGAGCAAAGACGGCAGCGGTTAACACAACCGCAACGGATCCAAAGACGGAGTAGCTGTTCGAAACGGCACCGCTTAGCGCAGGACCGGGAGCTTCAGACGGAGAGTTGGAGATCGAAGACGGAGTAACAGCCGGCGAATCTGAAGGAGAATCTGCTAGAGGCGGCGAAGGAGGAGAGGAAGACGATTCAGGAGTCAATGCGGTTTCAGGGGAAGGAGAAATCGCCGGTGCAGGAGTCATCTTTTTAGGTGAAGGCGCCGGTGAGAGCCGCCTTCCTCCGCCGCTAGATGGAGCTGGAGCCGGAGATTGAGCCACCGCGGAAGAAATCAGAAGAGCGGCGAGAAGAAGAAACCCTAAAGATTTCGAGAAAGCCATTGTAAGAGAGATAGAAAGAGAGATTCGAATTTAGCTGTTTTGGGAAATTGTTGTGTATTTTTTTTTTGGTATGTGTTTGAGTGTTTTTGCTTAATCGCTATGTTGTCTTCGAACTCGGAGAAGAGTCCTTTATATAGAGAAAAAGTGGGGTACACTGTTTTGAGGTGTAAAGTCAGTCTTCACCGTTGATATGAAAGAATTAGAACCGGCTTTAATCTAGCGGTTGAGATTTCATTATACACTAATAAAAAAAAAAAAGCAAAAAGGTGGGGACAAGCCTAATGAGAAAGAAAAAAAAGAGAACGCGGTTGGCTCATCCCCTTGACTACGGCGCTAACGGCTCTATGACAGCTGTGATTATGGAATCGCAAGCGTACACGTGTTGATCTTATTGACGCGTGATGAAAAATAGTAAATATGGCCGTTGTGATAAATATTCTTTTTATTTTTTTTTCCATAATCAAACGTCGATTTCACTCTGTTTCTTTCTTTTTTTTCTTTTTTACTTTTCATATCTTATTCTAATTATCTTATACTTCCATACTTTTTTAGGTTTAGATATATTTTTAATACGTATGTCATGCTTATGTATTTTTTCTTACGTTTAATAAATAGTACCGTTTTTAATTTGTTCGTTTGAATTTGAAATTTGACATGTTCTTTGTATTACTTTATTTTTATTTTTATTTTTCTTTTATTGATGTAAAAGATTACTCTAGACAATATTAAATATTTAGTATATATCCTAAGAGTCAATTGGGTAGAAATGCATTAAGAAGAAAAATAAAACACAGAATAAAATCCTGGAAATTGAGTGTATCTTTGACGGCAAAAGAAAAAATACTAAAAAAAAAAAAAGAACAACAGTAACTGGTTTGCTTTCTCCTTGTATCGTTGAGAATTCAAAGTGAAATTGGTTTCCACTTTCCAGAGAGACCTGAGGTGAAATTGTGAGCTAGCTCTATCAATCATAACACTTTAATTATGGTTTAAAAGTGGTTTAACAGTTTGGTAAAAATGGTTCTATGAGAGATCAAGCAAAGGAGGATGCACATTTCAAAGCTTCCTCTTTTCATAGCTTCACAAATCGAATGCAACTACTCAGTCTAGAGCATAACAAGTAACAATGCTGAAAATTTTGTAACAAGAATTGTTAAAAAAAAAATCAGATAAAGATTAGATTAGAACATAAACCAATCCAATCAAATTTCTCAGATAAATCAAAAGTCTTTTCTTGCTATGTGGGTTTTTGAAGTATTGTGTATATTTATTCCCGGTAACGTTCGAATTGGTTCATCATGATTCTCGGCGCTTAAGACTCAGACTCATCAGTCTTCTGGATAAGATCGCCGTTGAACTTCAAGCCATACATGTGACCCATCTTGGACCGCTTGGTCTCCAAATATCGCTTGTTCTCCTTTGTGATAAGACTCAAGAGTGGGACTCTTCCCACAATGGCTAATCCATATCCCTTCAGACCAACGTACTTAGCGGGATTATTCGTCATCAGCTTCATCGTCCTAACGCCCAGATCCCTTAGAATCTACACATTAAACAACGAATCAGTTATATAAGCAAATGTTGGCTTTTTGGATGTAAATGAGGTTTTATGTTAATACCTGTGCACCAATTCCATACTCTCTAGAATCAACAGGAAGACCTAATTCCTCATTAGCTTCAACAGTGTCCCGACCAGCATCTTGCAGATTGTAAGCTCGGAGCTTGTGTCCTAAACCGATCCCTCTTCCTTCATGTCCACGAAGGTAAACCAACACACCACGACCAGTTGACTCGATCTGCTGCATCGCAAGGGCTAGCTGGTTCCCGCAATCGCACCTTGCTGACCCAAATATGTCCCCGGTGAGACATTCCGAATGTACCCTCACTAGAATGTCTTGACCGTCACCAATCTCTCCCTGCCACAGTTTCATTTCAAATGGGTTTTACGTTCTGAGTTCAAATCAACAAAAGAGATGTTTTTTTTGAAGAAAAAGCATTGCTCTAACCTTAACCATTGCAATGTGCTCTATTCCGTCTATTATGGACTTGTAGCAGTAAGCTGTGAAAGGTCCCCACATTGTCGGGATCCGAGCCGCAGAAGAACGTTCCACTAGTTTATCTCTCTTCCTCCTATATCTGTCATTTTAGAAACACAAAGTTCTCATCTTTAGCTTCAAGAGAATTAGATTAACGAAATGAGACGCAAAGAACTTGAAATTTTTTCGAAGTGCTTATAACCTGATCAAATCTGCAATGGAAACAATTTTCAGGTTATTCTCAGCTGCAAATTCACGGAGCTTTGGTAATCTAGCCATGGAACCATCGTCATCGACAATTTCACACAGTACTCCAACAGGATCTAGTCCAGCTAAAACAGTAAGATCAACAGATGCTTCAGTGTGTCCCGCCCTTTTCAAAACCCCGCCTTCTCTATACTTGAGCGGAAAGATATGCCCTGGGCGATTGAAATCCTCTGGCTTTGAATCCCTCGATGCAAGAGACAATATCGTTGTTGCCCTGTCACGAGCTGATACTCCCGTTGTTGTACCATGTTTTGCATCCTAAATAAAAAAACATAAGCCAAAAATTCTTAAAATCCAGCACCAATAATCAGAGGCCTTTCTTTATTAGAGAAAAATACATACCACAGTCACTGTGAATGCAGTGCAGAGCTTTTCTTCGTTCTCTTTCTGATTTACCATTAGAGGAAGGTGCAATCTCTCGAGATCATCGTCTTTCATGCTCACACAAACTATCCCAGTTCCATGTTTCACAATAAAAGCCATAGCCTCAGGTGTAGCTAACTGAGCAGCCATTACCAAATCCCCTTCATTTTCTCTATCTTCATCATCCACAACTACCACAAGCTGCAACGTTAACGCCAAAATCAATCGAGGCAAAAGGAAACAAACAAACCAAAAAAAAGGTGAAGCATTTATTTTAAACAAAGGGGAAAGAAAAAGAAAAAACGGACCTTTCCTTGGCGTATATCTTCAATGGCCTCAGGGATTGAAGAGAAACCTTGTGTTGGTAAATCCAACTCATAGTCATCATCTTCAGCAACGAAACCATTGGATGGCGCAGGAGCTGAATCTGCCGCAAGTGTACCAAGTGAAACTGAATCGGCCTCTAAAGGTCCTTCGATCCGATCATCAACAGTGAGAGACCCATTTGAGAGTGGAGCGTTGCCATTGGTGTAAGAGAGCAGATCATCTTCTCTGGAGATCACTGCAGCTTTAACTTTTCCAGTGGTTTTAATTGCAAATGATGATGGATGGTTAGATGGCAAACTGATACGGTGCAGTCCATGGAACAATGTAGTAGAGCTTTGGTTTAATCTACACAGAGAAATCAAATCGTTGAGGCTATATAACAAACAATAGATTACTCGAAAACGAGTGAAAACTTCGAATCTCATGATCCGTTTCTAATCACAAATTCTTAGATCACGATCTTTCATTAGCTGAAGCTCGGATTGAATCTCTTTACGAGTCGATGGGTAATCATATTTCTATTCCCCAAATCAGTAACCAATTAACAGAAACAAAGCGAAGAAACAAAGTCTAAAATCGAGAGGGATTAGGAAGAAAAACCTCACCTAGAGCGGGCAAGAGATATGGTGGAAGGAGACGAAGACGATAAATTGATCGAAGACATATCTCTCTGTTCCTCGACGAGATCAAGAAAACCGTTATCGCAAAATCCAGAAATTGGGTAGATTTCTTCTAATCACGGTTCAACTCCGAGAAACCCACTTCGCAAATTGGAGGCTTTATGAAGAAGATGCGGGGAAAAGTGAGCAAATAGAGAGGATGCGTTAGTTGCTGGTGATGACGATAGCGATTAGCTAAGCTTATTTTTAATGGCGGCGCAAATTGGGAAATGAAGAGAAGAAGTATTTAAGGGATCTGATTCGGTGAGAGATAAGACACTTGCTTGGCTCTTGTCTTCTCCAACCAAATTCTCAACGCCCACTTTTATAGACTTTCTTTTTCATCTGCTTCTTTTGTTACACCGCAAGAAAAGTCTAAATCTCCTTCTCTAAATCAAATTTGCCTTCTAAAACTAAGCATGTTTTGACAAAATTAAGCACTCTTTTCAATCTCTTTTAATTAGGATAGTCAAGTGTTTTAACAAAATGTCTTTATAATGATCTTTTAATACATTGTTAAAATGCAGTTTGTACATAATTAACTATAGTTTATTTTTACACACTAAAAAAAAAAATTATACTAGTGAAACTGAACAATGTTGAACTATATACTTCTGCTATATATAACTAGCCTTTTAAAATTTGTTTTATAGCAAATCTTACTCCATGAAATAAGATTAAGCATTGATTAATAAGCTGTGAAATCCCTTTAACAAATAAAAGTAATAGTAAGCTGTGATATAGAATTTGGTTGAATCAGTTTTCTATTTATTTTATTCTTGATTATGCAAGATTCATGAAAGATATATATATATATATATATATATGTAACAACTAAATGACGGTCTATTCACAGATTTTTTATTATGTGAAAGGTCTTTGTCGGTTACTCATCCTGGTTTATTCCATATATTTTGCTTAGAGTTTATGTGATTTCACGATTACCCGAAGTTACTAATTACCCGATGTTTCACCGTACTACTCGATTTAATAATGATGTGATCCTATATGTAAACATTTTTAAAATCAAAAGGGACTGGAATCTGTCTGGACCATCCAAGATTCCAAAACAGCTTTAAATATTTATATTATATGATTATTTGAGTGGCAGCCCATTCCCACGAGATACGAACCGCATAATTTTGTGTGTTCAGCCTCGCTTCTTGGTCGGATGACCCATGATGCAACATGATGTTTCTGTGGTTAAAGAAAAAAAAAATTATTATATAAGTTTTGTTAAGTATGTAAATCAGAAATTAGTTTTTCTTGTCGAATAGAAACGCTAAAAATATATTGCAAAGTTTATGAAAAAAAATACTGACCCTAAGCATTCGTGGACCTCAGAATCACAATCACCCCTTGATGTAATACGACAGATGTCATGTGGATCTCTTTGTGGTCTAAAAAAAGTCAATTACCTCGTACTGTAAATGTAAAATCCAACCTGAACAAATCATTTAATCTTCTTTCTTTTAAGATATATCCATCCTGCAAGTATAAACAGACCTTTCTAGTTTCCTGCATTCATTCTTTGGTGACCAAACATTGGATATTCATCAAAACATTGTGAGAATTTAGAATTCAGCCGCAAACCAAACCTCACGTTCTCTCTACTACAATGAAAAATCTATACTTCTCAATCATCTTTCCGTTTGCCAAATTATATGCTAAAACTTTGTTGGACTTTTTCTATCTTCCAAATACGCGATATTAATTACCAAAAAATACTGCCAAATCTTAGGAAAGAAAATTTAGAAGTTAAAGGTCTAATTTTGGTACAAGTTTCAAGGATTACTAATGAATCGGATCTTGGTTTAAAAGTTTTAGGTAATCCTTGAAAATTGAACCAAAATTGTAAGTAAGTGGTTTCGGTTAATTTGACAATGGTTCAGTTTTGTCTCTTCCAGTTAAAAGGAAAAGCGAAGACTTTTTAGGCTCAGTTTAGTTTCACTGTCTTCTTCACATCCACTCATCATCATTTCTCTCCGGCGAGTAGACACAGCGACTGACGAAAATTAAAACTCTTCTCCGTCTCTCTCTCTCTCTAATCGCCGGCGATGGAGAGCTTCGCACTTCACTCTCTCTCCACCACCGCCACTTCCGCCTCCTTCTCCCATCATCCCTCACGCCTCTCTCTTCTCCGCCGTATCTCATCGAGATCTCCGCCTTCAACCATTTCTCTCCCATCTCTCCGATCTCACACCGTTCAACCTCTCAATTTCCCTCTCCTCAAACCAATTCCCAGTTTCTCCACACGAATCGCCGCCGCACCACGAGACGACGCCCCTCCTCCTCCTTCCGAATCTCCGTCTCCTCAACCGCTGCAAGGGGCGAAACTAGTACCTCTTCTTCTTTCCGTCTCTGTCGGTCTGATCCTCCGATTCGCTGTCTCTGTACCGGAAGGAGTCACTCCTCAAGGCTGGCAACTTCTCTCGATCTTCCTCTCCACAATCGCTGGTCTCGTCCTTAGTCCTCTCCCAGTTGGAGCTTGGGCTTTTATCGGACTCACTGCTTCGATTGTCACGAGAACGCTTTCGTTCTCCGCCGCTTTCTCAGCCTTCACGAGCGAGGTTATCTGGCTCATAGTCATCTCCTTCTTCTTTGCTCGTGGATTCGTCAAGACAGGCCTCGGCGATAGAATCGCCACTTACTTTGTGAAATGGCTTGGGAAGAGCACTTTAGGTCTGTCTTACGGGCTCACACTCAGCGAGGCCTTGATTGCTCCTGCAATGCCCAGCACGACGGCTAGAGCCGGCGGCATTTTCTTGCCGATCATCAAATCGCTGTCGCTCTCTGCGGGAAGTAAACCAGGAGATTCGTCTTCGAGGAAACTAGGGTCTTACCTGATCCAATCCCAGTTCCAGGTTACTTCTTTTCTATGCCCTTTGATTGCCTCTGAAACTTCGATGTCAGAAACTGGATTGGTTCTTAGTTAGTAGTTCGTGGGATGTGATGTGATACTGAGAAAACAAAGTTTGTAGTTTGGTCCAGTGTGTCTCTTCATCTATATTTATGGAGTTTAAAATGGAGAAGAAGAAGACAGATAGAGAGAGAGATATTGTGTGAATCTGCCGACTGATTTTAAATTTATGTGTTTTACTTGGACCATATACTTTTGTAGTTTATACCATTAATGCAAGACCTTTAATGCCGACATTCATGAAAGAATGTGCCTGTTCTTGAGCATTTGACTTTGCAGGAATCTTCCTTAACTAATCTTGCTTACACCTATTTCTGTTCTGTGATTTTTGCCAGTGCGCCGGAAACTCTAGTGCTCTTTTCTTGACTGCTGCAGCTCAAAATCTGCTGTGCCTCAAGTTAGCCGAGGAGCTTGGAGTAGTGATCGCAAACCCATGGGTTTCTTGGTTTAAGGCCGCTAGTCTACCGGCTATTATATCACTTCTTTGTACTCCACTTATCCTCTATAAGCTTTATCCTCCAGAAACAAAGGACACGCCTGATGCTCCGGGTATTGCTGCATTGAAACTCAAGCAGATGGGCCCTGTCACTAAAAACGAATGGATCATGGTCGGTACAATGCTTCTTGCTGTCACTCTTTGGATCTGCGGGTAAGTTCATAGGGTAACTCTCATGTTAAATTGGTATCATAGGTTCGGTTAAAATCTAAACACTCCATGGTTATTTAATTATACATGTAGAGAGACTCTTGGAATACCAAGTGTCGTAGCTGCTATGATCGGTCTCTCCATACTTCTTCTGCTTGGTGTCCTTAATTGGGACGATTGCCTAAGCGAAAAGTCGGCTTGGGACACATTAGCTTGGTTTGCTGTGTTGGTGGGGATGGCAGGACAGCTCACAAACCTCGGCGTTGTAACATGGATGTCTGATTGTGTAGCCAAAGTTCTTCAATCTCTCTCCTTGAGCTGGCCTGCTGCGTTCGGACTTCTCCAAGCGGCTTACTTCTTCATCCACTACCTTTTCGCAAGCCAAACAGGTCACGTTGGAGCTCTCTTCTCAGCTTTCTTAGCTATGAATATAGCAGCAGGTGTTCCAGGCATATTAGCTGCACTTGCTTTAGCTTACAACACCAATCTTTTTGGTGCTTTGACTCATTACAGCAGCGGTCAAGCCGCTGTCTACTATGGAGGTATCTTGTTATGAAGAGAACTCTCTCTCTCTCTCTTTCTCTTTATGTTAAAAGTCTCTAACTGTGGCATTTGTTTTTCATGTTTTTGGCAGCGGGTTATGTTGATTTGCCTGATGTATTCAAGATTGGATTCGTGATGGCTACGATAAATGCGGTCATCTGGGGAGTAGTTGGAACTTTCTGGTGGAAATTTTTGGGTCTCTATTGAGAAGAGATCTTATTGAAATCACCAGAAGAAGTTGTTCTTTGAAGCTTGCAAAGACGGTGCAATCTCTTTGTTGATGATCGATTATTTGGTTTCGAGGGGTTTTTTTCGTGTTCTCCTTTTTAATTTACTTGCAGTTAGAGAATCGGACATCCTTTCTCACACAGATATAAAGAGATCTGTCTCGATTTGTTTCTCTCTTATGAAATATCTTATTTTTTCAGAGAATAGGGGTGTTTTGTTACAAGGAAAAAAAGTGAATTAAAAGGAGATAATGAGCCGTTGAAAAGCCCAAAATGAGTCTTTAGTGGGCCAATAATGAGCCGTTTGAAAGCCTAAAATGAGTCACTAATGGGCCTATTTTGATGGGCTAGTTGAGGAACCGTTTAGGGCCACGAAAGGACCATTAATGGGCCATTAAAGGATCAATAATGGGCCATTAATAGGCCTTTAAAGCGCCATTCATGGGCAAGTGAAGTATCGGTAATGGACCATTAATGCGCCATTGAAGGATCGCTAATGGACAATTGAAAGATTGGAAATGGGCCAATAGTGGGCCAAAGAAGGATCGATAATGAGCCATTAATGGTCCTTTGATGGATCGCTAATGGACCATTGAAAAATCTTCAATGGGCCATTAATGGGCTAAAAAGATCGGTAAGGACCATTAATGGGCCAAAAAGATCGGTAAGGACTATTAATGGACAATTGAAGGATTGGTAGTGGGCTATTAATGGGCCATTAGAGGATCGTTAATGAGCCATTAATGGGCCTTTGATGGATCACTAATGGACCACTGAAAGATCGCCAATGGGCCATTAATGGGCCAATAATAAATCGGTAATGAACCATTAATGGGCCATTGAAGGATCGGTAATGGGTCATTGAAGCATCGGTAATTAGTCACTAATGGGCCATTGTAAGATCGGTAATGGGCCATTAATGGGCAAGTGAAGGATCGCTAATGGACCAGTGAAGATTGGTAATGGGCCATTAATGGGCAAGTGAAGGATCGCTAAAATGGACCATTGAAAGAATTGTAATGGGCCATTGAAGGATCGTTGGGCAATTAATGGGCCACTGAAAGATCGGTAATGGGTCATTAATGGGCAACTTTAAGATCGGTAATGGACCATTGAAGGATTTGTAATGGGCCTCGAAAGGACCACTAATTGGCCATTGAAGGATCCGTCGCCCATTGCCGATACTTCAGTCCCCCATTAGTGGTTTCATTTCGTGGCCAATTAGTGGTTTCGTGGGCCAATTAAGGCCCGTAAATGAACAGTAATAAGTAACTAATGTCTCACTAACGTGTTAGTTCTCTCCGGAGGAGGGTAATTTATTTGAGAATCCACGAGTTCTCACTAACGATGAGTTTCGCTCTCCATTCCCTCTCAATCTCTGCTTCTTCATCAGCCTCATTTCTCTCTCTCCGACGCTTTCCTTCGAGATCGTTATCGCTTCTACAACCTTCGATTTCCCTTTACTCATCCCCAACCGTCCGATCACTCTCCATCTTCTCCACTCGATTAACTCCACGCGCCGCGGCCTCCTCCTCGCCGGAGAAACCGTCCAGCACTCAATCATCGTCAATTTCTTCGCCGCCGCAAGGAGCGAAGCTGGTTCCTCTGTTGATCTCCGTCTTAATCGGTCTCACTGTCCGATTCTTAATCCCCAGACCCGAACAAGTGACATCACAAGGATGGCAATTGCTCTCAGTTTTCCTCTTCACGATATCAGGGCTCGTCCTTGGTCCACTCCCTGTCGGTGCTTGGTCTTTCGTCGGCTTAACCGCTTCAGTCGTCACCAGAACGCTTTCGTTCTCAGCCGCTTTCGCCGCTTTCACCAACGAGCTCATCTGGCTGATCGCGATTTCGTTCTTCTTCGCTCGTGGATTCATCAAAACGGGTCTCGGCGACAGAATCGCAACGTATTTCGTGAAATGGCTCGGGAAAAGCACTCTTGGTCTATCGTACGGTCTCGCCTTCTGCGAAACGCTTATGGGTCTGATAATGCCGTCTACGATGGCTAGAGCCGGCGGGGTTTTCTTGCCGGTGATCAAGTCTCTGTCTCTCTCCGCCGGAAGTAAACCCGGAGATCCATCTTCGAGAAAACTAGGTGCTTTTCTCATCCAGACTCAATTACAGTGTTCAGGAACATCTGGTGCGCTTCTCCTGACATCAGCTGCACAAAACTTGCTGTGCCTCAAACTAGCGAGAGAAGTTGGTGTGGTAGTCTCAAATCCATGGGTCACTTGGTTTAAAGCCGCGAGTGTTCCTGCATTGGCGTCTCTTCTTTCTACTCCTCTCATCATCTACAAGCTTTACCCTCCTGAGCTGAAACACACACCAGAAGCCCCAGCTGCAGCTGCAAAGAAACTAAAACGATTAGGTCCCATCACCAAAAACGAATGGATAATGCTCGGGGCTATGGCTCTCACCGTCTCTCTTTGGGTGTTCGGGTAAGATTCCTTGCAAATCTGAACTGGTTTATGATATTAGATGAAAGAATTCATCTAATTTTCTTATATATATTTTTGATGGTGACACCGCGCAGAGAGACAATAGGAGTAGCAAGTGTTGTATCCGCGATGATCGGTCTATCAACGCTTCTGCTATTGGGAGTTATAAACTGGAACGACTGTCTAAGCGAGAAATCAGCTTGGGACTCGCTCACTTGGTTTGCGGTTTTGATTGGTATGGCTGGACAGCTAACAAACCTCGGGGTGGTTGCTTGGATGTCGGATTGTGTGGCCAAACTGCTCCAATCTCTGTCCCTGACTTGGCCAGCATCACTCGTTATTCTCCAGGCTTGTTATCTCTTGATCCATTATCTATTCGCAAGCCAAACCGCTCATGCAGGAGCGCTCTATCCTGCCTTCTTGGCGATGCAAATCGCTGCTGGAGTCCCAGGGGTTTTAGCAGCGCTTTGCTTGGCTTTCAATAATAATCTCTCTGCTGCATTGGCACATTATACTAGTGGCCCAGCTGCTTTATACTATGCAGGTCTGCCTTCTTTTCTTTTCATATCTTATTTTTCATTTTTTGCTTAATTAAACGACTTAAGTACACTTTTTTTCTTACATATTATTTTTTTGTGGGTCTGAATTCGCAGCTGGATACGTAGATCTGAAAGATATGTTTAGACTCGGGTTCGTGATGGCTCTTGTACAAGCAATCATCTGGGGATTTGTCGGATCTTTCTGGTGGAAATTCTTGGGTCTTTACTGAATAATGAAACTGCTCCGGCCATTTTATTTTTCTAAACACAAACCAATCCAAAATTCAAACAAAACCGAAAGCTGGATTTTACTTTAATGCCGGTTTTATATTGTTTTGGATCCAAGCTGAACCGAAATTAAACATATAAAGAAAACATCCACTTAAACTATGAGAAACAAAATTAAAAATATGGTTTAAACACAATGGTCTAATATTCCTTCATACAAACATGGTTAACTCAGGTCGGCTATAAACATTTGTCTGCTCATCCTCAAGGACCGGGTAAGCAGCAACTAGCGTGTCCTGGGCACCAATGTATAGCGAATTGTAGATCTTCCAGTACACTTCACGGACCTTGCGCGCCGGATGAAACAAGCCCTGCAAACAATAGTTTAGAATAACGGCTGCACCTAATGCAACTCTCATTCCTTCAATGGCTTCCATCACAGCGTTGATGACGTGAGGAGATGTCTCGAAAATGTTGGGCCAGATGTAGTTAAGCAAGTGAACCAAAGCGTCTTCACAACCCAAACCAGCTACACCTAATGCCATGTGTTTCACGGCTGAAGCTGCGGTTTGTCTGTGAACCAAATCTCTGTCCATGAGCGCGTCTTCCAGCAACGGTGTCACTGCGTATATGTAATCTTTGCCCATTTCTCCAATGTATTCGAACAGGAAAGAGAGAGACTTCAATACACCGTTTTGGACGTTGAGCTCTGGAACACGGTACTCGTTCATCAAAGCGGGTAAAACAGTGAAGGGAGAGCATGTTTCGGCGACTATGGCGATTGCAACTGTGGTGCAAACACGGTTCTGACGTTCTTGGACTTTGAGATTGTTCAGTAAAGTGGCTAGAACGTCTTGTGGTCCGATGGCTTTGGCAATGTACCCGAAAGTGTTGACTGTGGCACGGCGGATACCTTTTTTATGCGCTTTAAGCATTTCAAGAAGCTCGAAACAAATTCTCATCCACTCCCTAGCCGGAACAAACTCAGCACCACGATCAGCAATCCTACCAACAAGGTCGATACAATTCTCTTGCACTTTCTCGTGCCTGTTCTTCAAAATTGGGGTCAATCTTGGAAGCAGATCCTTAATGGGAGGAGTCATCTTTGTCATACCAATCACGTTGACGATAGCTTTTAAAGCTCCAAGAATTGATCCCAAGACTTCAGGGTACTCTTCTCCAAGATACTCATACAAGACAACACCGAGATGTCCCATCAACTGTTCCTCTCCACACTGCTTCATGACAACAGCAATTCTAGAAATAAGATCAGCAGCTTGTTGTCTTACCTTTGCACTCTTGTTGTTTAGTCGCCACTTGATGGTACCACAAATCTGAGGAAGATACGGCTTTACACGCTGACCAAGACCATTCACTACAGCACCAAATCCATTAAGCATCACATTAGCATCATCGCTTGTCTGTTCTTGGAAAGCATAGAGAATGCCATCAATGAGCAGTTCCTCCAATCTGGCATCAATATCAGATGCTCCCAAGTTTGTGATAACTTTGTCAATGGTTTCCATAACCATACGCCGGTACGGTTCACTCTCATCTTTAAGATTTTCGACCACCTTTCCCACAATATCCGCAACACCGACCTTGTTCGCAATCTCCACAGTAGTTTCAACAAGCTGCTTATAGTTTCTCTTCTCCAGAGCCATTCTCCTAACCCAGAAATGCTTGAAGAACTCAGGCAAAATATCACTGCGAATGTAATCCGACTCAACTCCTTCTGTACTGACACACTGTTTCACCACCTTGAGGACAATCTTCTTCATCTCTTCATCAGGAGACTGGAACTCGCGGATCAAGATAACCATCACTTCTTTTGTATAGTAGCTCGCATAAATAGCATCCATCAAGGGGATGATAAAACCAATCGCCTTCAAAAACGCAGCCAAAACTTTACCGCGGTGAGACCTGATACCTTTCCACAGAGGCTTCAGAACTGAGTCAAAGCTCTCAATACCATAAGGAGCAGCAGCCTCGGCAAGAGCAGCCAGTGACAAGGCGGTAATAGTCCTAACCTTCTGGTTTTCATCACTGAGACCATGTTCGATGATCTCTACTAGAGACCTTAAGTGAGGCAGGACGGCACAGCCAATTAGTATGGCAATCTGCTGAACAATCTTAATTCCAGTGTGCCGTGCCTGCCATGACTTCTTACTCTGGCAAACGGCTTTCAGGAACGGCAAGAGTGCAGGGATCCCAAGAGCTGAAGCCACCACACTGAACGCTCTTGCTGTTGTGTTCCTCACATATTCATCCATGTTGTCAATATCAGGCCGCATAGCTGCAATCATAGTGGCTAAACCAGCTGCTTGCTAAGGTTAGAAATAATTTCTCTACCTTCTACACGAGCATAATAATCTTCATCAATCAACAGAGGCTCAATAACAACAAGAACCTTGTGGACGAAAGGCCTTACCAGCTCATCAAGTTTGTACAGAATCCTATCGATTACTTTCACCAAAAGATGCCTCTCTTGATCTTCCAGAGTGGGTTGCATGAGCAATGGCAAAATTTTATTAAACAAGGGACCAGCACCAAGCTCACGGGCCTTATCTGTAAGCTGCCTTAAAGCTGTTTTCCTCTGGGCAGGAGTTCCATTTTTAACCTTCAACAACAGTTTCATTATCTTGCGTTCTTTCTGCTCGTCAGGAGACAGCTCTTCTTCGTTCTCCTCATTCAACAGAGCTCCGAAGTACTGATAATCCTCAGGTTTCATAAACGGCAACCCACCAGGAACTTCCGGGGGCACATCATACTGCTGCCCACGGACTTCCTCCGGAATAATGTAGCCCGGAGTAGCCATAGGTGTCGGGGTTCCTACAGCCTTCTTAGCAGGCGTCCGGATGGGAACATAAGAAGCAGGCGGATCCAAAACCTTGTACCCTTCGGTAGGAAACATGGCATCAAGCTCTTCATCACTCAATGGTCTGTTTCTCTCTTCGATATCCCTCTCCCACCTCTGCAAATTGTACTGCTCAGGGGTCATAACACCACGCAGATTAAGCTGGCCCGGAGTTGGTGTAGCCATATCGATCCCACCGACTGGAGTGACACCAGGAGTGTAAGCACCAGCAGGAGTCACTCCGCCCATAGGTGTAGCACTTCCCATAGTGGCTGGTGTCTCGTCCCACCTTGAACGTTGACGCTTTGGGGTAGGCGTTGCAAGCCCTTTCGGAGTCGCGTCCCATGTAACGCCTGAAGGGGTTGCACCGGGAGTAACACCACCACCTGGTGTTGCATCAGAATCAGTAACACGACCAGGTGTAGGAGTTTCGTCCCACCTGTTCCTTCGTCCAACAGATGGTGTTGCATCAGAAACTCTCCCTGGAGTTGCATCCCACCGCCCAATCCCTGGAGCTGCATCAGGTAAATCCCAATCCGAAGTTGACGATTTAGACTTCTTTGCAGCAGCACCGTCCTCTTCGGAGAGGTCCCACCTCTGTCTCCTCCTGGAAGAAGAAGAAGATGAAGAAGAAGGAGGAGGAGGAGCAGAATCTTTCTGTCCCTTTGCAGCTTCTTCTTCCTCTTTCTTTTTCTTAGCGATGAGCCTCATAGTTTCCTCTCTCTCCCTCTGCAAAGCCGTCTCCCTCATATGGTCCGTGTAAGTCCGAACACTCGGATCCGGCGTCTTCTCGCCCATAGAAAAAGGGTCAACTCTATCCGGAGAGAGAACTCGATTGAGTCTCCTGTTCCTATAATCACCCTCGCGTTCCGCAATAGTCTGCCTAGGCTTGAATCCGCCATCGTCATCTTCGCTGTGAGCACGAGCTACGTCATTGAGAATCGACCTAGGAGCGGTGTAAGAAGCAAGACGCTGAGCCACGAGCGAACCAGTGGTGTCCAGATTCGGATCCTCCTCATCGTTGGGTGCTATAGATGTCAAGTAGGAATCACGGTCGTTATCTCCGTACAGATCGCGATCGAAATTTAAAGAAGTGAGAGAAGCGAGGTCTGCTTCCATCTTCCGTCTCTCCTCTTGAATTTTGGCGATCTCTGGATCTAGATCCGCCATTATCGATACTCAACGAAGCTGTTTCCAACACACACACACACAAAAAGGAACTGAGATATTGGGAAAACAGTAAATCAGAAAACGAATCGAGATCATAATACAACTAGATCAAAGAAAAAGCAATCAAGGTAACGAGAATAACTCACCGATTATCGGATATGACCTGCGAATGAATGTGGAGAAGCAAAATGAGAGAACTAGGGTTTATCCAGATAAATCCAGGAGAAAAAGAAAAAAAAATTATATATACCGAGTCGGTTCTTAAGATCGAGTCAGATCTTAATTTGGGCTCGTGAACTATTTTTATCTATTGGGTTCATTTACAGAAAAAAAAAAAGCCCAAAGCGCCAATACAAAGCCGACAATATCTGTATATAGCCATGTAAGCATTACATCCACTTGAGGCAATGAAATATTGTATATTTTTTGGTAGATAGGCAAAAAATGTCATACTTTAAAACTATACACGTATTGTTTTGCAAGAAATGACTGAAATTGTCGACACATGCTTTGACTAATTTGTAAGTCCTAATGATTGGCTCAGGCCTCAGTTGATAGTATACAACTACGAGAACATTCAAACTTTAGCAGCATGCTTACACATCTAAACTTTTTGAGTACTGCTTAAATTCATAAACTTTTGTTCAACGAAGTAAATAATTACATAATTCCACCATTTTGCTACTTTAAATTTACAACCACTGCACCCATATGTAGTATGTATTCATAAAACTAAAAAAAATAACTAAGGTGAGTGTATACTTACAAAAACATAGGCACCCAACACAGCTGCTAGTAGGCTACTAGTTTTTAATTTTGAAATTGAGTTCGATCATATAGAAAAAAAATAAAGAAAGCCAATATGCATGCTATATGCTAGGTGTACCATTCTATAAAGTAATTAAATTAACAATATCCCGTAACATTTCCATTTAGATTTTATAAGTTACTCATAAGTGTTTATATTTTAGTAATGACAAAAAATTATATTTTCACAAGACAAAAAAACATATTAACACAACACCCTTGTTGAAAAAGTGCATGCTTTCGTAAGTTTCCCCAACAGCCACACTATCTTACACTGTTCGCCTTTCTTATTTAGTACACAGCCAGTTTTGTTTAAAAAACTTTATGAGTCGTACCCCTTTAATAAAGAGGCTTTATTTAGACATTATCCTTACTCACTAGCTTGTTTTTTAAAACTACTGATATAGCCGAAAGTCCGGATCCACTACAGCTTAATCAATTTCGTAGTAGATATACTATACTAGTGATACGAACTATTCGATAAAAAAACTACATAAATAATTCTAATACAGTAATATAAAATTGAAAGTAATATAGAGAGGCCTTCGTGATACTTAAATGTTACAAACTTTCCTTTGGAGCAAAGAACGGAAGCAATGGAGGACTTCACCAAAACCCACCGACCCTGTTCAGGAGATACTGCATAGCTAAACTACTATATTGACATTTGTATCAGGACTCCAATCGAGTACCTTTTCACGCGATATTAAGAAATTTTTACTACCCCATTTTGTAGCTGTTGTTTTCTTTAAAGGTTTTTTTTTTCTCGATAGCTCTTGCTTAACTTTTTTTTTCTCGATAACCCTTACTTAACTTACCCCTACAGTTTAATTCCAAAGGAACTTTTAATCATACTTAATACAAATAATGGAAGACTTGTAATTGCTTATATTATCTTAATATGCATAGAAAATAATAAAGCTTATAATAGTATGAAACGAGTATCTTACTAAGCAATTAATTTGGTCTCCTAGGCCCCAACAACACTGAGAGCAGCCTGCTTTATACTCCCATCTTCCTTTGTATTGTTATCCACTTTATCATCGATCGAATTAAATTAAATACACAGATAACATTATTGTCTTCTACCCACTAATACTAAAAAAGTCAGGTTGCTTTAAATAAAATAATTAGTGATATAGGCTTCGATCATTATGTTAACGGAGTGTATTTAATTGAATAACGTAGCAACCAAACAAAAAGATTTTATTATTATATTTATAGGCATATATTTTCCACATTGGGAGCCCAACATAATTTACACGTCATCACAAGAAAACGACAAAAGCAAAGAGCGCTATCCACAATCCAAACCCGAGATCCAAACCCGAAAGATTTGTCTCTACACGCGCGTGCAACTTGTGTTGTTGACTACAGATGTTATCTAGATCTCGTCAATCGTTATCGATATATTGCCACGTGTCTTACTCACCTCCCTTGGATTAAATCAGGGTCTTGCACGTTGAGGTCTGTGGATCCCACATCGCCGGCAAGAGATATTTCCTACCGCCGAGTCCACGAGCGTTGTAACTAGACCCGGTTGTTTTGTCGACGAGGACATGACCCGCGTAACCCGGATAAGAACCCGACCCGAATATGCCAGGACAAGCGGAAACAGCTTCAAGCGGCGCAGTTGGTGGGCCCTGGTAATATCCGTTTTTAAACGGATTCGTGACGGTGTTAGCGAGAAGTGTAGCGAGGTTTATGATCATTCCGTCAACTCCAACGTCACCGTTAGGCGCAACTAACGGCGGCGTTTGTGGTCCGTAAATCGGCTGGTGAAACGGCCAGGCGCAATATCCCGGGCACTGCGTCTCGGAGTTTCCGACCCATATGTAAGCGGCGCCGTTGGCCGCGCGACGCGATTTCGAGCCGGAGGATCCGTGGGTCCCACATCGGTTCATACAGAACCCCTCGACGGTAACGTCTTTGGCCGTTAAAACGACAGTTATGGAACGGAGTCCGCCGTTAAGCTTGGTGGATAAAGCACGGAGGTAAGGATTTTTAAGGGATTTTCCGAGAGGATATTTCTCGAGGAGAAGCTGTTTTCCGACAACGAGCGTTGAGGATCCGCCTTTGTATTTCTCCGTCGTCTTCCACCACGACGCGACGGAAGGAACAGCGGAGGTTGCGGCGTCTTTGGAGTTGAGCGAGCGGATGAAGTCGACGATTACGGACCGTTGGATGGGTGTGAATTTTCCGTACCAAACGAGATTGACTGTGATATTTCCTTTCAAGAGAACGCCGTTGTGGTACTTGAGAATTAGCGGCTGCTCCTTGACCAACGCGGCGGTGGAAAGACCGGCGGTGGCGAAGAGCAAAGTGAGAAAGATAGCAAAACGGTAATTACAAGCCATTAAGAGGGCAAAGAAGATATTGAAGAGATAACAGAGGTTTTGTTTGGGGGTTTATAGGATACTGGTATAGTGTGTGATATGAGAGTTATTTATACCAAAGTTTCTTTTTTTTTCATTTTTGTGAAATGGGAGACGAGTGCGACAGCTGTATTAGCAAAGGTGTTAACGTCAAATACTACCACGTGGACGGATTTGAATGGTAGATAAGGGTATTTTGACAGCCTGTGAGGTTCTTGACGTGGTAGTCTCCATAACGTGTATTAAATTTAAAGGCTTTAGCCGATTAATTTGTTATTACAAAAAGCTGTTTTTAGTTTGGATTCGGAGAAATGGGCAAATAACATCTCCATGCGCAGTTGCATAAGATTTGTAATACATTCCCCAAACATAAAATTAGAAACAAAAGATATATACATATACATAATGCATATATACATTGATTTTCAGATAAAGAAAGACTGAATTACTAAGATAGTTTTTTTGAGCTGTCATTTATAATTAACTATTAGAACTTTATAAATACACCGAGTTTAATTTAAATGCAAAATTCCCATTCTAGATTTAAATGAAAAAAGTTCGTTATAAAATACAACTAAAATCTATTAAATTGTGATTATTAATTTGATCAACTGATTATTTTTAAAATAAACAAAAAAATAGTGGTTGTAGTCGATCTGATTTGAAATACCACGATACATTCAACACGCATATAGTCAAAAACCAGCTTTAAGTTTTAAGAGATGGGCCGTAGAAAATAACATTCTCTTCACTCCCTTTTTTCAGAAAAAAAAAAAATTAAACAACGCTAAAATCATTTTTATGTACTGTATCATTTTTCTAATCGTTATGTTTTGACGTTTTGAAACTGAATGAAGAATAAATCTCATATAGTCCTACTATATTTCTGCATAATAGTGTATACTGGTATGCCCCCCCAAAAAAAATGTTAACCAGCTAACAATTTAAAGCTTCTTTTTCTGTTCATCTATTTTGCTGACTCCTCAGCATCATGAGGCACGAGCGTGTAACTTGTGCATACTCTATACGCAAATACATTGAACAGTAATTAATTGGCCGTTCTAGAAGAAGTCATTACGCGTTTCAATATTCGATTAAAAAAAATAGTTTATATGATAGTATTTGTAAGATAAAACAAATTCATCATATAGGGGGGATTTATTTAGGGGAGGTTCCCTTTGTACTTGAAGGATTTTGAGATAAACAAAGTAATTGATACCGTGTGATGATCGTCTTACTTTTGGGAGGTCCCTACCTTCGTTTTCTGTGGGTACCACAAAGCCATACGTATTTACTTACGAACAGTGTACAATTATATGAATAGCTAGGTGTACGTATGGATATATACGGAGCACTTGAGTAGTTTAGTCGTGTTTAGCAAGGCAAGGTACGGCTCTACGAGACTACGATGCGTACGAACCACGTCCTTACAGTCCATTATTGCCTTTTACATCTGTAGGGCCCACTCCTCCCTTGTTTCTTTGTCCTTTACCTTTTACTTTATTTTGAAAAACTCTCTTCTTCTTTAATATTTTTTTAAAAAAATTCATCGAAATTTATTTAACAAAAACCTGAAATCTGGTATACTGTCTACAGAAATTATTTGGTTTTGTGTGTTACAGAAATTATTTATAGTGGGTGGGATGCAAGAAAACTAATATATATATATATATATATATAAATTATATGTATAAATATATTCCGCACACCAGAAAACACACGTTTCTTTCTTTTTTTTACTATTACAATATTTTTGGCATAATTAAAGAAGATAGTGGAGCTGAAAAGAATGTGGGTAGATAACTAGGGTAAATTCACCTCCGTTAAATGAATTTTGATTTCTGTTGAAAGTGATCTACGATGTAGCTGAATTTTGTGGATCATGTGTAAGTGTGGGTACTTGTTATTAAAACTCAAAAGAAAGTAAGAAAAAATAAGCTACTTACGTCACGTGTCAGAAGTTCCACAGAGTAATAGGATTCGAAGCAATCCACTTATCTCTGCGCCTCTGCCTCTACGATTTAATTTGGACACGTGAAAAAACTTTCATCCTTCTCTAGTTATGTACGTGAAGAAAAGTATGAAGAGTAGACTGTAAAGGCAATTAATATGGTTGCGATATTTTACCATAAGTTATAAAAATTGAATAAAATTATGGCCAACTTGACATTTAAATTAACAACTTTTAGTTAAAAGAAAAAACTAATTTGCATACGGTATTTGTACTAATTATAACGGTCGATCGTTCATTTTTTGGGGACATCAGTCCGAAGCCAAGTACGCACGTGCATGGCAAATGAAACAAGTACGTTCGGTAACAGCAAAATCGATGGTAGAACTACAAACGAAAGCTATGCTTAAAAATATTACTTTTTTTTGTGTGCACAAGGTGTGACAATTAAAAGAAAAAGAAAGGTATCTTTAAAATTCATTAGTAACTGGGATCGTATACCAATAATACATATAATAGGAGTATAGGACTTTAAATTCGAGAGTGGTTATGTTTTCGTCACTTTAATAAAAAGTCGAGCTGAATATATTACATATTCAAAAAAAATTGTGGCCGACGATCCAAATTTACAAAGGGGCCAGTACATTACTTGCGGATGGCAAATGAGAGAAGAAGAAATACTTACTCCAATAATAAAGAGGAGTCAAAGAAAAGGCAAAGGAGTCTCACGTGCGGATGTGATATTGCGTAGTCGGCACGGAAAGCGACAAACAAAAAAAACATCGTGTGAAAAAGGAGAGTGGAAATCACGCGCTATCCGTACTAGCCTTTTTTATCCACGACTGTCTTTTCATATCTTGCCACGCGCGCATTTCTTTTTTTTTTTTCTCACCACGATTTATGTTATACTTATTGATGCTGTCCTAATATTTTTTTATTTTTTATTTTTTTATCAATGACATTTCTCTCAGTAGGCCGTCTCAATTCTATACGTGACCTTATTAGCCCACTGACTCATTTATTGTGGTTTGCTATACCTTGTCAGATCAACTAAAAAAAAAGGTCTTAAAATTCTTGAAATTGGAAATAATTTAGACCCGATTGCCTGTAGAATATAGTACTTATAGTATTGAAAGTTACATAGAAAGTATAAAATAATAAAATTACAACATCAAAAAATATTACAACCAATCACATCAATAAAAAAATATTCTATGATATTTCCCATATTTTGTTTTTAGGTGACAAGGGAAAAAAATATCCATCGGGAAACAAGATTAATAAGTGGTTTACAAAACAACTTAAGGTATTGAAATGAATGTTTTACGGAGGGAACCATCATCAATACGAACATATAAAATAATTGTAAGTCGTAACTATTGTGGTTTCGTCTGATTAGCCATGTGTAATTAATTTTGTTATAAGCCAAGAAAATTATGGTATCAGAGCCATGGTGAGAGAGCCAGTACTTGTTCGTAATTCCGAATTGATACTTGCAAACAATTCGTTCGTCAGAAAATTACAAACGAATCTTTTATAAGAACTTTATCTTTTGGATGTCTACTGCTGAAATCAATTATTTACTTGTTCGTACGGCAATGGCATGCACAAATATGAAAATGACAAACCAATAATTAAGCATAATAATTTCAAAACTGAATTTGGATTTATTTCAGCAATTTCAAAAGAAAAAGGTATAATTTTGTTATCTTTCATAACACTCTACAAGGAGGCGTATAAAAACATAATTCTATGATAGTGATAGTCTTCGTAAATAATTGCTATTAACTGTCCATATTGAGGCGGACGTTCGCCACACAAATTATATATATAATATAATTTCCTATACTAGGAAAGGAAATGAATTTACAAACAGAAAATAAATACATAATATAAAATATCGAAAGTAATTTAATTAGCATTACTTAGCCTTTTAATCAAACAGATCTTGTGACGAACTTCGAGGTTATCGTGCCGTGAATTGGACCATATCTTATCCACCCCAAGACTTAAGAGTCCACTTTCTTTTGAATATTCCCCATCTACTGTGACGGGACTTGCAAATTTTGTGGCAATAATCGATCAAAAATTCCCAGTGTGGCGTCAGCTATCTGAGCAACATAACGGGCCTTTATAATTGAAGCCCATGATCTATATTAAAACCCAAGCATGATTAGTCTAGTATCTTAACAGTCTTTTTTTCCCTCCTTAATGGGTGATTTGAGAAGTAAATGAATCAGTTATACTGATTTGACAAATTCTGGAGGGATTCAATCGATTTACAAGAGAATTGTTTGATCACCGTCTCTCAGATGTTGTGTAGCAGAAGAGCTTTGTTTCCCTCGATTTCAGGAAGAATTTTTGTAGCTCAACCCATAAATCGATTCCGCCATGTTCTGATAGTTGTTGGTGCATTGACTTGAGTTAGAGAAAATCGAGATAAACGAAGAATGCCATAGTAATTTTCTTGAGGAGAAATGGTGGAGTTATGGCATCGATGAATCAACCGTGATGTAGTATGTGACGAAAGCTTCGCTTAGAAAATCGAAATAAATCTATAAAAATAATGGAGAAGAAGGCGAAGGAAATTTCGAATACGGCTCTGGTGTTTTTAGCGTTATATAAGACTTTTCTTTTTCTGCTGGAGAGGAATATAATAACAACACCAAGAGATAAGCAGAGGAAGTGAAATTATGGGTTTGAAGGGGATTTTAGGTTTCGAATACGGAATAGTTCAGGCGCCGTTAGGGCCAGATATCTCCGGACCAGAGCTTGTAGCCGCCGTCGCTAATGCCGGAGGGATCGGTCTTCTCAGATGTCCTGATTGGGTAATTGCAACACTCTTTTTGTTTTTTTCTCTCCTGTATGATTCGATCATTTCACGGTCTTCGTATTGTTCAATTTTTCGATGATTTGAATCAATCAGGAGTGTCCTGATTACTTGAGAGAGCTTATAAGGAAGACAAAGACATTGACAGACAAACCATTTGGGATCGGTGTTGTTCTTGCGTTTCCTCATGAGCTGAACATAAAGGCAATCTTAGAAGAGAAGGTCGCTGTGTTGCAGCTTTATTGGGGTGAATGTTCAAAGGAGCTTGTGGATGATGCTCACCGTGCCGGAGTCAAAGTTGTTCCTCAGGTAAAGTTTTCCACTAAATTTGCAGAGATTCATGGGCCTAAGTTATAAAGAGTTTGGTTTCTTGATTTGATTTATCAGCAGGTTCACCTATACCCCTTAGTTATATATTATTACGAGGATTTTGTCTTATTTCTTAGTGATTTGCGTAGGTGGGGAGTGTGGAAGAAGCTAGAAAGGCCGTTGCTGTAGGAGTAGACGCCATTATCGTCCAAGGGAATGAAGCAGGAGGGCATGTAATTGGCAAGGTAAGCCTAATTGTTACCTGTATAATCCTTAGTTTAAATGTTTGATACATCAAAAAAGTTTATTTTCTTTTCTTTCAAGGATGCTCTATTTTCGTTGTTGCCAAGAGTGGTTGATTTGGTTGGGGAATGCGGTATTCCTGTCATCGCTGCTGGAGGAATCGTGGATGCACGTGGTTATGTTGCAGCCTTGTCACTTGGTGCTCAAGGGGTTAGTCTAGGCACAAGGTGTGCTCTTCCTTCCACATGTTCTCAAGTTTGACTGCTTGAATGAGTTTTTGTCGGGGCTGAGCTTTGTTTTCTTAGGTTTGTGGCGACTCATGAGAGCTACGCACACCCTATATACAAGAGGATGTTGGTGGAATATGAAAAAACCGAATACACAGATATCTTTGGAAGAGCAAGGTGGCCTGGTGCGCCACAACGTGTTCTGGAGACACCATTCTTCGACGACTGGAGATCCCTCTCGGCTGATGAGAATGAAGTTAACCAGCCTATTATTGGACGTTCCACCATACATGGCGTCGTAAGTTTCATTTTCATATATAAAGTCCAATTTCCTCCAAATATTGTGGTCTCGCACTGATGAATAAGGGAAGCTCACTGCAGGAAAAGGAGATAAGAAGATTTGCAGGAACAGTACCAAACATGACAACGACGGGGGACTTGGAGAGTATGGCGATGTATGCAGGCCAAAGCGTAGGCCTCATCAAAGAGATTTTACCGGCTGGAGAGGTAGTGAAAAATCTTGTGGAAGCAGCTCAGCTTCTGATCCTCCAAAAGTTCAAAAATGCTACATGATGCCCTCAAATCATGATTAAAAAAAAAAACTTTACTGCTTTTTTGGAATTGATATGAGATTAGTCTCATCAAATATAATAAGGTACCCCTTCCGGATATCTTTTGTAAAAAGTTGTTTTCATCATGTGTATTACTCGTTATGGTATTGAATCATCATGTCTGTTGCGATTACGGTTTTATCCACACAGCTTGATTTCGTATAGAGTTTCTAAGTGAATCCCTGATCAGTTATGCCCGTGAGGCGTGACCTTATAATGTTCAAGGAAACCTCATGCTTGCTGCCTTCATATGTTCATAGCTTTTGTCTATCAAAAGTTACATTTCGGTTTATAAGTAGGTGTGTATATGTGTAAAACGTTCCCGAATCATAACAGGCAACTTGGTACTCCTAATATACACATTATCCTTCTAGATAAAAAAAAAAGCAAGAAGAAGAGTGACTCCGATTCTTCCCATATTTTAAGCAAACATATGTTTATGATAAATTATTCAAGCACAACACATTTAAAAACCAATCTACTTAACAATCCAAATAACTTAGTCCAGCATTGATAGATAGGTAAATTATCTTTCGAATGGATCTTGTCTTGTGCAGACGACGACGAGTCAAGCAACCACCACCACCGCCACGGTTACTTCATCGATTCTCGTGCAGTTTCTACATCGCTCGAGTGCTGATTTGCCACTTGATGATCCTCACAGGTAGCTAGAGATGAAGAGATTTGATTTGCAAGTCCGGTCGGATTTAACTTGATCCTTTTATTCTCTGCAAAACCCTTAATAAACTGATTTTGACCCTTGAGACTCAAGCATCCCGTATCCTCATTAGCAACGACGAGACTAGGGTTTTTTGGTATAATTTCTGAACTCTGAGTCTGACCCACGAGCATGAAGCATCCCGTATCCTCATCGAAGGATCTTCTAACTATAGCAATGCGATCAGAATCCTTACCAAGCTCAGCCTTGTACAAGTCATTGTACCTTATGTAGATAATTGCATTTTTGGCATTGAGTGCGTCATCTATGGCCACTTTCACAATCTCCAACTTGTTGGAGAGACCACAGTCCCTACCGGTGGTGGTGGCAACAGCAAGTTCCAAATATAGACGAATCCAGTCATTGTCTTGCAGCTCTGATTCCTTCACCTTTGACCAAAAAGGCAAAACATATATCACCACTACATTGTATGTTGATCAAATGATGCCAATTGTGTGTCTGAATCTGAATCTTACCAGGTAACATTTTTCAAAAGGATTCTCTGGCGGCCACTCAGGCAAGCTAGTACCCATATACATGACTCTTTTGCTATGGCTTGTTTCCCCTTAATACAAATATTATTAAATCAGCAATTAAGTTGAGATAGATGATTTCGTTGTATACAAAGGAAAAATAATTGAAAAGATATTTCACCTCGGATTCTTGCAATCTTGCACGTCAGAATAAATTTACCACCCTCTTCTTCTGATACTCTAGTCTGAAAAGTTTGAAGCGAAGAGCCAGCAGCTATTGCATCCAATGTTATGTAGTAAGAGCCAACAGGAGAACCTATTGAGAGAATGTATTTCTTTACGCGAATGAGTTGAAACTTTGTACCCTGAAATCAGGAAGAGAGATATTGATTGTAGAAGCATAGTATACAGAGCATGTGGATAATAAATAAAAAAACAAAGAGTTTTAGACCTGCAGCAAATTATAACGATGAAGGCCCATCTTAGCATACAGGAGGACTTTGCCAGGACAAGGAAACCATTTATTACAGATCCTTTCCTGTAGTCCGAGCGTAAAATCACAACCCTTGAGATCGAACACCTATTAGCAGACGCAAATAATCAGAGCTAACAAATCACGATTTTAAAGGATCAATCTCTTAAAAATAAGGAAAACGAAAGACTTACACCGCATTTCTCCAGTCGTTTACGAGAGGCGTCAAGCGCATCACAATAACTCTTACCATCCCGAAATTCAGAGATCATATTATCAAGCGATTTAGGTTTAGGTTTGACGATTTAGGGCGATGATGATTTTTGGTCGATTAGGTTCTCACTCGTCCCCTTATCTATCCGGCCGACTCATTTAATGGGCTTCAGTTGGGCCTTCACAACCCAATATCTCACTCATTTTGAGTGTAATTCATGCTCTAAAACTATGTCTATCAGTGAACAAAGACGGGTTCATCAAAATATAATATTATTTTTTTTGTTTTTTTTTAAATTCGAAAATTATTATTTTGGACCAATTAGGATGTATCACGTGTAAAAAGACTGTCTCTCCAGGTTCGTCGAGAAGAACCCGGATCATGAACCTTTACCATTTTTCTTATCTTTTTATTGTATTTCGTTTTAAAATCTCTGCCACAAACTCTTCAAGAACTCCTGATGGACATGCTCTAAGTATGATGATGCAGCATAATAGATAATATAGTAGATAATGGTGTTTAGGTTTTGACCACATATATTGAGTTTAGGAACCTTTTTAATGCCAACTCTTCCAAGATGAACACGTATTTTTAGTATATTAACTACACAAAATATTTTTATCTTCATTTTCATTTATAAGATTAGTGTATTAAAGTTTCTTGTCGAATTCCTCAATCTTGAGTTCATCTTTTTGTTACCGTCTTAGATCGCTTATAGTATAGGCTTTATAATAGACCCAAGAGATCGCTTATAATATAGGCTTTATAATAGACCCATATACATAATGGACTCTTCAACAGGCCTTAAACCTCACTGGATGCGAGCATCATATCACTCTTTGTTTTTGTTTTCCTGTATGATTCGATCATTTCACAGTCATCGTATTGTTCAGTTTTGTTGGGTGAAAATTCCCACACTGATTTTATTAATATTTTTTGATGATTTGAATTAATCAAGAGTGTCCTAATTACTTGAGAGAGCTAATAAAGAAAAAGACATTGACAGACAAATCATTTGGGATCGGTGTTGTTCTTGCGTTTCCACATGACCAGAACATAAAGGCAATCTTAGAAGAGAAGGTCGATGTGTTGCAGCTTTATTGGGGTGAATGTTCAAAGGAGCTTGGAATCATCTATGAATCAAGTGAAGGTGCAGCAGCGATTCCAGCAGATCCAAGTTTAAGGATCTTGAGGAGTGTTCCATAACAAGGGTTTAGCAATTCGGGGTCTAAAGACAGACATAAAGAAGAAGCGTGAGAGAATTATGGCAGTGTCACTTTATAGCCTTAAAACCGTGACTTAACATAGAAGATGATGCAAGGAGACACAGGAATGTGATTCACCTCTTACCATACGTCCATAACAGGCAACTTAGTACTCCTACTATACACATTATCCTTCTAGATAAAAAAAAAAAGCAAGAAGAAGAGTGACTCCGATTCTTCCCATATTTTAAGCAAACATATGTTTATGATTAATTATTCAAGCACAACACATTTAAAAACCAATCTACTTAACAATCCAAATAACTTAGTCCAGCATTGATAGATAGGTAAATTATCTTTCGAATGGATCTTGTCTTGTGCAGACGACGACGAGTCAAGCAACCACCACCACCGCCACGGTTACTTCATCGATTCTCATGCAGTTTCTACATCGCTCGAGTGCTGATTTGCCACTTGATGATCCTCACAGGTAGCTAGAGATGAAGAGATTTGATTTGCAAGTCCGGTCGGATTTAACTTGATCCTTTTATTCTCTGCAAAACCCTTAATAAACTGATTTTGACCCTTGAGACTCAAGCATCCCGTATCCTCATTAGCAACGACGAGACTAGGGTTTTTTGGTATAATTTCTGAACTCTGAGTCTGACCCACGAGCATGAAGCATCCCGTATCCTCATCGAAGGATCTTCTAACTATAGCAATGCGATCAGAATCCTTACCAAGCTCAGCCTTGTACAAGTCATTGTACCTTATGTAGATAATTGCATTTTTGGCATTGAGTGCGTCATCTATGGCCACTTTCACAATCTCCAACTTGTTGGAGAGACCACAGTCCCTACCGGTGGTGGTGGCAACAGCAAGTTCCAAATATAGACGAATCCAGTCATTGTCTTGCAGCTCTGATTCCTTCACCTTTGACCAAAAAGGCAAAACATATATCACCACTACATTGTATGTTGATCAAATGATGCCAATTGTGTGTCTGAATCTGAATCTTACCAGGTAACATTTTTCAAAAGGATTCTCTGGCGGCCACTCAGGCAAGCTAGTACCCATATACATGACTCTTTTGCTATGGCTTGTTTCCCCTTAATACAAATATTATTAAATCAGCAATTAAGTTGAGATAGATGATTTCGTTGTATACAAAGGAAAAATAATTGAAAAGATATTTGACCTTGGATTCTTGCAATCTTGCACGTCAGAATAAATTTACCACCCTCTTCTTCTGATACTCTAGTCTGAAAAGTTTGAAGCGAAGAGCCAGCAGCTATTGCATATAATGTTATGTAGTAAGAGCCAACAGGAGAACCTATTGAGAGAATGTATTTCTTTACGCGAATGAGTTGAAACTTTGTACCCTGAAATCAGGAAGAAAAAATTTGATTGTAGAAGCATAGTATACAGAGCATGTGGATAATAAAAAAAAAAAAACAAAGAATTAGACCTGCAGCAAATTATAACGATGAAGGCCCATCTTAGCATACAGGAGGACTTTGCCAGGACAAGGAGACCATTTATTACAGATCCTTTCCTGTAGTCCGAGCGTATTATCACAACCCTTGAGATCGAACATCTATTAGCAGACGCAAATAATCAGAGCTAACAAATCACGATTTTAATGGATCAATCTCTTAAAAATAAGGAAAATGAAAGAATTACACCGCATTTCTCCAGTCGTTTACGAGAGGCGTCAAGCGCATCAGAATAACTCTTAGCATCCCGAAATTCAGAGATCATATTATCAAGCGATTTAGGTTTAGGTTTCGATTTAGGGCGATGATGATTTTTGGTCGATTAGGTTCTCACTCGTCACCTTATCTATCCGACCGACTCATTTTATGGGCTTCAGTTGGGCCTTCACAACCCAATATCTCAATCATTTTGGGCCGATTCTCTTTCATTGTTCCGGCGAACCTAAAGTTTCAATTTCCCTTATACGATGGAGTCTAGAAATTCTCGAGAAATCGTGAGTTTTGCCACAAATTGTATGAAATTAGAATATTCCGGCCCGGAAATGAAATTTAACTACCCGGCGGTTCGGTATATTCTGAATTTTATTTCGATTAACCCGGTTTATAGTCTTGGTTTAATAGATCCGGTTTGTAAATGTAAATATACACCGAAAATTGGATTATCTGGATTTAATCCGCAGGGAATGGTTTGCAGAAGGTTGAATTGATGAAGACGAGAGCCTCTTCATCAGAAGAGACCTCAAGGTCCATCGACACAAACGAAATCTTCACAGACTCAAAGGAAAAAGGTAAGCCATTGCAGCAATGTAATCGATAAAACCGGAGTTTGTTGGCTTTGTGTTGTGTTTTGACTGTTGGTATTGGTACAGTGTGAGAACAAGTCGACTGTACTTGTTTATGGAGGAGGAGCCATTGTTGCTGTTTGATTATCTTCCATTGTTGTTGGTGCCATCAACTCTGTTCAGCTGGTAACAACACAGTATTTAAAAAAGAAAAAAACATTTGAGATCAGAGAATTTTTAATGGGTTTGACTCAAATGCTTCTTGTTTGTGTTTGAGTGTAGCTTCCAAAAGTTATGGAACTTGTTGGTCTCTGGTACACAGGATGGTTCGTCTACAGATTCTCTTCAATTCAAGGTAACAAAACTGCGACGAACTTAATTATAATCAATGGAAGCATCAAAGATCTGATCATGAATCAAAATCTCTCTTCTTGTCGTTTCAGTCAAGCAGAACGGAATTGGCTGAGGATATTGATTCCTTGAAGAAGAAGATTGCAGGGACCGAATAGATTCATTTTTTATTTTTATCAAAAAAAAACCAGCTTTCTTTCTGAGGTTTTTCCTGTAATATCATGAATGATTATGCAATGTCTCTGTTTCAACAATGTATCTGATGCATTCTGAAACTATTATCTTAGATCCGCAGCATTGAAATCAATTGGTTTCCGAAATAGATAGCTAAAGAAAAAGATGGTCAAACAGGCTTGAAAAGCCTAAACACACACACACATACACACATATATATATATGCAAGTGTAAGAAGTATCATCGTTGCTTCACAACCTAAGTCCGACCAAAACATAACTTGTGGTTAAAGGCAATAGAAGTAACATAAGAGAAAAAAGGGTTGAACTCATGGTTTCCTTTGAATGATGGAGAGCTCGGCTCGGAGATGAAGAACATCATTGATGAAGTAAGGAGAATCATTAGCGATGAAAGTCTCCCAGTGGACTTGCAAACAAGTTCTTGTATTCAACACCTTTACCTCTGGAGAAGTCTTACTTTGCTTTGAATTTTTTTAACAAACTCCTCTGTTGGCTTCTCGACCGAGCCCACAGTCAGACTCACAGACCCTCTATCTTGCATCCCAAGAACACAATCCAAAACAGTGAAATGAATCTAGCTGGTCCCTGTTGCAGTGAAGTGAAAGAAAGAACCCTTGTCCTCCTAAGTGAAACTCTCTTAAGAAGTTATCCGACTCGACGGATAGAGTGCCGAGCATTCTTTGCGTTGTAAGTCCAAGTACACCATGCATTGTTGGCGAGGAACCTGGACTTTGATGGGTCTGCATCTGTAGGCTCGTTCTTAAACAAAACCGGTGGTCGGGTTGTTCGAGGGCTAGAATGCATTGTTCTGCTTTGAAAAAACAGAGCTTCAAGGACTAGTTTTTTTTTTTATGCCACACAAGGTTTTAAAGTCGTCTGATGTCAAGATTTTCTTTTAAGTCTTCGACATGTCATTGGAAACGGATGTAGCGAGCGAGATGAGACACGGGGATCTCTTTGCCGTTCTTCTACAACACAACTTCGTATAAACTGGTCTTCAGTCGGAATCTCTAGATCGTCACTCGCTAGAATTGCCTCCATACCTACTAATTAATGGTAAAGCTATCAAATCAAATCCTCTAATGGAAATCTAATCAATCAAAACGCTCCAAAACGTTGAATTAAAATTCAACAAGGGCTTTTTGATGAATGATCAAGAAGAGACGTACGTACTTGGATATATCCTTGTAGCGAGATGCGAGGAATTTTCTTGCAGCATTTTTATTAAAGCTTTACTGAATCAGACATTACCGTAGTCGAAGGAAGATCAAGAAGTAGCAATGCAGAGTCCAATGTCATAGGCATATTTAGCAACAAACTGCTGCAATACTTCATACACGAAGCAACCTCAAACTTGTCTGCAGCCATATTAATTAAAAGATCGAGCAAAGCAAAGAGCGTCGTGACTGAAACTGAATTGATATACATGAATTTCAAAAGCTCCACTACAGCAGCTTCCTCTGCAAACAAATGGAAACTACTTTCACAGAACCCAAAAATAAAATGAAGAAGAAGTTTATCGCTAACTGAGTTAGAGAAATACAACTACCAGAAGCATCTATTTTCAAGGTCAAATGTTTTTGCTCCGACTCAAGCATTCCATTAGAGATTAGCTGTGAGAAAACAGAAATTATAATCAAGATTTCACTAGCATTGTATAAAATCAATTGAGTAGGCTCTCATTAATAATTAGATTATATTTAATTAGATCATTTAGGCGGCAATTCTCTATCGTCTTTAAATCTTCCTTCTGTATGAGGAGTGTTGGTGCTGGATTTCTACCGAAATCCGGCCCATAAAGCCCACACGGGAAAACCATAAAGCCCGTAAAATCAAAGGTTCGACCAAGTCAAAGGCGAAAGAGAAGTAACCCAAGTTCAATGAGCAAGTCAAAAGAGAAAGAACGAGCTAGAGAAAGTGGCCGAGATCTCAGGACACGTGTCATGAAAAGAGAGAAAGCAGGAGATGAAGTTCGGAGCTCGTCCGCGAGCTGAAGGCGTGATAAGTTTAGTCGAAGAAGTCAACAGTAAGTGGGCGGAGTTGACGTTGCTTGGAGCGCAAGTAATGAACTTCGTGAAGATGGATTATAATTATAAAAGAAAGAAGAGAAGTCTTCGCCAGAGAGGAAATGAGAAAAAAGGAGGAGGAACAGAAGAAGGCAATAAACACTTACATAAACCAAATACTTGGTGTGGTTTTCATCGCTCGCAAAAAAGGAGTATACAAACCCTAAGATTAGAAAAAGAAATTAGATTCATACATCTCTTCATAATTGTAATTTCTCTTTCCATACGATCACCACTCCTGTTACCATGTCTTTAGCGGTAAAATCAGGTTTGTAATGTTGAGAGCCTGAGTTGTAGACCGTCGAAATCCTCCATGTCTCTTACAAGCTATTTTTGTTTTTTTTTTCAACGCACATAAAGGCAAAGGGATCTTTAAGTGAGTAAATGTAGAGCTTTATACGTTTAGAAAGTAAAGAGGTTTTATTTAACGTAAGGGGATGGTGAAAAAAGTATATCGTTTTGTGTTATTTTTTATTTACTATTTTTTTGGCTAACCTTTTAGGTGCATTTTGTGAATTTTTGTTTTTTAATAAAAGATAATGATTTTAAAGTGTGAATTAATTGATTCGCTATTTTTAATTTACTGTTGTTATTATTATTTTTATTTTAATTAGGCTCTCCTTTCCAATTGAGATAGATTTTTTTTTTTTTTTAAATCAAAAAATCCTCAATGAAGAGTAAACTCTCTATTTTCTGTTTTTTTTTTGTTCAACAACTCTCTGATTCCCCAAGATTTTACATAATTGTTCAACGGCTAGGATACCACAGCAGTGGTCGGTCACTAATCCAACGGTAGTAAACAAATGACGTACAAAATCACGACATAGCTATGTTAACTTTTCTGCAACCCTTCTATTTCCAGTAATATCATCCTCTTGCTTTCAAAATTCCTTTAGTCTAACGGACAAAATTAAAAAAAAAAGAAATACTTCACAGTTTCTTTCGTCGTCCTCTTGACAAAAAAAAAAAAAAAAAAACAGGGGGAATGACAAAATAAGGGAAGTGAAAGGGAAATTAGTAAGTTCAGTGGCATTGTGAGAAGAAAACCACTACAAATCGGTTTCAAACCACATCATCGTCAACACATCACGAGTCAGGGGTGAAAAAGAGACCGCCGGTTACCTTTCTTGACGGTGCCCGCGACGGAGAAACGGAAGTGGCGGTGACGGCGAAGCTATCCGGTGTTGTTGCGGCGGTGTATAAGCATCTCATTCACTTCTCAAGTAACATTCTCTCATTCTCCATCGATTTCCTTCTCTTTGGTTCCTCTCACGTCTAGGGTTTTAGTGGAGAGGGAGATACATACACTGATACACATATACGTATACGGCTTGGGTCGGGATGTTACAAAGATCCGGTGGGGAGGAAGCTGGAGAGGAAGAAGGAGCTGTCTCCCCTTCCTCCAGTATTGAATCTGTTTGGGATGGCGACAATTATGAATATATGTCAGAAGAGGATGAAATAGGGGAAATAGGGGAAACAGGCTGGATAAAATACCCTAGTAGGACTGGAGCACTCACTCTGCTTCCCTCAGATTACCGTAAGCTTTTGAGAGAGAACGTCACGGAACCTATTGAAGAAAATGAGGCAAGACCGTGTTTATGTATTGAAAGGTTCAGTTTGGTACATGAAACCAATCCTCTCCCTGGCTCATACTTCATGTCTGATTCCTTTGGATATCTTTTTCTTTGGTGGTTAACACGAGGACCTGGAGATGATTACATAGTAGAGGAGAAAAACAGAATAAGATTGAAGCTGGTTGCAGGTCATATTCGAGATCAGTTGACACATTTTATCTGCTGGGCATATACAGTTTGCGATTTGATCAGTTCTTGCAGGGTATTACACGGCTTAGACAAAGAGTTCATCCCACTCTCTCCCATGTTCTTGTGTCAGAATGCTTATGAAAAGACTTATACACAAAATTTGAAAGAGAAGAATAGTGAAGAACACTGTTGCGTTGCTGGTACTGTACTTGAAGGATTGATGTATGCTAAGCTATATGGAATACCTAGAGAAAAACCCGAAGAGCGAGTATTTGATTGCCACATGTCAAAGGAGTTTAATGGAGATGAGGAACGTTACAAGATAAGTGAAATCTTTGAGTATGAGACTTTAGAGTTAGCGTTAATGCGTGTGAATTCAGGATATCCGGTTGCTGCATCATTACTAGTCTTTGAGGGTTGGGATAAGCGTTGGGAACATAATGATCAGCCAACATACATTTACGATGGCCCGAAATCAGGTGGTAGATTTATCAGTACTCATGCTGTAATCATCATTGATTTCAAAGTCATCAATGGGATTAGGGTAGCAATTTGCAAATCTAGCCACGGAGAAGGTAGGCATAATCATGGATACATAGCAGTCAATGTTGAAATAATGTTAACACTGGTTGGTGCCACAAAAAGAAAGGGTAAGAAAAATGTGTGGAAAACCAAGCCACAGTATCTTCTAGAAGATTTCTACTCGATTGACATGGAAATGGGTTCTGAGCCACTGATAAATGTGGAGCCACATCTAGCAAAGGAGAACATGAAGTTTAAGGTTTGTGTGAGTGTTATCTATTTTTATTTTATTGTGGATTGATAGCCGCTGAGTTTCATGTTTTTGTTTTTTTGGTATATAATTAGGTCGACCCTGATCGTGTTGATCGTGTTGATCTCCTGCATGCCCCCTAAATAACAAAATCCTCTATCTAGTAGGTAATAACGTCTTCCTCTGCCTTACCAGAATTCAAATACCCATTCTCTGCTATTCACTTTATGCTTTTGCTTTTGTGTTCATGCCTGCAGTGTTTCCATGGAGAAGCCCGAGTCGCTGGTTCACCATCTTTTCAGTGAACAAGAGTCTACTTTTCAGACTCTAGTTGAAACTATAGAAGAATTACAACATCTAAGCCAAGATGGAGCAGCTGCTGTCAGTCTCACATCTTCAATAGATTTACATATGGTGAAGGCATCCACTGATGATAGCATGCTTGACGGTAATGATAAATATACAAGTTAACCAAAATGCTGAAGATCAAGTTTTTGTCTCAAGTATGTGCTTGTTTTTTTGTCCACAATTTGAATTTGCAGGAGGATCCTTAAATCTGAATATCCAGTGCTGGAAGCACATGATATTTGTTGATGGAAGCACAGGTTTGTTGTTATGGTTTCCAGCTTATTTCTGTTACTCAGTTACACACACGTACATGGGTTTATTGTAACAAAGTGTTAACATTATTTTTGAAGGTTATGGTCGAGAGAATCCCTGGTGGATTGTTGACGTTGATGAATGTTGTGGCTGTGCTAATTATGTGGTAATGTTTCATTCTTAATTTGTCTGTTTTTACGAGAAACAAAAGTTGGAAGCAGTTCCAAGACATTTTTTTGGGGGTTTTGGTTTTGAGCAGGTGTCTGTTGGTTCTGCGGGAGGGTACACTACTCTTCAGGCATTCACAATCGAGGATGTAATCAAGGCTGGAACATCCTTATACCGAGTGAGTACAGAACCATTGCATTGCATTTGAACAATCATTTAGCTAGTTTTCATTTTCTTTTGTTTGAGTTAAGTTCTTGAAAACTCTTGAACATACCCGTATTTTTGTGTGTGTGTGTTTTCTATATATTCAAAAAGCTCACTTTTTTGCTGATTCAAGGGGCTTGTGTTCTTATGAACAAGTGATAATTCATATTAGTTTGGGTTTTCTTTCTTAATGCTCTGCAGATAGCAGACTTAAAAATGCTGAAAGATGAAGGCCATAAGGTTGAATCCTGCTATATTGACAATCTTGTTGGTGAGTCAAATGGTTCGAAGAGAGCATTTATAGTAGTTCTTGATTGTCTGCCGAAAAATCTTGAACTTGTAATATTATTGCAGGAGATGAGATATCACCAATCAACTCTGTCCGGATCGTCCTAGTCTCCAAACCGCAACAGCAATCCATCCTTGAGCTCTTCCCAACTCTGAAAAATCCACATCGATTGTCGCCATTGAAACCAAACGCTAGCTTCTCCTTCGACGAAGCTCTGCGCAAGATTCATTTTCTCTAATTCGACGTGTTGCCTTTCATGTGAGCTTGTTTTGTGGGTGATTTGGCATTCATGTTTTCCTCTATTTTTTTTTAGATTTCTCGTTTCGAAACATATAGAGCATAAAGCTTGCTCTCGATTGTCTTGTTCAATCCATGTTGCTAGTTTCTGGACTAGATTTTGGACTACCTTGTATGTGATTTCCACATTGCAATTTTAGGTTGTTCATATTTGCAGACAATGACTAAAACACAAGGTAAGAAGACGTATAAAAAACGCCAAGAAGAAGAGGAAGAAGAACAGGTCTGGACGCACGTGGAAGGACAGCAGTTCCCCAAGCCTTGGATGTTGACTTAGAAGGAACTCCCAATTTGGTCCCAAAGCAAATCGCTTATCAAAAGCATATTGCAGACAATGACTTAAACTTGGTCTGATCATCAGCTCACACCAAGTTTTAGACATTCTCCCAAAACATGACTTGTCACCAAAGAATATTTGCAGGTTTATGCCCTTTAACTTCTCTAGAAGTCGCAATCCATACAGCTTGATGTCGTATACAGTTTCTAAGTGAATTTTCAGTAATGCCCGTGAGGCGTGACCTTTATAATGTTCAATGAAACCTCATGCTTGCTGCCTTCATAAGTTCATAGCTTTTATTTATCAAAAGTTACATTTCGGTTTATAAGTAGGTGTGTACATGTGTAAAACGTTCCTGAATCATTTCCCGTATAGGCAAATTGTATCTGTACAGCATTCAGAGTATAAACTTTGTCGCGTACACGTCAAATTCCTCCGATGATGTTAGCAGTGGCTCCTGCAACCAACACAGGAAGAAAAAAAATTGTTCAAATCATTCAGAATAATGCAAGTTTTGGATAATACAAGTGTAATCATATATATATATATATACCGCATCAGAGCTGGTTGTGTAGTCCCCATCAAAGGTGAGGCGAGACTGGGCCTCGCGTATCGCAGAACACATGAGGTTAAGCAGATGTCCGTACGTGGGTGCCGGTCCAGCTGTCTTCACCGCTTTTATGAAGCTATAAGTCATGGCTCCTGCGTTCTTTCCCGTGAACACCTGTATATTGGTCGCAATGATCCAGGCAGGTAATATACACACAGAGATGGTACTAGCTAGTGTATGAAAATGACGAAATAATGCAAAGTTGTTTTAAACATACAGGAGTGTAACCACTGCTTTCATCATCATCACAAGCACTGAAACAGAAAGCTGCTCCACCATCTGTTCCTTTGTAAGCCCTCACTGATCTATGATCTTCCCATTCATAATAACCATTCCTGATTTAATTTTTCACACACACGCATATTCAAGAGGTTATTTCTCAGTTTCAGTGAATTTAATTAGCAGAGAAAGAGATTTGAGTTTGACCTCTCCATCCTGCAAACGAAGGGTAAATCAAGGACAGTCCCGCTGTTACAGGCGTCGATGACAGCGTGAAGCTTAGCTCCATGGACAAGCGGCCTCACGAGTGTCTTGTTAACCTCGTCATCGATGATTTTACCTTCTGTTTCATGGTCTAAAGGGCACAAGGCTTCATCTTGACCGTCCATCTCGTCTCCATTGTAGTCCTTCTGCTGAGATCCATGACCAGAGAAATGGAACACGAGTGAGTCTCTTGCTCTGTTTCCTTCAACTAACCATCTCATCGCCTTTCTAATGTTTCTCTTGGTCGGTGTTCTCTGCGTGCTGGCTTCATCTTCTGCGACAACAACCAACCAACCAACAAATTAGCACTGATCATGCATCAGAGATATTTTTTTCTGCAAAAAAAAAAAAAAATTGGCTTTAGAGAGCTGGGAAAAGCAAAACAACCTGTGAGCATGAGAATAGAGTCAACAGGAAAACCCATTTGTTGAACCAAGAAACATCTCATGGACTTTGCATCACTGATGCAACCTTTCAAGCTATAGCTTTTTCCCCTATAATTGACGCCGCATAAAACGGCTCTCTTCTTCCCAAACGGAGAAGGAAGAGGCTCGAGCAGCCGTGGCGGTGGTGGTGGTGGCGGTTGAGCCATCATCTGTTGTTGTTGTTGTTGTCGTTGTCTACGTAGCTGTTGAATCCCCTGAATCATGCGGTTTGCACCGCGCGCTATGTCCACGACCGAGTAGAGCTGCGTGACGGTCTGGCAGGTTGAGCATTGAACGGCACGGACCTCCGGTTGAACCCACATCCATCGACCGCAACGGCACCGTACCTCTCTCCGGCTAGCCATGATTAATCAGGTTTTTGTGTTTGTTTTGCTACATCAAAATGCATTCGGGTGATGAGTTTTATATAGAGAATTACAGGTTGTTGTAATGTACTGTATATCATATATATATATTCGTCGCTATCTATTGAAAAGAACAAATGTGGAATGTGGATTTTTCCACGTAATTAGATCAGTTACGCTACCATGTTGTTATGTGAATCAATTCGGAAACAATATTTCAAAAATTAGAACGGAATATGATTCTGCGAGAGAGAAAAAAAGAAAATTGATTTGACTCATCTGTCTCGCATATATTTCCACTAACGTCACTTCTCTACTGTGAATTTGCCCCTGCAATTGCAGAGCTAAGTAAATGTATTAACACGATTCAATAGTAAATTGATTATTTCTTAATTTTACAAAAACCCTTTTAATTAGGGGTGTAAAAGGGCACCATTAACTTAGCCTGAGAAGCAACGGAATCTTCAGACTATTAATACACTAAAACAATATGATTAAAACTTTGATTCTCTCTTGAATTTTTGTATAATGTTTTTTCCCTTGCCATAATCTTGAGAAAAACATATGACACATCTAATTAACTTAGGCTTTGGTTTTGTGATCGCAATGTAAGAGCAAAAGCTGGCGAGACGAATCGCACCAACGAACATAAGAGCCGTTGAGGTCAGGCCAGTCAGAGGATGAGCAGCTTGTGTAATGGTGAATCCAGAGTGAGAGAACTTGTTCTTGTTCCTCTTCTTTCAGCTTTGATATCATCTTCTCCAACACTTTCTCTAGCTCGGCTCGTTCCACGCTTCTCAAAACCGGTTTATCCGCTCCGTTGCTGGCCCGACACAGCAAAGGAAGCCACGAGGTAAGCATCTTCTTTTTTATTTCTCTCCATTTCTCTTCCTCTGCTTCTTCTTCTGTTCCAATTCCAATGTCCCTGGCTTCTTTGAACAACAAGGCTTCACAGAAAAGAAAAAACCCAAAACAGTTAAGGAGGATCCAGAACATCAGAAGAACAATTGCCATTTGTAGACCCTACTTTGACCATTGAAATGCACACCTCAAGGCACAAGCTTCGTTCACAACAATACGTACCAAACAAAATACCAAAAAACAAAAAAAAACAAAAAGATTGCAGCAGCAAAATGTGATCGCTATATGTAGCTTAAACATGAAATTATTTTGTGGAAAGTCATATACTGTATTTTACCCCAAAAAAGAAGAAGAATATCCTCTATTGAAAACAGCATCATTCTGTTTTCTTGCTTTCCTAATGGAGAAGATATTATTCTATTTACCATATTTACGAAAAGAGTTGTTAAAAAGGGAAGAACAATAAAAACAGCGGACAATCACGAAAATTTAAAAATAATTTAAGAATTGGGAATATTATGTTTTCAGACAGCGTATTAAATAGGAGAAATGGGTAATAATTAAAAAAAAGAAGGTATATTACCAGAAATTTGGACCATTGAACATTGAAGCCTTGGTTCAGACAAAAGAGCGAGCCAAGCCAAATTAGAAGCCGAAGCCCATTTCTCAACTGCTTCATCGCCGAATCCATAAGCCGACATCTTCTCCGCCAACCAAAGCAGCTCCGCCGCCAGTTTCTCCGCCGTTTCCGACGACTGATCCGCCGCTTCTTCTCCACTCCAACCCGTGAATCCATCTCCAACGGCTTTAACAGCAGCTCTCACCACCCGGTTTAATCCACGACGAACCGGTTCACCCGTATCTCTCCGATTCCGCTCAACCGCCGCCTCTAACCGGCTTAGCGTTCTACGAAACGACGCGTTTAAAACCCTACGATTTAAATCGAACAAGGCGGTTGAGTTTTCACCGTGATTCTCGTCGAGTAGTCTCTCCGCCAAGGATCGAACGACTTCGTACTTTCTAGAAGTCACCGGAATTTCATTCATAGCCGACAATAACTGCCAGATCGCTCGACCTATTCCCGGTTCTGATGCACAATCGCTGATCTCGAGCTTCTTCTCCGACGTGAATTTGAAACCTCTATTCGAATTAGGGTTTGCGAAAGGGACAACTGAAGGAAGCGAGCGTAGGAAGAAGAGGAAACAAGTGACGAGAAATACACGGAGTTTCTCGAGGAGCTTCGAGTTTGCAGAGATTTGTAGTAGAGATTCATCGGCGAAAACGACGACGGCGAGGATGATGTCGCGGAGGAGCTGAGGAACTACAGCAGCTGATGACAGCTTTTCCTTTCTTCTCTTCGTGGTTACTCTCTATTTTGATTTTTCTTCCCTTTCGTTGGTTATAAATGATCGGACAGCTCTTGAATATGAGTGTCTATTTCCATTTATATATACGCGCTTTTCTATTTCTTTTCATTTTTGTTTTCCCTTAATTTTTCTGTTCAAGTTGCATTTTGTTACTTGCATTCACTCCACGTGTCCTATATTATGACTTCAGTCTGAGTTTTCTTGTTTTCAATGTCACCGTGGGAAAAAGAGATTGGATTTCAACCATGGGTTTTGAAGACATTTACTGTATATTTAATTTTATTTAGTGACTGAGACGGTCAAACTCCGATGGCCGGCATCTGAGAAGGTTCGCCGGGAATAATCACTTTTGCTGTCAGGTAATCCAAAAGATAACGCTCAAGTGAGTGTATAAAGTAGAATAACTGAAAATACAATTAAAGTTTTCACCCAAAAAAGTCGAAGACTAAAATAATAATATAAGAAATTTTGCAGACCAACCATATATGTATATAGTAAAAATTAAGAAAAAAAAAAAAACCAAACCCCTAGAGACCAATTCACCATGTAAACTGTGAAAACCCAACCACTTTGTGTACAAAAAGCTTTGCGCATTGAAACTATGCGCAAGCCAGTTTCCTAGAAGACATAAAAAAATCTAAGGGTACATACAACTGAAAAAAAACATGTCTCTATCCATCATGGACCGAAACCCAAACTAATCAATCAAATCCGTCATTTTTCCAACTATGTAGAGAGATTGCTACTCCAGCTTGTATTTACATGGAAAACCTAAATGAAGTTAGAAAAGCATTGCGATGACGATTGATACCAGATGGATCTTTATCTCTCTTTCTATGTACGGTTTTCTCAGATGCAGTGGATCATCATTCAAATGCAAGAGACATGAAAGTGTCGTTATCCAAAAGAGAATCAATGTCAATTAGATCGTCTTCCTCGTTGTAATTCGCAGCTTCCTCTGTATTGTTATTGTTGTTCATAGCTGAGCTAGAAGAAGCCTGCTCAGGAATTCACAGAGGCCGGTCTCAAGTTTCAATTGTATATATGTTTCTATCGAGGGTAAGTATGTTATGGAGACAGTTGTTACCTCGTTCTCGCGGAAGCCCTCAACGACGGTCAATAGTCTACGGTATTGAGCCCGTGCTTCTGGATACTGAGCCATAGACTTAACTCGGGTGAGAGCCTTTTGAAGCCTTTCCTCCGTTTGTTTCCTTCCTTCCTTGAGAAAATCATAGTCATCTTCTTGTGGGGGAGGGGCAGCACTTACAGGTTCTGGAGGCTTGGTGATTGTGTCGCGCTTGAAACCGCGAAGGCCACTACCTTTACGCCTCCACCGTAAGATGATTTTCTCGAGTAATCCTACGGACCAAATAATGGCTCGGTATTGTTTTCGGACTTGATGTCCTCTCACATGAGCCTAAAAGGTTATATCCATCAGCAATGAGACAGAGGCCAAAGAAAACTAAGCTCAAAACCTTGACTAGTTTTAAGAAAGTTATTCAAACCTGAATCTTAACGATTCTTTGTCGGATCAAAAGGAACTCCTTTCTCTTCTTCCAACCACGGTATTTTTTCTGAATTTGAACTGCAGCGGCATGAACAGCACCGTTACTGTGTCCTGGCTTCTTAGTCTTTGCAGCTGCAAAAGAAACAGCTAACTCGTCGGATATATCAAACTCGCTGTTGTAACCAAACTCAGATAGCTGTTTTCGTTGGAATGACTGCATCCTGAACACTTGATGAAGACGGTCAGCTGCTTGTGTAGCATTAAACACCGCAGTGAGTGAATCCTTCATCGACAGCGTTTCTGGTACATCACCATAACTCATCGGAGTAGCTGTACGCTCAGCTACTGTTTGAACTGCTTTTACTCTAGAGGAGTCAGCGGAGCTGTTTTCCTTAGCGTCCACTGTTAGCTTCTCAAGGTAGCTAGTGAGAGAAGATTCTGCAAGGAAACCGGAAATTCCCCTGTGTCCATTTCCATAAGCCAAGTCAGCAGCTGTTTTACCCAAAGGAAGCTCTGGAGATGGGTCCGTCAATGCTCCAGCATCAGCACCCAGAGAGACAAGTACAGCGACAGTATCCTCCCTGATATTTAATAGTAAACAAAGAGACGAAACAGCTGTCAGAGTGTAAAAAAGAATCGCTTTGAGCTACAGCTCAGATCATAAGAAGACTGAGAACTATTAAGTCCAAGATAGATGCTAAAGAAGTTTATGAAACAAAAAGCAAGTGAAGGAAGATAGAGTCTGAGGTCCTTGCCTGCCACAGAATGCAGCCCAATGAAGAGCAGACCACCCATTTGCATCGCGAAAATTGATGCTAACTCCTGCTGCTAAAATTGGTTTTATAGCCCAATCATACCCAAGCGCTGCAACAAGGTGTAGAACACCCTGTCCTTCTTCATCTAGTATATTTGGACCCTTTCCCTCTTCAGTCACCTTATGGATGAGCCATATATATAATCTATCTTCAAACTCTTCCCTAATAAGTCGCTCTGTTGCTTCCGGTTCTGGTAAATCTTTCTGAATTGTCCCTGGGAGAAGAGATTCCTTTTCATCTTTTAGCAACATCATTCTACTGATTTTTGTTCGTTTCACCCCAACATTTTCAAATATATGGTGTTTCTGAACAGAGGATATGCGAGCCAGCAGATTTTCAAACCGCAAATGAAGTGATGCCTCATTTGTAAAGGCACCATATATATCAGAAGTATTTAACTTTTTGGTAGATCCAGGAAGGAAATCAAACTCTCGTACTTCACTGCAAGAAAATCTGTCAGAACATGTAATATAGAACGGGACTTGACCGACTTCATGCGGCGGAGCATGGCAACAAAGAACACCATCTACTAAAATCTCAGCCGGAACCTCCACTTCTCCAAACATGCATGACCAGTTATAGCTAGTTACTTCATGAGGAGTCAACAGAAATGTCCCAATAACCATGACCTGTTCGATAATTAAAAGGGTAGATGAGGAAAAGGTTATCTCCTAACAAACCTCAAAAAGCAAAAGAGCTGAAAACTAGGATCTAAAAGGGTAATACGTTAACCAAATACACAGAAAACAGAACAGTGGAATAATACTGCTGCTCCCAAGCATAGCGACTTGCTATGAGACTAGATTATCACATAGAAAATGTGTTCCGACGAAAAAGCTTTTCAGTTCTTACCAGAGGAAGAGAGAGACAAAAATACTATTGCATTTAACCATTAAACCATAACTCAGTGCTACACCACAAAACAATTTTTCCAAATATAACATCAAAATTACCTCAACTTCTGAGTCTGTCTGAGTCCATTTAGGCCAAAAGTCGATTATGGTGAACCGCTGATCCTCGGATAGGGAAGGGCTTAAGGAAGACGCAGCAGCTGCAGTTTCAACAGTGGTCCACGGAATACCTCCAGATGAAGACTGCATCTGCAAGTCCTCCATCTCGCCAAGTTCGTTACTAACCCACCGAGAAAAACTGTCAACCTTTTTCAAACTATCCTCTTCCTTTAACAGTGATTTCCTTAAAGGTAGCGTTTGGTTTGCACTTGCTTCATATAGCAGATCCTCAGGGCCTAATTTAGGTATATATGCTGCTTCAATACTTGTAAACGGAGCTTGAAAACTACCCCCAACAGGCTGCTGATTTTGACTGCCAAGAAGACTGGAAAAGGTCCCACAATTTTCATGTGCTCGTTGCCCAAGCAAGGCCAGATCAGTACTATCAGTCATTCCAGAATGAGAATCCATGGGCCATTTTTGCACTGGCAAGCTGTCCTGAACTGGAATCTACAGACACGAGAATCTTTCTGTCAACAAATATTGACACACTCACATCGGCAACTTAGCGAATAGGAAAAAAGACCATATAGACAAATATATATTGCACCAAGACTATGTTTTGCAATGACTTATATCACGAAGTTTTGCCACAAAAATTCATAAGCATCATTTTTTGATAAAAATTCATAAGCTTTATCTTTTCTGCAGGGTACTTCTCCCACTTTTGTGCATTTCTTCTCTAACATAAAAACTATTGAGATTTCCAATGAATAGCTTAGTTACAATACCTGCCAATTTACTTGGTTTTGAAGAGGACTTCTGAGATGCTCTGCCGTTAACAGAGAACCTTTCTCTTTATTTCCTTCCACGGGCATTAATCCAGCATTAAAAGGCTGTGTCTGAGTCAACGGAGCATTATAAGGTAGATTCTGGTATCTTGCCAATGAATTCTCAAAGGAAGCATCCCATGTTGGGACATCAACTGATCTTTGGGAATCACTTTCTTTTACTCTATTCCCATGAACCTGCGAAACAATACCAATGCCAGGAGCTGATGTCCAACCATGTCGATTTCCTATATAGGGAAGACATTCTCAGCGAATATGAAAAAAAATGGTACGGCAAGGTAGCCTGTAACGCAGAAAGCAAAATTAGTACCCAAAATAGAGGTCGGATTGTAAGAATTTATTGTCCTAGCATTCTGCTGATGTCTTATCTGAGGAGCAACAGTTTGAAGTTCAGGATTTGGTTGCAAACTCGAATTTGCTTGACGACTATCCCCTGCATCAAAACTGATATAAGTTTGTGTTGAAAATTACAAGCAAAACCAAGAGCGGGAATACAATCAACCACAGAGACTCATCCATATAACAAAACTATATTCCTAAACAGAAGATACCAAAGCACATAAAGTAAAAAGAGAATTGTATACCAGAATCAGCATCTTCACATAGTGGGGACAATGTGCTGGATGGGGTTGCAATTGAATCAATATTTACAGAAGTGGTGCCACTCAGAGAATTTGAATTGTTTTCTTTAATTCCACTGGAACTCATCCGGTTACCCTGTATAATACATAAGATGACCATATAAAAACCACCAAAGAAAAAAGAGTATCCGCTTAAAAACGACAATATAGTGTTGAATGTTGAGTGATGGATGTTCATATTTGAAGAATATATTAGTACAGTACCGAAAGAAAAAAGCTATACCTTAACCTCCAAGTAGTGAACAAAAACAATATGCATCAGATCCCTGTACCCATAAAAACAGAGGACATGAGCATTAAAACTGAAAAGTAACACCAAAAACTACTAATAAGCACATATCATTCCAATAAATTAGGATTTTTGAGATTAATGACCCTGGAGTTCCACACCTAATCCTTTGGTTCAGTCTTGGGTGACTAGGCTGCGGTGTTTCATATTCTCGATGACAATATTATTTTTGATTTAACCTTTAGTTGATATTTTAATAGCAGGATCACAAATAATCACTACATATTACCTTTCTATTGCTAGTGTTCTGCTAATACAATAAAAAGGCCGTTTCCATTACACTAGCAAATTACCAGACTGAAGAAAAATGCAGTGCGACCAGTGAATAGACCACGGAAATGCTGAAGAAGTAACATTTACAGTATACTAAACAGAACACAAAATATAAAATATGAACAAACATAGACTCACTGTTCAAGCATCCAGTAGCAACGCCTCTGGAAATTCTCATTGTCTTCCCCATGTGCATAGTAACAATGTAACACATCAATGCGTCCAACCTATATATACTTGAACAATGTTACTCTCCAACATTTTAACGTAGTATTAAAAATTAGTGAGGAAACATCAATGGATATACTAACCTTCAGCTTTTCGTGAGCCTCTTTCACCGTTTTACCATCTTTCTTCTTCCTCCAGTTGTGCCCATCTTTCCGAAAATATCTGAGCACCTTCCTATCAAAGAGAAAGAGTGAACCACCTAGAAGAGCACAAGGTTTCTGTCAGTTTATAGAAGACAGAACAGTAATAAATTGTTGTCAAACCGCAACAGAAAAAAAAATTATCTCCTCAGGACTAATAGTAATAGGATAAACCGGGCAGTGCGAGTAAATCTTAAAGCCAATAGAAGCAGGACAACCCAAACATAAGTGCAGGACAGAATTAAAACCCAAGTAGGCTACAATAGTCTATTCAGTATCGTAGTCATTGCTTATTTATATACTTCATAACTTAAGCAACCAAAACTGAAGAAATCCAGCAAAAAAACATACTGGGTGGTCGATTAGGAGGCTCTGATGCAATATGAAACTTCTGATAGTTCCGAAGAATTTCACAAATCTCAGCAGGCCTCAGCCACCTGTGTTGAGCTTCTGATAGCAACTGTTCGATATCTACAAGTTCACAAGGGGAAAAGAAACACATCAATGCCACAACTTTGAATATGGATACAGTTCCAGAGCTAAACAGCGGGTAACACTCTCTTGCACTAACCAGTATCAATATATCAAATGTAACAGAGCAATTATATTAATCACAGAGACAACTTTCATTTCGCCTAAGAAACAAAAGAACTATTGTAGTTCCTCGCAATTCAGATCAAGTTAACAATTCCGACGAACAAGGCAAACAACAACCCTATCCAAGTCCTTTTTGAGTGGGTAACACAACCTAGAAATCTTCCCCAAGCTAAAATGTCGCAGCAGGAAAACAAAGGACGGGAACAATATCCTAAGAATGAATAATGATCAGATCCAAACTACCATGGGAGTAAAAAACACGGAAACGAAGAAGAAAAAAAAAACAAGATGGATAGCTTAGAGACCTAAGCGAGGGGCAAATCCGAAAGATCCGCGATCCGCCATGGAACATAAACCCAAAATCCACCAGAGATCTCTAGCTTGCCGCAATCACAGAGAATCAACGAACCCTAAATCGATCTGATTATGTGTGAAACTGAGCTAACTCTTATTATCTTTTTCCCCCGCTTTTCGAGCTTTCCAGGTGTGAAAGCGAATCGGATTTTTTTCCTTTCTCTGTTTTCTTTAATCCCTTTCTTGGGAGCGAGAGTCTAAAGGAAATCGGAAGGAAAGCGCCGATATGGTGGAGGTTGTTTATAAAAAACAGTGAAGGAAACACTACTATCCAATTAGTATCTTACACGTGTACACACTGATGAAATTTGCGCATGTGTTCTTTTGCTGAAATCATGAATGTAAAATTAATTTTCTTTTGATAAACCATGAATGAAATCATAATTTTTCTATGATTTAAAATCTCTGAAAAAGGGAAAATGTAGAATTTTCTGATTATGATGAAAAAATTGCGCTTGAAATTTGACAATAGTTATCTAAGTTGACTAATTATTAAATGCAAGGGACTTGTAATAGAAACATTGGTTTTCAAAAAAAAATTTATTCCAAAATATAACTTTCCTTTTTTTTCCCCTCAAGCCTTCCTTTTATGGTGTGACCAAAAAAAAAAGAAAAAGAACTTCCTTTAATGGACTTTTCTTACGACTCATTTTAAGAAAACCAATTTATGACGCCGAATCAAAACATATCGGACCGGACGGTTGAATCAAGGCCTATAATTCACGTGCTCTCTGATTCTGAACATCACGTCAAGATCCGTGCAGGCTGACATACTCCAAATCCAAAATCTTCTTCAAATCGTTACCATCCAAAAGTTTTCTCAATACGAAATCAACGGTTGGATTTGAATCACGTGTATTTATCAGCATTCGCCGCGAAACAGCTGACGTCACATTTTCTCCTTTCTGTCTTCTTCTTTCCTCTCTACTTAAAACAGAGTCGGATGATCATTTTCACACAGTTAAAAAACAATATCTGGAAGACTGGAAACCTGAGAAGAGCGAATCTACAAGTATCCAAATCACCGGAACATAGGAAGTGATCGGAAACCGAGAGACACGGAGAGTATCGTGAGATGAGTCAACTCGTAGCGAGGACAGCTTTACGAGCTCTGCTTGTCCGCGTCGGAGGAAACTGTAACATAGTCGTGATGCCTGTCTCTGCCGCCTCCGTGGTCAAAAGTTCTGAGGAGATAACTAAACAACCGATGCGAATTCATGGTTTCGGCGATTTCGAGATCGAGTCTAAGCATGTGCAAGGTGTGCAGTAGTATAGGATCCTCGACAACCTTTAAAAACAAAATTTGATTATGATCCAAAGTTAAAGAAATGTTTAAAAATTTGAACAGCGCCGGAGAATTTCAACTTGAAGTGGAGGAGGATGTCGTCGGCGATGGAGAATAAAGATGAGAACAAAGAAGAAAATCCGACCGTAGAGACGGTGAAGAAAGGTCAAAACGGCGGTGACTCTGTGGCGGTTCCGAGTTACTGGGGTATAGAGAAAGCGAAGATGAAAATTACTCGAAAAGATGGATCGGACTGGCCTTGGAACTCTTTTAAGGTATATCTCGAATTTCCTAGAAAAATTAAGCATCTACATATAATTTATTTATGAACTATGTATATATTGAACAGCCATGGGAGACGTATCATGCAGACTTGTCTATAGATTTGAAGAAACACCACGTTCCGAAAAATATCGCCGACAAAATCGCTTACTGGACAGTCAAGCTCCTCCGTATCCCCACCGATATGTTCTTTCAGGCATGATCATAAATTTAAAATCTCACAAAAAAAAAAAAAAATTGATTATTTCCCAATTTCCATTTAATCTGTTCAATAGTATTCTGTTATACGCTTCGGTTGTTTCCACTCTCCAAGTTTTCGGTTAATACTGTTATTTCGAGTTATACAGTTCTCGAAAATTTAATAATCCGGTTCGATTTTGGTTTGATTAGTTTGTTATTTTTGCTGATTCGGTTCGTTATGGTATTTAGAGTACTTTGTTATATATATGTTTTTCTTTTTGTCGATCGGCAGAGACGATACGGATGCAGAGCAATGATGCTAGAGACAGTAGCTGCTGTACCAGGGATGGTCGGAGGAATGCTTCTCCACCTGAAATCGATCCGAAGATTCGAACATAGCGGCGGTTGGATAAAGGCATTACTCGAAGAAGCAGAGAACGAGAGGATGCATCTAATGACGATGATGGAGTTAGTCAAACCCGTATGGCACGAGCGACTTCTAGTGATGCTTGTTCAAGGGGTTTTCTTCAACTGTTTTTTCATTTGCTACGTGGTTTCGCCACGGTTGGCTCATCGGATTGTTGGATATTTAGAAGAAGAAGCTATACATTCTTACACCGAGTTTCTCAAAGATATTGATGATGGGAAGATCGAGAATGTTGCGGCCCCGGCGATTGCCATTGATTATTGGAGATTGCCTAAAGATGCTAAGCTGAAAGACGTTGTTACTGTGATTCGTGCTGATGAAGCTCATCATCGAGATGTCAACCATTTTGCTTCCGTAAGTCCAAAACACTCAAATCATTGTTCATTTTTCAACCGTGGTTTCCATACATTTTTCCAAGTCAAATTCGGTCTTTGGATACTAAAATAACATCTAAGTAGTACATTTAACCACATTGGGTCTAGATAGACCAGAGTTGATGCTATCATCTCTTCTCACCAATGGATTTTTCTGTATAAACCCATTATTTATCTTCAGGATTATATCGATCATTTTTTTTATTTGTGTTGTGGTTAAGATTGTGAGGTATTTGCAGGACATTCGCAATCAAGGAAAGGAACTGCGAGAAGCGCCAGCTCCGATTGGTTACCACTAGCAAAGTTTCAAAGTGTTAGCTACTCTAGTTTTCTTGTAACTTTGGATATGAGTGTATTTCAAGGGAGTTAGTACGCAGAATCAATCGTTAATTTTTGTAAGGTTTTTATCCGCTGTTTGTAATTTACTCGGTTACGAGTTTTGGATTATTTTGACAACAAACTGTCTGAGATTGCAAAACCGCGTCTCAGGTGACGTTGTTTTATACTAATCGTTGGAAATTCGGTACGAACCAAAGTCGGTATGATCCGGTTGGATTGTAGTTCTTTTTTTTTTTTTTATATGTTTGTCGTTCTGCGGTATTCCTATTTGAAGGTTATAACTGTAATTAACAATAAAATAATAGGGCCAAATGAATGTAACCCGTATCTTGCAGCTTCCATTGTTTCACAGCCATAGGCCGTTTCATAAACCTAATTTCACTTCCCTTCTCTGTCTCTCTCTCTCACCCTCACACTTTCTCCGCCGGCGGGAAAACCATGTCGCACTTCGGAAGGTCAGGTCCGCCGGATATCAGCGACACCTACTCTCTTCTCGTCCTCAACATCACATTCCGTAATCTCTCTCTCTCTCAACCTCTTTGTAATTTTATCAACGTTCTGAGAGATTTAGGGTTTTGTTCTGTGTGTAGGTACGACTGCAGATGATCTGTATCCACTATTCGCAAAGTACGGAAAGGTCGTGGATGTCTTTATCCCCCGAGATCGAAGGTCCTATTTCGTCTTATCCCTCATCTGCAATTTGCTCTAGTCTCTAGGTCTCTTTGAGTCCTAGTGAGAATTAGGATTTCTTTTTTTGTTCGTGTTATTTAACCAGTTTATTGGATGCGTATTGCTCTGTCATTGTAGGACTGGTGATTCGCGTGGTTTTGCATTTGTTCGCTATAAGTACAAAGATGAAGCTCACAAAGCAGTTGAAAGGCTTGATGGTAAATTATTCTTGGTCTGTCTGTGATATCAGTTTATGCACTTGGTGCCTGTATTAAACATGAAGTCTATGTCTTCATTTCAGGAAGAGTTGTTGATGGCAGAGAAATTACTGTTCAGTTTGCAAAATATGGTCCAAATGCTGAAAAGATGTAAGTTTTTTTTTTCCGCTGTATTGATTGTTAGAGTTTCTTATCTTATTTGCCATTTGATTTCGGTGTATTCACCTTTCATTGTTTTTTGGTCTATTAAACACATTTCAAGATTCATATGAATGCTTCCCCTTAAGGAGGAAAGGTGCTTCTGTAATTATATTTTAATTAGTTTGTAAATGTCGTTTCAGTTCCAAAGGAAGAGTTGTGGAACCGCCTCCAAAGTCACGAAGGTCAAGAAGCCGTAGTCCTCGAAGGAGCGGTAGTCCGTATAGACGCCGTAGTCCTAGGAGAAGCCGCAGTCCCCGTAGGAGGTGAGTTCCTTTTCTAATCTGTTTTCTTTTAACAATGGTGAGGTGAATCGTAGAGAGTTAGTGGTTGTACTATACTATTACACGATTCGCTTTTGTTACTTGATTCATCAAAGAATTTCATCCCAACCCAAGAATGAAATATATTGACCGAGTGACATAAATTTTAGGTCCCGAGATGATTACAGAGAAAGAGACTACCGGAAGAGGAGCAGAAGCAGAAGTAGAAGCTATGAAAGGCGTGAAAGGCATCAGGAGAAGGATAGAGATCATCGTCGCCGCAGTAGGTCTCGTAGTGCCAGCCCAGATGACAAACGCAGAGTCAGAGGTCGTTATGATGATGATAGCCGCAGTCGCAGTCGCTCTTTGAGGTCTCTTCCATTTTGAATCTTCTTTTTTTTTTTTTTTCATGTTGTTGCTCTCAGCATTATGTAAAAATGATCCTGATTCCAACTTTTTGACATGCAGTGCATCTCCTGCTCGCCGCAGCCTCAGCCCTAGAAGTGCTTCCCCATTAAAAGCCTCTCCTGAAAGGCGAAGCAAAGAGAGGTCTCTGTCTCCTGCTCGCCGCAGCCGTAGCCCAAGAAGTCCCTCCCTGCAAAAGGCCTCTCCTTCTAAGGAGTTGTCTCCTGAGAGGAAGAGTAATGACAGGTCCCCATCTCCTGATAGCCGTTCTCCTCGGGACAAAGCTCGTAGTCAATCTCCTGATGTTGAGGTGGGCTAAATATACATGGCTTTATATATAAATCAACCAATGGAAGTTGATGTCTGAATTGTGTTTGGTTACATCTCTTGCAGGAATGATCGGATACTTGTGAAGGAGACATGGTGTATGAAAAACATGTTCGCTTGTATTAATGATGTTTCATCTTCAAGCATATGGGAACTTCTATCCTCTGTAGTATTGCTTGCTTTTCCGTAGGTGCCCTAAACTACTACTGTATGTTTGTTTCCAGCGATGATCTTTCCAGTTTGGTTGTCTATCTGCAAGGATTGTTACGTTTGAAGTGTTATAGCTTTAATAGACCTTTGTCTGGTTGAATCTTCTTTGTTTTATTAGTGTATTACGGTTTGAAATTCATAGGATGCTAACCTCATTCTATGGCTTGTCTTGGATTTTTCTAGTCTGGTTCGAGAAAAGAATTGAGTTGGGAAGATGGCACAACCATGTTGAGATTGTAGCTGTTGATGCTGTTTTAAGAATCCGTAGATATGATGTCGATGATGGATGATGCTGTTTATGAAACCGTAGATGATTGATGTCATGATCGATGATAGATGTCATGCTCGATGATAGATGCCGATCGCAGCAATCTGCTGAATCTCCCCTTAAGCATAAAATAGTTAGCATCTTTGTCTCTAACTTGTTTTCAAAACTAAGAAGGGTTTGGTGTCGTTAGTTGATTGCCCTCAGTTTTGAATCCAATTTTGGGAGGATCGTAATCAATTTCCTCGTTTTTTATCCACGTTTAATTAATTTTCACTTTATCTCTATCTCTTCTGTTTTAAGATTCTTTCTTCATCAAAAGTTTTGAAGGAAAAAAAAAAATCTCTATTTTTACTTATACAAACGTGTAAAAAACTGGTTAAGCAATGGTGAGATGAAGAAGCTGTGTAAACTCCAATCTTCGAGTCTCGTGGTAGAAAGTCTTATACTTATTTGGCCAATAAGTCAACCAAATAGAACCTTTAATCTCCCACTCCATTCTTTTCCCCATTGCTCCTTTCCCAATCTTCCACACAACACTCTCTCCATACTCGTCCCCTGCAAATATCACTCCTCCTCTCCTAGTAAATGACCGATATGCCCTTGCGTACCTATCTTTGAACCAAGACCTTGGACTCATTATCGAAAACCGGGATGGCTTGGTCGAGAAAACCTCTCTGCCTCCAACGCTGCTATCGTACAAAATCCAGTTTAGATTGGCCGTGTAGCCAAGCACAGACTGCTCGAATTTCCACGGGGTCATTGTCATCGTCGAGGCTTCCCGTCCGGCTACTCTTAGGCCTAGCGAGTTTGGTGGGTCGAACGAGCCTTCTATGGATCTCTCGACTTCGAACTCTCGTCCCGGGTTGTTTGATGATTTGCTAACCGAGACGCTTATGAAGTCGGTTTGGAGAGTTGGTGTCAGTTGCAGAGAGATTCTTGATGGGAAATGCTTCTCGTGTTCTCCTGCTCCTTTTCTCGACATCAGTCTCTCGTTTACAAGCTTTATTACATCGTATCTGTACATCATACAGTATTTGAGATTAACCAATTTAATTTTATAATCATTGATATGTCTTTATCTTAATTTTTTTTTTTATTATTTTTTTTGTAAACGGCTTTACTGTAATAAAAATTGCTTGCTGTTATTGATCTTGTATGTACCTGATGTTGTCTATCTTCACAATCACATCGATCCACTTGTCTCTGACTACAACTCTGTGGTTGAACTGCATAACACCTTCGAGCTGATTAAACTTGAGAGAGAACAACAATCTCGAATCAGCCATTGGGTTGCTCGATCTCTCCACTTCCATGGCTTCAATCGGACAATACAGTTGCACTTTCCACAATCCATACGCCGAAACAGAGTAAGAGAACAGAGTAGTTGTTGTTGTCTTGGGGGACCGACAACGACGATGCTCAACCATCCAATTCGTGATCGCTAGATTCACCGATCTCATCCACTGTTCTTCCAGGTTAGACCCTAGAAGTTTCATCAGAGTTATCGTCGCTTGCCTTGCACGAGAAGTAACCAGATGGTTCTTGAGGGTATTGAGGCAGTTTTCACGGAGATACAAAGGAGCTTCGTAGACGCAAACTACGAACGAGAGAGTGAGGATCACGGTGTTGAATATCTCTTTAAGACCGTTGATCATCTCTGAATCGGGTTTAGGTATTTTGATGGTTGAATAATTGCAACTGTTAGAGGTATATGTTAAGATAGATTCAACGAAACTGAAGAGGAGGGAGATGATTGTTTGTTCATCAAAAGGGTTTGGTGTGTTTGGGTTGATGTTGAGTTGTTGTTTAGAGGTCCAAAGATACAATGGAGGATGATTATTGGACTGGACGATGATGGAGAAAGTGGGGATTGTAGGGTTCGGGTTTCTTTGTGCTAGGAGATTTATGGTTGAATTTGGGAAATCAGAAGCTGAGGGACAAATGCAAAAGGAAAGAGAAGTTGTGTGCCATTTGTTGATTTGTGGAATGTGTTGTATCCAAGTGAATACATCAGGGAACTTCTCGGACATCTTTTTTTTTAATATGTTGTTGTGTTTTGTGTCTTGCTTGCATATGTACACACACAGAAACATATATATATAATGCATTGTATAGTGGTCATGAACATATTGATTCATGTGTAGGATTTTGCAAAAAGAAAACTGAAGTGAAAAGTTTTAAAATTTGCTAAAAGTGGAATAATAAACTATGGCATTTCGTAGGAATATTTCATCTATTTTTTTTTTTCTTTTTTTGCTATGAAGGAATATTTCATCTATGGGAGACTTTTTGGATATACTCGTCGTGAGAATTATCAAAACTATCACTTCACGAATTTTTCTTTTTCAAATCAACGGTAAGCACTATTCTATTCTTGGCAGAGAGTAATAAGTTTTTAGTAATTACCATAAATTGAATGCTAATATCGTTTTTTCTTTGTTAATTGCTAATGAAACTAATATTATATGTTTCATGATAACGAAAATATTATTTGTATATCGGAATTTCGATTGAGTTTTTAAATTTCTTCCAATTATGATAAGATTGTTACTGTGCGATATGCATGACAGGAGTTGACTAGTAACCTGAAGAAAATGAAATTCAAATTATCTGTCATAATCAAAAAGGGTTTTTGTTCTTTCTTTCTTCCAAATTTATGAAGAAAATAATTAGCCATAGATTCTATTAGCCACTTCCGCAGCGTGAAGTAAACAACAATGGCTTTTGCATTAATTCACTTTACGTATTCCCTTGGTTCACCCTCATCGCTACATGATGGTAATTTTTACTAATTTTAGTTACAATCCCAATTTTCTTGCCTTTTCTCATACCTTGCTATATTGAGCCATTGAAATAAGAAAAGAAAGCGACCACTATATAGTCACATCACAAACACGAGCAAAAGTCCTGAAACCTTTTTTCATTGGTATTTTCTCTTTACTAAATTTAGTTAAAAAAAAAAACTGAAATAGATAATCTACATGAGTGTCTAGAAAATTAGATAATCTAACACAAGTTTCTACCAAAAAATTAGATAATCTAAAGAGACACCCACACGCTAAAGCCATCCATCACTGCTTCTAATTCCTCTTTTTTTTTCTTTTTTTTTTTTTTTTCTCTTTTTAGGGAAATTAGATAAGAAATCGATTCATCAGCTGTCAAATTAATGCAGTTTCTTGCTCCACACGGCTGGAGATGCGAGTTTCTGAATCTGGCACCGTAGCACTATTGGCACACGTGTGTGAAAGCACAGACGTGTGTTATCTAAGGCCATATATCGAAAGCATCAGGCTTATCATAGGCCCAAGCCCATGTAAAGTTTATTTCTTGATAGACCCAGGCAACAACGTACCAAATAGGTAATGTGATTGTATCTATTGAGAGGAGATACTGTATGTATATGATACAAGAACAGTCTTCCAAAGACTCAGGTTACAACCTTTACAAGTGACAAATACACGCATCATTATTCATTTACACCGCTTTTTCCCAACCGCTCTTTTCCACCTAGCGTTTGGATTATAGCTTCCAAGAGCTTAATCTCGTTATCGCGTTTGGATATCTGTTCTTGCATCCCTCGGAGCTCTTCCATATGCAGCTTGAAAACCTCTGAAAACAATAGTAGCAAACAATCTCGTTTACTCAAACCGAAGAATATGAAATCGGAGCTCGTGCATCGACCAAGGAAGCGCATTGATAATAATTTGTAACTGAGTTTAAAGTACGCACTTGTGGTGTTTTCGAGCTCTTTTGTGACCTCTTGGGCACGTGATTCAGCAGCTTTTTGAGAGGACTCAGCTTGGCGTTTCTCAGACCGAGCATGAGCAGCAGCTGTGATGGCAGCATCTAGTTCTCTTTCTAGTGTTTGTACCCTTTGCTCAAGAACCTAAAACATTGAAGATAGTAAATTTGAAACTATCACTTATCTTAAACAGTATAACAGTCAGTTTGGTTACATCATGAAAAAAATTATGGTTTAATACAGAAACAACCATTATTGCACTTGGACACTTCATGATGGAACCTCAAGGTACAGCCTTTCAGGATTTGGCGATGATTTGCACCATCAATAAACGACAAACTCGAACTAACAAGCGCAATTTGCAATCCCAAAAAAGCAATAATCATTAAAAAAAACAATGTGGTAATCACTAATCCAAAAAGTTACTAGTGATCAGGAGATCAAGGCACCAACCAAGATTCTAATCTCCGAGCTTCTGTTTTACCCAGACAACACAATATCACTATGAGTTTCGAAATTCACCATCTTATGCTATTCCAAATTCAAACTATACTACACTGAGATAGAGTAATAATCAACCTAACCAAAATGAGATATCTCAGAAGATCAACTAGATCGAACAATCAAGTTCCCCAAATCACAGAGGCAACCCAAATCGAATTATCAAATCCATAGATCACTGAGGCAATCATCAAAATCCACGAAAAGAAAGAAAAATTGCAGCCAATCAACCTCGATAAACTCCAAATGGATCATCGGAAAAATGGCTTTAACGGACCTTGATTGTTCGAGCTTGTTCGGAGACGAGGGAGGCTCTAGCGAAAGTATCTTCTTCTACGAAGACAGCTTTCTTGAGAAGAAGCTTCTGAAGAGAATCGAGATTCGATGCCATCTCCGTTATGTTCTCTAATGATCCCTTCCATCTATCCTCGCTCCCTCCGATCTGCTCCTCCATCGGAAAGATCAAAGGATCTCCTTTTCTCCACCCGGAGAGTCAATCACAAATACAATCAAAAGATTCTTTGGGCTTTCGTTTGCTTACAGAACGTCGGCCCATATTAACTTACAGCTTCTTTAGTTTTTTTTTTTCCTCCTTTTTTTTTTTTGTCGTCAATGTTTTTCCCTCCTTATTTTGTACTTTTTACTTCTTACCGTATGGGGAAAGTTTATGTAAAACTGAAAAGTTTGGTTAAGAACAGTAAACTAAAGCTGATGTCATCATTACCGACAATAAGAAAAAAACACGAGTCCAGTTTCGAGAACATACCAATGACGTGTACCAGTAATATCATTGGAAGTGATAGGATCTCACACTGCTCTCTCGTCCACGAATTCTGATATGAAAGCCAGCCCGTTAAACCTTTTGATTGAGTTGCCACGTGTCGACATCATGGTCACTTGTCTTTTGATTCTCCCGAAACAAAAACAATAATTTTAATTTAAAAAAAAAAAAAAACAAAAATTAGGAAGCCTTCATCGTCTTCTGCCGAACATCTCTAGAAAGTCCTACAAAGTTTTTCTTCCGATCTAGCTTCGATGAATCGATACAATCGCTAGGAATCTGCTGTTTTTGTTTTGATTGATTTTATTTGATCGGTGAAGATTTCTGGAGTTGCTAGTGGAAGTATCTGCCTGGCAGGTGAGTATATTTGGTTGAGTCTCTTGGGGTTTGATTGTTCTTACATTTCGATTGGATTTAATTTGTTCTTATGCTCAGTGATTGAATAGCAGCAGCAGCAGCTGAGAATTTCTCAGATTTGTTTTTTCTTTTTTAGGTTTTTGCATTTAGTGGTTAATTCTCATTGAAATGGGTGTTTTAGTACACTCACGGCTTTCGATTGTAATGAGAAAAGGTCTTTCAACTAAAATATTAATTATTGGTTAACTCGATCTTGCTAGAAATATACTAGCACAAGATGGATGAGCTCTATTTCACTACTTTTTTCTTTTGCTGTGGCCTGTGAGATAAACCATTATTAGGAGTGGAATGGAAATCTGGTTGAGTAGGCAAGTGGGAATGAAAATTTTCTCTTAAATAGGCTTGCTATGAGATTTGACTTTTTGGCTGTAGAACTTGAGTCTACCTTTTGGAATCTTGAATATTAGGAAATGATGTGTGGATTTTAGGGGTTTGGATTAGACTCTTTTCTGATTTCATGGGTTTTGATTCTGAATAAAACATATCGAAGTTTCCCATATGCTGGGCTCCATATATTTATTATTGGAACCTTCTCCAGCTGCTTAATATCTTATGTTTCTTATCCAGAACCGAACTAGTTGTTGGAATTGCATGTTTTGCAATAGAGATGACATATCGGGATAATGTGCATGATTTTAGTGGTGATTAAAGAGTCTTGAAGTTGGGAGGAATGTCGGAGTTGTGCATAGATGAGGTGAGTTGAGTCACAATCGTTTAATTGCATAATTTTTCCTGGAAACCTATCATACGTTGGAGTAGGGCATTCATATGGGTAGAATGTCCCAATTAGCATAGCATATTCTAGACTCAAGGCTCTTTGTGTACTCACATATTAGCTTTGAAAGTCTCTACTCAAGGCTCTATTGTCTAATTCATTTTTCAGTTTGGTGATGTGGTTTGTATGTTTCTTTTGGCTCTGCTGCCATGTTGCTATTCTCATTAAAGTCATCGATAAAAACTCTGGTCGGGGTTACATGCATTTTTCCAAGATTCATGAAAATGATGACTATTGGTGGATGCTCTGAATGACGTGAATGAGATTATGATCTTGACTATGAGCTTTCGTTGTTGCTCTTCTAGTCTTCTTGTCTCTTCTCATGGAAATAATTGTTGGGAATTTCTCACTGCTAGTGGGTTCAAATCTTTTAAAATTGTAAAAGGAAAAGTCAGCCATTTCATATTATACTTCTTCTTATCGGTACCACTTGGATGTGTTCTGTGGCTATCGTAGAATTTTAATTGGTAGCTGAAGTTTTTTTCCTACTTTGTTCAGCTAGACGGTAATATTTCGGATGAATATCATGGGGACGATGATGGTATAGTGCCAGACTCAGCATATGAGGATGGAGGTCCCGTTCTAGTTAGTAGCAGGAAGAAACAAAGACATGAAGATTTGAGTAATGAAATAAACCATCTAAAGAGTAATTCTTTTATCAAGAGGGAGGGCGATATGTTAGGAAGAAATCCATGGCCTGAGAAAAATAGTGGTGGCTCTCCGGTTTCTCGTGATGCGGGATCAGGCAATGATGTTCAGGATATGACATTGGAGGATACAAACATTTCAGATCATGGTTACAACGGTGGACACGTCGAGGTGGTTGAGAATTTCTGCTCTGCGGAACCCATGTTGTGTGACAGTTCCGCTGCAACACATGATGGCGCATATAATTATCCCCTCAACAACATTCCTGATGCTCAAAATAATCTCAGTTTTTTGAATAATGGAGATAAAGAAAGCAATGATCTCTTCTATGGCTGGGGTGACATAGGAAATTTTGAGGATGTGGACAATATGCTTAGGTAACCTTTAGATATTCATTCTGAGAAACTTTCTTAACACATTGGGGGCTTCATCGCTTACAGGACAAACACGATAACACTGTACTGAGCTTACATTTGTTTTTTTTTTTGGACGCTACAGGAGTTGTGATTCAACTTTCGGCTTGGATAGTCTTGACAATGAAGATGACTTGTGTTGGTTCTCTTCTGCTCAGCCAAATGAGGATACAGAAGCTGTGATGACCGATGAGATAAAACCAGAGATAATGTTGGAAAAGCAAAGAACCCCTATGATGCAGGTTGAAGACTTTTTGAACAACAGTGAGACCAACCATGCTGTTGAAGATGAATATGGATATACCGTTGTGACCGGTCCAGCGCAAGGAAAATCATCAGAAAATGTATCTGATACAAGTACACAAAACAAGGATATATTGATGCTCCATGAAGAGGTTAGTCACTTATTTATTTCACAATGTTTGCGGCCTCCAAAGCTCATGCCACCACATTACATGGGATGTTGCCTTGTATGATGACTTTGGCTAGTTACTGCATGTATGGCATATTCTATTAAAATAATGCTGAAGTTTTGGTAGTGTTCCAGCTATTTCATAACTGTGAACTTTTTTTTGGTTTGCAGGCTAATTTTGAAAAGAAGCAGACTGGTCATCTTCATCATCTGGATGGCAAAAGTGATGGGTACTCGGATAACAGTTTTACGTTACAACATAGTGGGATTTCCGGGGAAATAATGGACACAAACCAGTATTACACTCCTTCCGCATTCCAACAGCCAGGTGTTCCATACTCACATTTCAACTGTGAGCAGCCTTCAGATCAAGTATCAGCAAGTGAAATTAAATCTGGTATCAAATCTGAGAACAAATCCAATCCTTCTTCTGCTTCAAATGAGTCATTCACATCAAATCAGGCACAATCTGTCGAGAGCTTACAAGGTCCAACTGTTGATGATCGGTGTAGGAAGGGCTTCGAAAAAACAATTAACTTGCAGCCCGGGAAAAATATGCCTCCTTCTTTTGCTGCAAGTACCAGGAAGAGTAGTAAGACAAACCCAATGGTGTATCCTGATGCTGCTCCTATCCAGAAGATCGGAATTGAGAATGACCACAGAAAAGCTGCAGGTGAATTGGAAACATCAAACACGCAGGAAAGTTCTTGTGTTAGCTCTGTTGTAGATGACATTTCACTGGAAGCAACAAGTTTTCGCCAGCTTCAGCAGGTCATAGAACAGGTACGAGTTATCAATAAATAATGGATGGTTAAGGAAAAGATTTCCAGTGAACTCTGAAGGTGATCGGTAAAAGTTTGCTCTTGCTTTGTGATTGGTATCAAAGTGTGTGTATCTTAGTAAATTTTACGTGTACATTTGTTTACTTGGTTGATGTGCACTTTGCTTGCTTCAGTTGGATGTGAGGACAAAGCTGTGCATAAGAGACAGCTTATACCGATTGGCAAAAAGTGCAGAGCAGAGACATAATTGTATACATCCAGATGGTGGAACTAGACAGGAGAAAGGTGCAGGCTCGCATCTCAAGACTTGTGAAACAGACAAGTAAGCACCAACTGCATACTTCTCCAATGTCTTCATCCTTTATATCTTGTTGCCAACTCATCTTTCAATTCGTGTATATTCTATCTTTGATATCTGTATTTGGTCTCATCCAGGTACGTTGGATTCATGGATATGGAAACTGATACAAACCCGATCGACCGATCCATAGCTCATTTGCTATTTCACAGGCCCTCAGACCCATCTCTTTCATCAGATAACGATGTTCTCTCATATAAATCTCATCCAATGGTAAGTTAAACAAACCCTTAATTCTCACACAGCCATTCAAACTTGCAAACTGTGTCACACAGTGCCTCATTGTAATCATCATTATCTCCACAGATTCCTCAGCCCAATAGTAGTCCGAGCCTGAGGATAGAGAAGCAAGAGGAAACTCCAGAACTTAGAACCGAAACAGAACTTGTAGCAAGTGACAACAAATAATAATTTCAACAAAAAAAGGGGCTCTTTCAGTGCTGAAGCTTTCGAGATATGGTTGTTAACACTAATCTTGATTTTGGCTCACCAAAATTGCTCACTTAGTTACCGAAGTCCTGACTGTTTCTTTCACTAGCATCATGGATTTTGTAACACAGTTGGAAAAACTTTCTGGTTTATATTTTGGTTCGAATGTAATTGTACGCTTGGTTGCTCGAACCGGGTCTTGAGACATGTTCTTTGCCTTTGTAATATGTTCAACTTAAGTAGAGGAAAAAGGAAGTAGAGTTACGTTGCCACTGTAAATAAAGATGTTAGTTTTTTTTTGGTTTTTGGCGTGCTACAAATAATTATGTTGCGAATTTGCTTCACCTGTTTATTAATCAATTACTAATAAACAAGGATTATGATTTCCAATAATGATTTTGTGCTTCTGAAACTTCCAACTTTTGACTCGGAGTTTTGTAGCACTACAAATTCCAGTAGATGTGGATGAAGATCAAACTGTGTCACAAACTTAGTAAAAGGAGAAAAGAAGATTTAAAACACTCTTAATCGAAATGTTGCCTAAGCTGCATCTCGGTTTCACTTTTCCAAGAAGCGTGAGAGGATTGTCCTCTCATTCGTTTGCTCTTCTCTTTATCTTTGATCGTAGAGCCTTTCTTCTTCGCGTCCGAGTCCGGTAATGGCCGGTCACCACAGACCGGGCATACCATTCCTCTCGCGCTTGTATATGTTTTTGGTACGCCGCATTGCAGACACATCCTAAATTTATCAAACAAACAGCTCAGATTGTGCGATTCAGGTTTTACCAAAGAATGAAGAAAAGATAAAGAGTCATTCATACCTCAAGAGATCTGCAGCTTCTTCTGCGTTTGGATTGGTTGCAGTAGATATCCGCTTTTCATCACGCTCTGAAGATGGTGGTGCATCAATATCGCTTCTTACTCTCTCATGGACTCCTACTAGTTGAGGTTTTGCTTCCAAAACAACACCTACAAGGCCAATATGCCTCAGATTTGGATTGAGATATAGCAACGCCTATCTAACAACAGCTCCTTAAACAGAACCGCAAAAACCACAATAGACAGAGATTACAAAACAGGCCTCACAAGCAAAATTAACAATTTACATCTATTTTTCGAGTTACTGATCCATAATACTGTGAACCTAAACCTCAGGATGTGAATTTGGCATTGGCTGCACAACTTTTGTTGATACACAATTCAGCATCATCAAAAGATGAACCTTTTCAAATTCGAAATAATAAAAATGCTACAAAGATGCAAACAAGGTGGATTACCTTTTGGTTTAACTTTCTTCTTTTTGCGGTTAACACGCTGTGCATGCTCTGCATCTCTAGCTGAAGCTTCTTCATCCGCTTCCGTACGGTTGTTCAGAAACTCCGGTGGCCCAGAAATCTGCAATATTCCATAGAAGAAAAACATCATTTACTGTAAGCTTCTCAAGTAACCAAAAAAGTTCATAGACTTGCAAGGCCAACGAAACCTAACAGGTTTCACTATCTGAACAACTCTCTAATGTTTTTAGACCCAGAAATCACTTAGTCCCGAGCTCCCTATAATCGAAAATTTAAGATTTTTTCGTTTCTCCCGGAAAAAAAGACCTAAATTACAATCACAGGAAACTTACGGATCCAAGTAACTTTACATCATCTATCATATAATATCATTCAATTTCACCACGAATCTCCTCAACGAAAACGAAAATTAGATGAATTCTAGAAATAGAAAGTCGAAGAGAATGATGATGACCTGAGAGAAAACGTCGTTAGCTGAAGGAAGGCCGGAGTCTTTAGCAGAGTGGGATGCAGAGAAATCGAACACAGAAGAAGATCCATATCTCTCAACGACATGATCTTCATCTTCCTCGGAGTTCTCGTAATCCCCAATAGTTCTCTCCTCTGCATCTTCTTCTTCTGCAGAAGAATAACCTTGAAGCAGCGTTAAGCTCATGTTTGATGCTCCAAAGATCTGTCTTCTCAAAGAGCCGCAAAACGATAGTAAGAAGGACTTTGTTAATTATCCTTTAGCCCCCTAGAGTCCCTGCAAATCGCATTTCAATCCTCGCTTCAAATACGGCTTAACCTAAACCGGAAAGAGAATCGAGTCTCTGATATACTACTGTACATACAAATACAATTGTATGCCGAATTTTCCGGTTTAGTCGGAAATACTTATTAACCGCTTTGGTCTGCTAGTGCGGCAAAAACCTTGAAATGATAAGAATCTTTCCAAGCTCTCGGTTTACCTCTTTGCTCTCTGCCGCTAAACCTCTTCGCTCCTTCGCTTGCTCATCTTCTCCGACGAGAGAACCACCGCAATGCGCGTCGTTTGCAGAGAAAAAATCTTCCCCGGCGTCAAATTCTCTCAGTTTTACTCCCAAGACTCCGCTGTTCCTTAGACCGCCGTTGCACGCAACTCCTTTGTCGGAGGTTTGGAAATGGCACGACTGGGCGAAAGATCTAGCCTCCTCCGTAGAGGATTCGTCGACCAATTCTGAAGATAGCCTTGATTCTGTCGTTCTCCTCCGTGAGCTCAAATGGCTGATCGAAGACTCGATCGTAGACGATGATCCGGTGATTCACAGAAGAGAAATCGGGGACGATTGCGAGAAGAGTGTGAAATTGAGAGCGTCGTTGGAGGAGCTTTACGATTTATGGCGGCAGAGGATCGAGAAGCGGCGGCCGTTTCAGTACGTCGTCGGATGCGAACACTGGAGAGACCTGGTGGTGTGCGTCGAGGAAGGTGTTCTTATTCCGAGACCGGAGACGGAACTGATCGTCGAAATGGTGGAGGAGCTGGTAACGAGAGATGAATGGTATAAGAAAGGTATTTGGGCTGATCTCGGGACAGGAAGCGGCGCAATTGCGATCGGCGTTGCTAAAGTCTTGGGAAGCCGTGGGAAAGTTATAGCCACAGATCTCAGTCCGGTGGCGATCGCCGTCGCTGGAAACAATGTTCAGAGATACGGCCTTCAGGTCAGTAGATTTTCATGTAAAACAAAACCTAATCGTTTTCTTCAACTTAAGAGAAAGGGAAATGTAATGATGACAAAATCTATCAGTCGTATTCATCCAATTTGTGATCTTTTCAACATCAAAATTTTGTTTATGGATTGAGGATTTGGTAGTCAAGCCAGTAGAATGTGGATTGAAGAATTTCTCCTGCAACATTCTTCAGTTTGATTTATGAAATAGTATCTAAGAGATGATTGATGTAAGGGAAGGATCGTGGTTTTGAAGCCTAACATTCTTCAGTTTTGGTTTTATCCTCACAATGATGGATAGATTTTGCTGTATGCAGGGGATGGTTGAGGTGAGGGAAGGATCTTGGTTCGAGCCATTGAAAGATGTTGAAGGAAAACTTGTGGGGCTAGTCAGTAATCCACCGTATATACCAAGTGGTGACATTCCAGGCCTACAAGCTGAAGTTGGGAGACACGAACCGAAACTTGCTTTGGATGGTGGTATCGATGGGACTGATAGTCTTCTCCATCTCTGTCACGGTGCTTCGCGGATGCTTAAACGCGGTGGCTTTTTCGTTTTCGAGGTACTCTCTTTCTCCAAATCCTTCCGTTTGGGTTTCATGTGAATAATGAAATCCTATTGATTTGTACAATGATGCAGACTAATGGTGAAAAGCAAAGCAAGATGATCGTAGATTACATGACCAATGATCTCAAGGACACTTTCTCTGATCTGAGGATAGTGTCTGATTTTGCTGGAATCGATCGGTTCGTGTCTGGCTTTCGTCTCTGAGTGTTTAACACAAGTCGTCGTGGTCCTACTATTTCCCGATATCTGACCATACGTTGCCTTTATATCGTTGTATCAACGATAGATAATAATTGTTACGGAAGCTTTTTATAATTTTCAAAGAGTCACCGTCATCGGAAAAATTAATGTTAGCTACTCTACTTTTAACTTATCTGCATCATTCATACTTTGGTTTGATCTCTGGTATGCCGCATTTGTATGAATGCTGAATGGATTCGCAGAATGAAGAATGTCATGAAATTCTGAATTTTGATAGTGAAATACTAAAATTGAAAACAGACTTAACAGGCCTCACAAAACTGCATTAGTTGGGCTTTCTCACCGATGCTTAATGTCTTTTTCATTTTCTTATTTTGACCGATGTAGGCATAAAATTTTAAGGTTCCACAAGCCAGCATAAAATTTTGAAACACGCGCCTAATTGAAAAAATCGAAAGAAAGATAACAAAAATTGAGCGCTAAAGGAAATCAAAACAAACGTTTCTCTTTCTCGTCTCTGTTTTTTTCATCTACGCTTCGTTATATATAAACCAATCCAGTCTCTGAGAAATCCCATCATCAACCTTTAACCTCACAAATACACAACTTCTATTTGTTTCGAGAGTTTCATCGCCTAACCAAATGGCTCGTACGAAGCAAACCGCAAGGAAATCAACCGGAGGAAAGGCACCAAGGAAGCAGCTCGCGACGAAGGCGGCGAGGAAATCGGCTCCAGCGACCGGAGGAGTGAAGAAGCCACACAGATTCCGTCCCGGAACAGTGGCACTTAGAGAGATCAGGAAGTATCAGAAGAGCACGGAGCTTCTGATCCGCAAGCTTCCGTTCCAGCGATTGGTTCGAGAGATCGCTCAGGATTTCAAGACAGATCTGCGTTTCCAGAGCAGCGCCGTCGCGGCTCTACAGGAAGCGGCAGAAGCATATCTCGTTGGGCTGTTTGAAGACACTAACCTGTGTGCGATTCACGCTAAGAGAGTTACCATTATGCCAAAGGACATCCAGCTTGCCAGGAGGATCAGAGGCGAGAGAGCTTGATGATTTGCTTCCGTTTTGTCTATGTACATCTTTCTTCTAATTTCCGCTTTCGATTAGGTTTTGCGTTAATGGTGTTCGATGTATTGCCTTCATGAATCTTATAATCATATATCCTATATATATATATATTTCCTTCTCCATTAATCTCTGAAATGTGATCTGGAAAGTGCTTTCTTACAGTTTGATTAACACAATCTAATTGGTAAAAAACAGTAGCAAACTAAATGGATTTTACATCATAAGATTCGATCGTGTGTTATTAAATCAATTAAGTTATACGTAACATTCTATCATAAAAAAATATTTATCTAGTTTTGAAAACAAATATATTCATTTTTAAAAAGACATTAAAAATACGTTTTTTATGTCATTTCTATCACTCTCTATTTAACGGTTTTATTTATGTCAATCAATCTAATCACGTGTTTTAGCGTCTATTACTCTATTGATTATCATAATTACCAATTTAACCTTCTCGCCGCGTTTCTTCTTTAGTTTCTCTATCCCAATCATCTCTCTTTTTATCTGTCTCCCACAGATCTTTATATATCAGCTTCAAGATCTCTTTGACAACAACACAGAAACACCTCAACGAGAGCCACAACAAATCCGTCTTCTTCTTCCTCCTGGTGCGTCGATTCTCGACCTTGATTTAAATAGAACTTCTCTTTCTTCTCCATAGGTTTTGTATCTTCTTCTTATCTCGATGATCTTCGATTGTATTCTCTGATTCTCTACATCGTTATGTCTTTTTTCAATTTCGGAACGCTGGAATCTGATTGTTTATCGCTAGGCTTTGATTTGGTGTATCTCTGAAATGAATCTGATTTTGATCGGGTTTGATTGTATCTGATTCGCCGTAGGTTTTTGTGATCTGATCGTATTGGCTTTGTTTAGGTGAATTTCTGGGTTTATGCACATTGCATTGTGGAGATCTGACTTAAATGGCTGATTTTGATTTCAATCTGGAAATTGATTTAGATTAGTCGTAGAATACAAACTCTGAAGCTTCTACTACGTTCATATATATTCACATCTCTATAAAATCGGGATGCTATATTGTTTACATATATAGAGATCTTCTTAAACGCAAAACCCGATAAGTCTTGTTTGCTTTGATTGAAGAAACCAATATGTATATAGTCGTTGAGATAAAGCTTGGAGGCTTTGCATATTTCTATACACTTGTTTTTTCCTTATAAGTTAGGATTTTGTGTTAGGCTGCCTCGATTATTACAGGTAGTTCATAGTTGGCTCAATAGTGCTCTTGACCAGTACAATACTACACTTTACAGAACAGTCCCTTTAGTCACAGGATTGTGGAACTAGTATCGAATAGGAAGCCTATCATTTGATTAATTAGCTTCCCTTTTTCGATATTTTGTCTTTGTTGGTCAACCTTCGAGTCTGCTTTTCGTTATTGGTTCATGAATTGTGTATATTTAGTGAAGTAATGTTGTATTACAACTAGTGCAGCATTGTTTTGGGGTCTTTGGTGGCGTTGAGACGTCAAAATGTCTAGCGTAGATGATTTGAAAGAGCAACCAGTAGAAGGAAACCTCAACAACGAGGCAGAAAAGTCAATGCCATCATTAGCGCAGGAGGTTCCCATCTAATCTAGATAATGATCAAATACCGTAATTAATACGATACCATGATCTAACTCTCTCTTGAATTGCATTTGTGTAGGAAGCTGTTGTAAAGCAGAAGTATGGAGGGCTTATGCCAAAGAAACCACCTCTCATTTCCAAGGTAGGGTACTTATCTGGTCTTAATGAGATTTTGGGTTTTCACTCGGTTTATCCGAAATGCGGTTATATATCAGGATCATGAGCGAGCATACTTTGACTCAGCTGATTGGGCTCTTGGAAAGGTAAAAGTCCTAGAACTTTGATTCCATTCCACAGTGTGTTGTTTCATTTGGGGTTTTCAAATATAAGTTGTCGCTAATGGTCCCAGTCTCATGGTGTTTACTCTAATGTCGTCTTTAACAGCAAGGTGTTGCGAAGCCAAAGGGACCCCTCGAAGCTCTTCGTCCCAAGTTGCAGGTAAATGAGCTTGAACCATGTTTCCAGCTTATTCTAGTGGTCTGTATCTGATTTGAAGATCTTGTCCCGCTTTTGCAGCCAACGCAGCAACAAACGCGATACAGGAAGTCTCCATGTGCTCCATCTGAAGGCGGTGAAGGTAAATTTTGTCATATTATATATCATCTCCATCTCAAAGCAATTTATAAGACGACTTACTGATCCATCTCTTTGCTCTGATATTATTTACAGATGGAGGAGCTGCTCAGGCCGAAGGAGTTTCCGGCAACGAGGAGTAGAGAGATCTGAGGGAGAGAGAGAGAGAGAGAGAGAGAGAGAGGGAGAGATATGGAAACTCTTGTGTAAGAACTCTGTTATAATCGGATATTTTATGTCCATTTGAAACAACAGATGTTGTTTTCATTAAATCTCAACTTAATCGCATAGCATCTCCAAGTTCAAATTATAGTTTACCCTTTTGGTCTGGAATCTCCGGTTATACCTAGCTGATTTTTATGAAAAACATTTGGAATACCTAAATATTGGCCAAACTTTCATCGGATTGGGTAATGTTCATAGTTGGTGTTAAAAAAAAAGAAGTTTATTTTATTTTAACTCGTAACTATAAAATGTTGCTAAACATGCGATGACAATGGAGTCAGAAGGCCAAGTAGTAGAAATTTTTTTCTCTCCAGGCATGTGGAGAAATATGGTTGTAGACTTCTTTCTCATCTAATCTTAAAACCTTCAGATAATGATTAACAACCTACGAAAATGGTAATGTTTTATCTACTCGTTAGTTTATCTATGTTATTTTTCCTTGTCTTGTACTATTGTTAATTTATTTATTGTTATTTCTTTGTAAGTATTGCCATTGATGTTGGTTTAATAATATGTCGTTACAGCACAGATGACGACTGACGAGGGTGAAAATGTTATACTAAATTCATCTCAAAGTTCTAAAATGGAGTATATCTAACTACCATTTAGATGGTTGACGACCAAAAAAACTACCATTTTGATGGTTGACGACAAAAAAAAATACCATTTAGACGATCACTGCATGATCTGTAAATTCCAATATTTTATTTTTAGATATTTTAACTCTGTAAGTGTTTGTTTCAAATAGATTAATGTTTTTGGATTGTTCTTATTAATTATTTAATTTTGCGAGCTACGTCATTTAACAAACGATTAGAGAATATGAATTTCAATTGATACTGATAAATGAATTGAGCTGAGCTAACTCATGGAATATTTTATCATGATGAGTTGAATCGAGTAATTATCTCATTTTGAAACCTCTGGATATACACATACTAGAGGAATCGGAGTCTATGAAAAGAGAGCATCTCAAGCAAACTGATTTTGCAGAGGTTCTAAACACACATATAGTATTTTTATGTAGTATTCTTGTACGTCGTCGACAAAAAAAAAATGTAGTATTCTTGTACTAACCTAGCTAAAACAAATGTCTTTTACCTAACCTAGCTAATACTAATTGTTTGAAGGATATGTATAATCGGAATAGTATAAACATTTTTTCCCCCTTAAAAAAAATTCACATATTTCATCAATTTGGCTGAATAAAAGAAAAAAAAAACAGTTTTCCGCACAAAGAATGAGAAGTCAAACTTATATTTTTTTAAAAAAAAAAAAACGTTAACCAATACAAACACGTACGTTTGCAAATTTCAATAGCTAATTATTTGTAAAAATAATTTTAAAATTGTAGTAGTTATTTGTCAATATATATAAATCCAAATTATTGTTACGTATACAGGCATACACGAATTGTGTGTTTATTGGAATTTCAAACACTTGACATCACAAGAAAAAAAAGAGCGATGATAGAAACCGGAAGATAAGGAAGATTTCAAATTTGGTTGGATATGGAAAAGTCGGTGAACTTTAACCGGAGATAGTTCCAAAAATATACCACTAATTGCCGGATTCCGCAGTCGGTTTCCGACTCATCTTGTGATGATTTTGCTAAAAAGTCAGCTTCCCAAACATTATCACTATTCTTAATTATTGTATTTTTATCTTCTATAACCATAAACTAAAGTCTTCTTCTCTCATATATGTATTGGTAAAACTTTATGCCCACCCCGAATCCCAGATTATCCGGAAAGACGTAGGGAAAAGACATATAAGTTATATATATACGACTCAATGTAACATTTAGATGTCGCTTAAGATGCATATACAAACGTCGAAAAACCGTAGTTTCAAAGAACCATGAGCATTGGTCATGATCTCGATCTTATTTATTTGATTGAAAAAATAATATCGTCAAATAAAAAACAACTAGTATAACCACATAAAGATCAGAGTTCATAGGGATTGCTTGACAAATAAAGCTCGCAAATTTTCCTGATGATATATGATCTAGATCAGATATATTATCATATAAGGTCAGCGGTCGTAACTCTGACGAATAGACTAATTGGGTTCGATAGCAAAAATATACTTAATTTTTTTTTTACTTTCTTTGTTCAGAATTATTTGATGTTTTAGAAGGTTTTTTTTGTTTAGAATTATTTGATGTTCTCACTTTTCAATGCAAAATTTAATGAATTTTTATAGTTTTTGACCTTTTATATTTTGCAGATTGTCTTCTTATTGGCTGAATGATATTTAAATAGATTATAAATAATATTTTTAGTATAGGAAAAATAAAAATTAAATAAATCCTTAAACTGTATGCAAAAACTTTAAACATCAAATAATTCTGAACAGAGAGAATATTAAAGATACTTAATTTCGATCTAGCTTAATTTGATTATCTGATTCTTCGTGTAATCTACGTGTTTCTATATTAAATGTAACTCGAGCAATGTTTAAATCAGTATAGTACTCGTCTTTGGAAAAAATTACGTAATTTTTTTTTTTTGGTTAACAAGAAAGTTCCAAATTTTTGTTCTTTTATCTTTTCGGTCCACGGTCAACACTTGATAAACATGTTAAGATATGTAATTCAATTTTTCTTCACCGAAAACTCGAATTCGGGAGCAATAATTTAACCTCTCAGAAAAGGAATCCTTGCTAACCAAATGAGGTTCCTAATTTGTAACATAAAAGATAAATATTGGGTATATTGCGTCCCTTTGCTTCTATTGTCAATTTTTTCTGCTTAAAAAAAATGATATATATGAGTTCATTAATCTTTCTTTTGATTATTGCACTACAAAATATCACATATTCTACAGTTTCCAAAATATATTGGTAAAACAATCAACATTTAAGAAATGTATGTGAATCTCAACCAAAAGTTAATAATTCTTATAACGATTTTTCTTACAAAATAATTATCTTAATTATCATTAAAAAAGATTAGTAGGTAGCTAACTTATATCTAACTTAAATTATAAAATTCAAAAATCCACAACTGGAGTATAATATATAACGAACCAGGATATAAGTAATTTCATTAATTGCCACTACTTTAAATACTCCTTGTAAACCATTGGATATTTTTCGTATTGAACACCACTTGGCAGACTTGTCCACTTTGTTAAGAAATATGGTGTTCGTTCTATTCCTCTAATTGATAGATACCTACTAAAAGTGGATGTATTATAAATTTCTCTAATACAAACAATTCTCCTGATTTATAACAATATATATATATATATGTTTATTCTCTAAAAACCTTATAACAATATTCAAAAGTCCTACGTAAACAAATTTTCTATTACTAAATATTAATCAATCATGCAAGTTCATAGAATGATGAAAACGAACAAATCCAAATCCAAAAGAAAAAGCTTTTGAAGTCAACGAGTGGACACCGCACTGGCCAAACAACACGCGCTTTCGGAGTTTTGAATCTCTTACAAACGATGTCGTTTTATCTAATCCACACAACGTTTTATTTAATCCACACAAACACTATAGCCGGTTTCATTGACCCATGTACAGGTCATTCTTTGACTTGTCAATCTCCTTTATAAATAGTAGTCTAGAGCGAACTAACTTTATACTCACTAAACTTAAATTCTCTTACGTGATCTTCTATAAACCCTAAAATATAAACATACAAGATCATGAGTTTGATTAGATCATTATGCCTATTCAGTACTTTCCTTAGCTGTATTGTGATCTCGGTCCATGGCCAAGCTGCAGCGAGGCCTGGTCTTGGTGGTACGAGGATTGGGTTTTACTCGACCACGTGTCCTAACGCTGAAACCATTGTCCGAAACGCCGTGACATCTGGTTTCAGCGCTAACCCAAGAATCGCACCCGGAATACTAAGAATGCATTTCCACGACTGCTTCGTCCAAGGTTGTGACGGTTCGGTCCTTATCTCGGGAACTAACACTGAGAGAACTGCCGGTCCGAACCTCAATCTCCGTGGATTTGAAGTCATAGACAACGCCAAAACGCAGCTCGAAGCTGCCTGCCCTGGAGTCGTCTCTTGTGCTGATATTTTAGCTTTAGCCGCCCGTGACTCCGTCGTCCTCGTAAGTCATAAATAATTAGTATATTAACATGCATTTAGAATATTTTTTTTGTTAGCAACGTTTTTACGTGCATGGGTTGATTTGCATGCAGACGAGAGGAATAAATTGGCAAGTACCAACCGGACGTAGAGATGGTCGAGTTTCTCGGGCTTCGGACACTAACAATCTCCCTGGTCCCGGTGACTCCGTCGCCGTTCAACAACAGAAATTCTCGGCTTTGGGACTCAATACCCGCGAACTCGTCGTCCTCGCCGGTCAGTATAGTTACACAATATTCAAGACCTTTATTTAATCAAGAAACTCTTCATGACTAATGTGAAATACTTGAAATACCCTACGTTTAACACCTAAAGGTCCTAAACCACTTAAGGACTAATTTTCACCCGAATTCATCCATTTTAATTAATTTGTCGGAGTAATTTAAACATTTATTCGAAAACATGGAAAATCTGATTTGCAAATTTTTTTATAAAATGGATAATTATTAATAACAACATAAACTAAAACAATTATATAATACAACAGGAGGACACACGATCGGAACTGCAGGATGCGGTGTATTCAGGAACAGGCTATTTAATAGCACCGCAGGCCCAGCGGATCCAACCATCGACCCGACATTTTTAGCACAGCTTCAGACACAATGTCCCCAAAACGGTGATGCCACAGTCCGCGTTGATCTCGACACCGGAAGTGGAACCACTTTCGACACTTCCTACTTCAACAACCTAAGCCGTGGCCGTGGAGTCCTCCAATCCGATCAGGTCCTTTGGACCAACCCAGCCACTAGACCCATTGTGCAACAGTTGATGAGTCCTAGAAGCACTTTCAACGCTGAGTTTGCGAGGGCAATGGTCAGAATGAGTAATATCGGTGTGCTTACGGGGGCTAATGGGGAAATTCGTAGGGTTTGCTCCGCGGTTAATTAATTAACCGATTAAAATCAGTGGTTAGCATGATGTTAAACTTTCATGGCTGGCTAAGTACTTGTTTCGAGTGAAATTTTAGTTTCAATAATAAATAATCCAATAGAAAACGACATAAAGAAAAACCCAAAAGTGGGTTGATGAAATTGTATCTATAAGGTGTTTTGTATTCGATTTCTTTTGGCTTTACCTTGGTTGATTCATAAAAATAATAGAATGAGTTAATTTGGTCATACTTTTGCTTCTTATGTTGTATAATTTATATGCTAGAAAAACATTTTAATTTCGTCATACGTTGAGTGAAAGGCGTCCTTTGCATAACTTCTTCTGCCGTTATGCTTTAATGCAATTTGCACGACGACCGTTATGAATTTATTTGCATAAAATATCATTGCATTCATAGCGGTGCAAATACATATAATATAATTTAATTGAAAGTGCACAAAATGGAGTTTTCGGACAATATAAATGTTTACTTTTTTTTCAATACATGTTTACTTGAAAATAACTCTTTTACAATACATCAAATGATTCGTTAATTATATCATGTACCAATTTTAATCAAAGTAAAAAAAAAATGAGATACTTGAAGACTTTTTTTGCTGACAAAATAAGTTTAAACGTATTAATATACCTGTGGTATGAAGATGGACTGAGAACATGGTTCTCTAGAAGACAAAGTCAAGGACAGTTGTTCTCTGTAACTTAAGTTCAATTTTTTTTATTTAAGTTGTAAAAATGTTATTTTTACTTTTGAGTATAATTCAAAAATAATAACAATATATACCTAAGTAATACTTCATAATGAGTCAATACAAAAAAAAAAAAAAAGAGAGAGAGAGAGCTAGAGACCAAGAGATCTTATATAATTTATAATCAGGCAAAACTTATCTTAAATTTTTCACTTTATTTTTCCCCGTGCGAATGTTTCAATGAACTTTGGCAATCCTATATAGGCTATTAGAGTTAATACTTAATATGGTGCATGTACGCGTATTAAGTTTGAATATATACACAAAGTGAATGTATAAGCTGTATTGATTTAGACAGAGGAATGAGCAAACAATTCTTTTCACACTTCACAGAACTAATTAGATTTTGAATTGATGCCTTCTTCACGATATTTTTAAAAAGCGAGTTGGATAACTTGAGAAGGTAATATTTTCAAGTCAAATAATCTACATATATGATATATGTATCAGTTGAGATGAGCTATATATTTTTAATTTAACCTTGTATATTTTTATTTGATCGCATGATATTATTTGCCAGTACTCTTTAAATTTAAATTATCAATTTTTATAAAAATATATAAACATGGACTGATGAAAAAAAAACAAAAAACTGGTTTTTCCTTGATCGATCACCATAGATCTGATTAAACTGACTATATATATAAATATGGTCGAATTTTACAAACACTGTTTACAGGATCAAGATAAGAAAATCATATATATAAATAAAAAGTCATTATATATATACGCCTGAAATTGCATATTTCTGTAGGTTCTATGCATGGTTAGCAATTTAGCATAACCTTGAGTCCAAATTTCTCTGTTTAAAAATAATAACGTAACATGGCGTGGCTCACGCGTCTTGTCAATTTGTGATTCGACTCGACATCTCCGAAACATTCTGAGTAGAAGACAACATCCGTGTAAAACGTCTATTATTTCAACGATTCCATTTATATTCTATTGTTTTCTATTTCCGTCCAATAATGGTGAAAAGGAAAATAAAAAAATAAAGAACGACACAATCCAATCGAGTCATCATCTCCACCACGGCACCACCACCACCGTTTAATTCATTATTTTCAGTAGTTACACATTACATATTTTGATCAAAGTTAGAATTCTTATGAAGATTGGTTTCCTCAACAAATGTTTTATCATGTGACCAGCATCGATCATCGACACCATTCTACAGTTTTTATAAACAAGATAACAAAACTACTAAGACAAAAGATGAACAATATCGATTAGAATTACAACCATATTAGGTTTCCGGATGGGACTAAAAATCCAAGACAAGTCATGGCATCCTATTTATTATCACTTTTTCTAATATCATATTTCTATAATGAAGCTTTAAAATTAGAGAGAAAAAAAAAAGAATACACTGAGAAGATTATCCATCGATTAAAAAATTAGAGAAGATTATCCAGAGAATGTACTTTTTGGGTAATTTAAATGATTGTGTGGGTTTGAAAATAATATTAATGATTTTGTAAGTGCTCTGATAATTGACGTTCAAAAACCGTCCTGGCATGCATTCGTGCAAAGAAAAGCGCGTGAAAATAACAAAAATACTTTTGAAATAATTACCACAGAAAATGGCAGAAATTCCGTCTTATTCATACTTTTCTATTTGTTTAATTTTTTGTAAAATAGTTTGAATTGAAGAATTAATATGGTAGATATAATTAAAACATATTATTCATAATACTTTATTTTCCTTATAGATCCTTCCCAAGAAGGACATTATTTGAGTTACAGTGTTCCCCAGCACGACTTACAGATAAAGGTGTAGTTTATTCCATAGACAAACATTCGCTATCAAACCAAACTCAAGAGTTTAATATTTCTCTATTTAATAAAAGGTGTCCCAGTCTGGTCAAAATATCCAGATTTGTTAATTCTTATGTGTTGCGTCTTAAATAACGCATTGTGACTATATTTGTTAAGAAATGCATTGATGAAATGATTTAAATATTTTACGAATTTAGGTTTATGTAATTAAAACATTAATGATATATAGCTCTAATCAGCAAACCAGTGCAAAATTAAATTAATTTTCTTACTGCTACTTTTATCGTCAAATGTTGCCACTTATTTGATCAATGATTGATAACATTTGAAGTGGTACGATCTTACTAATTAAATTGATAGTTCAAATATATTAATTTGTATCTAGACACTAGATGTAAATAAATAAACTTGGACATATATATATATATATATATATATATATATAAACGTTGATGTCTATTGTTCGTAACATAACTAAATCACTAACCACTCTTTGTTAAGGTTCAACTAATACTAATGGTTTTCCAAAACTATCTATAAAGCCAATAGCCAAAAAAAATAAAAAAAACACACACACACACACAAAACAAAGAAGAAAATCACAAATCTACATGTAGGTAGTTTGGTACATACACGGACCATATTCAAATCTATAATAGAAAAGTTATAATTTTACTTGTAAAGCGTAGCTCCAATAAGTTAATGCGTAGCCCGGCATTGCTTACTCATTTAACCCAACGAATCTGTTACTATTTTACACTATAAATACATACAAAAAAATCTCAAACTTTACAACTCAACATATCAATAGTGTATTACTAAATAGAAACTATAAAATGGGAAGTGTTACTAGTTTGAATCCCCGCTACGTTCTATTACCGTTACTCCTTGTCCTAGCCGCAACTGCAACCACAAAGGCGAACGCATTCCTCCCGAGGCCACGGATCGGGTATTACGGTAGTGCATGCTGGAATGTAGAATCGATAGTGCGGTCCGTTGTACAGTCTAACTTTATTACAAATCCAGCCAATGCACCGGGCATTTTGCGTATGCATTTTCATGATTGTTTCGTTCAAGGCTGCGACGGGTCCGTTCTCCTGGACGGACCTAACTCTGAGAGAACCGCGATTCCGAATCTATCGCTGAGAGGGTTTAATGTCATCGAAGAAGCTAAAACTCAGCTTGAGATCGCTTGTCCTCGAACAGTCTCTTGTGCTGATATTCTCGCGCTAGCTGCACGTGACTTCGTCGTTCTGGTATAACCTATACTCTTTTTATTTTTTTTTATTATTATTTTTTTGTTGTAAGTCTATTTATTGATTTTAAATTTACGTAATTAAATGGAAGTTTAATATACGCATATATAGACCGGTGGACCATGGTGGCCAGTTCCATTGGGACGACTCGATGGCCGGGTTTCACTAGCCTCGAATGTCGATCTGCCTGAACCTACCGACTCCGTTGAGGTGCAGAAGCAGAGGTTCGCCGCAAAAAATCTTAACACCCAAGATCTCGTTGTCCTTGCTGGTACGTAAATCAATTTAGATTTAAGCATCGATTTTTACTACCATAGCTCATTTGCCATTTTGTTTTTATATGTGAACTTTTTTTCTTAGAAATTTCTGCAAAATATACACGTGAATAACAAACACATACTAGTTGTTTACGTCTATACAATTTCATGAACAAGTTTTGGTGTAATTTTTGAATTTTTAAAAATCAATGAATTTTGAATATGTACACTCATGAAAGTAGAAATTTCTTTATTAAATTATTTTTTTCTTTCAAACTTTCAGAAATAAAAAAAAACTCCGAATATAACTTTACCAAACGTGTGTCAATTGATCTATCGTAGCATGGTATAGATTTCTTGCTTCCTTTCAATATATTACAAATTACATCACTTGAAATGATCTCGAGTTGCCTTGTAATTGACATAGAGGGTTTTGGTATATAACAGCCGGACACACGATAGGAACGGTCGGGTGTGGTGTGTTTAGAGACAGGTTCTTCAACTACAACAACACTGGAAGTCCTGACCCAACCATAAACCCAAGTTTCATCCCTCAGATCCAATCTCAGTGTCCTCTCAACGGCAACCCCGCTACTCGTGTCGCGCTGGACACGGGAAGTGAAGGCCAGTTCGACACTTCGTACCTCAACAACTTGAGGTTTGGTCGAGGTGTCCTCGAGTCTGATCAGGTCCTATGGAATAACCCCGAGACTCGGCCCATCGTGGAAAGGTTGTTAGGAATACGGTTTCCGTTTCTGTTGTTCGGACCCGAGTTTGCTAGGTCGATGTATAAGATGAGTCTGATTCAGGTCAAGACGGGTTTGGATGGGGAGATTCGTAGGGTTTGTTCTGCGGTTAATCCTTAAAATATAGAATCAACTAATATGATGATGATATATAAAGTAATGAATAAAAATGGAGATTATATAATCCAATAGTCTCTCCAGATTTCTAAGAATAACTTAAAAAAGTAACTAATAAATCGGGTTAGCATTTTTATGATGATTCGGTTTTAGGTGTGAAAATTATGTGTTAAATTACGTCGATGTGAGTGTGAGGAAATAACGCAACAAGTTTTTAAATCACTCAGAAGAAGCTATGTGTATCCTCTTTGCTTATTTAGTTGTATTTATGTATATATTTATCGTCTTATATAGTTAGTTATATATACATATAAGAATAGAGAAACCATATAGTATAATTAATTATGCAAATTTATTTTGAAATGACGGAGCATATAGGTACTATATAGATACAAATGTATATATACAGAGTACAGTGAGTAGCAAATTCATTAAATAACATACCAATTGAGTTTACATAAAAACAGTAATTTTCAGTTCGATGTAATGATTTTTAAGATGACTTTTTTCTTAAGATCAAACTACCGTTCAAATTTTGTAAAATACTAGCTGGTGTCTAATTTCCGATTAAAAAATTTGGTGACTAGTTAAGGCAAAAAAAATGTCATATATAGGTAGTCGATGGTGAATGAATTTTCATCTTTTCTCTTTTTGTTTTCTTAAGTTTGGAAAATTAATCTGTTTAAGTGGACCGATAGTACAAAATTTAAATTATTTCTAAAAAAGTTTCATTAATTACATTATTTATACAGTTTTCCCGTATAAAATTATCTTTCTTAAAGTTGAAACATGAATTTTGATATTCTTCACACAAAAAAACGTGAATTTTGACTCTTTTCTCTCTCTTTTTTTTTCTCTTTTTTTTTAATCTCCAACTTTAAATGAAAACAAATTAAATTGAATATGACTTAAAAAGTAAAATTTAAAAATACGTGAAGTCAATAAAGATTGAATTTTTGTTTAAAAAATATAGGTTTAATGAATCAGTTTGAATTCACTGTACAAAAATGAATCTAATCATTGGAGCAAAATGATTCATGGAATAATATTAGTAAGAGATAATAAGATATCGAAATGGTTGACTTTGACAATAAAGAAAAATAAGCGAGTCAATGATATTATGGCATCGAAGTTGTCTCTTGGTGGTAGAAAAGACATTCTCATCCACTGTCGATTAAAGCGAGTATATGCTTCTTCTTTTTCTTCTACGTTCTAACGGCTAGTATAACCTTTTCCCAATCAATAATATAAACTATCTATTTCCTAATGTATAACATTTTCTTCATGTTTTTAAATTTTGCTGTTAAATTTCCATGAAAAAATTGTTAAGATTTTCATATGTTTATCATAATTTCATAGACGTTTTTATCATTATTTCATATACGTTGTTTATCAAGGCAAACATATTAAATATGCATTCAACTTGTAATTTAACGGCCACACACGTTTTTTCGTCAGCAGAAATTTGTTTTCGTCATCCGAAAATTAACACATATGCAAGCCAGCTGTGAATAGTATAATGATAATGGGGAGATATATTGTTACTCGTTTATTACTTTGATATATATATATATATATATATATATTCACTTGTTCCAAAAAAAAATTACTTTGATTCAGGGAAGTGATTGCTCTAAAATCAAATAATTAGAGCCATCATTTCCCTATTTTCTTCGTTTTGTACCTTCCCCATGCACAAGCCTCTTGTCCGATAGTTCAAAGATTCCATGGCGGTGAATACTTTTAATTTTTTAATTCTTCAAAGAATTAATAGTAGACTAATCCAAACAATAGAAAGAGATGTTATCTAACAGATAAAACTAATCATTTTAAAAGGTCAACTATGCCGATACTATTTCATTATCCTTAACCATAGAACTGTTCTGACCAAAAAGTTTGAAACAATATTATCGCCACGCAATTGATCGATCTAATCTATGTAGCAATATTTGTGACCCAAATAAAACATCACTATTTCATAAACAATTGGTATCAGAGATTTGCTTTTAAACCAATTGAATTATACCTTATTTCATAAATAAATTGCTTTTATATATATATTACAAAATCTCATCTTCGTGTTTCTTGAAAAGATTTGATAGTTTTTTTTTCTTTCATTTCTTTGACATATGTTAACTGTAAATCCATTAATAAACTACAAATTTCCTCAATCTCACTAAATAAAGCGAAAACACACTAATTGATCTTGTTTTGTTTCTTGCCAACTAGTTTAAAATGTTTTAGCTAAAACATCTTAAACTACCTTTTCTAAAAGATCTGTATTCTCTGTTTTCTAAAAAATATTGTTTTAAACAATTAAAAAATTTCATAAAAAATACTCCGTATGTTTTGTATTTATAATCCTAAAACTTTAATCAAAATTCAGTTATTGTTTTAGTATATTAATTAGAAACATAAATTTGTTTCAGTTTATTAATATGAATATTGTATAAATTTGTAAATATATATTTGAAAAATTGTAGTTATAAGACACTTTATTGTATAATAGAGGAATTATGTATTGTTTTTTTTTTTTTTTTGAGAAAATTTTATGTATTGTTTTCCATCGTTTAACAACAATGATGGGTCCATGACTCCATAGATGATCTGGTTTTAGGTACTAATTGATCAAACTTCGATTCTCTTCTCCACCATCTACAACTTAAAACGAAGATAACTTCGCTCACAAGGAAAAATATAACAGTGATAAAATACGTATGTTACATACATATGTGTTGAATGGACCGTCTCGTCTACACCATAATGCAACTAATTGTTATTTAAAGATTAACTCAATCAACTGTAGAATAATATTATTCCCCTTAGTTTTGGCTTCGTGTGCCGAACTTGCTCCTAAGCTACGACTTTCTCGCCTATATATACAAACCCTTTAACACCAAACTCAAAACACACAACAAACAATAACAACATTTACAAAGCTCGAAATATTTTCTTATACACTAAACAAAAACACAAAATGGGTCGTGGGTATGATTTACTATTCAGTCTAGTAACGTTTTTAGTATTGGTTGCAGCAGTAACTGCACAAGGAAACCGTGGCTCGAGCCGTCGTGGTGGTCGAACACCACGTGTTGGGTTTTATGGGAATAGATGCCGAAACGTAGAGTCTATTGTGTCATCGGTGGTTCGATCTCATGTCCGGTCTAACCCGGCTAATGCACCGGGGATTTTGCGTATGCATTTTCACGATTGCTTTGTTCGCGGCTGCGATGGCTCGATTCTCCTCGCTGGTAACACCACGGAGAGAAACGCCATTCCTAATCGTTCATTGAGAGGGTTTGAAGCTATTGAAGAGGCTAAGGCTAGGCTTGAGGATGCTTGTCCTGGAACCGTTTCTTGTGCTGATATTCTCACCCTTGCCGCTCGCGACGTCGTCGTTTTGGTAACATAATTTTAAAATTATTTGTTTTTGGTTTAAATTGGCACACGCACGTATAAAAATGTTACATGTATGTAACTATTTAATTAATGTGTAACGGTAATTGAAACTTGGGTGATCGATGCAGACCGGTGGACAAGGCTGGAGAGTGCCATTAGGACGCCTGGACGGCCGAATCTCGCAAGCCTCAGATGTGATCTTGCCCGGACCATTCGACTCTGTCGACAAGCAAAAGCGAGACTTCGCTGCTAAAACACTCAACACATTGGACCTCGTAACTCTTGTCGGTACGTTGCTATTGCACATACATACTTGATCGAGGATTATTCAAAAACAATCCATTAGTAACGTTTTAGTTTTGGAACTAATGGATTACTCGGTTCGGTTAATTTGGGTGGAAAATTTCAGCATTTTGGGTTACTCGGTTCGGTGGCTCGAGAACTTTAGTTTCAGTTTGGTTTAGCTAGTTAATCGAATTTTGGTTTTGACTTAAACTAGGAGGACACACGATAGGAACTGCTGGTTGCGGTTTGGTGAGAGGCAGATTCTTTAACTTCAACGGAACAGGACAACCCGACCCATCAATCGACCCGAGTTTCGTACCACTGGTTCAGGCTCGATGCCCTCAAAACGGCGATGCAACGACCCGAGTCGACTTAGACGCCGGAAGTGCTGGTAGGTTCGACACATCGTTCCTAAGGAATGTGAGGTCAAGCCGCGTGGTTCTCCAATCCGATCTAGTCCTATGGAGTGATCCCGAGACCCGAGCCATCATAGAAAGGCTTTTAGGCTTACGCTTCCCGTTTCTGAGGTTCGGATCAGAGTTCGCGAGGTCGATGATCAAGATGAGTCTCATAGAAGTTAAGACTGGTTCAGATGGGGAGATTCGTAGGGTTTGCTCTGCTATCAATTAATTAAGAGAATATACGAAAACATAAGTTAATTTGCGGTTTGGTTTTAATTCAAGATTTGGTTGGTTAATAATCATTTGGTCTATATAATAAGCTTGTTGTTATAGCATTTTGTGGTTGATGGTTACGTTTTGATTTTTCAAGTGTAATATTGTACTTGTAACAAAAATGTATTACATATATAAAATTGTCATTTGTTTATGCACTCGTGTAAGGAAAGTATTTGCATGAACAAACTATTCAAGGAAGAAAGTGTTTGATTATGTCAGATTAATGAAAGGTAATCTGATCTCCATCAAGTGCTTTAATTTCTTTTGAAAGTCATTATGTTATGCTTTGTTTCTCCTCATACAATCTGCCTTTGTAAAGTGGAAACTGTTTTTTATTTAATTAATATTAACCAGGCAAATAAAATAATTTCCATCACTATGATTATCAATTCATAATTAAATAAAATGTGTAGTTTAATCACTTGTTTTTTATACAGATCATTCAAAGTATTTGAAGATTTAATCTACGTAGTTAGGTCAATGCATAGATTAGAGAAGTTAGACTTTCTGTGGATTTACCGGTGAAGCTACAGTCTATAATCATTATCCAAGGTATATACACAACATAGTCACATGATGTTTTGCATACACAACTTCCAAAATTAGAGATTCTCAAATGAAATGGTTTAAATTCGGAAACCATTACGGACGACTCAAATCACTGTAGTCTCTTAAGATAAGAGAGACGAGTGGTCACGCTAGTTACTTTAAGAAAGTAGAAAAACCAACAAAATAGTTAGGTGGAATCTCCAAATTATGGATGCCACGCAAATGAAAATTTTGGGCTTTTTGGATTTATTAGTTATTGGGCCTTTTCCCAATTTGGGCTCCCATTTTTTGGTATTTACTTTATAAACCCAGGGAAAAAGGATTTCGTTGAAACGAAACGAGATTGTTTTAACCATAATCATTTATCATCTGCAAACAATACTAAAAGATGTGCAAAACAATCTCAGCCTCTCAGGTACATTCGAATTTAATATTGATGCTTCTTGGACTAGCAATTCTGAATTGTCTGGTATTGGCTGGGTGTTAAAGGGATGATAAAATTGTATGAAGCCAAAGCCTACTCACAACTTGGGGGCATAAGCAACAGCTCTAACATGGGCAATGGCGTGTTTAGATAACCTTGGATTGACTGATGTTGTATTTGAGAGTAATTCTCAAAACCTGTTTGAAGGCATTGACTAACCCTCTTGAATGGCCAAGACTTGATGTCTACACACAAGAGATCAAAGGCACTCACAGAAGACATCTTTGGCCATCTTTTAGATTTGAAGAGACATAAGCTAACCTTAATCACTTCTTTTGATGTTTAATATGCAATGTTTTCTTTAGAATGTTGTACTCCGAGTTGGTTGCATCCAAGGTTTAACTTCGAATGAGTATTTTTCCTAAAATCAATCTAAAAATAACATTTTCTAGTCAATGTTTTCTCAAATGACTACGGCAAAAACGAACAGTTAATTGGCTAAGAGTCTTGACGACGAACACAAGAATAAGATATATGATAAAATCGGAATATGATAGGACCATTGGCAAAAGAGAGTTGAATTAAGATGATACAAGCACGGCACTAAGATCATCCACCAAACGCAAATTACTTGCCTTCAATTTACTCACAAACTTCTCTAACCCAAACCAAATCCATCCCCAAAAGATCTAAAAACAACTCGAGTATCATAACACACTAAAAACCCACAAATAATGCATTTTCTTCCCCTCACTTGTCTCAAATTCAACTATACATAGCCTACACAAAACAAAACAATTCAAGAATGAAGGAGACACGCTTACTTTGATGCCAGAAGAATCTCGGGTTTCTTCGACTTGCTGGGAGTGTTAGCATTTGAGGAGCCATTGACAGTCTCTGCAGTTACAGTCTTTGCAGCGGTTCGTGCGCTTGTATCAAGGTTAACTAGACTCCTTGTAGCTAGAATTGCTTGTGGGTTCAAATCATGAGAGGCTCTTGCGTACAATGATCTTACTGCATTAGAAGCTGCATCTTTCACATCTTCAGGATTCAATGGACTGAGCAAGCAGTGACCTAGGATCCGTAGAGTGGGCTGAAACAGCTCCCATGGAAGTGGAATCCTCACGCTTTCTCCTTCCACGCCATTAGAGCTAAGCTGTTCTTCCTTCTCTCTGATAGCTAATCTCTCAAAATCCTCCTCTATCTCAAGGCTCCGTCCACTGCTTCCATTGAGAGACGAGGAATCTGCAAAACCGTTGGTTAGTGCTAGGACTTTGTCTTCGTCTCCGTCCATCTTTTCCTTGCAATCGCAGTCCTGACCAGCCCAATTAGCAGCGAATTTACAGAATTCGAGCTTGGACCAACCCGGCATCTGTGAGATCTCCTTGAAATAGCATTGTAGTCCCACGCCAACGATGCTGGCACGTTTCGTTGACTTGACCGCAACCTGAGGCTCGAGCTGCGGAGACAAGACTCCGACGGAGGCGGTTGGATTGGGATCATGCGATTTGTCAATTCCGTTTCGCGGCGTGTGGTAGAGAGATGGCTGAGAGAGATCCGGGATGTGTACGAGTATAGGTTTTCCGGCGCGGGCTTTGACCTCTGCGGCGTAGATTGCGAGAAGCACAGCTTCGAATCCGGAGAGAGAAGGAAGAGACGACGAATCGGAGGAATGAATTCGAGATAAGTACATTCCGGCGAGTAACGGGAGGAACGAGAGGACGACAAGACGAAGGGGTGGATCGGATGAGAGATATGTTTCGTAGAGCCACTGGCAGAGCGGGTCGGATCCGGAACCAGAAGCCGGATTGCAAAGAGACGTCGAGATCAATGAGTAAGCAGCGCGAGAGGAAAGGAGAGATAGCGCCGGCCTATCGGAATCGGCAAGAGAGGAGATCGGACTTCCGTCACCGTCCTCCGACTGAGAAATCTCAGAGAGGAGAGAAGAAAGAGAGAGGATGCGAGAGCGCTGCTTAGAGACTGATTCCCACCAGGAATGCATCGGATCCCGATCGGAGGAGATCCCTGAGACGACAGCGGCAGTTGCGGTGGGTGTACCGGCGGATTTGAAACGGTGAGGGGTGGAGGAAGAGGTGGAAGACGACGGAGAAGGTGAGCCGCCGGGAGGTTTGACGGAGAAGTCCATGGGAATGGACCTGAGTTGAGACCAAGGGAAGTTTTCGCTGGATTTTAGGAACACCGAAAATGAAGGGGAGATTGAAATGATTTCTTCTCTTATAGATTGAGGACTGTTAGTTACAATTCGTTTCTTATGGGGCAATTCTGAAATATGATGGAAGTTATGGGGTAGTCTTTTAAGTATTTCATCTGAATTTTTTTGGAAGGGTAACCAATCCCGTCCTGTATCCGTCCCGAAATTCCCGAACTTTTCGAAAATGGGAAACTATAATTTCTCATTCGGATTTGAAAATAATATTTGAATGAGTAAGGGAAAGGGTAGGGACGGAAATGAGATTACCCGAACTTCCCGTTGGGTAATTATATAAAATGAAATTTTAGAGATTTCAGTTAATTTAATTTTTTTAATAATAAATAATAATTTTTCCAATTTATTAACAAATAATTATTTTTTAGAAAACAAAAATTGATTTTAGTCTAATTATTCGAATTATCTGAAAATTTTCCCTGTCCCTTTTCCGTTCCTTTCTCGTCCCTTTCCCGATTATATTTATTTTGGAATTTTATGGATAATATGTTTTGATTCCCGAATTTTCCGTTCCCATCCCATATCCGTAAATTTCCCTCCTGTTATTTTGTGGGAATACTTTGGATAATATATTCAGATTTCCGAAATTTTCATTCTTATTCCTTATCTGTTAATTCCCGTCTCAATTCCCAAAAAATTCAGGCCTAATTTCATCAACGAGCCAGGGAACGAGCCAGCCACTGTTAGAAAGAGTAAAGAGTTATTGGGCCATGTTTAACATGGTCTTCCGGCTCACGGCCCAATCATTACGTCTTTAATTACAATTCCATAGATCCAAAACATTTTTTTTACGGGTTAAAAATACTGCATTTAAGGTACCTTTGTTATACTTTTGTACTTTCATTCATACGTAAACAAAGCCACCCAAAACAAAGAGAAAAGAGGTTTGCAAAAACCTTGGATTCTTTGATGATTAATGATAATAGGGTAATGCTGTGAACTTTTATTTTTTAAAACAGGAAAATCCCATATCAACTTTATGTAAAGACTCAAATCTTAAGTGCTTTTTTTTTAAAGTAAACTAATTCATGAAATCTATAGAAATTCAAATTTTTTGGCATCAAAGAGACGTCTACGAATAACTAAATAGAAATGATTAGAAAAAATTATGTTAGATAAGAATAGATTGATCATTAACTTAAAGTAACAAAGGCAAATTGTGAAAAATCACTATCCTTCCATCACTTAGTTAAATTTTAGTTTTTCAACTTTAAAATGAATTCTTCAACTATTAAAATTGGTTGTATAATTTACACATTTTAATATCTTATATATTTTGACAAAAAGTTTTAAGATGGATTATCGTAAAGATTAGATTGCTAAAAAGGTAACAGAGAAAGAATTGTTTTTCTTACCGTTGATATTCCTTCAAGTCGATAGCTTTTTTCACGATCCGCATAGTTTTGATTCTGTGATCTTTCCACGTCGTCCGAATCATCAATCAGAATCTTTTATACTTTCAGAAATAAGATTTGATGCTTTTAACATACAATGGAAAATCATCCTACATACGAATATAAATGCATGTGTGGAACCAAAGAGTAAATAGTAAAGAGTAAGTCATGCATGTGTCATTTATTATTCTCTACCTTCCAAATTAAATATTAGAACAAACCAAGAAGTTATTTTCAATTTAGGTGAACCGTGACATCTAAATAAACTATTTTTCTATTTACTAAAAATAGTTTACAGTAAAAATTTCATGTAGTTTCTTATCAAAGATCTTTCAATACAAATACTTTATTTAACCAAAAAAAAGTTACAACACTTTTGGATCGTAATTTCTTTCGACGAAGAACTGGCATTCGATTAACTCGAATGAATCAACATATCTCTCAAACTAAATCCAGCTAGTGGTTATATATGGGAAGCGCAACGTGTGAAATATCGTAAGAATCGCCATTTCCCAATACTAAGGGGCTAAGGGCAACTTGTGTACATTTGGAATCAACATGAAATGCGATGTATTGATATGCTAAGCAATGTTTTCAAGCGTATTTAGTTTTTTTTTGTACGGACTCCATTTCATACATTAGTACAGTAGCTTATGAAAGGTTAGAAGATCATAATTAATCAAACTACAGAGGCAGATCATAACATTATACAGAGGTAATGTTGTTTTCCAAAACAAAATATTTATGCAGCCAAAAAAAATAGCCTAAGATTAATAACAAATGATGAATACCATGAAAATGACAATCATTTCACCATAAATGGAGTCATGCCATCATGGAATGTCGATCGACAACCACATACAAATTGAGAATACCACATCTCATTTAAAGACGAGTTTTGAAAATAAAACGTTTACTTAAATGAAGTTTAACATTTTCAAGAAAGTGGGAAACCAATTAATGGAGATTTGTAACTTCAAGTTTTTAATTTACGATTTTAATCATGATTAATTTTTCTTTTGCATTGTGATTTTAATCATAACTGATTATTGATAATAATTTTAAATGAAAAATATCTGATTATCAATAAAATTTCCGTAAGGCTGCTTATAGTCAAAGTATGAACAAGAAAAAGGAAAGGTATGAACAAGAGAACTATATGGAAACGCATTTATAATTGATCGTAGTATGAACAGAAAAGCTTATAAATTTCTCGAAATAGATTAAAAAAAAAAAGTGAACCAAAAAAAAGATAAAAAAAGTGACATGGAGTAGTAAAACTAAAAACAACAAAGGAAGGAAAGATGAAAGGGCAGGTCTCTTCGTGAAGACCCCACGATAACGCATCCATATGAAATGCATGACACGTATTCAAAACGTCATCGTTTTTGCGCTTCACCCAAAGCAACCGACCTACAAATTTCGCCTTCCCCTTTCTTCTCCTTCTTCTCACTCTTTCCAGTTTCCACCACACTTCCTCCATTAAAAACCACTTTCTCTCTCTCTCTCTCACATAAACACCTAAAAGAGCAAGAGCGAGAAGAAATCAACAATGGCCACATCCATCTCTACCGCAACCCCTTTGCTTCTCATCATCCTTCTCTCGATCTCATCCGCCTCCGTTTACGGCGCATCTCACCACCGCACGGCGGCTCCGGCGCCGGCTGTGGACTGTTCGACCCTCATACTCAACATGGCGGATTGTCTGTCCTTCGTCTCGAGCGGAGGCACGGACGCGAAGCCGACAGGGTCGTGTTGCTCCGGGCTTAAGACGGTGCTTAAGACAGACGCAGAGTGTCTCTGTGAGGCGTTTAAAAGCAGCGCTTCTCTCGGCGTTACTTTGAACATCACTAAGGCTTCTACTCTTCCCGCCGCATGCAAGCTTCACGCTCCTTCTATCACTAATTGTGGATGTAAGATCTATTGATTTCTTAGCCTCTTTTTGGCTTTTCCTTGCTTAGATCTCTTACGATTCTTTGGATCTCAGTTTGTTGTTCTTGGTTTTTGTAAGCGGTTTCTTAGATCCACCATTTTTAAAATAATTTTCAGTTTATTTAAGGAAATATTTCGTGAATTTGCAAAATATTTGAGATTGGATTTTGAAAATACTTCCATTGATTAACTTGACAATGCTTATATAATTTTTTTTTTTTTTTTTTTGCAGTGTCTGTTGCTCCTACCATTGCTCCAGGTATTTATCTTTTTTCCTTTGTTGATATATTTTTTTCTTAATCTTTTACTCTTAATTTTTGTCTCATGCATTGTTTTTTTTTTATTGTTTTTAAATGCCATTTGAGACCATCTGGGTTCCGTACTTCTGTTTATCTATACTTTAAAACACCGATCTTACTGTCTCTAGCTTGTATATGAGACTTGTCAAAAATTTGTTTGTATATAAAACCCTTTATATTATAAAAAGATTCCGACTTTGATAACTAAGATTCGTTATCTCTGATGTGTTACACACAATTTTAAAGACTTGTCTAATAATTGAATCTGTGGTATAATTTTCAATTTTTGAGATGTTTATGCGTTTAAAGTTTCTCAATTTGGAATCGTTTTTTTTTTGTAGCTCTGGCTCCAGGAGGAGCTGCTGCTGGACCCGGCGCAGCCGGAAGTCTAGCTCCAAGTCCGTCCACAGGGAACGACGGATCTTCCTTGATCCCGATCTCGTTCACAACCGTATTCAGCGCCATATTCTTCATATTGTTCTTGTCTCGTGTTTGAAAGCCTCGACCTTTTTCACCAGTTAGATTTGGCTGTATGAAATGGTTTAGGTTTTTTTCAGACTTAGCTTTGTGTGTCTTGGGGTTTTCTGTTTGAGACCATCCCGGTTTCTTTATTAGTTTCTCTTTCGATATATGTCACTACTCTGTTCCGCACATTGGTCCTTTAATTTAAGGTTATCTTGGTCCTTTTATATAAGGTTATCTCTGATTATATGTTTTTTTTCTTCCTCTCATGATCGTAAATAAGAACAAATATTGAATGTCTCTGAAGAAAGAAAAGAAAAATAGTTGGGTCGAATTATAGTCATTCTGTAATTTGTGAAAGCAAAATGTAGTTGTAAGAAATTATAGTCACAAAAAGTAAAAGCTATCTGAATTTAGGTTGAAATGTCATTATACCTTATAATGCAAATGATCCACTCATTGTTCACGTATTTAACCCGCCAAATAAAAAGAATGGTTTGTATTACTTCATTTGTCAAATAGGAACCGGGTATGGACTTAATGGCCTTATATATGAGAGAGGTGAAATATACATATGCACAAACTGTACGATACCTCTAAAATTATGTATGATGCAGTAGCTTTGCACCATATTATGTTCATGAGATTTATGTAAAGATCCCAGTTTTGATCCACAAAAAAAGGAAAAAAATGATATCGTGTGTCAAATTTGATATTGTATCTTTAGTTAAGCATTTATGTATCAATTTTCCTAACACAAATTCTTAATTTGGTTAAATTTGATTCTATAATTTTTTTTTGTGAAGAAATAGTTTATTATAAAAAAATTATTTATAGTATTTGTAACATTGTGCAACATGTTTAGTAATCCAAAAAGCATAGAAGAAACATTCTTTCCAATCCTTACGTTCTTTTTTGGCTTTCAAATTGTTAAGCTAATTACAGTTTAACCCTCATCTTTCTTTTTCCTCACAATACTTCCGGTTTCTTCATGTGATTAGTTAATTAGCTTATCAGATTTAAAATTCAAAACCTCATGTAATGATTAATCAAATGTCCGGTGTGGACAAAGCATGTTTATATCCCACGAAGATTTTCAACTTTCCGATCGCGTGGACTTTCCAGCGCACGTTAGATGCCTTCCCTCACCAAGACAAAAAATATAATAAATAATTAATTAGTACTACTAAAGAACAAAATTTAAATTACTTAAAAAAAAGAAAAAAGTTAAAATAATTTCGAAGTATTGCGAACAATAATTATACTTCCCCTCTCTCTCTCTCTCGTTGTCTGCCACCAACAGCCGAGGACGACGACCGTATCCACGACAACCGCTTCCGGCAGAGACGACGGCGATCGGTTCTTGTCGTTCGGCTACTTGTTTCTGCTCTGCTTTTGAATAGATTTTTCAAGCAGACAATCCCAGAAGAACGGGTTATGTTTGAATTAGCTGATCGCTAGGCTCTTCTTCCGTGAGATTAGTTTGATCTCTGGGGAAATTCCCGATCGCCTCCGGTTTCCGGAGATTGGATTGAGTAGGATACGAGAAATCTCTATCTGCTGTGTTTTTTTCGCGATTAGGTTTGCTGGGTGGGAAAGCTTAGCATTTCTAAAACCAAAATTTCGTCGATTGGGCAATGGGATTTGAGCTTTTGGCGGTTATAGACAGGCGATTAGGTTTTTGAGTGAAGATTTACTGATAATCTCAGGGTTTAGTTATCAGAGAGAGACTTCGTTAAGTTTTTTAATCTGGTCTGGATTTGTCGAAGAATCTCCTAGATCTGTCTTCTCGACGCATGATTTGCGTCTGTGAGCTAGGGCTTTTTACGCTTGGCTGATCAGCACAAAAATGCCGATGGGACGGTTCCTATCTCTGGTCCGAGGAGACTCGGCTGAGTCACCTCGTGAGATTACCTCACACAGTAATCTCATCGGCGATTCCGGTTCTAATGGTTGGCTTATTAGGTTTTTCGATTCTGCTTTCTTCTGCGAGTGGATTGCAGTCAGTTATCTGTACAAGCACCCACATGCTGGTGTTAGGGACTACTTATGCAATAGGATGTATACGCTTCCCTTATCAGGTATTGAGAGTTATCTGTTCCAGATTTGCTACATGATGGTTCACAAACCAAGCCCATCGCTTGATAAGTTTGTAATAGATATCAGTGCCAAGTCACTGAAAATCGCACTGAAAGTGCATTGGTTTTTGTTGGCTGAGCTGGAGGATTCTGACGATAATGAAGGCATCAGCAGGATTCAAGAGAAGTGCCAAATTGCAGCTACTTTGATGGGTGAGTGGTCTCCTCTTATGCGTCCGCAGAATGAGGTCTCAACCCCTGGGGGCAAGAATCAGGTCCTAAGTAGACTTTTGTCATCAAAACAGAAGCTCTTCTCGTTGAAGTTATCTCCTCCCACCCAGAAGTCTTTGTCATTTTCACCTTCGCCCGGGACCAACATGCAGGATGATGTTAGTCAATTACCTGCCGAGGACAATAAGATTTTTAAGAAACTTATCCCAAGTCCTAAAGTCCGAGATGCTTTAATGTTTAGAAAGTCAGTTGACAAAGATGATGAGGAGAATGAGAAGGAAGGGTTCTTTAAGAGGCTCATGAGGGACAGCAAAGGTGACGGTGATGAACCAACATCTAACTCAGACGGTTTCTTTAAGCGCCTTATGAAAGACAGTAAGTCAGAAGACGACGACATAACAAACAGTTCCGAGGGGTTCTTCAAGAGGCTCCTAAGTAGTAAAGGAGAAAACGAGGAATTGACATCGAGTTCAGATGGGCTGTTTAAGAGGTTGTTACGAGATAGTAAAGGCGATGAAGAGGAGTTGAGTGCAAACTCAGAGAGTTTCTTCAAGCGGTTATTGCGGGAGAATAAAAACGAAGATGAGGAGTCAAATCCAAACTCAGAAGGGTTCTTCAAGAAACTATTCCGTGACAGTAAAACCGAGGAAGAGAAAGTTCCTAAAGCAATGGATGATGAGGACAAAGATGGGTTCCTTAAGAAACTTTTCAAGGAAAAATTTGAGGACAAAAGACATGGTAATGAAAAAAATGAGACCAATGGAATAGTGCTTGCTGATGATAAATCTGGTGAAGAGGATGAAAGGGAGGGTTTTTTTAAAAAATTCTTTAAGGAAAAGCCTGACTACAAGAAAGACACTGTCAATGCCGATGACGGGAATGAAAGTGAGGGTGATGAATCTCCAGAATTTTCTCTGTTCAAAAGATTATTCCGTATACATCCAGAAGATGCAAAACCTACTTCAGAAATTGATAATAGCAGCAATGGCTTAGTTGAAAGCAGTCCTGGGACAGAGAACTTTTTCCGTAAATTGTTCAGAGATCGTGACCAGTCTGTTGAAGATTCTGAACTATTCGGATCAAAGAAACACAAGGAGGTTTGTGGTCTTTTGTGTTTCTGTCTTATTGCAAATACTAGTTTTATCTGCACTGTTTTGACATTCTCGTTTCTTTCGATCACTATCTTCAGATTCATTTGTCAAGATCTTGTTGGATATACTCATATAAATCGACTTCTTGTGAAATTTACTTGACGTAAATTTAGGCTGAAACAGGGTTGTTGTTAGACTGCAATTGATTATTTATCTATACCGAGCATTCTTTGCTGTCATAGGTGCTTGATTCTACTCATACCAATCTTTCTTATTTAACCATTGCAGAAGCGGCCAGGTTCACCTAAACAGCGGGATGATACCCCATCTGGTAAGCCCCCACTACCTAACAATACCGCATCACATTTCAGGAAAGGGGCTTACCACGAGTCCTTGGAGTTTGTACAAGCGTTATGTGAAACATCATATGGTTTGGTAGATATCTTTCCCATTGAAGACCGGAAGATAGCTCTTCGGGAGGTGATCATTTCTGTCCATATTGATTTTTAAATTTTAGGTGTTAAATTATACCTTACTAGCAACTGACTAGATTTCATGTTATTCTGTTTGGTTTTAGTCTCTTGCAGAGATCAATTTCCATTTATCTGAAGCTGAAACCACCGGAGGTATTTTCTGAAATTAGATCTTAAGAGGAGATATTATTCAAAAGTTTACTTTACTTGTGTAGCTCAAATATATTGAGCTTGCATACATTTTTTTTCGTCATGTATTCTTTTCTCTGAAATTGTATGTGAAATTTTATAGTCATTTCTATGTTGCTGGAGCTAAATCATGTTTCTTGTCTTAAAAAAGTAGTATGTCCTTTTTTTACTATATCTGCTGCTCACGTAAGTTCAGTGTATGGCAGATGTTGGTCATTGTTTTGTCTGATTAGATTATTAGAACATATTGCATCCTTTCCACTCTTGTTTGGTTTTTTTTTTCCCACTCTTGTTTCACCTTTATCATTTATTTTCCTCTCTTATATAGGATTTCCTTGGACTCGTCTTTTCTCCCTTGAGAGATCATGTGGTCCAATCTTTTTGCCATCTAAACTTCAGCTTTTGGAATCATTTTTGCATTTTTCCTGTTTTAATATCATATATAGTGATTCTGTTGTGGTAACTGTTTTTGTTATCAGATATTAAATTTTTTCTCAATAACCTTCCAGGAATTTGTTTTCCAATGGGGAGAGGAGTTTATCGTGTTGTTCATATTCCTGAAGACGAATCCATTCTTTTGAATTCTAGGGAAAAGGCGCCGTACATGATCTCCGTAGAAGTTTTGAAAGCAGAAACACCCAGGTAAATTTTTGTTTTTTTATTAAAAATATACTAATCTGCTACTTTTACTAGGAAGTTACCTTCTTTTCTGTGTCCCGATAATCGTACCAAGAGTATAACTTAACGTGATAACACTCTCCCATTGTTCTTTTTGTTTTTCTGAAATTTGTTGTGGCAGTGGTAAAGATACATCTAACTCCCAGAAGCTTTCGAAAGGGGGCATTCCTTTGGCCAACGGGGACGCATTCTTGCATAAGCCACCTCCATGGGCTTATCCACTATGGACTACTCAGGAGGTTTATCGCAACAGTGCTGACCGAATGTCGTTATCCACTGCCCAAGCAATCGATCAAGCGATGACTCCTAAGTCAGAGGTCAAGGTGAAACTTGTCAATGTAAGCCTCTCAGTGGAGAATTGTACTTCATCTCTTGAATCACTGAGTGATCCATTTGATGATATTCTGGCTGAGGCCCCAAGAACTGGGCTGGACACTGATCTTGAATGGGTAAGGGTGGTCGTGACGGCTGACCCAGGACTTCAAATGGAAAGCATTCCTGATCCAGCAGTCCCGCGTAAAAAGGAACATCGTCGTGTTCCAAGTACTGTTGCCATGGAGGAAGTAAGGGTGAGTATTTCTTGATCGGTAACTTGTAGAAAGCAATTACTTTGTGTGTTTTTGCCATTTTGAAACTCTTTCTGGTCGTTGAAATATATTTTTTTTTTTTTGGCCAAATTGAAACAACTGACTCAGTTGAGTTGATATTTTTGGTGCTTGTTCTTGTTCTTGTCCTAAGCACTTCATTTACTTATAAAGGCACCTAAGGTTTGAAAGCCAATATATTGATATTGCATGTGTTCTGTTTGGTGTTGTTTCTCTACCCTTCATTAATCATTTTAATGCTCAACTTAATAATATATGCAGGCTGCTGCAGCGAAGGGAGAGGCACCTCCAGGCCTTCCTCTCAAAGGGGCTGGTCAAGATTCGTCAGATGCACAACCAAGGGTGAATACGTGTTTAATATAGAATATAGACTTCCTTTCCCTGTTCCTGTTTTAAATGTTGAACCTTCTATTTATTTATTGTGATGTTCACCAGGCCAATGGTGGAATGCTAAAGGAAGGTGATGCTTTATCAGGTGAACTTTGGGAAGGAAAGCGAGAGAGAATTCGTAAAGCTTCAATATATGGAAAATTACCTGGTTGGGACCTGCGTTCTGTAAGTGCTACATAAAACCATACCCTATATATCTAATACTGGTGCCTCCAAATGAAGTTCTTTGTTTATACGATAGAATAGATGTTTGTGTCAATTAGTTTGATATAGTACCCAAATTTTGTTTAATCGGGTTGATACCGTTGATCATTTTTGGTCTAGAGGACCGTAACTCGTGATTCCCGAATGTTTATTAAGGATTGTTAATAAACCTGCAACAATGTAGACGTCAACGTTTCATGAGTCTTCGATAACTCTCTAAGAAGCTCATGATAAAGTTCTGCTTTTGGTTCTCTTTCCAGCTGCATTTGAAGGTTTTTTTTTTCACATTGAAAAGTTGTTGTCAAAGGAGTTGCACACTTTTCCTTTCTTAATGTTTACTGAATTGTATCCTTGTGTGTTGAGCATTTTGCTATATATTCCTTTCTACCTCAATTATTTTTTTTTAAAAAAGGCTCTCTTTGCAGATCATTGTGAAGAGTGGTGATGACTGTCGGCAGGAACATCTTGCTGTGCAACTCATTTCTCACTTTTATGGTGGGTGCACTTTTTTATATCTACTAATGTCTGTTAATATCCTATTTCTTAGATACGGTTTCTCAAAAAAAATTTTTTTAATGGCTTTCTTATTTTGCTATCTAAAGGTGACTATATTTCCACCTTATCGAGAATTTTCTTGTCCATGTGATAGATATATTCCAGGAAGCTGGTCTGCCTCTCTGGTTACGTCCTTATGAGGTCTTGGTTACATCTTCGTATACTGCCCTTATAGAAACAATTCCAGATACGGTAATTATGTAAACCAGACCCTATTTAGTTGCTACGTGTATCCTGTAATCAATGTTATTGTATGTAAAAGGTATTTTCCCCTCCTGCAGGCTTCTATTCATTCTATCAAAAGTAGATACCCCAACATCACGAGCCTACATGATTTCTTTGCTGCAAAGTATAAAGAAAACTCTCCGAGTTTTAAGCTCGCCCAGGTAATATACTGCTGAGGTAGATCTTAATAGTTTAATTCAACCAGCATGTTGGTTATTTTGTTCAGGAATTTGCTTGACGTCAGTCTGTTAAACTTGTTAGCGTTGAAATGGGAAAGGCGCCGGAATTACATACAGTGCATTCTCTTGAGAACATAAGTTGCATTGGATTTTCAAGATAGTTTCTTTAGGATCATTCTAGGAAAAGAAGCTGTTTAATTTAAACCTTTTATGTAAATATTAAGTGACCCAATCGTACCTTCTTGTATCGGATGCATTTTGTGTTTATAACCTTCCGAGCCGGCTTCTTTTGCAGAGAAATTTTGTTGAGAGTATGGCCGGATATTCTTTGGTCTGTTACCTTCTGCAGGTACATGTCTTAGCGCCCCCCTTCTCTCAGTACATTGTTTATTCATCTGTATGAGCATCTAAGCACGTTGAAAACAGAGGGAGGATCTATTGGTTTACATGTTCTGATGTCGTTCATATGTTTCATGAGTAGCATGTTTTGACGTTTTATTGCTCATGTGCCCATGGTTTTCATTTGGTTTAGGTAAAAGATCGTCATAATGGAAATCTTCTCTTGGATGAAGAGGGTCACATTATACACATTGATTTCGGTTTTATGCTTTCAAATTCTCCTGGTGGTGTAAACTTTGAGAGTGCTCCTTTTAAGTTAACCCGTGAACTTCTTGAGGTAAGACACTCATTCTTGGTCTAATAATTTTTTTTTTTTTTTGTCTCTTCAAAGTCTTCTCTGCTTAAATTTCCTTGAATACTTTAGTCCAAATTTATACGCAAAAAACCACTTGTCAAAACTAGGTCATGGACTCTGATGCCGACGGGGTTCCAAGTGAGTTCTTTGACTATTTCAAGGTATCCGCGTGGCTCTTCCTCTCGCCTTTGAATTTAATTACTTAAGGCTTTGTTTTCCTGTCTATAGCTATTATGCGGAAGAAGAGCCTCTAATTCGTCAATTGTTTTTAGGTGCTATGCATTCAAGGATTCCTTACATGTAGAAAGCACGCTGAGCGGATTATTCTCTTAGTTGAAATGTTACAGGTATCATAAATCTCTAGCTTCTTTTTTTACTAACCTGAATCATATATAGTTATAGCAATGCAACACAAGCCTAATTATTTGCAATGCCAATTACATTTTCTGGCATTGTCTCGATTATAGGATTCGGGTTTCCCTTGTTTCAAAGGCGGTCCACGAACCATTCAAAACCTAAGAAAGCGATTCCATCTAAGTTTAACCGAAGAGGTAAGCTTTTTCTCTTCTTCAGTTCAACTTTTCGCATGATCCCACTGTTGGTAACAGTTTTCTCATTTTTTTTTTGGTTGGACCACGAAACCAGCAATGTGTCTCGTTGGTGCTCTCTCTCATCAGCAGTAGCTTAGATGCTTGGAGAACACGTCAATATGATTACTACCAAAGGGTCTTAAATGGAATATTGTGATGTTCCAAAGCCAAAGAACCTACCTAAAAGGATAAACTCATAAATCGCCTAAAACCATGCGTTTTGAGGAACCCCTTTTATTCATAGTTGTAGCAATCAGAATCCTTCCAAAGGCAGAAGAACAAAAGCCTTTCCCCCAAGAGAAGCGATCATCGTGTGTGGGTGCGTGCGTACGTTGGAGAAGAAAGCAGTCACACGTGTGACTCACACGTAGAAGACAGAAACAACACTTTGTGTACAGAAATGATTTTTGCAGAGGTTTGATTGTTTGTCTGACTTTGCTTACTTCTTGCAGGAGAAAAGAAAAAGGCAAAAGCCTCGATTTTCTTCGTTCCAAAAGGTTCAAAACAAAACCCTTTTAGAGAGGACAAAAAAGGGTTTATGTTTTTGTTTTTGTTTCCTAGTGAAAACTGATGATGTGATATTATTGTATAAATTGTGTATTATCTTTTGTTAAATTAGAATCTGAGCAAGAAAAAAAACCGCTCTGTTTTATCTCACTCTCTTCATTGACTCAATCTCACAATCTGGTATGGTATCTAGTTACCACATGGGATTATATATCTAAATGTTGAATGGGGACTGAGTTTGACCATAACTGCGCTAAGAAGTTGTAATATAATTGAAAATGATACTTTCTGAATAATTAGAAGAGCAAATCGCAGAAACATACTTGTAATTATGATCAAGATAATTAATTTCTCATAACTGTTGTAGGTGATTATCTTGATCATAACTACAAGTATGCTTTTTCACATTTAACATCTAAGCTCCATTCATTTCCTTTACTACGCCAGCTTTTTTCTACGTCATTAAGCCTGCAGCTTTTTCTTTAAAATGAAATATGTATATGTGTTTCATATCCTTTATACTTTATCATGTTATATTGGTATATAATGTAGATAATTTACAAAACTCTAAGTTTTATATTAAACTGATGACAACCATGTAACATATAATCATAAACATTTGACCAAAAGAATAAGTTTTTTCTAACTTGTCAACTACCAGAGTAGAGGATTTTAAACTAAACTGTGTAGAAAAATATTTTTAAATCAATTAAAACAAATTTCATCATTATTTGACTAACTCATTTCCATTTTCATTTATTTTGCAAGATGCATTTTACTGTGTGATAATTCCTTTTTTTTTTTGTTGCGTAGGCTTCGTATCATCCAATCAACGTAACTAATTGATTAAGGTAGGATAGATCAAAACAATTTATGAATTATAATTTTTGTTTTTTTGCCGACAAAAAAAATTAGAAAAAAAAGAATTGAAGAAATTATTAGAGGTTCTGGTAATTTTATGAATTTCTATTTTATTATTTGGTCTAATTACATTTATCATTTCTTTTTGCAAAATGACTCCTTTACTTTGGTTCTATCTTAATAAACGCGTATTTATATCTATATAAGCCCTAACATCATCACTCTCTCACTCCCTCTGGCTTCTCTTTCAAGCTACTCTCTCTCCTCTCTGGCCCTCTCGCTCCTCTGCCTCTCTTCCGACCACCGTCGTCTGTTCCTCCGATTCTCCTTCTCTACGGGTGCGATTTCTACGCTCTTCATCTTCTCTGTTTGTTTTACTTTTCGCCGTGAACGCTTCTCACTAGTATGGTTCGGTTTCCGATGTGGTCTCTCGTCTTCTCCATTTCCAATTGCCTTGATGGGTTTTCGATTTCCAAAGGGTTTTCTTTCTTGTGATTTTTGGGTTTAGTCTAAGTGGCCTGCATTGATCGTTGATGCGATTTCGTGATGAAAAGACGTTTATTTGTTTTCTAGGGTCTTGCGTGAAATCATCTTCTTCTTGCTTACAGTCAATGGAATTTTCAAAGTTTTTTAAAGTTTCGAAATCGGTAGATTTTCTTTTATGCTTGGAAACTTCTTTGATTTCTCGAAGTCTGCTCGTTCATTGACATTTGTTTGAAACTTATTTGATTACCAAAATTGATCAATTATTGTGATTGCAAACCGAAATTAGCCCTAAATGTTGTTGTTACAGTCCATCAAAAAGAGCTTGCTTCTAAAAATTTTCTTCCTTTCATGTGTTTACAAACAGTTTAATTTTTGTTTTTTTTTGTTTGTTGCTGTTGCACACCAGATGTCTGTTGATATCTGCAAGAAGAATCCATCGTTTCTTTGGTGCGACTGTGGTTATATGAGCAAAGGGAGGTTGTGGTGCTTTCAGACAATCTTGTTCAAACATTCAACTTGGACTTGAATCATTCAAGCCCCCTCAAACTGTTTTCTTCTTCTTCTTTTTCACATTCTTAGTTGTTTCTTGTTGGTAAAGAGTAGTTGTTTCTACTAGATTGTGTTATTGTAAATCTGAGAGAATATTTCGAAATTCTTGCTTTATTGGTGAGGGGAATTACTTAATTTTACAACTTTGGGTCTCTCTCCAATGGGGAAAACTAACTTGGCACCTGGATTTCGGTTTCATCCGACTGATGTTGAACTTGTAAGATATTACTTGAAGAGGAAAGTTCTGGGCAAAAAGTTCCTAACTAATGCCATTGCTGAAATCGACATTTACAAGTTCGAACCACCTGATTTACCCGGTAATTCATTCAAAAACCTTCTTGTTTTTTTTTTTTTCCCAAAAGTTTCACGCTTTGTTAGTTTCGTATGTGGTTGATTACTCCCCAAACTCAAGAGACTCCATCTTTGACAGATAAATCATGCATAAGGACTGGAGACCTCAAGTGGTACTTCTTCTGCCCGAGGGAAAAGAAGTATCCCAAAAGTGCCAAGGCAAAACGGTCGACTGAATCTGGTTACTGGAAGACCACAGGCAAAGATAGAGATGTTTCTTACAATAATGAGGTCGTAGGGAAAATAAGAACTTTGATTTTTCACTACGGGAAGACGCCTCGTGGGGATCGGACTGACTGGGTCATGCATGAATATAGACTTGAAGACAAAGTACTGGCGCAGAAGAATGTTCCTCAGGTAATGAATTTTGGGTAAAAAAGATGAGCAACTTTTTTAATCTCAGGTTTCTTGGAAGTATACTTAGATATGTTCTTGTGTGACCTGCAGGATACTTATGTGCTGTGTGTTCTCTTCAAGAAAAATGGACTTGGACCAAGACATGGATCTCAATATGGAGCTCCATTTAAGGAAGAAGACTGGAGCGATGAGGAAGAAGAAGAAGAGACTGAGAATCTTGTAGCAGCTATTCCTTCTGCAGAAAACGCCGATCCTGGTCCTGGCAGAGAAACCAGTCTAGTTGCTACTGCATCACACTCGCATTCTTCTAAGAATTGTTTCGCTGGAGTGATATCAGAATCTTGCGTCTCTGATGTACCGCAACTAACTGCCACAGTGCTTCCACCTCCAACAAGTGATGTTGTAGCTTACAATCCCATGTCTTCTTCTCCTCTTCTTGAGGTTCCTCAGGCACCACCGGATGACGATGAGTTATATTCGCTATTGGACCTCTTTGTTGTTGATAATGACGAGTCTTTACTCTTAGACGGATTCAACAATCAATACGAGGTAAGTCTCTGCATCATGCTTTTGATGAATCAAGATTCATTGGTAGTTGTTTAAATGGAACTTGTGTTGATTTGTATCTGAAATTACAGGTAAGACATGAACCTGAGGTTCCTGTTGTCGAGGAAGCACCGGTTTGCTTAGGAGATGCAGAATTAAGCAGAATTCCGGACTTGAGCGATGAGTTATTCATAGAGATTCAGGATCTGACTGAGCCATCCAATCTTTCCGCTCAGAGGCCGACCCACTAAGAGATATAATATTGAATTTTCTTTGTAACGTTATCGGATTTGTTGAGCATTACGAGTTAAAATTTTCTTCTGACCCTATAATTTAATTATTTTTCCAGCCCAATATCGTTAATTAGAAAAAATCATATAAATTAGTATATAACAAAAAAAAAAAGTTTAACTTAATTGGAATTTTCGTTTTAGACAGGGCTATATTGATAGTAAATAGAATACGGGGATGTAAGTTTAAAAACTATAAAAGTTAGTCTGCTTTTTCAATTCTACCGAAGCAGACGACTTTTTTTTCTTTTTTCTTTTTGTAACTTGTTTAACTCCCGATTAATCCTTTATCCCCGAAAATCGCAAACTTTAGAAAAGGCGCAACGAAAATGGCGAGCCTTGTCCTCAATACGCCGTGGCTTAGGATTAGGTCTTTACCGGAGCTTGCTCCTACTTTCCTCCGACGGCGTCAATCTTCTTCATTTTACTGTTCCCGGCGAAGCTTCGCGGTGGTTGCGTGTTTTTCAGCTAGTAATAATGGTGGGTCAGTCAGAGTCCGTTTCGCGCCTTCTCCTACTGGCAATCTCCATGTGGGTGGAGCAAGGACTGCTCTCTTCAACTACCTATTCGCGAGGTTTGTGATCTTATTAAGATTCGATTTCTCTTTGGACAGAACAAATTCAGAAGAGTTTTTGGGTTTATAACTGATGGAGTTTCGCAGGTCTAAAGGAGGGAAATTTGTGCTGAGAATCGAGGATACGGATTTGGAGAGATCAACACGTGAATCTGAAGCAGCTGTTCTTCAGGATCTATCCTGGCTAGGACTTGATTGGGATGAAGGTTACTTCTTCTCCTTCTTCTTATGATACTTTTAAGTGGTTTGTTTCTCCAATGGTGGTGTAATGAGAATTGGGATTGAAATTGCAGGTCCTGGGGTTGGTGGAGACTTTGGTCCGTATCGACAGTCTGAAAGAAATGCTCTTTACCAACAATATGCAAAGAAGCTTTTAGAGTCAGGTCATGTCTATCGATGCTTTTGCTCCAGTGAGGTGAAAATCTTCAAATTCGCTTAAACCCTTTTTGCTTCTTGTCTCTATAGGTTTTTGACTTTTAATTAATTGAATTGTGTATGTAGGAACTTGTAAAGATGAAGGAGATTGCTAAGTTAAAACAGTTGCCTCCAGTATATACTGGTAAATGGGCAACCGCTTCTGAGGCTGAAATAGAGCAAGAGTTAGAAAAGGGAACACCTTTTACTTACCGTTTTCGTGTGCCAAAGGAAGGGTCTTTGAAAATTAATGACCTGATTCGTGGTGAGGTACGTTTATTTGTGATTATTCTGATAAGCTCGCTTTCCCGCTGGCTTACTGCTGGAAATAGCAGAAATGTTGCAACCTTTCGTTGTGATCTTGGAGAATCTACATTTCTGCTGTTTCAATGTAAAATTGGTCTATCCGTTTAGATGCGTGTCCTGAAAAGCTCGACGATCTCTCTATTGTTTTTTTTTTTTTTTTGTTAACCCGGTGTGGTTATTGACCATGTGTGATAGTGTCTTGAAGGTATGTTGGAACCTGGATACTCTTGGAGATTTTGTGGTAATGAGGAGTAATGGCCAACCTGTATACAACTTTTGTGTTACGGTAGATGATGCTACCATGGCTATATCACATGTAATCAGGTTACAACTCTGGTGTCTTCTTTTGGAACTCGTTTTTAATCTTAACATGTTAGAATGCGAACTTGATCAAATGTCTCAACTTTCATTTCAGGGCTGAAGAACATTTACCTAATACTTTGAGGCAGGCTCTAATTTACAAGGTTTGCACTAACTTATGTGTGTTTCTTCCAATTTCTCTCGGAAGTTATGTGATCCTGAAGATTTGATTTAGATATGTCTGCATCAATCAATGGCAGGCTCTGGAGTTCCCGATGCCTCAGTTTGCACACGTGTCTTTAATTCTAGCCCCGGATAGAAGTAAATTGTCAAAGCGACATGGGGCAACTTCTGTAGGCCAGGTAATTAAAGCTGTTGTTGCCTTTACTTGGCGTTGATCATACATTACTTAGCTGCTGATTCTTAATCTAATTTCTTCTTTACGTTTCTTTGGAGAAAAAACAGTACAGAGAGATGGGATATTTGCCTCAGGGAATGGTTAACTATTTGGCACTATTAGGCTGGGGAGACGGCACTGAAAATGAGTTTTTCACACTCGAGGAACTTGGTAGGTCGTTCTTGTTGACTATAAATTTTACTTTGTTTGATCTTCATCGTCATCATCATGTTTTTGTTCTTGATTTTGCAGTTGAAAAATTCTCGATTGAACGTGTCAACAAAAGTGGCGCGATTTTCGATTCTACAAAATTAAGGTGATTATGAAAGCGGTTTAAACCATCCAATCTTCTTCTCTCTCGTTTTTCCTATCTCTGGTTGTTCTTTACTTTTAGCTTCAATGTTGCATATAAAATCGAAGATGGATGAATGGTCAACATCTGAGGGCGCTTCCAATTGAAAAATTGACAAAACTTGTTGGTGAGCGATGGAAAAGTGTCGGTATCCTAACAGCCTCGGAAGGGGTGTTTGTAGATGTAAGCTTTCTAATCATCTTTCTTGTGATCCGAACATAAAATCATATCTGTCGTTCCATTATAGTAATTTTTTTAATTTCAGAGTAACGGAGTTTGAGCTTGTTGTTGAAGTACAGGAAGCCGTGGAGCTTCTCAAGGACGGGATTGATTTGGTGACAGATTCAGAAAAAGTACTTTTGAACTTGCTTTCATATCCTTTACATTCTACATTGGCTAGGTAACTATCAAAAACTGTTTGATCCTCCTGCATCCTTCATTCCATTCTATGAAATCTCTGAGCTTGATATTCCTTCATGATGCAGTGCTGAAGCTAAGCCGGCCGTGGAAGACAAGCTTCATGAAGTAGCAGCTAGCCTCATAGCTGCTTATGACAGCGGTGAGATTCCGAGCGCTTTAGCAGAAGGACAAGCTGGTTGGCAGAAATGGGTGAAAGCCTTTGGCAAATCATTGAAACGCAAAGTTAGTTGAATACCAAAAACAAAATCTTCTCTCTTTGAATTGATGAACAAAACCTTACAAGAGATTGTTCTGATGCTGGTTACAGGGGAAATCACTTTTCATGCCTCTGCGCGTGTTGCTAACGGGAAAACTCCATGGACCTGAGATGGCCACCAGTATTGTTCTGATTCACAAAGCTGGTAGTCTCGGTATTGTGGTTCCCCAGGCCGGGTTTGTGTCCATGGAGGAACGGTTTAAGATCCTTAGGGAGGTAGATTGGGAAGCTTTGAACAAAGGCGAGAGTGTACCTGTTGAATCTACAGCCGCGGCATCAACGTGAGAAAATTCCTTCTCCTTAATCGTCGGTTGGTAAAAATACCACCCTTAAAATATGATTTCTCGTCCGTTTCTTTGTTCCCCGAAACAAATTGCACGACGAAGTTTGTAGGAACAAACCAGAGTGTTTTTACTTTGTCTTTCATGCTCTGTTTTCTTACATTTTCTTCTTTAATTTGTTCTTTCTTTTTTTTTCTCCTTAGATAATCTTGTAATTGGTTAAAGCTCTCATAACTTACATGTCAATTTCATGAATGTTCATGGACTTATTAATTTTCCCCACAAGACTAAATCCGAAGCATTCTACTGGAACTAAACTCGAAATAAAATTTTGCATACGGTTAGCTTGGAGAAGGCGATGCTTGAGCATTTCAGATAATCGCAGCACATCAAACCCTACAATCTAGATCCACAAACATAACAGCCTGAATCAGGATCTGAGTTTTCGCAGACGGAGAAGCGCCAGTGATCTCCACTCCGTTCCCGGCAAGCAAAAGCACACGGTGAGGAAGCAGGAACGCAGTCTCTGAGAATGCTAGATAAGATCAGCTTCGCATTCTCGTAACCGCGAATCCAACCACAAGCTCGATCTTCTCCCATCGCCCGTGACAATTCCGGCCGGTGTGGATTCCTCGGCGACTGGCCGGAGATCATGGCGGATTAACTACAGGCCTATATAAGAAATATTCATGGGCCTATTTGAGGAATACACTCGGCCCTACTATAATATAGAAGTACAGACTTGGGCCTAACATGGGTCCATGAGGTGTATAATGGGTCCTTAAGATGAATTCTCATGGGCTTTATATGCTGAGATGAATATACTCGGGCCTACTATGCGCCAAGTTATTGGGCCTCATATGGGTCTTATTTGGACCTAATATGAGTCCATCAGGCTTTTTATGGCCCTAATATGGTGAAAGGAATACATTCGGGCCTAATATAATAGAACAGTACAGACTTGGGCCTTAAACATGGGTCCATGAGGTATGTAATGGGTCATTAAGATGAATTCGCATGGGCTTTATCTGGTGAGATAAATACACTCGGGCCTACTATGGGTCAAGTTAAAAGATTATAATTGGCCCTCATATGGATCTTATTTGAACCTAATACAAGTCCATCAGGCTTTTTATGGCCCTAATATGGTGAAAGGAATACACTCGGGCCTAATATAATATAATAGTACAGGCTTGGCCTCACCTGGGTCCATGAGGTATTTAATAAGTCATTAAGATGAATTCGCATGGGCTTTATATGGTGTGATGAATACTCTCGGGTCTACTGTGGGGCAAGTTAAAATAATTCACTTGGGCCTCATATGGGTCTTATTTGGACCTAAAATAAGTCCATCAGGCTTGTTATGGCCCTAATATGGTAAAAGGAATACACTCGGACCGAAACTGGGCCAGTTAATAGGATATATTTGAGCGTAATATGGGTCCTAAGGATAAAAATTTGGACCTAATATAAGGCTTTCTATGGGCTTCTAAGACGAATTCGCGTGCGTCTTATATGATGAAATAAATACACTCGGACCTAATATGGGCCAGTAAAACGGTTATATTTGGGTCTAAGATGGATCATAACAGTTTATATTTGGGACTAAAATGGGTCCAGAAAAAGCCTTATATAGTAAGTGGAATACACTCGGGCCTAATATGGTCCAGTTAATAGGTTTTACTTGGGTCTAAATGGGTCTTAAGAGTAATATATGGGCCTCATATGGGTCCGTGAGGTTTTCTTATTGGCTTTTAAGACAAATTCGCATGGGCCTTGAATAGTGAGGTCGATACACTAGGGCCGAATATAGACCCGTTAAAAGGTCATACTTGGGCCTAATATGGGTCCATGAGGGATTTTATGGGCATTATTTAGCAAGGGTAATACACTCGGGCCTAACATAGGCCAGTTTAAAGGTTTTATATGGCCTAATATGGATCCTAATATTAAAGTTTTGAGCTTAATATGGGTCCATGCTGCTTTTTATGGGTCTTTAAATTGAGATCAATATTATCGGGCCTAATATGAGCCTTATATGAGCCGATAAGTAGAAGAGTATACGGGAGCTTAATATAAGCTTATAATAGAAATCCATGAGGCCTTTTGTGGGCCTTTTAAGATAGATACGAATGGGCCTGGTATGTACATTTATGATCCATTATATGGGCCTATAATAATAGTTTTCGTGAGCCTTAGTCGAATAGAATCAGCCGAAATAATTTATAAGAGCCCGCAACAGTCTAGGGCCTATATTAACGTCATTTGTTTTCAGTTTAGTCCCTATATTTCATGTCAGTATCTACATTCTTCCCTTTTTTGTTTCTATTTGATATCATATACCTATGCAATCTGATTCTCATTCTCATCTTTGTAAATCAGTTTGTGTAATCTTTTTGGCCTTGGTTAAGATCTTTCAACGAACTTATCCATGAATTTAACGAAGCATTTTTCAGATGATTTCCACTAAAAAAGAGTAATTACAAGTTGCAGTGAAGTATATAACACACACTTCTTCTGCAGATACGGTTAGTAAAGGAAAACAAAGACAAGTATCTCGAGTCACCAGATGACATGAACCATGTCCACATGATTTACAAGGTAAAAGGTCTTGGAGGAGGCCGAATGATTGGAAGTTTCGACATGGTTACATTTCTAGAAATCACAGTTTGCGCAGTATAGTATCCTCCAATGGTATAAGATCAACTCGCATTATGTTCTCTGTATAACCTTCTCTCCATCAACCTTAGCAAGTACCTCAAAGTGCATTCTCATCATCGTCTCGAGCTTTGTTTGCCACTTTTGGAAAATTTAATCCTTCAAAATCACACTTTCCTTCAGCTTCCTTTCTACACCAAACTCAATCTTCATAAAGGTTTGAGCCGCGACATCCACTTATAATTGGTTAAAGCTCTCATAATTTGATAAAGTACATTGTTCTTTTTGTGAAAGATAGGCATGACAACTAGAGTCAAAGTCCAAAATCTGACCTTACCCGGAAAATATCATAATTTTGGGGCTAAACTTATTCAACTCCAGCTAATTCTGATCGGTTTCTAGGAAAATAGGATAAAACAGAGTTTCAGTGGAGTTTCGAGAGGTTTGTGTGGTGGGGACTGAAGTGGAGCTAACCACATAAACAATTGAAAGAGAATCTGAAGACTCAAACTTTAAAAGCTTCAAGCTTCGAGTAATAAGAAAATATTTGGACTTTTACCAATAAGACTCGAGGGAAATCTCACCTTATCCACACTCCAACCACAATCCCTTATTACATTCCCGTCCACGTCATCATCATCATCCTCATTCATCTCTAATACTAAAAGCTAATCTTTTCCTTCCTCACCCTCCCACCAATCAAACCCAAAAACTCTTCAATTTTCCGAAAAACAAAAAGAGAAAGAGATCTGTAATGGCGACCATGAACTCGAGTGTTCTCACTTGCAGCTACGCAATCTCTGGTGCTAGCTCAGCAGAGCTAAACCAGAAAGTGGGCTTGGTGAATTCATCAGTTGGGTTTGGTCAGAAGAAACAGACGATGTCTGTGATCAAAGCTCAACGAGTTGGAGGTGATGATGTTGATGGGTCTAATGGAAGAAGATCCGCCATGGTTTTCCTAGCTGCTACACTCTTCTCCTCTGCTGCTGTTTCTGCTTCTGCTAATGCTGGTGTCATCGATGAATACCTCGAGAAGAGCAAGGCCAACAAAGTAATGTCTTGAAAGTCTTAAATCTTGAGATCTCAAAAGAAACATCTCATGCAAATTAATGGTTTTGTTGTTTTTTTTTTTGGAAAATTTTGGATTTTAGGAACTTAATGATAAGAAGAGATTGGCAACAAGTGGAGCAAACTTTGCGAGAGCATTCACTGTCCAGTTCGGAAGCTGCAAGTTCCCTGATAATTTCACTGGATGTCAAGATCTTGCCAAGCAAAAGGTTTTTGTCAAAAGAATCAAACCTTTTTTGTAATTATATGGGGGATTATTAACTGAAGAGATTATGATGTTCTTCTTCGTGGTTTCTATTTGCAGAAAGTCCCATATATCTCGGAAGATTTGGCGTTGGAATGTGAAGGGAAAGACAAGTACAAGTGCGGTTCCAATGTTTTCTGGAAATGGTGAAGAAGTTTGTTTGTTCTCATATTAAATCCAACAATGTATCTATCTCTCTCTATTTATTCATCAAAGTTATCATCTCCATTTGAATGAATCTATCAAGTTAATTATTGAGAGATTAGGAAGTATTATTGCTCACATCACACTCATTTTGGGTGGACGAAAATCGGTTTCATAGATGAGTATACTGGTTTGGTTTTCGTTCAGTTTAAGTACATGATCAAATTCATAATCTTCAACAACAACAAACAGTTCCGGATTAGATTAAGTTCTGGTTAAGTTAAAATATAACCGGGTGGTTTATGTGACTTGGGTTCGAAGATTTCAATTTAGATTCCGGTTGTGCTTTTTCCTTCTGCATTAAATCTTCATACAGTATATGCAAGATCTTTAATACCATTTGAGGCAAATAGAAGAAATCGAATTACTCACTTAACTTTACCAAGGAAACTCAAGAAAATTCCTCATCTTCAAAGAAGAGAAATACAAGTGCGAATAATACAAACGAATGACTCTCAACTCAGACGTAACGCTAAGAAGAAAACAAATTTCCTAAAAGGCGACAAGAAAAAACGATGATGACTAGTTAATAAGAGTGAGAGTGTTTTACGTACAAAAAGAGTGAACTGGAAGTAGGTTTTTTCTCAAGCGATAGCGTAAGTGAGAGTCTCTACTTCTTTGGGTCGCCAAATAGACTTTTTAACAGAAAGCAAACCTTCTTTATCCTTAGAATAAGTCATACGAACTTCCCATTTCATCGCTTTAACCATCGCTTCCACTTCTTGTATGGTTTCCGCATCATCCCGGACTATCAGTTTCCCTTCCGGTCTCAAAACCCGGTCCACTTCCGCAACAACCGCCGTTAGATTGCACCTGTCAAGTATAGAGAGTTTTGTTAATTATTATATTTCTGTTGTTTAAAACAGATATTGTCTTTCTTTCTTACACAACAAACCTTTGTTTGAGTTTGGAGAAAAGATGGTCGGCGTGAAGAAGATCGTATGATCTCGGGTAAGTACTGAAGGATTCACACCAATCGTGGTAAATACCGAAGAGTCCTCTTTCATAGATTATTGCAAGTGTGTCTGGCGAATCTATTGGAACCACATTCATGACCCACACTTTCAGTTCTTTTAGAGCCGCCGCAAATCTGCAAAGAGAACCAAACAAACACATTAAAGATGCCCTTAAACCGCTTTTAGTGTAAAATCGGAAAGTATTTATCATTTACTCTGTCTAATGAAGGAAATTCTGTTTTGTTTTACTTACCCTCCATAAACGGCTCGCATGTCCATGACGTTTCTAACGGATGCCCAGTTGATTCCTAAACCTTTAAGGTATGATTTGGTCACTACGCGTTTCCAGTGCTCATAATCAGCGCTGAAATCCTCTGGTGCTGCTTTTCCATAAACTCCAGTCTGGGAACTCGATAACCAGAACGGTGGTTTTTCTAATCTCCCTGGCCATTGCTCGGGCCACTGAGATCCACGTTGTGTTTTGTCTTCTGGTGCGGTGTGCATGCATGCTTGAAGTGGCACTTTCCTATAAAAACCACGCCCAAAAAAACATGTATATGGAAACGGATATCGGCTGGTTTTTAAGCATAATACCAAAACAATTGGAAAAAAAAAAATACCACGATGCATTTGGATCATCAGAGTCAGCACAAATAGGAGGTTCTTGTTCTGATCTGCTTGTGTAGCATTCATTGGAAGTAGGTTTTTTGTAAGTAGCTACACCGACTCCGTTGATAGTGTCCTTGTTAATGGATATGAGCTCCCAACACATTTTCTTAGTGAGTTCACTCATAGCTGCAAAATTCGCCAACATGAGGTGTGAGAAAACATGTTCCAGCTCAATTATATACAGAGTGATAACTTTTTCTACAACCTTTCCAAATTTCAACATCTTCGGTCTTCTTCTGATAAACAGGAGTAGCAGACCACACAAAAAAGCCACCAGGTCTCAATACACGGTTAAGCTCCAGAAGGAGTTTACCACCTATCCATGTATAGTGCACACAAACATCAGAAAGACAACAAAGAGTTTGACGGATCAATAGAAACAGACGGTTAAGATCCAGGAGGAGTTTTCCATTCAAAGACTACATCCTATGGCGGTTATACTACTTACCTTCTATGTGCCATGGCACTCTACAGCGAGCACAGTGAACAATGTCAAAAACTCTGCCAGGGAAGGGTAGCCTTGTAGTGCCCATTACTGCAGAAATGGCGGGAATGCCTCTCTCAAGAGCAAATTGCACTTGAGCTTCATGTTCATCTTTAGGCGCGAGGGACATCGTGATCACGTCTCTGTCAAAGAGGAAACCTCCGAAGCTTGCAACACCGCATCCAACATCCAAGACCACACGAGAGCGTTTACCCCAAGCAATAGCAGGGACAGACTGTAAAGCAGATTTTTCATCATTAGAGGAACTTCATAAGCACAAATATCACCCCTAACGTTATCAAAGTACAAACCAATTCAGACTTTCTAACAACATAAAGGAGTAGAAAAACAACTAGATGCATAAAAGAAACATGAGTAACAAAACGATTATATTTAAAGCAGTGATCCCATTCAGACTTCCCAACAAAAGAATTACATCTGAATACCAACCTCTTGTATGAAATCGATGTAATGAAGAGCACCATGCTTGAACTGGGTTCCTCCACCAGGAAAAGTTAGATATTCGCCGGTAACTTTAACCCAATTTTGATGGCCCTTGTACTCAGCAAGCTTGGTATGAGGGACGTTGGTGTACCAGATCTGCGTAAATGAAAATATTAGTATTAATTTTTTTTGCAGATATATCTATACATGGGAGAGGAAACAAATTGAGCCGACCTTTTCTCTACTTTTGGGCCACTCAATTGGCCGCTTGTATCCTTCAGGCAAAGGAACGAGGCAGGTGGGTGGGCTGTCTGGGCAATGCCTCTCACGATGCTCATAATGTTTAGTACTCTTAAGACTCCTAATGGCTTGCAAATTATCGAGACAGGGAATGTAATCTGGTCCGGCAGTTGTATTGCAGAGTGTCCATTTGAAATCAATTTGATTCCCAGAACCCTTCTGAGCTTCTTTCTCATTTTTAGATTCTGTTGCCTGGGTTGAAAATGATCCATTTTGTGCAATAGTTTCATTCAGTAGCTCCAACTGTGCCCCAGGAGGCGATAGATCACCCGAGGTCTCGTTTTTAGGTTGACTCTCTTGATCTACTTGAGCATCCACATTTGTCTCGTTGTTTTCCTTCTCAATTTTTGTTTCATTATCTTCACTGGCTGTTTTGGTTTCTTTATCATCTTTGACACCTTTATCTTCTGCATCATCGTCACCGGACTTTTTCTCACTGGCATCAGCCTCAAACTTCTTTTGGTTTTCACCATCCTCACCGGACTCATTGTCCTCTGTTTCTGGTTTAGATTGCTTTTCATTCGAGTCAGGGTTTTCTTCATCTGGGTTGTCTTTCAAATCTTTTTTCTCATCTGAATCACTTGCACCACCGTTTTCTGACTTGGAGTCGGGGTTTTTATTTTCCCCACCTTCGGTTTCACTTTTTGTCTCACCAGATGAAGTAGTCACTTCTTTAGTTTTCTCTTCTTTCTTCTCTTCCTCGTCCGCTTGTTTGCTTGAGCTCTCATCGCCTTGAGGCAAGCTTGCATCACCATTTCCTTTTTTCTCCTGATTTGGTGTTTCAGAAGAAGCGTCTTCAAACTTCTGGCCATTGCCCTCCTCTGCAGGTGGGCTCGACTGTTTCTTTATCCCATCTTTGTTGTCTAAAGAAACCACATCAACATTCTGAGCGGGTCCAACAGAAGAGGATGTCATCATCCAGATCCCGACTAAGCATAGGGCCACAAACACAACAACTGTCACTGTTGAGCAATAATTTGATGAGGGCCTCCTGTTATCTATCCTAGTGTACCTTGGTTGTGCCATGGTTCCAATTGAACAATAGACAATAGCAAAATTGTGTACGCCTACACAGATAGAGAAACAAGGAAAACGGATTTTAGACAAGCAATAAGATATACACCATCATAACCAGAGAGATAGCAAGACAATTAGTAGACAACAACGGCAGATTTCTTCCAGATGCATAAATCAGCTTGAGTTCGTCTAACTTCACTGCATGAAAAACCCAGTTGCAACATAAATAAAAATTGGCCAGTCCTAGCGCATGTTTATGTTATTGAATTTTGGATAAGAGCAACACTAACAAGATCGAATTGAGATGTGAAACAGATCGAGACGAAGGTAACCAGATCTGCTTAACCCTCGCGATCATAGTTCAATTCAGATACAAACGAATAACGAGATTATCGAGTGGCTTGTCACAGCCACACAAAAGTTCAAAATCACTCCTAAAAACTTACTCCCTCGACATTGATTTTCAATTTCTAAAGCAGAAACAAAAAAAAAAATCAAACAGACGTAATCATAAAATTTCAAAGTTAAGATAAACAAGGAACAAGCTACGCCGCCAAATCACCTTCAACGAAAACCGCAAGAACAACAACGACAAGAAGAAATTTAGCATCATAATAACGACGAAAAAAACAGCAGATCCGCAGCAGATCTCGGTAGAAGAATCATTTTTCTAAATCATCGAGGTCAGCAACATAAGATAAAAAAACATACACACACAGCGAAAAGATAAAGAGGAATGTGCAGAAGAGGTACCTGATACAGGCCAGAAGCAATGAGAGTGCGAAAGAAGGGAGAGTCTGAATCTCAATTTCCAGCTACGGAGCCATTTTCCGTCCCTTTCTCGAGAAAATTCGAATGGCACGGGATATGTTTGGGAGATGATGGGGAGAGAAAGGTGTGTATATATATATGTACATATATGTAGGATAGAAGAGAGATTGATTTGATGTTAAGAATTTGATTTACACGCTCACACACACACACAAAAAAAAAAAAAAAAAAATATTAGTGTAAATTAAAAATTTGGGAAAAGGGCTTTCTTATTTTAGATGCTTGATGATTCTTGATCAATAAGCGAAGAGAAAAGAGGGATCTACGGCGCAGCCGTGAATTTAGGGGTCGAAAATCTACAAATCTTTTTTAGATTATTTTGGTTAGGCAAGGAGCCAAAGACTATTTTAGTCAATCAATTGCTTAAGACCTTAACAATATTTTCGTTTTTTAATCAGAATTATATATGTATATCATCATGATATAAATCAAGTTGTTGATGGGTGGTTAATATGCCATGATTTTAGCTAAAAGCAAAATCACACTTTTTTAACTTTACTCTTCCATGCATTTCTTTTATCGGTCACTTCTTTTTGTAGACAAATAAGGCCATGAATATTTGAATGGCTTTTGGTTTTTAAGCTTTTGATTTTGCTGTAGATTTTTCTTTTTATACCGACTGGGGTGATATAATTGCTTTTTGATTTTTGTAAATTTCTATATCTTCTTACAAAACCGTATTTATGTGTTTGAAAATTACGATATAAAATCTCATTAACAAGAATATATTTTTACAAAAATAAACTCACAGGATTTTATAAGTAATACCGAAAATATCCATAAAACCTAAAAGTAGTCAAAATAACAACGCACTAAAATTTGTAACTATAGCAAAAAAAATTTTTTTTATAGAGATGAGGTTTTTTATAGTTTGAAAACTAGTGTCTTGTTCTTCTACTAGACTATTGACTATTGCTATGTGGTACTAATTTTCATGTGAATATAATATAATCTACCGCGTTTCGATTAATTTGTTTAAATATTCATAAAATTCAAAAATAAACAAGGTTTTGAAGGTAATCATTCGAATTCTCAGATATAATAATTTTGGCGTGAAAACGAGTGAAGTAAGGAATCGAAGGACCAATACGCTATAGGCTAGTGAGTGATTCCTTTGTTATCACTCCAGCGATGTCAAAGTTCATTTAACTTAGAGGGACCAATGTTTTTGTAAGTTACAATCGAGACCCTTATAGTTTGCCCGAATCAGAGAGACCCAGATGTCAACGTCTTTGCTTGTTTATGGCTTTTATCCCCATGAATCAAGGCATGTCCTCTGTCTTACTCATCTTTGAGAAAATAGTATTATTATTAAAAAACACGTTTTGTCAACTACTGAAAAAGATATATAGCTTACCTTTATGATCTATACAATATTTAGATATAAGTTAGTAAAACGTAACATAAGGCATAATATGTTTTGTTTACATAAGATATTAATTCGATGATTGCCGGATCATAAATGAGTCCGCACATTAAGAAAGTGAACAATGAAATGTCGCCATGTCGGTGTCACATGATAACATCCACGACCCCCCGAGAAGTTTCCAACATGTCAAACTAGTGCACATTAGGGAATAGAGAATGCCCCACGGCTCAATTTTGTAAAATTTATTAGAGTTTTCTTTCGCTTTTAGCATTCGAACTAAAATTTATTTTATTTCGTTTGGTCTGTATTTTTGGGTATTTCTGGTGTTAGATTGAAAGAGGTTAAAAAAAGATTAACGTTTCCACAAAAAAATAAAAGATTACTATTCAAGAAAATATTTAGCATGAGTTTCGGATATCGGTCATATAAAAGTTTGAGGAAATTTTGAAGAAATAAAACTAGTAATTAAATCAATCAAAATTTTAGCGGTAGTTAATTGCTAACAGTTGAGGCGAAAGAAAAAGAAGATGAATCACCAAAACTCACTACTTTATTGCGCTGAACAATCAACAAGGCAAAACAAACACATCAACGTTGGATTCGATGAGACAGTCGCACAATGGATATTGTTTATTGACCAACATGTGAGAGATCCAAATTCAGAGTTTGATTCGTAATTTCTTGCTCTCCAGATCTAGACTTCACTGCTCGCTCGTGGAAGATCCGATCATCAATCGATTTATTCGTTTTCCGGTAAAGATTCTATCATCTTCGCTCCTGGAATTCGACGAGCTCGACTCGCCGATAACTTTTGTTATTTCAGTGGAAACCGTAGTCGTAGACTTGGGTATTGATAATGGGTTTCTGTTTTTGGTTTGTTTTCTTATTTGGATGAATTCGGGGATAAAGAGGAAAAGATCATTATAACTCATATCAAATATCAGAATTAGGAATTCGGATATGAGAACCCATCTTCGCTGTGTGATCGATTGTTAAAATGATTATACCTTGTTGTCTTGCTTTTGAATGATTCAATACCTGGCTAAGACTTCACACTATGATTCAATGCCTGGCTAAGATTGTTATAATATTGTTTTACTTTTGAATGCCCTTGACTAAGATTTTAAAGTATGTGACTTGTCTCTTCAGGGATCTTGAACTTCAACAACAAAGCAATGAGCTTTCTTTTTTGAGAGAGTTGATGCAATCTCTGGCATTCAATCTAAGATGTTTGGCGGAAAAAGTTACGTACTCAGAGGGAGTGTGTCACTTGCCTTAGTTATCCTCATCCTTTTGATGATAACACTCCTGGTTTCCGAGAAAAACCCGCTCCGTACTTCTCTTTTTGAAGTAAAGCGTCAGTTTTCAGCATCTTCTTCAGGTATTTTTCTTAATGCTTTTCCCATCTTTTAGTATTCAGTTTTTAGTTATGTATCCTGCACTTCAGTAAGATAAAGTTCCAAACTTTTCAATTCTCATTATCTCAAGGAATCATAGTCTGGTTTGGTGATACATTTTGGTTTTCCTCTCAGTTTGTAACTTTGCAAAGGGGAAATGGGTTGAAGACCGGAAGCGACCATTGTATTCTGGTTTTGAATGTAAACAATGGTTATCAACCATGTGGGCGTGTAGAATAATGGGCAGACCCGATTTCTCATTTGAGAGTTACCGGTGGCAGCCAGAAGGTTGCAACATGCCACAGTTTGACAGATTCACCTTCTTGAGAAGGTATGGGCGGAGTTTTTGTCCAATTTAGTTTAGATTCTTTAGCCGTGAATAGAGTAAAAATATCTGCCTCTCTTTATCGAACTTAGAACTACCAGCACCCTGCTAGTGATTTTCGAACAATGATGTTCTTGGACCATCAGTCGGCCTTCTTATGTAATGTGACGTATATAGGTTGTTTTTTTTATTGTGTGTGTGAATTTGTTGTAGTGGAGCAAGTTTTTAAACGTCTCTCAAGTTGCTTACTACAACTTTGCTTCTTCTTTTTTTTGGTTTAGAATGCAGAACAAGACTATAGCATTTGTAGGAGACTCGTTGGGACGGCAACAGTTTCAATCTCTGATGTGCATAGCCACTGGTGGTGAAGAGAGCCCAGAGGTTCAAAACGTGGGATGGGAATATGGTCTGGTGAAACCCAAAGGAGCTCTCCGTCCTGATGGTTGGGCTTATCGGTTCCCGACCACAAACACAACCATCTTGTACTATTGGTCAGCTAGTTTATCAGATTTGGTACCAATGAACAACACTGATCCACCTCGTGTTACTGCAATGCATCTGGACCGTCCACCAGCGTTCATGAGAAACTACCTTCACCGTTTCGATGTATTGGTTCTAAACACCGGTCACCATTGGAACAGAGGCAAGATCGAAGGAAATCATTGGGTGATGCATGTGAATGGAACACGGGTCGATGGCGAATATCTCAAGGATATCAGAAACGCTAAAGATTTTACAATACACAGCGTTGTGAAGTGGCTCGATGCACAGCTCCCATTGCATCCGCGGTTGAAAGCTTTCTTTAGAACGATATCTCCGAGGCATTTTAGAAACGGAGATTGGAATACAGGTGGAAACTGTAACAACACGGTCCCTTTGTCTAGAGGAAGCGAAATCACAGGCGATGATGGATCGATCGATACAACGGTGGAGAGTGCTGTGAATGGAACAAGGATCAAGATTCTTGACATAACTGCACTTTCTGAGCTAAGAGATGAAGCTCATATCTCAGGGTCGAAACTCAAACCCAGAAAACCGAAAAAGGCGAGTAACGCGACTTCGACTCCAGTGGTCAACGATTGCTTGCATTGGTGCTTACCCGGGATCCCTGATACTTGGAATGAACTTCTCATTGCCCAGATTTAATATACTCAACACCGTTACACACTCGAAAGATGGTTCAATGGATTGGCTCTGTTGATTCTTTGTTATAGAAGGTTTTGTTTTTTTCTTAAATTCTTTCTAATGGTAACGGAAATAGTTCTACAGTCAGCGTTTGCGGTTTCTGCGATTCGCGTTTGATAATTGGACTGATACACACATTTTACAGATATTCATATGTAATGGTTATATAGTCTGGTTTTATACAAGAAACATTGAAAACACCTATTTTCCTTAATCGAGATCGGTACACGATTAACTATTAAAATTTATTAGTTGGCTTTAAAAACCGGTTTACGGTGAGGCGACGACTTTTTGTTTTTGTCAAAACGGGGACATTTTTTTTTTGTGTGTTTTAAGATATGGCGGCGAGTTTCGAGAAATTCGAACCCATATACGGAGAAGTCGTACCCGAATGTTCGGATCCGGGTCCGGGTCTTCTCCGGCGATGTCTCTTCCATGTCTACGCTTCCGATTCCTTTCACCTCACCGTCCATGTAACGGACTTCGTCTCAGGCGTCTGGACAACGATCCTGTCCGTCTCGCAGCTAGACGATATGGTTCCTTTACTCCTCCTTGTCCTTTTTGCTTGAATATTTATTTTGTTGTACTTTGGATTCTCTGGAAACTCGATGAGAGAGCCTAGATAGATATCCATGGCTTGTTAATGGGATTGCAACTGATTTTTACTCAAAAAAGATTTGATTTTGAAACAGAGGGATACTGTGGGGATTGGTGGTTCGTGGTCTGAGTTCCTCGATTATACTGTCGCTTCCTTGAAATCGGACAATGTGAAGCTTCACCTGGGACAAAATTCCGTTTCAAATGGTAAAAGTTTTTTGTTTTCCTACCGTATCTCTGAAATAGTTCATCAAAATGAAGTTGCTTACTTATTGAATGCTCTTGATTGTTGTCTTGAGTATGATTTGATAGCCTGCTTTGAGCTTGTGTTTAATAGTTTGCTGTGCATTATATTGTTACTTGGGTTTTGCTTACTATCTCTTACGTGCTTGACGTCCCTATTTTGGTATTCTTAGTTGTGTTGTTGTTTGTGTGTGTTTGACCACATACTGTTTTAGGTGTCGCGACTGGGCGATTAGTTTCTCAGAAGGCTAAAGGGATGCCTCGCATAATTATTCCTTTAACAAAGATGGTGGACTCATCTGCTAGTGAGGCAATGGCAAATCTGTCTTTTGAGTTGTTCAGAGCATTCAAGAGCAAGCAGCACCTACAACAAGGTCATTATTTTAGGCCACTCTACTGATTAGAAACGGAATTTTTCTTTAACCTGACTGTTAGAGCTCTTTTGTCCTTGTTTAGGGGATGTGAGCTCTTCAGCTGCAGCAACTGATGAAAAGGTATCTTTTTTGTCTGGAAGTTCTAATGGTGTCTTTCTAATCAACACTTCTTAATACTGCTGCATCACTCTGTTCCTACTTCCTGCCTTGGCTGGAAAATCTCATTTGTATTGTGATCAGGATAAGAGTGACCAACTGGAACGATACTCCTCTGGAAAAGTAGATGTTATGGCTCCTTCAACAGATAACCGCCAAGACTCTCCCGGTTTGTTCTGTTCGCTGTTTAACCACTCGTAGTAATTTATTTCCCCATTTCTTTCCTCAGAAATATCATATTTAAACAATAATAACATCAGCTCTTTTCCCCTCGCATCTCTTATTGCAGCCAAGCAATCCACCCGAGAAGCTAACACTACAAAACCTGCTAAACGAGTACCTGCTCACCGGAGGTATATATGCATATCATCTCCTCTCTCAACCTTATCTGCAACATCCATATTAATATCGATAATCTGGGCCTGAAAACCCACCTATGGCTTTTGCAGAAACCGTAAACGGGGTGCTCTGCTGCAAGATTCAGAAGACGAGGATGGCTAATTGGAACATGACATATTCTTAGACGAAACTTTAAACCCATCAGCAGCTATCAGTGGATCACCTGCGGAGTGTTGCTTAATTCTCATGATAATTTCCCTGGTTTATCTCCTCTTGGGGGTGTATGGATTCTGTGAAAATTGTATGTAACCTTAAAGTAGATTCCTAGTGGACTCATGTTAGTATCCATTTTTAGAAGAAAAAATTGATAAAATGGTATTGCTTCGTATCATTATTCATTGGCGTATAGTTTCCTATAAGCACAAATATCTGACGTATGCAATACATACACACCAGTTACCACTCAGACAAATACAGATATAGTACAGTTTCAGCTGTGTCTCAGAATTGAAGATTCTCCTCTTCCATGGATTCTCTGACTGCTTTCAAAACCAATGGCTTGAGTTTCTTGGTAGTAACTATGATCCCCGTTTTGTGAGCAAGATACTTTCCGTTTGAGAAGTCCAGAGATTCCCCTGTAGCATCGCAAACTACACCTCCAGCTTCTGCACAAGGTTATTTGTTCATTTCTCTTTATTCATATTACTCCCCTAATTTTCGTTACATGTTGGAAATGACATAAATGGGAATTAAATCTAGATCCTTATATGCTTGGTAATTAGTGAACAAAACCGTTGATCTATATAATATGCATTAGAGCCAGCCAAGAGTTCTCAGTGTTATAAAAGGTTTTTGTGTACTGCACCTGTGGTGATGATTGAACCAGCGGCATGGTCCCATATGTACTCACGGTGTCCACTGAGAGTGAAACGCAAGTAAATCTCTGCGTCTCCTCGTGACAAAGCTGCATACTTTGCTTGGCTATCGATCCTTACAGGTAATGCTTTGATCCCGAGTTTCTGCTCTGACCAAAAACTGGTTGTTTTAATAAACTGTAAAGTATCCCACTTGGTTATGGCAGTAAACAAGATGTTACCTCGGCAATGGAACCATGAATAGGAATTGGTCTATGGTATGATTCTAGGAACTTTGCTTCTTCAAGATTCTCATTGCTGCTCACTCTCACCTGTCAACACATCTTTCACTCTCTTTAACACTATCAAACAATTGCAGATTTTGTTACACGGCTCAGCTTCGGGATAAGGTAAATGATACCTTCTGTGGCGGAGAGTTGCCTTGGAGAGGTTCCATGTAAGTCCCTAAACCCGTTGTAGCAAAGAAAAGACAGCCAAGAGTTTCCGGGAAAGACTTATCCGTCTCACAAACCACAGAAGCCAAAGGAAGATTCGGGCAAGCCATGACCCCGAGCACCACTTTACCTTCCACAAGCAACGCCAACCCCACCGCGTATTGCTCTCCTCTTACAAATCTAAACGTGCAGAGAAGTTTTTTGGTAACACGGTCTTTAAATACCGGGAAAGGTAAAGCATATATAGTGAAAGCATAGAGGTTACATAAATATTGTTACCCTCTGGTTCCATCTATAGGGTCAAGAACCCAGTGGCAACCTCTGCAACCTCCTTCTGATTTACCGCGGTCTATAGCGTTCAACACATCTTCTGTGGAAAGAGGAGAGGAGGCGTATGATTCCTCAGAAGCTAGAGTATCTTTCACAAGCTTCGTTATACTTTCCAGAAACACCTCGCTTCCCTTCTTCCGCAGATCTCCAGTTTCCTGTAAGAATTTCCCGAGAAAACTCAGATAAGCATTTACGCTATATGTAATTAAGACTTCTGGTTAACAAAAGGGTTTTTGAGTTATTGAACCTCTTCAGCCAATAATGACAGTTTTACAGGTTGGAGCTCCCTCTCCAACACAAGACTAACCACAGCTTGTGATCCTGAAGAAATCATCCATTAATGGGATCTAGCAAAACCGAGACTTGAATGCAAACGATGAGATACAAACCGTAATCAGCTGCAGTAACCGGACTTCTATCAGATTTTGTCCATACTTGAGATTGCAACAGAGTCTTTTGCACTTCCTGATTCATTACATTATTAAGGTTTGTTTAGTTTTATCATATATGATCCATGCTCTGATTCTAGTTCCAATGGTTAATGAGAAAAATAGTCGTTACCTGACTGAGACGAGCAGCTAGAGAGACTGCTTTCTTTGCAGCAGCAAGCTCCTTCTCATAAGACATGTGAAGTTACTATGTGGTCTTATTGAGCCAATTCATAGGCAGTATTACCTACATATATATAGTTACGTGTAATATGTTTTTAACGTTAAATTCACGGCAGATGTTTTTGTCCAAGTAAGGACGTAGTCAACGTTGTTGATATATAAAAGTATAAAACAGAGTTTGGTGCGAGACGGAGTTGGTGCAAGACCGTCGTCTTTCACGTAGTGACAGAACAAGTTGGCGTTTTAGAAAATATATTCGGATATTGCATCGGACTATCGGTCATCATATTTTATTTTATTAATATTCGTTTTCGTCAAAAGACAAGAGTGATGATTAATCGGTAAACACTAAACAAATTGGGTATACTTCACCTAACCAATACACGAATCTCTCTAATTAACCAGGATATATTTCAGAGCCATAAAGATACTATATATATATATATATATATATATATATAGATATGAAGTTTCGCAGAGGTTTCACACGGGAAGATGCCATAGTTCCCAATTTTTCTCTCGGTAAATTTTTAAATTCTTAAATGAGACTAAACATATTGGGTATACTTCACCTAACCTATACACTAATCTCTCTAATTAACCAGGATATATAAAATTATATATATGAAGTTTCGCAGAGGTTTCAAACGGAAGATTCCATAGTTCCCAATTTTTTTCTCTTTAAATTTTTAAATTCTTAAATGAGACTGAACATATATGATATAACTTCACCTAACCAATACACTAATCTCTCTAATTAACCAGGATATATAGATGAAGTTTCGCAGAGGTTTTAAACGGAAGTTTCATAGTTCCAAATTTTTATTTCTCATTAAACTTTTAAATTTTTAAATGAGAAAGGTCTTTTCATATGTCTTTTTCTTTATGCGATAGAAAATGGCATTCGTCTTTTATATTGTCGAGTTAAAGTGTTAAACAGCCCAATAGCACAATATCCGTATGTTAATTTTCTCCCCAAGATTTTTGTTAGTTTCACTAATCTTCCCAAAAGTTTTCAAAATAGATTCACGTCTTTGGGAGTATGAACACAAACAAGTGTAAGAAAATATTTCAATGAGCTCGAAACTTCAAAATTACATTCAAGAGAATTAGTGTTTTTTATAGATAGATCAAAGTTGAGTTTTTTTTTTTAGGTTTTAAATAATATTCTGTGTGAGAAACACAGACGGAGAGAGTATTCCCAAGGACAACAATAACAAGTATATTTCAGTTGCGTGTTAGTGAAGTTTCAGAGAAGCTGCTTTTTCTTCTTCCTCGTCTTCTTCTATAAGTGATTCTCTTGCTGCTTTTTCTTCTTCCTCTTCTTCTTCTGTAATTGATTCTCTTACCGCTTTCAAAAGTCTTGGCAATAGTTTCTGCGTCGTAACGACAATCCCTCTCTTGTAATCAAGATACTTCCCTTTCGAAAAGTCCAATGGATTCCCTGCTGCATCTGTCACTTTTCCTCCCGCTTCTGAAAGACGCAATTACAGAAAAAAATTTGTATAAGATTATTCATCAACAATTGACCAAAAGCTATTCAGAGTAGAGCTTAACGGATTTACCTGAGACTAGGATTGATCCAGCGGCGTGATTCCAAATTGATTCGGGTCTTGCTTTGCGGGTAAACCTCAAGTACACCTCTCCATCTCCTCTAGATAAAGCTGCATACTTTGTCTGACTGTTGATCTTGATTGGAGATTCCATTATCCCCAGTTTCTGTCGTGTGAGTATCACCGCACAAAATCAGACAAAACTCGGTCCCAAAATAGAAGATATATCGAGAGTGTGAGGAAGATGTTTACCTTGGCAATGGTGTTATGGATAGGGACAGGTGTGTGGTATGACTCAAAGAAACTCGCTTTCGCGGGATCGTCAATGCTGCTTACCTCCACCTAATAGCGTATTTGAATAATTTTTTTTGTAGGGAAAACGTATTGAAAAAGGTTTCCATTGCAATGCATCTAAACAGCAGAGTGGTTCTGAGAGTGTTTTACCTTCACGGGAGGAGAGTCGACAACATTGAGTGACTGGACATAAGTCCCAGTGCCAACCGCGCCATAGAAAAGGCAGCCCATTTTTTCAGGTGAAGACTTGTGTGTGTTACTACCAGCAGTGGAGGCCAAAGGAAGCTTAGGACAAGCCATCACACCAAGCACTACTTTGCCATCCACCAGCAATGCTAATCCTATCGCATATTGTTCTCCTCTTATAAATCTATAAAATTTGGAAAATCAGTTCCGAGTACTCAATGACAGTTCAAAAATGTAAAATAGAAAACAAGGAAAACAGGTACTAGAATTCTGAGACTTATTTGTCTCAGGTATTCGCGAAACAAATCCAAACTACTAGTAACTAACTCTAAGTTGCATTAGTGACTAGATATTGTTGTGTTTAGAGGAAGATTGAGAGCTGTTAAAAAAAAAAAAAAAAAAAAAAGAGGAAGATTGAGTAAGTAAAGACTCACCCTCTGGTGCCACCTATAGGATCCAATATCCAATGGCGACCCTTGGGACCTCCTTGTGATTTGCCACTGTCAATGGCGTTGAGCACATCATCCGAAGACAAAGGAGAAGCAGCATATGATTCATCACTAGCAAGAGTATCTTTCACAAGCTCTGTAATACGTGCCAAAACAGTATCAGCAGCAACTTTCCTTAGCTCAGCAGAATCCTACACATAAATTACAGAAAAGAAGAAAAAAGTCAGAAATTAGATAAAAACATCTGCTTGGATCATTACACACAAAAAAAACCAGCAATGTTTTTATATTTTGGCACCTCTTCAGCCACTAATGACACAGGTTCATTCTGGAGTTCCCTTTCGAGTACAAGGCTGACCACCGCCTGCGAGCCTAAAAGAACATTTCTTTGTTTCAATTTATGAGCCAAGAAAGATATGAAATCTAAAGATCTAACAAAGAAGATTCATTTCTCGGAGTGAGAAGAATTGCACATTTCAAACCAAATCGAAAGGTTTTGCAGAAATGGGGAATGAAATTGCAAGAAAAGGGTCAAAAGAGGGCTAACCATAATCAGCCACTGTAACAGGACTGTCATCTGATTTTGTCCAGACGTCAGATACCAACAGAGATTTCCTCACATCCTGGAACAAGCAAAAGCAATTCCATTTCTTGAGAACTGAGAATAATATTGAATGGATTTGTTAAAACCCAATTAAAATACTGAAATCGCCGATACAAAATCGAAGATTCAGTGCAAGGCTACATCCCCATTGTCAGATATCCTTTTAGTTTTCATCAATCAAGTTCCATATTTCAGGCCCTAATTCAAAAACACTCATCTTAGTTGACGATTTCCAAGGAAAAAAAAAACAAAAGTCACCTTACACTTCTCAATCTTTTGCACAAAGAGTTAAACAAAAACAAAATCTAAGTCTCTCTCTCTCGAACACACATAGTAATGTCAACGAGTAAAAGAAGAAGAAAAATAATCTAAATCTAGAAAAACGATCATGGGATTCCAAAGAGGGAAACGAGTGATCGTACGTTGCTGAGACGAGCAGCGAGAGAGACAGCTTTCTTCGCAGCAGCAAGCATCTCATCATAAGACATTGAAAAGGTAATGAAGAGCTGTACGAAAAAAGAAGAAGACAAAGACGAAGGCGAAGACGAAGAAGAAGAAATCTCTGTGAAAATCGATTTATGATATGAACGAAAAACCTCTCGCGACTCTGAAGCAACTTCTTCACAATTTTCAATTATTTAATACTTTTTCTTTCTGTTTTATTTTACCAATACATCATAATTTAAATATTGTTTTTGGTATTTTAGAGTATTATTTTTCACATCTCTACCGTTGTAGAAAAGTAAGCATAGTAGTACTCTACTTCGTTGAGAAAATGAAAGTTTCGCTCACGTTGCCTTTCCTTCTGTTAATTTATTATTCATAAAAAAATTTATATAGTTTCATTTATATTTGCCTAGCATAACTTTTAATCCCAATAAAAAAAGCAAGTGCATATTTTTATGATTTATTATTACTTCATATTATTATTATTATATACTCTGCAAATAGTACACTGCCTTATCTTGTAAGTTATAATCCAAATGAAGAAAACATATATATATAAACAATCCAAAAATGAATTGGTCCAATAAAGGATATTTTCATTAGAAAGAGATATTTATATGTTTTTTTTAGTATTATATATAATTCCAGTAGATAAAAAAAAATTAAATTTTATGCTTCTTTTTGGAGGGGAGGATAATATCATGATCAATTCTATGTCTGGCAAGAATAGTATATGATTATTACTTTTTTATTATAAATCCAAAAAAAGTTATTTTGGGTACGTTGTATATATTTAGTTCAGCCTTTCTGAAAATGCTTTTATTCGAAAGTGCTTATGCTTCTTCTTCTTTTTTTTTTTGTTTTTTTAATTGGAAATAACGATAGGAGAATGGGTTCTTGTTTCATTTTATAGTTATTGCATAAAAGATTTAGAGGTAGTGTAATTAGTTACTATATTGCAAATTGCTAATAGTATACTATTGAATAAGACGTGTGAACCTTTGTCCCCATCTCGTCAATCTTTAGTCGCAAACAGCCAAACAGGTGTTGTGGTATCATTAGCACAAAAATATCTTGATTAACGAAGGGATTATAAATAAACACCATCCACATTAAAAATTTCGCCTAGTACATTTGTTGTACCCGTCCATTTATTGTATAGGTTTGACCGAACGAAACGATAACTTTTATTATGTCTTCTCTACGAATCAGTCAGTCATCGTGAATGTAGATTTATTGGGAATAAAATCTCGAATTTCAAAATTTTCCTGTGGTTAAAAAGATAAAACAAAATAATAATGAATATTATTTGTATATTGAAAGATTCTACCAACGCGCTTTTTAATATTAAGATGAAAAAGTAGCCAACGCGGTCTAGGCACGTCGAGGCCTGTAAACCTTAAAAGGTCTTTTCCCGGCCCATATTGGCCCAAACAAAATACTCTTTATCCCTGAACATATGTAGTAGATATTTGTTTTTTTTTTCTTTTAGAAAATTGAAAGGAAGTGAAACAAAACACAGTTGCGGAAGAAAACAAACACTTGAAGAAGGAAAGAAGAAAAGGAGAAAGAATCAGAGAGGTGAAGGTTTCTCTTGGTCGGCAATAGATTCACGAACTGCTTTCAAAAGCAGAGGCATAAGCTTCTCATTAGTAACGATAATGCCTGTGTCCAAATCAAGATACTTCCCTTTCGAGAAGTCCAGTGGCTTTCCCGCTGCATCCGTCACAATTCCACCAGCCTCTGCACCCAATACAAAGCCAATAGATCAAAACAAGTCAAGCATATCGGTATTGTAATCTCATCTCTATAAAGAGAAAAACTTTATGTTAACCTGTGACAACTATAGCACCAGCGACATGGTCCCAAATCTTTTCACGGTATCCTTTATGAGGGAACCTTAAGTATATAGCTCCATCTCCTCTCGACAAAGCTCCATACTTTGCTTGGCTATCGATCCGCACAGGTGGGGCTTTCACACCGAGTTTCTGTATACATCAAAGAGAGAACGTCACCACTTGGATGCTGAATTAGCTGGAATCACATGGGAAGGGAAGAGAAAAGCAGAGCAATTTTACGTTGGCAATGGAGCTGGATAAATCGTGAAGAGAGTGAGCTCCTTCAAATGACTCGAAGAACGATGCTTCTTCAGGATTCTCAACACTAGAGACTTGTACTTTGACGGGATCAGATTTCGAGTCCAAGGGCTGCATGTATGTCCCTGAACCGATTGTAGCAAAGAAAAGGCATCCGATTTCGTCGGAGGAAGAAGACTTGTTGTTGTTGTTTCCTGCTATGGAAGCTAATGGCAAGTTTGGACAAGCAAGCACACCTAAAACTACTTTCCCTTCCTCAAGCAATCCTAGTGCTACTGCGTACTGATCTCCCCTCAAAAATCTAAAATCGACAAACATTTGCGTTGACATTCAATCAGTTCACAATTTTTCTTAAGAATAAGAAGCTTTGATTTTTAGGGTAGATAGTTTTGAAGCTTACCCTTTAGTGCCATCAATAGGATCCAAGACCCAATGTCGACCAGTTGGACCACCTTCAGATGTGCCGCAGTCAATGGCTCTGAGCAGATCATCTGTGGATAAAGTAGGAGCAGCAAATGATGTGCTAGAGTCAATGGCTTTGAGCATATCCTCAGTAGCCAAAGTGTCGTTGACAAGTTTCGTGATTCGCTCAAGAATATCCTGAGAACCATCCTTGCGTAGATCGGCTGAGTCCTATATAGATAAGTTTAAGACTATGTGAGTCGTAGAACATAAAAACTCGAGATAAGTAATGTGAGAGACATCTAAAATAAGCTGTTATTAAGCTGTTTCACCTCTTCGGCCACCAATGAAAAGGGTTCAGAGTTGAGTTCCCTTTCTAAGACTAAACTAACGACTGCTTGTGAACCTGAAACTCAAAAAAACGACAGTTTATAACCGCAAAGAAGTCGATCAAACCATACAACAAAGACAGTTCCTTTTTCAATCACTGGAGTGTAAAATCTATGTGATTTCGTTTTAATGTCAGTACGATTTTGAAGAGAAAAAAACTAACCATAATCAGCAACGGTCACTGGACTCTTATCAGATTTTGATTGAACATCTGACTGCAACAACGCCTTTTGAACTTTCTGGAGCAACCAAAAAAGATTCTTTTAGAGTAAAAACAAAATTTAAATCATAGATTCACTACAAGCTTAATAAAGAGAAACTATTCCCAATCAATACACATTCATCTCCAAACCCAGATTAAAAAAAAACTTCCGATTTCAGACAGATATTAAATCCCTGAATTTGAAACGAAAATTCGGAAGATTGCAAAATGGGAGTTCAAAAATGATCAAATTTAGAGTATGGGTAAAGAAGAAAGGGGAAAAATATCAAGAGTCAGAAACCTGACAGAGACGAGCTGCGAGTGAAGCAGCTTTCTTAGCAGCATCAAGCTCTTTCTCGTAAGCCATCGATGAAACTACTCTGAGAGTAACAAATGAAAGAGAAGACTTCCTTCCGAATACAGAAACGATACGGTTCGATGAATCTCTGGATCTCGAAATTGATGCAAATGTTTGAAGCGGAACCTTGGTTGTTCGAAAGCAATTTATAGACATCTTTTGCCTTTTCAAGAAGATAAATTGTCTACACATTTTCTGATTGCAAAGACAATTATTATTTTTACTTTTCCGAATTTCCCGTATACAACCACGGACAAATTTATTCTCTTGATTGAAACCCTAAAGTTTATTTTGATACAAGAAAGCCCCGAGTTGCTATGCTGGTTTAGTGGTTCATTTAGTACCAAACCTTAAGAACATAGAATAGAGGGTCAAAAATCAAAGAATAATTAAAACTTTATAAAGTTCATAGGAGATTGGTTGTTGAGTTTGGGCTAATGGCTACCGCACGTGGATGTTGTGCCAGAAACAAAGTGAATTGTAGGTAGTGAAGATTTAAAAAAGGCTTCTTAGATTAATTAAGCCCAAGAAAATGTTCTCTCCAAAGATAATCAAAACCCGATTTATTAGATCTTTTAATTTTTTTAGGAACAAAAGCCCAAATCTTCTTCAGAGACCAAATACAAGATGACTACGGCTTTGCCACGTTGTCCACACGGGATATTTATTATTCCAGACATTTGGTAAGATGATTATGGGTTTTGGATAACTATATCAATAATGACGCAGAGACAAAGACCAGATTCATTATTCTAGATTGATGGTATTGGTGGCGTGTGAGAGAGCAAAGTACGCATTGATTTTTTGCCGCCGCAAGCAAAGGGTCACGTTCCTCTAGCTTTCAAGATTCAACAAAACCTACTTTTTATTTAATTTCTTTATATTCTCTCATCATTTTCAAAAGAGAATCTCCAATAAAAGCTGTTTTCTACAAAAAAGATATTCTGAATCTCAAGGTTGATATATACTTCCAACTTGTATCACTCCTGATTGTGAATCATATATTCTGAAAGATTGGATTTTGGGTTGGTTCTTGTGAAAGCAGGGGTTTTCCAAATGAACAGATGCAATAAACGTAATCAGCAACCTTCATATATTGCTGATCATTTCAACACGTTGGATCAGGTTTCTGAAAACTTCACCAGCTGTTTCTTGATTTCTTGATTTGATTTTTTTTTATTTTTAATAAAGTTGATGAAGCAAAGTGATAAATTCATATTTGTGTGGATTTACTTTTTGTTCTTAGGTGATAACTTCTCTGAGAGAAGCTGGACTTGAATCTTCAAATTTGATTTTAGGAATTGACTTCACCAAGAGCAATGAGTGGACAGGTGATTTGATGCCGATTTTACTAATTTGATTCACATGTTATTGAGAGATGACTCAAGGGTTTTAGTTTCATGCTCTAAAATCTCGTTGCAGGAAGATATTCATTTAATAGAAAAAGCCTTCATGCCATTGGTAAAAGACAGAATCCATATGAGCAAGCAATATCGATAATTGGTCGCACACTGTCTCCCTTTGATGAAGATGGTCTTATACCTTGTTTCGGTTTTGGCGATGGTTAGTTTCTTAATTCTTGCTTTCAAGATGAAGATTAAGAAAATTCTAAATGGTTTTATCATGTATTCTTCTTCCAAGCAGTAACAACACGCGATCAACAAGTATTCAGCTTTTACCCCGAGAACAAAAGCTGTGACGGATTAGAAGAAGCGGTTAAAAGATATAGAGAGATTGTTCCACATTTGAAGTTGTCCGGTATTTTTTGTGACTACAAACTATTTTAAAAAAAGATCGGTTTACGTCTCTCTTAAATCCTAAATAAGTATCATTTTTGTTCGCGTATTCTTTTCGTGCAGGTCCTACCTCGTTTGCTCCGGTTATTGATGCAGCCATCGACATAGTCGAGCAGAACAATATGCAATACCATGTTCTTGTCATTATCGCAGATGGTCAGGTCACAAGGAATCCAGATGTGCCACCTGGTCGGCTTAGTCCACAGGAAGAAGCTACTATGAACTCCATAATGGCAGCTAGGTAAGCTATTCAATTAGCTCAGGTTCATGGTCATAGTTTTATACCAGTGTTGTTTGATATATAAATTTTTTCCAGCCATTACCCATTGTCGATCGTCTTGGTTGGAGTAGGAGATGGACCATGGGACACAATGAAACAGTTTGATGACAATATCCCTCACCGGGAATTCGATAACTTCCAGGTAACATAATAAAACATAGCATAGAAATCTCATAGATATGATGATCAGTGAAAAACTCTGTTTCCTTCCACAGTTTGTGAACTTCACAGAGATAATGTCAGAGCACAAAGATGCAGCTAAGAAGGAGGCTGCTTTCGCACTCGCAGCTCTCATGGAGATTCCTTTTCAATACAAGGCCACATTAAGTCTCAAGTAAGTGGAGTAAAGTTTTCACCTCGGGGAACTTCTTGTATCACTAGAAAGTTGGCAACCAAAACCATCCTGTGATTTTGCTTTTGAACAGTAGAAAACAAGTGCGCGGTTCCCGTTTGCACCACAAGCCGCTCCCACCACCACCAGAGGTCATAGAGCGTGACAATGCTGTTAAATCAGTGCCAGATCCAGTATTAGAGAGTGCAGAGAAAAGTGAAAGAACGGCTCAAGTAATACAGCCAGTAAAGTCTCCTTTTTCCGCCTTTTTTTTGGTGTTCTATGTCAGTTTATGGGTACTAATTAGAATTGAAATTCATTGTGTTTTCCAAAAAAGGTATGCGCGATTTGCTTGACGAATCCAAAGGACATGGCTTTTAGCTGTGGTCACACGGTAAGTGAAATTTTGCAAAATATGGAAACTCTTGCTTGCTCTATGACCAGATCGGTTTTGTGATATCTCTGTTGCATTTTTGTTTTTCAAATGAAGACGTGCAAGGAATGTGGTGTGGTTGTCACGACATGCCCAATGTGCAGACAACCTATAACAACGAGGATAAGGCTGTACACTTGATTCAATGAGGTTGAGCACTTCGGCTTCCATGTCCATACTTCGTGTATCCCACTGTACAGTCTAAACATATACGTAAATCTTGAGCTGTAGTTTGTATGTATTATAGTAGCTGTGAGTGTCTGTCTAAGCAAAGAATTTGTTGATTCGATGAATACCCCATTTTCTTAGATTGACGAAAACAAGGAAATATGCAAGAAGTTTTCTCTTTTTGTATTTATCAAAATCTACGTACAAAGAAGCAAAAAGAGGTCCAAATTTATGACATCCCAAGCCGTTCTTATAGGACCTAACGTTCTAATCAAACGGAAACTTCATCTGCAAAGAAACCAGTTGCAAAGATAAGCAAAGAACTTAGAAGCTCCAACGGTCGAGTTGTTGCTTGGCCACAGCCATGTCTTTTTGTGCTTTCATTCTCCGGTAAAATATTGGACAATCTCGACTGTTAAGATCAATAAGAAATCCCAAAAAAGGGAGTTGAATCAGAATCAATTTACCTGTCAAAACACATAAATGTTTTTTTTTTTAATTCAGATGTCAAAAAATATAAAAGCAAAACCTGGTGCACAAGACATCTTGGTGAAGAGAGCCTTGGCACTCTTGGCACTGGGTCCACAGCCTTCCAAAGACCTCCTCTAGGTCTGACACTGAGCTTACACAATTTATTTCAAATATTAGTAATGGATCAATAAGTCTAAAGAAAAGGGCAAAAAACGTAGCTTACCCTGAGACACGTTTTTGCAATATAATTCGGCTTCTCTTCCCTTGCAACGCTGGCATAGTGTTCCATTGCTGGTTGAAGTTAAAGCGAAAAATTGATTAGCAGTTCCCATATACGCAATCAGATAAGAAAGATTACATAAACAAAACTATCAAACGATAAGAAACTTTGCAAACATAGAAAAATAATTCTAGGACTAGAGAATCAAGGATCAAGTAGAACATGCAGGATAGGAACATGAACAATACATAGGCAAGTAGCCATAAAGTACCTGATCGGAACTTTGCAACCAACACAACTTAGTTGTTTCTTGGCAAACTTCATTATCCCGCTGTTCGAAGGAGTGGTAATTGATATTGACCTCGTGTGGCTTCCATGGAGAAGTTCCTTGCTGGCATTTTTCAAGACTGGCTCAAAAATCCTAAGAAGCGGCTGAAAACAACATCTGCTTTAACATTCAAGCACCATAAAACAAAGACTAGAGAATACAACTTATAGACAGGCCCCACTTTTCTAACTGACCTTGCTTATCTGATTCTCCAGGTAGTAATTTGGGTCTATAGGAATATTATTCTGAAGCACGTAGATCGGGTCTTCTGACCGTTCATAAGCCTAGTTGGCATCAAAATGAGATAAGCACGGTAGAAGAGAATGACCTCAACATCTTATACAAAACGATAAAGATTGACATGAAAGCTACCTTGGCACCTTTAGCAGCTTTTATAATAACATACGGTACCCGATCCCCAACATTTGGCGCTGTAGCAGCATCCCTCTGTCACATATGAAAAAGCAAACATCTCTAAGGTTGTCAAATTTCACATGATGGATCATCAGACTCCGTACAACAAATCTCAGTTTCAGGGCAGCCTCATCATATATTCACCACAAGAATGCATGAATTAAGAAAAATCATTGTGCAGCTCCTATATGACGCCGGAAGAATCACGGAGATATTCGTGAAGCCAAAAAAATGAAATCTAACTGGTTAGCACTTCCAATTTTCAGTTTGAGGGTGTGCATGTGATGCTGGAACTAGAGTAAGTAAAGAAATGAAATTTCCCCTGTTTTGTTCGTGTATACAAACGGTCAAGAGAAAAAGAGTACCACATACCTTACGCATGCGTTCAGCAAGTTCACCATGAGCTGATTTAACTTCATAATCATCCCCGGTTTTAGTTAGACCCTATGATTTGAGAAATACATCAGTAGCATATAGGTCGAGACTCCAAAAATGAATGCGTTACAAGCGGATCCCAAAGACTTTTAATGCATCAAAGCAAAAATTTTCATTCTAATAAAAAAAAATGGCCAACCACTAATCTGGGCCTGTTGTTCAGTAGTTTAACAATTCAATCGGGGGGATACAGAATTTTGAAATCTCTCACATGTTACTTGGCTCCACACAAAAATAAATCCAGATCAAAGTTAAAGTTTTGAAAAGATGGTGTGTTTTTAAAACTTTCACATATGGCTCTAATCATGACCATAAACTTCACAAGATAAGAAATCAAGCAAAAGAGATTACCTTCGTAATCACCAAAAGTGATAAGTCAATACGATTCATGAGAAGATCCGAAATTGTATTCTTAACATACTCAGCTGCGCCTGGGACATCTCTATCAATTAGTATTTTGTGGAGACTCTCAGTCACGAGGTTCTTAACCAGTAAACAATTATCCCTTCGTACTGTCTCAATTCCTGCGAGAGCCAGACATATTGATACTACTTAGTCAAAACATGAACAAGATAGAAGCTGTGAGATTACGAAGATTTACCTTTGGTGTCCATTTTGTCAAACTTTGAGGATTTGTCCACAGCAAACAGCATACCTCTTTTTGATAATCAGCAGATATGGGAAATAGACCTTCTCAAACTCAATTTGATGGGGCTATAGGACATCATAAACAATCGAGAAGCAGAGAACATTACAGCCTGTTATAATTTGATTTCAAAATATCACGTAATCATTATGATATGCTCCTAGCAAAACAAATCACTCACTTTGATAAAAGTTCCACTAATATACTCTGCAGCTTCCCTCCCCAAGTTCATCGCAGCTTCTACATCCGATACTCCAAATTGCACCATGACAGAATCCGTGTCTCCATAAATGACCTAATACATGATTATCCGTCAAATTCAATAAATTTAAAAGTAAACTTATGTTTCGCTAAGCCTTTTCAATACCACGAGTAATTAATTGAAAATGTACCTCTGCATTGTATTCATACCCTCCCAATGTTGTGAATTTATCTTCCACAAATTTCTTCGTTTGTTCAATCATTTGACGACCTTCAGAAAAATATACGTCCATCAGAATAAACTTAGAAAAATATGTGTCTAGAAAAGTTGATCTGACATACCATAGCTGGTAACACTTGAGGATATCTCTAAGCACGGTAACTGCCCAATAGTGGCTCCCGTAAACCCGTATACAGAGTTTGCACTGATCTGAGACAACAAATAGAAATCAAATGTGAAAGAGCAATTTACAGAGAAAATACTGTTCAGAATATTCCGAACACTCTAATCTATTTGTAAAAGACCAACTTAAGAAAACTGAAAGTAAGAAGTTTACCTTCAAGGCCAATTGTCTACCGTCTAAAACAGCCTTCTCAAGCGGATCCTTAGCCTCCTATATTAGACAATAGTTTCAACTGTAGTTGTTAAAGGCTGCATACAAGTATGCACATATCAGAATCCAAAGTTCAGGTACCTTTAAATCTGCTTTAGCTCTTTTACGGGCAGCAATAAGCTCTTCAAGAATCTCTGGAAGTATACCCTGAAATAAATAATCTGTTTCGTTCCTAAACTGCAGTATTTCTAGAAAAAAATAATTTAGCAGAATTTAAGAAAACTAATGATAATCAATCCAACAAAAAGGGGCAACCTTTTGTAAACTTTGTTTAACAAATGTTTCCCCTGATGGAGTTTTATTGATCTGCTCAGGTGAAAGATTCAGTTTGCGTACATCTTCAGGTGTCACCTTCAAAGATAAGAAGATAGAAATAATGCTCCCAAATTAATATGGTATATGAACAATGGATGGTAAAATAAACAAAAGTTCAAAAAAATCATAGAAGATAATGTCAGAAAGAATTACCAAGGTGCAGTAGCACAGATTATATGCCATCATAATTGAAGGGTACAATGAAGCAAAATCCAGAGTTGCAATTGGCTTTTCATAGAAACCTGTTTTTGCTTCTAAAACCTGATTATCATTTGAAACATCGATATTTTATCACTAACGATGTGTTTTCCTCAAAAGAGATCAAATAGAATCTAATACAAAGGAGGGGCAGAAAATAAATGTTAGACCCGCAAAGCACCAACTTACAGTAGCGCCTTCATAAGTTCCCTGTTCGGACCCCGACTGTTTAGCATTCGGAAGAACCAGGTTCTTCTGTTTAGATTTCCTAAGAAGCTGAGATAGAACCTAGACAAAAAATGTTGAAAAAAAATATGTCACCAAAAAAAATATCAGTCACCATAGTCAACTGAAACTTTAATCCAAAGACCATTAGTAGAGAACTACCTTAATACTCTGTCCTCTAGCAAGAAGAAAAGAAATAGGGACACCAGTTACACGAGCCATTTCGACATAATTATATATATACATCAGTTTGTCCAAAAGTCTCTGAGGGAGATATGCATCCTGTAACAGCAAAGTGGAATGTGGTTAATTATTTAACCTTTCCATAAGATTCAGATGATTGACCATTAACAGAGAAAAAATTACTGAAACCATTAATAATGAGACCACCTAGTTTCTGCAATAACAAATCGATCCCTAGAGCAAAAGGAAATATTTGTCAAACAAGGCAATGCAACAAGACAGAGGCAGCAATACTCCAGGATAAACAAAAGTAGGTACCTTCAAACAATAAACAGCAAGACGCCTCCTGGTTTCCGCATTCCCATTCTGGAGATCGGTTATTATAGAATGGTGGACATCCTCTTTCTGAAGAAGACAATCATGTTAGCCACATAGCACAATGAGAAAAAACCTGAAATTCTGAACATAATTACTCAGCTTCACCTGCTCGGAAAGAAAATGAGCTGAGACAGAATTCAGCGAATAAGAACTTAATTTGTAGTCTCTGAGTATTGCCTACAAAGGAAGAGGTAAGTTTATGCCCTTGCAATGAACTACAAATAAACGATCTAAGAATGACTCAACCAAAACGAATTTGCCAGGGACAGAAACCTGAAAAAGGTCAAACTGAAATCGTCCTTCAATTGTGGTCTCTTTACTTTCTCTTGTTCCTTGCTGTCTGAAACATGGCACGTGTTACTATGTGAAAAAATATAATATTATATGATGCGAGTTTAGAAAACTCATGAGCCAAGAAAACCAGGAAGCATAACAAAAAAAAGACTAAGGAGAAAGCGGTGGGAGTTTGCAAACACCAGTAACTCACCTTGATGAAAACGTTGAGTCCCTGACCCGGACCCTACTGTTCTTCACACGACCAAGAAGAGGAAACTCGTCTATTCCCAGTGTAGCAGCTCTCTGAGAATCAGAAAACATCATATTTTACAGGTAAAGGTTGGTGATATATACATGTGCCAAGAACAGCTAAGCATCGCAATAAGAATGAAAGAGCACGCTTCTACTAACGAGAGGTGATCTGCCAATAAAGATAGATGTTAATGTTCAAGTACCTCAATCAGATAAGGTAAATCGAATTTGCAGATGTTATAGCCAATGATGATATCAGGATCAACATCACGAATAAAATCCTGCAACCAATAGATCATATCCATCAGCAGAACGCATGCTTTACCAAACCCAGTACAAAATTGCAGTGGCAACATCAAAAAGACGTGTGTTTGGTGGGTTTATGACGAACAAGTAATGTACACATGGTAATAAAGAACTAAAGGAGGCAAAAAGGATTACCCTCCAAGCCAGTAAGACCTCTCTTTCTGTTTCAAAAGACATGACATCTACGCCTACGATTGGAGCACATGACTTCAGAGTCATGACATTGCGTACAAATGGTTGATCCTCTCCCTGAAGAGTTACAAGGTTCGCTATCTAGAAAAGCAATAAGAATGTTGTTTCGAGAGGGACGAGAACAAAGGTACCAGATAGAAAAATCAAAGTATAGCAAAAACAGCTAACCTGGATCACAGGATCATGCTTAGCTTCTGGAAAGTGTCCTTTACGACCTGCACACTCAATATCGAAACTTAGCACGCGGAATGGAGCCATTTTTGAGTATTCACCTTCTGCAGCATGACTGATCAAATCTGAATACCTAAAAGCCAATGTTAAAGAAAGTAATGACATAAAATAGAATCTGGTTGCTAGGTAAACATATTCTTGCTTCAAAAAAGAAACTTAGAGATCATAGATGAGGATACAGGCAATGGAACTCCAATTGGCAGTATGACAGAGTTCTTGCATCCTTCTTGTATTTCCCAGTGGGCACTTCGATCCAATTTCCTCCCACAATATCGCGATCAACCATGAAACGGAGAGCAAAAACAATATTGCTCTCGTATGTTTGGAAGCTCTTCATACCCAATCCATCAATATGTATGCCTCTATCAAGGATGCCTACGAATTTAAAAAAAAAAAAAAGAATGAATTGAGAAAATTGAGTAAATGAGATAGTAGACCATAAAGCACAAACGTCTGGAAACCATACCGCGACAGCTAGCCACCATAGTCGGCAATGCAACTGTAATCTTCAGAAAAGTTTGGGACTTTTGCTGCTGGTAATACATAATGCTTCTCTTTTGCACCATTTCTATATGACGAACAAATTTCGGAACGCTGGCATTTTTATTGGATTCCCTCATCCTTCCCTGAATGAGTGAGATGAACATTAGAAAAAAACCAGGGAGATCAAACTACAACAATCTCAGAGAATTATTTAGCCTGAATGATAAATACCTCAAGAATCTGATGGAAATGAGAAATATCGTCTGGCCCCATTCCAGGAGGGCAAGCAATGTAAAAGTAGGGCTCAAACCCATGAACATAGCAACACACACTATGACCTGAAAATACACCAGAAACGTAAGTTCATCAATATAAAGGAAATCGTTCTTCATGTCATATTAAACCATCTCCGCCTCTTACAAAGGAAAATAAAAGTTTCAACATAGATAACAAAGAAATCAAATCATTCGACAAAGCTCAGATATTAATCACAATACTTGGAAGAAATAATTGCAGCAAACTAAAAGAAAAAAACTATGTCCCTAAAACGAAACAATTAGATTTTCGAAATCGCCCAGGGGATCGTTAAACAGGTACCTTCTCTGGTTACCCCGAAAATCCTAATGACTGCAGCTTGCCCTGAGGAACCCGGTAAAAGCTCCTTGTGACTCTCCCGAATTACATAATCAATCTCCAATTGCTGAAAAACTAACAAACCCAGCAAAATCGAAATGTTCAGCACATTTCAGAAACCCTAGAAAACTAACAAATTCATTCCAGTAAACATTAAAAAAAAAAAAAAAACTCAACTGATGTTCTGAGAATTTGAGAGATAAGCGGGTGAGAGAGGAGGTCGAGCCCAAGTCGACGAGCGTGCAGATACAGCTTCACGCTCTTCCATATCCCGAAGGATAAGCGATTCCTCATCCCCTTCGTCCATGAACACATCCTCGTCCACGAATTCATCCTCTAGGGTTCCGACCGGCGGAGAGGGTGTCGGATTACCTGTGGCTCGATGCTTCCCCGCCGGTGGGGTATTCGACGGAGGCGGTCGCTTCTTGGAGTTTCCGGCTCTATTCATGGCTCTTTTAGATGAGCGGGAAAAAAAGCAGTGAAAATAAGTGAGTTCGTGAACCTCTGAGAGCAAAAAGGGAGAAAATTATACACTACCACTGCGATTCCCGCCATGTTTAAGGGTTTTAGTTTTACTATTAGACATAATCATGTTTTTAGGGGAATTCTCATATAACGAATACGTTTTCAACAAAGAAAAAAATTATTGCTGTTGCATTTCTTTTGAGCTCGATCGAATAGATTGATGTTCGGGTTAGTTAAGGTTAGTGCTATAAACAATCACTTAACAAAAAAAAAAAATTGACGTCACAAAAAATATAGCCTAAGCCTAATTGATCAAATCCTAATTAAAAGGTAACTAGATTTGGTTTAGAGCAGAGATCAGTCACTTACTGTTTGACTGTAATAATTTCAGCTAGTTGATCAGGAGAAGGACTGGTCAGCGATGTTGAATGACTCCCTCCCGATCTATTCACCGACCATAGTCCACCAATTGCCTTTTGTCGGAGGTTCTCTTGACGACATAAATTATGGGTTTTCCCACCAAGACTATTCAATTTCCGGTTCTATCATGTTGCTTTTGCTATGTTCAAATTTATTCGCTATTTCGCATGCATTCACTTTTTTTTTTTTTTTTTTTAAAACAGCCTATTATCATATTCAATAAAAAAGATTGAGCTGGGTCAAGTGGACGGTGACGCCATTCGCTTGGTCACTCCGTCACTGCAAGATAAGTGTAGATTGATCATAACACTCTCTACGATTGCCAAGACGGCCTTCTTGATGTCACGCGAGGACGACTGACGTCACCGTGTCCAACAATTGGTTTAGGAACCAAGACAAAGTCATGCTTTTAGGACACGATGATAGTTAATTATACAAGAGACAAGGAGATGAGAGTCACTGTTTTGTTTAACAACTTTGGTCCTAACTGTAACCAGAGAATGCCAAGGTTTGTGTGACAGCTAATTTTGCTATCTATTTTTATTGGGATGATTAGGATTTTATTAATTTAGAAAAATATGTACTATTTTTTCCATAACTTTTGGTATGAAACTGAGGCTGCTTTTATAGTTCTCACCTCTTCTCACATGTCTATTTCCATAACCATGTGAAATATATTGAAATGCAGGGTCCGACATGGATACACCCACGTGGCAAATAACTATTACCCAATGAATGGCTCAATATGCCATCGGGGGAAGCAAAGACGTTAGATGGACGTTTCATTCTTATTCAAACGCAACCGCAACCCAAACGCGTTTTCTTGATTCACTCTTGCTAACAATGTTGTTGTTAGTAGGTGACGTGGATGAAACGTAGCCACCGAGACCAATTGCAGTGGAAATTCTATTCGGTGAATGATTACTTTGAGAACGAACGGGGCTTGTTTCGGCCTTTCAAAAGGTATTGGGAAGGCTCGGCCAAAATAATGGTCCAGATCAGAGGTTCAAAGTCGCAAACGCTAAGAACGTTAAGGAACTCGCAAGTTCCGCCGGAGCGTTGCAGTGCAAGAGAGCCTCCGTTTGTTTTAGAACAAATCAAATTCTAAAACTTTGTAATGTGAGTGATTTATCATTTTGTAGCGTTCTCTTATATTCATTGTATTGTTTCATCCTACCATGATACTGATTATGGATACTAATATGGTTCAATGTATTAATATATACTCGCTGCTTCGCGTCTAAACGGTTTAGCGACCAATGTTTTGTTTCTTCAAAAAGGGAAATGATCACCTCAAGATGACAATTTCCAAAAAAATATTTATTGACCGAATGAGTATATTTTAGGTTAAACCAGAGATAGAGTATTTTTCAGAAATCTTTCAAATTTTAAAAAGGAGAAGGGAAAGGCGGGATTCCAATACATTCTTTCTCTTCTTCTCAGTCCTTTTTCCCCCACTATTACAATCGTCTCATCGGAAAACACAAACCCATCTCCAGAAACAGTGTAGCAATGGCGGAAAACACGGCCAGCCATAGAAGAAAGCCTCAGAGCTTGAACGATCGACACTATCGTCTCCTCCAGGATCTTTCTGCGGCTCCTAAACAGCCTCCATCTTCTTCCCGTACGAAAATTCTCTCCTCTTTCTATTCGATTGTTTCACTGTGGTCTCGGATTCGTTTCTGTCTTTGATTTTAGATTTTTTTTTTTTTCATTTAGAAGAAGAAGATGAAGGAACGAAAAAGTCCATGATTAAGCTCGCTGGGAGACGTCGTCTCTGCAAAGCATCGCCGAAGGAAGATGTAGCCGATGGAGATGACGATCCTGATCTGGCCGATTTCGATTCCACAGGTAATTCTGAGTTTTCATCCGATTTTAGGGCTGGCACCCATTTCTCTCAGTTTTCAGACAGAAATGGCGATGTATTCAAAATCAATTTGAAATTAGGATTCTCTGAAATCTGGGTTTGTAGTCTGTTGTTTGATTTTCTTTCTTTACAGCTGCGTCAAAATAAGTTTACCCGAATGCGTTTGTTTTGCATGATGCTCGAATCAGGTAAAGGAGATACACCACTCGAGGGAGCTGGAGCTGGAACTGCGAAAAACTCCACATCTTGGGATGAATCGAAGGAAGCTAACACAGTGATGGGTGACGAGCCCAACTTTTCGATAATCACAGATTTTGGTTCGCCTTCCCCTCAGTTTAAGCAAAAGGAGGAAAGGCAAGATGGTGGAGGAAAGAATGAGATTCTGGATATTTTGGATGATTTGACCTCTAAACTTGGGACAATGTCGATTCAGAAGGTTAAAGATAACCAAAGGAATGACACTGATGCGGGTCCAGTTAAGAGCCGGGTTAATGATTTTGATTCTGAGACCGTCAAATCCTCATTTTCCTTGATATCCGAGTCCTCGTCAGATGTGGTTAGCACAGGTAATGCTGGTGCTGATAGTCTCAATGACAGGCAAGGAAATGTTGGTTTTGCCACTCGGGAAGAGAAAATGAGTTATGAGTCTGCAGGTGAATGGGGTGAAAGCATTTCAAATGTTGGAAAACAAAACTCATTTTCTGGTCAGCACTATGTTGGTAAGTCTCAAGAGTATAGAGAGGGATCCAATCTCGACCGTGGGAAGGGCCAACACAAGGAAGTCGACCAAAGTCTTAAGACGACTAGACATATTGAGGTCAGTGAGAAGCTAAGATCAGTCGGAAGGTCGAATGCTGCTAAGCTAAGAGAATTAGATGACGACGATGATGAAGATGACTGTGTCCTTTTGACTGGGAGAAAGGCGGCTGAAATGAAAAGCCATATTGAAAAGCCTAAAAAGCCAGCTCGGTCTTACAACATTGAAACACATAGTTATGATGAGAGAGCGTTGGAGGATGAAGGGTCTATCACTTTAACTGGCCCCAAATGTTCTTACACATTGCGTGGAAAGATAGCAACCATGTTATATCCACACCAGAGAGAAGGGTTGAAGTGGCTGTGGTCATTGCATATCCAAGGTAAAGGTGGAATTCTTGGAGATGATATGGGATTAGGTAAAACTATGCAGGTAAGTAAATTTGGAATCTCCACCCTTTTTTTTCTTTTGTGTGGTGATAATGTGATTCTGATTTCAGTTGATTTGCATTGCAGATATGTAGTTTTCTTGCTGGTTTGTTCCACTCAAAATTGATCAAACGTGCTCTAGTAGTGGCACCGAAAACCCTGTTGCCTCATTGGATGAAAGAAATAGCTACCGTTGGACTTTCACAAATGACTAGGGAGTAAGATCGGTTTTCTTTGATTGTCATTTACTGAAATGGTGCTAAATATTTTGTTACTAACTTTATTTCTTTCCTCTTTTAAAGGTACTACGGCAATTCTACGAAGGCCCGAGAATATGATCTTAACCACATTCTACAGGTACATGTTCTTTTTTCATTGTTAGCATGATAAGTATTACCAATCCCTTAACTATGCAATATTTTGACTTGATTTGTGACTAGAAGATCAACAAGGAATCTGTACATAAATTTGTGTGATTGTTAGCCTTCAATTGTTACACTGTTAGCCTATCCTGTAGCTAATCATCTTTATCTGTCTATCAGCATATTTTCATATTATAGACTGATTGAGCTGAGAAATATTTTGTCATTTGTTTCTTGGTCATGTTCTCCTCCCGGCAGTCAATTTTGTTTGTTTTGAAAAATGGTTTGGGTTTTCAACTTGAGATATCTCTAACTTTTGTAGGGCAAAGGAGTTCTTCTAACGACCTATGATATCGTAAGGAACAATACGAAGGCTTTGCAAGGTGACCACTTTTATACTGATGAGGATGACGAAGATGGAATCAAATGGGACTACATGATCCTGGATGAGGTAAAATTCATATCAATCTTTTATCATTTGTGAGGTCTGGGTACTATACCAATTAGGAAACCGTTGCTTGATATAATGTGTAAGCACTATGATCTATCAAGCGTTGTAATGCTACCATTAGTGTATGTTTTGATCTTTATCTTACTGATATCGACATGATGTATTTTCGCTTACACTTCTAGGGACATCTTATTAAGAATCCCAGTACACAAAGGGCCAAGAGTTTGCTTGAGATTCCAAGTTCCCACCGTATAATAATAAGTGGTACACCGATCCAGAACAATCTTAAGGTATTGTCTGTGACATGTAACGTTGATCAACATCTTTTCATCTATGAATATCTTCTTGCAATCGCAATGCCGACTAATCTTTCCTCTTCATTCTTTTACAGGAATTGTGGGCTCTCTTCAACTTCAGCTGCCCTGGGCTACTTGGTGACAAGAATTGGTAATCCTTCTCCCTGATTCAGATTTGCCATAGTACATTTAGCAGCTCTGTATTATTAAGCCCTTTAAGCTTATCAGGTTTAAGCAGAATTATGAGCATTACATTCTTCGTGGAACTGACAAAAATGCCTCTGATAGAGAACAGAGGATAGGCTCAACAGTAGCAAAGGTGAGGATTCAATTCGATTGTGCTTGAGTGACTATTATTTTTTAGACTGTAGTTGAAGACGTGTTTATTAGGTTTTTAAACTTTCTCCCTCTCATCCTGGCATATGATTATTACTAATCGTGTTTCCTATTAGGCGGCAAATGAAAAGTCTATAATGCTAATATCTGTCTACCACTTTAACAATCTTAATGCGAATATCTGTCTACCATTTTTAGCATGAATCCTTTACTCGTGCTATGTGGCAAGAATTGAACTTATAGTTTTTCACGCATCATTCTTCGAATCTGTATTGCATCTTATGAGATTGCATACTGTGTCTGATATGCCTGTTGAACAGTTAACGTATGCGTACACAAGCTAAGTTGCACCTAAAGAAGAAATTAATCTACCAATTCGCTTAAGACATATGTTGCTACAGTTTCTAGGTTTTAGATCTTACAAGTATGTATTTTTATGTTGTTTACGTCCTTTTGATTAATAGAACTTGAGGGAGCATATTCAACCTTTCTTCCTGCGGCGCCTAAAGAGTGAGGTCTTTGGTGATGATGATGCAACCTCCAAACTTTCAAAGAAGGACGAGATTGTTGTATGGCTACGCTTGACAGCTTGCCAGGTTCAACCTTAAACACATAAATACAGTCGTTGGTCTAATATTCCTAGTCTTATATAATTACTGATACCTATCACTTTGTTGCAGAGGCAATTATATGAAGCTTTCTTAAAAAGTGAAATTGTGCTGTCAGCTTTTGATGGTTCGCCTCTAGCAGCTCTAACGGTAACTTGACGCTCTCTTTTTTTTTGGGAGCAAATATGTGTGTGTATGTGTTCTCTCATCCAGTATATTTATCTCTATCCACTTTGCTAAGTTATCTTAGGATATATGTTACATGAGAAAGTGGTTTCCTTTCCTCTCTGTTTATGAAACTTCAATTATATCTTTCCTGTTAAAAAAGCTCTTCTGTTCATGAAAATAAATTTAGCTAATATCTGGCAGCTTACATTATTGTTTTGTTATGAAACAGATTCTGAAGAAAATATGTGACCACCCGCTTCTCTTGACTAAGAGGGCTGCTGAGGATGTCCTCGAAGGAATGGAATCAACATTAACACAAGAAGAAGCAGGCGTAGCAGAGAGATTGGCTATGCATATTGCAGACAATGTGGATACAGATGATTTTCAGACCAAAAATGACAGTATTTCTTGCAAATTGTCATTCATCATGTCACTACTGGTTAGATCACATTTTATAGTTAAATTAGTAACATTCAGTTTGATGTTTGTCTGTTTGTCTGACATTCTTTTTTTCATTTTTACTCAGGAAAATCTGATTCCAGAAGGGCACCGTGTTCTAATCTTCTCCCAGACACGCAAGATGCTTAATCTCATTCAGGTTTGCTGCTAACTTTACCCCTAACGGTTATCCTTGAAATTTCATGGATCTTTATGGATTACGTCTGGAATTTTCAGGATTCTCTTACCTCCAACGGTTATAGTTTCTTGCGAATTGATGGTACAACAAAAGCCCCTGATAGATTGAAGACTGTTGAAGTGGGTTTTTTCTCTTCTCAAACACATTACATTTCATTTTTTTTTCTTTCTTAAGTTTTATTCTATCTTGTCATCATGCTATCACAGTTCTTTAAACCTTAATATATTCCAGGAATTTCAAGGTGGTCATGTGGCTCCCATCTTTCTCTTGACATCTCAAGTTGGTGGTCTCGGTCTTACTCTCACGAAGGCAGACCGGGTGATTGTGGTTGACCCTGCCTGGAATCCAAGGTACTTACTTTCGTTGATTATTATTTCAACAACGTAAGTCTAAACCTTTGTAAAATATAATCTTACTAACTCGTCTATCAGAAGTCTGCATCTCTAACTTGTTAAACAGTTGACGATTGAGTTACGAAATTGAAGCAGCCCAATTTTGTTTTCTATACTTATTACCTGATGCAAACTTGTTATTTTTATTTCTCTGCTCTATACCTTGCTTGTGCAACTTATGTAGTGGAAAACTAGTGTTGGGAAGCTGTTCATATTTTTTAGTCTCTTGAAAGTACTTTCATAACATGAATTTCTGATATTATTGCAGCACCGACAATCAGAGCGTTGATCGAGCATACAGAATCGGGCAAACCAAAGATGTCATCGTGTACAGGTTAATGACCTCAGCAACTGTTGAAGAAAAGATTTACAGGAAGCAGGTTTGTTAGATTTTTTTTTGTTCCTCGGTTAGTGCAATAGCTTATTGATTTGATATGATCATTTGTATGGTATATAATGCCATCGGTAAATGCTTCTTAGGTGTACAAGGGAGGGTTGTTTAAAACCGCTACTGAGCATAAAGAACAAATTCGCTATTTCAGCCAACAGGTGTAGTCTCAATTCTGTAGTCAATGGAGGTCTAAATGTTTTCGTTGCGTTTCTTTCATTTGTTTCTAAAATGTTTTTATCAAATGGTTCTTTTTTTCTGTTTTAGGATCTTCGAGAACTATTTAGTCTTCCCAAGGGAGGCTTTGATGTTTCACCTACACAACAACAGCTATATGAAGAACACTATAACCAGATCAAATTGTAAGCAAAGCCTTGATTCTGAGCAAACACACAAAGTGTGCTGATGGTTTATTTCGAATATGGATTCACTAATCTTTCTTTGTTTCTATAGAGATGAAACTCTGGAATCCCACGTTAAGTTCTTGGAAACTCTCGGTATAGCTGGAGTGAGTCATCACAGCTTACTCTTCTCGAAGACTGCTCCTGTCCAACCAATACAGCAAGAAGAAATAGAAGAAATAAGGTGAAGCTTATGTCTTCTTGCATTTCGAAACAACTTTTTATTTTTTAGTTAGAAAATAGTTTTCCTTCCATTTCAAATCCTGTTTCTGATTATTTCTTCAACATCTTATGCGAGAAGGAGAGGAACAACGTCATTTGTGGGACGGCCATCTGCAAGTTCTTCACAAGACACCATGGTCAATGGGTAATACCATCAACAGCTTTTTTGGCAAATTTATCTGTTGTGTATCTGTATAATCTCTCATCGATTTGAAAATACTGTTTCTGGTAGGGCCGAGTATGCTTTCAACCCAAAGGATGTGAAATTGAACAAGAGAATCAACATTTCCCCAATCGATGACAATGACTTGTCGGAAAGCGAAATTAAAGCAAGAATCAGTCGGTTAACTATGATATTCGAGAACAAGGTAAAGACATCATAAATTCTTGTTATGATCCAGAAAATGCTTGAGGCTTCTCTAAGTCTCTGTTCCGGGTTTCATATCTCACAGAATACGATCTCAAAGTTACCTGATGGAGGAGCCAAAATAAAAAAGCAGATTGATGAATTGACTCGAGAGCTCAAAGAAATCAAAGCCGCACAAAGCAACGATATGCCTCAAGTTATTGACTTGGAGGACATAAGTCAGAAGATGCACAAAGGATTGAATCTGTAGAGTAAGACACAAGTCAAGATGCACAAAAAGCAATAACCCTCATGGTAACACTTTGTGGTTTTTTCTTTCTATTTTTGTGTTCTTTATCAAATTTTGGTTTGTTGGATTGAGAAGTCAATTACCAAATGGCTTACTATAAAAAAGGTCAACGTTATTGATCTTTTTTCAGTGTCTTAAACCAGATTTTATCTTTTAATCTCAAATCTAGAAGATAACGTAAAACTGTAATCAGCAAAATGAAATATTTTAACGCGACATCACACGAGTGAAGAATTGTAGATCTCTTTTTTGAACAGTAGACATTACTATTTAAACTTGGCCGTTATCTAAAAATATGGATGAGACCTTTGATGTCTAATTCAACAATCTCTTAGACGTATTCGTAGAATAACAAAACCCAGAGATGATGAGAAAACACTCTAAATGAAAGAGGTTTTTGTTCATCGGAAGCAAGATCAAAGAGAAAAACGTACCTGTAGCTATAGGTAGCAATCGATATTTGGAGAAATCTAACAATTATGGGGAATTTCGATGAGAAACGGACAAGAGTGACTTTTTACATATAAAGCGTTTGAAACCTCAAAAATTCTTTGCTAATCAAGTTTCTTTAGTCATTTAAACCTCAAACAATTTACACAACTTACACCTTCAAATTCTCGGGATTTTCAGGGCTTCCCACAGTTAAACTAGCAAAGCACTATTAGTTAAAGTTGAAGCTAGCAGTGCGGCTCCATCGCCCTTTCAAGTATTCCTCAACGGAGATACTACTAGCTTCAGGGCTACTATCAGAAGCTGCATCATCTTCCAAATCAAGCAATGCAAGATTTATGTGTGATTCTATGTTTGTCAGGTACGCGGTTTCATCTTCTGAGGCTCTGACTTGTTGCTTTCCCCACTCTGTTGCTTCTTCGTCTCCTTGTAAGATCTTTAAGACCTGTAAATTAATTAAATTAAGATCCCAAAACAGAGCAATGAGAAGCAAAGACTAAGGATTTATAGCAAAGAAAGGAGAGCTCGAGAAGATAGAGATATATATATAGCTTACGAGGCTGATTTGTGGACGGTCATGAGGTGCGCGTTTGATGCATAGTGTAGCAGCTAACAATAGTTTCTCGACTAGATCATTACTGTTATCAGTTTCTAGATTTGGATCCATTAACTGAGCAAACTTCCCACTCTCTAGAATTGGGTTTGCCTGGGAAAGATACACAACTTAGTCATTTCTTGTAGACATAGCAAAATCGCATAATAACGGTATGAAGTAGTAGAAAAATGTGAAACTGTGGACAATTATGCTTACCCACAAGACAAGGCTCTCCTGGCCTTTAGATTGGTCGACGCAGATTGGTTTTCTACCCGATAGGAGCTCGAGCAATACAACACCAAAAGCATAGACATCAATCTTGTCGGTTACTTTACCGTGCATGAAGTACTCTGGTGCTAGGTAACTGTTAAAAAAGGGAAAGGTAAGAGAATGATTGATGGAGTGATGATGGTTTTAAGGGAAGGTGTAAATATGCAAGTTAGATACCCAAACGTTCCGGCAATACCCCCACACGACACATGCTGTGCAGCAGTTGAAGCCAGGCTGGCGAATCCGAAATCTGAGAGCTGAACCAGTATATTATTTCAGTGTCAATCACAAAACTTCAGTAAGATTTTTTCATTGCATCTATAAATGAACTCAGTTTTAGATTGAAATGTAGCAGTACCTGTGGCTCAAAATCATCTGCCAAAAGAACATTAGAAGATTTCACATCCCGGTGAATCACTTCTGGATCATGAGTATTATGTAGATAGTCTAGCGCCTCAGCAACACCAACTGCCACTTTATATCTCTCCAGCCAGCCAAAATTTTTTCCATCCTTTCTATTACCTGAATCAAGAAATGAGAACACTCAAGATAGTAAATCTCTAGTATGACTGTATGAGAATCCAGAGAGAATATCAAATGTCTTTTACATACCGTGAAGGTTTTCTTCAAGGCTTCCTCGTGGTAGATAGTCGTACACTAGCATCAAATTATTGTTCTCAAAACAGAAACCAAAGAGAGATACTATATTCTTGTGATGTACGCTTGTAATGACTTCAATTTCCAGTATAAATTCCTTCAACACATCCAGACAAGGCTTCAATATTTTGACAGCTAGTTCCCTCCCATCTGGTAGGTCTCCTCTATAAACATAACTATTACCACCTTCTCCAATCAAGTTCTCTGGAAACAGAAAAAGATGTATCCATAAGCAAAGGATGAAAATCAAGTCAGACCAAAACCAAACCCATATTAGAACATGGAAAAAGACATACCGGATGCAAAGTTTGAGGTCATTGACAAAACTTCCTCATATGTGAATAATCTACATGTGGAAGAGTATTTTTCATGTAGACCCTCCAGCTCTTCCGGAATGATGTTTGATCCAATGCAGGGAGAAAGAGGAGACTGCATAAGCTCTGAACCAGATCGTGAAAATGACACATCTTCACCATCGATGCTAGAAGAGCAATCTTCATCACAACCAGAATCACTCCGTTTCTTATCCAGATATATTACATCTGCTGAATTCCGACCCCGCAGCCTTGAAACCCACTGAAGTACAGCCCTCTTAGCAGAAACTTTGGTCCAGCTTTTTCGATTAGAGTAAAGCCCCCGAAAAAAATGCCAACCTGGTCCTGGCTCAAGGGAACCTGAATCACTCTCATTTGTTTGAATTGGCACTAAAGCCAATGAATTGTCTACACTTGAGCTTTCAGTAGACTGTAATGATGAAGTGCGACTAGTTCTCGTCCAGCGTGAGCTCGTTCTTGCAGGGCTAAAATTGTTTCCAATCTTTGCCGCTTCAATAGCAATGTTGGGTGATCCACAGACTAGAGAGGGAAGATTCATGTGTGGACCATCTGCACCTGCAAAGCACAAAACTTTCTTAAAGAAAATCTAGTGATACATCTAAGAGAGAGAACAAACCAAACTACCCAGGTAGCCATCAACAATTCACAAATCAGAAAAATTTGCCACATCAATATCAGAAACTAAATTCGTAACGTACCATTGTTGTTAGGCACTCTGCGGAACATAATTTTGCCACTCTTAACAGCAAAAACTGAGACATCCTTGGCAAGATTCCTTGCACAATACTTTGCTAAGGAAGCTGATGAACGGATTGTGTGATGTTTCCTAGAGGAACCTACAATTAAACTTGTTGCTCCACACGATTTTACTTCCTGTACAAGAACTTTCCTAGCTGACTTCCCTCGAAAAACCTTTAACTTTAAATCTACCTGTGAATAACAACATCCATCGAATCAGTAAACTAATCCTCAAAATTCCCATTCTAAAAAAGAGCAATGTCCACTTAAAATGTTACGAAAATTTCTGAAAAAAGCAAAATAGCGTTGAGAAAACTTGCCTGTTTTAAGTTGCAGAAGCTTTCATATACACCAAGCATAGTGTCAAAAGTCCTAACCAGCGAAATAAGCGACGTTGAGCCCTCTGCAGAGACAAAACAAAACAAACATTAAAAAAAGAAACAAAAACAAAAATCTCAGATCGAAGCGAAATAAGGGTTTATATACCAAGAGAATAGTCGAGAACGTGAAGAGCAACGATTCGATCTCCAGGACGCGCCACATTCACCAAAGACCATGTAAGCACCTCTCGGCTCCATTCGTCGGGCTTTACACCGACGATTACTAACGCCGAACCCTCCGCATCGGCCACCGTCACTGCTTCCTCGACTTCGGCGACTCCGCCTCCTCCTCCGGTAGGTTTCATCCAAGCAAAACGATTCCTCCCGTTTTTCCCCTTCAATTCTTCTCGTATCCACGGTCAAAACTTCCGCGATACACACACACACACACTCTCTCTCTCTCTCTCTCTCTTAGTAACAAATCTCTCTTATTTCTCTCTCTCGTGTGCGTCTCTGGCTTGTCGTTTTACTCTTGGGCAAAGGGGAAAGAGCGAATCACGTTAACTGTCTCCGGGAGAAAAGTGGGAGAGAGAGATGTTTTGTGTCCTCTGGTTTGAATGAATCTGCACCGTTGATTACCTCATGATCCGATCATGACTATTCTTTTTCTTTTTATTTTTTCCTTCTAATAAGAAAAGGAAAATAATTAATTAAGCACGAGGGAATAATAGTGGACATCGCCATCATGCATTCTCTTTTACCGAACAAAAGAATCTCTTTCCTTTATTTATTTTTTCTGCCTCAGCCTTAACTTCCTTCTTTGAATTTGTCATTAATTAACGCCTAATTTATGTTTTTAATTATCAGTACTTATACTGGAGTAGTAGTATTGCATTTAATGTCATTATCGTACATGTCTCATCCCCCAAAAAAATCATGCATGTTTCATTTTCAGTAAAGTGTAGCCAACTCCTTCTTTTTTATTTTTATATTTTCAGCTAAAAGTAGACGACATAATAGATCCGTCGGTGAAGACCACAAATGTCTTTGTTAATCAATTAGTTGATTTGATTTTGCTTTATATTTTTCTCAACGTATTGGTAGGTATTGTTAAATCATGTGAAAATATTTCTAATTAGTTAATATTAAATAGAAATAATACCATAAAATTTTAGATAAATATAAAAAATGTTTTTAGGAAAATCATTAGTAAAATGTTATTTTTTGTGAAAAGCTTACATATATGGATGGGTTAATGCATAGATCTTCTAAATTCATTGTACCACCACGAGTTCATTTATAGTAAAGTATTATGAGGTAATCAAATTTCAATTATAGTAAAGTATTACCTCATTTACATTGGGATTTGGGACGCCAAAACGCCAAAAGCAAAACAGAAACTAGGATCATTCATTAGATTGTGTCTCAAAAGCATTAGATTATACTAGTTGATTCCAATACAGATAAAAGTGTATGATCGAGTTAGGTAAAAAAAATTCTCCATCAGCCTTCCACTAAGATATCGCATTGATTTGAGTAATTTTCAGGAGACGAACCCAAATTCTAACCATGATTTTTATTAACAGTTTAACACACTCAAGATAAAGTTTGGACAGAGATAGGTTTATAAATAAGGTATGAAAGAAAACAAAAATTAGCATGTAATATAAATAACGCTATAACTTTATTCAAACCCACGAGATGTATGAATTAGAAAAAGTAAATTAAGTTTAGATATTTAGGACATTTACT